ATTTTTCCGCCGTCGCAACGGTTGCATTGGCTACAAGTCAGATCGATTATTTTATTGTAGCCATACACTATGGGCCGCCGTTGGACTCGTTGCATCCGCGGCTCTACAAGTCAGATCAATTGTCACAATTATTACATTGTGGTCCTGATTTTTCCGCAGTCGCAACGGTTGCATTGGCTACAAGTCAGATCGATTATTTTATTGTAGTCATACATCATGGGCCGCCGATGGAACGGGGCTATCCGCGGCTCTCCAAGTCAGATCAATCATTTCATTGTAGTCATACACCATGGGCCGCCGATGGAATGGGGCTATCCGCGGCTCTGCAAATATGATCACTTTATTTCATTGTAGTCATACACCATGGGCCGCCGATGGAACGGGGCTATCCGCGGCTCTGCAAATATGATCACTTTATTTCATTGTAGTCATACACCATGGGCCGCCGATGGAACGGGGCTATCCGCGGCTCTGCAAATATGATCACTTTATTTCGTTGTAGTCATACCCCATGGGCCGCCGATGGAACGGGGCTATCCGCGGCTCTGCAAATATGATCACTTTATTTCTTTGGCCTCATACCCCACGGGCCGCCGATGGAACGGAGCTATCCGCGGCTCTGCAAATATGATCACTTTATTTCTTTGGCCTCATACCACATGGGCCGCCGATGGAACGGGGCTATCCGCGGCTCTGCATCTCATACCCCATGGGCCGCCGATGGAACGGGGCTATCCGCGGCTCTACATCTCATATCCCCTGGGCCACCGATGGAACGGGGCTATCCGCGGCTCTCCAAGTAAGATCAATTGTTACAATTACTATATTGTGGTCCTCATTTTTCCGCCGTCGCAACGGTTGCATCGGGGATTCACATAGGAGGATGTACAACTCATACCACTGATGATAATTAGTACAATTATTACACTGTAAGCCTGATTTTTCCGCCGTCACAACGGTTGCATCTGTGATTCACATAGGAGGATGTACAACTCATACCACTGATGATAATTAGTACAATTATTACACTGTAATCCTGATTTTTTATCAGTGATATATTGCATTTTTATTCATTATACATTGCAAAAATCTATTTGATGTCCGAGTCATTTATGTTTTGGGACCCTTGGGGGTCAACAAAACCCTAACTGTACCCAAACCTATATACGAAAATCCTATATAATACCTAGGATCGATTAACAGATTCGTGCGGACCCTAATCATGTCAAGGCCCAAGTTTCATGGAGCTGAACAATGGGATGGAATGGATAAAGAAATTCGGAGGCTATGAAGACAGGGACAGTAAAGTGACGGGAATATGATGTGTGGACTCTAGGATGCTGGGGCAATCTCAGACTTGAGTACAGCACATACATACAGTCTGCTGGAGGAACACAATGTCAGCGACATTCAAGAGGAAATCATGAAGTCCAAGATTCTGGACTGGGATTGTGGGTCCAAACAGGGATCATGTTGAAACAAATAAAGGACGACAGGGCAGGCCAAGAAAGCGAGTTGTGCAGCGTCATGGGTACATTTGCTTGACCCCTATGTTCATGTTCATGACACTTGCAGGTAGCAAGCAGAAGGTAGATTTTGCGACTATTCAGGTGGACACATCCACTGGCAATGTCCAGAATTCCGGTGGAAAATGTATCATATGTGCTACCACAAGTCCAGTACCTGATCATTTGCCAGCCCAAGCGGATGTGGTGCACCACGTCCCCACTAATGAAGCAATCAGCACTGCACACGATATATTTGAAGAGGATGAGATTCACGAGGAGGAAGACAGATTTGATATGCTACAGCGAATCGTGAACTCCGGCATCCTGGATTGGAATCCCCAGGAATCATGGACTGTGAAGCATAGAACGCCTCATAGGCCACATATGGATCGACATATCGAGGAACGGTCGACATCGATAGAAGGCAGCAGAATGGCTGAGCAGGAGGACAATACACAACAGGATAAGCTACGTCGGCCACGCAGACAACTACCAAAGAAAGGAATTTCACGTTGCCAGTCCCAGAATTGTACCTCTATTGTCTTGTAAATTACACTCGACCACGGGCAGCAAACACAATACACGAAATTTCATGAATCACAATAGTGTCAGATGTGTCGTTCACACGACAAGTAACCCATGCCAGCAAGAATCTCCGGATGATGTGGATGGAATATACTGTGGGGTGGTAATAGCACCTCCATCCCTGCCGGTGCGCACAAAGTGAACAACCAACCTACGACAGCTGACAATACCAGCAAAGAGGAAGCCATCCTTAAAAACCAAGTAGTTCACCATACTTGAACAGTCATCAAATGGTTATACTTCAACCTGGCCCTTATAAAGCATACAGAATCTCACTACAGTATATAGGGCAGATCACACAACAGAACATATAGATATGCCAGAATACCATGACAATAGTTCCAGCCTCCTCTCACTTACTATGACCATAGGAACATATCTGTGGCTTCTATGTCTGTAAATTTGCGATGTACTATACCTATACTGGTGATACCAGATGTCTCTATCATAGTGTCCCAGCCAAAGATCGATTTTTCAGCCTCTATACGACTTGCCTGGCTTCAGGTAAGACTCATTCTAGAGGGCATTTGACCATCTGAACACGTTGGTCGAGCCGGACTTCGCTCTAAACATCATGTTCCAAAGATGTCCACCCATGCCATGCTCCCCCACCCAAAGATCGATCTTTTCAGCCATCATATGGCTTGCTTATCTTTAAGTAGGACTCGTTCTAGATGTTATTGGACCATACAAACACGTTGGTGATGCCAGATTTGCCTCTAAAAATCATGTTCCAAAGTTGACCACCACCCCTATCATGCTCCCTCACCCAAAGATCGATTTTTTCAGCCTTCATATGGCTTGCTTGGCTGTAGCTAGGACTCATTATAGAGGTTATTGGACCATCTGAACACGTTGGTCGAGCCGGATTTCGCTCTAAAAATCATGTTCCAAAGATGTCCACCCATGCCATGCTCCCCCACCCAAAGATCGATTTTTTCAGCCTTCATATGGCTTGCTTGTCTTTATGTAGGACTCATTCTAGAGGTTATTGGACCATACAAAGACGTTGGTCGAGCCGGATTTGGCTCTAAAAACCATGTTCCAAAGTTGGCTGCCCCTGTCATCCACCCCCACCCAAAGATCGATTTTTTCAGCCTTCATATGGCTTGCTTATCTTTAGATAGGACTCATTCCAGAGGTTATTGGACCATACAAAGACGTTGGTCGAGCCGGATTTGGCTCTAAAAATCATGTTCCAAAGTTGTCCACCCAGGTCATGCTCCCCCACCCAAAGATCGATTTTTTCAGCTTTCATATGGCTTGCTTGGCTTTAGGTAGGACTCGTTCTAGAGGTTATTGGACCATCTGAACACGTTGGTCGAGCCGGATTTCGCTCTAAAAATCATGTTCCAAAGTTGGCTGCCCCTGTCATCCACCCCCCACTCAAAGATCGATTTTTTCAGCCTTCATATGGCTTGCTTGGCTTTATGTAGGACTCGTTCTAGAGGTTATTTGACCATCTGAACACGTTGGTCGAGCCGGATTTGGCTCTAAAAATCATGTTCCAAAGTTGTCCACCCAGGTCATGCTGCCCCACCCAAAGATCGATTTTTCTAGACTTCATATGACTAGCCTGTCCTTCAAAAGCATTTTTCCTGGGGGCTATTGAGCCCTCTGAACACGATGGTAAAGCCAGAATTGCCTGGAAAAATCGTGTTCCTGAGATATACAAGGTCCTCCTCCTCCTCCTGACCTCATGTATGTCACTATCCCGGTATTTCACCTCAATACCGATACTGCAAACATTGATCCTAAGGTATTTGAGGCCTGTGAATCGATTGGGAATGGTCCCAGACCTTCCGGAGGTCAGCATTATCGTGATATGGGAGGTTGGCTCAAATATCGGTATTTTGAACATATCTCTACAATCCAACCGCCGTTTTTCTTAATTGTTGGCTCATATCCATCCTATCGATACCCTCTATGATATGTACCAGCCCACCAAAAGATATTTTTTCACAAGTTTGAAACCTATTTCTATTTTGACCCTATAAGTACCATCGAAAGCGTCCTCTGCTCACCAAAGCGAGGGCAAACTTGCTACCGAATAGTCTCCTCTCACAGCTTTCACATCTCCACACTCGCGCTTCGCGCTCGTGTGTCGACACCACCTAACCTAACTCTGAACACGGTGGTGATGCCAGATTCCCCTGGAAAAATCATATTCCTGAGATATACAAGGTCCTCCTCCCCCCCTCATCACCTGTATGTCACTATTCCGATATTGTACCTCAATACCGATATTGAAAACAATGTTACTGGGGTTATTGAGGCCTAGGAATCGATTGGCGATGGTCCTGGAGCATCCAGAGGTCGACAATGATGTGATATGTCAAGTGGGCTGAAAAGTCAGTATTTTGACAATATCTCCACAACCCAACCGCCGTTTTCTTTGATTGTTGGCTCATATCCATCCTGGAAGTACCCTCTAACATATGTACCAGCCCACCAGAAGATATTTTTTTACAACTTTGAAATGTATTTCTGAAATGACCATATAAGTTGCGGCCGACCGCAACTTCCTGATATGGTAGTTGCGGCCGACCTTTGCTTACTTGCGGCCGACTCATTACCTTACTTGCGGCTCGTAGTATAGCCCTAGTGTCTTTATATACATATGTTTTTTCACACCACTATTTTTATATGTAGTTCTTTACTGGCTACAACTTTGCTTTCCACTTTTTTTTTGAAATAAGCCGTCGACAGCTTATTTTTCACTCCTATTGCTTGCTTGCGGCCGACCTTTGCTTACTTGCGGCCGACCTATCCTTACTTGCGGCCGACCTTTCCTTACTTGCGGCCGACATGCTTACTTGCGGCCGACTTGCGGCCGACCGCAACTTCCCGATATGGTAGTTGCGGTCGGAGTATGCCCCATACTCCGAGGATTAGATTATTATGTATGCTATCGACTACTGCTTTTGTCCCAGCCATTCTTCTCCATACTACAGTAGCAAGTCCATTCCATTGCTATGTCGTTAACATTATTCACTCAAGATCATACGAGGATTGTATTCAAGAGATCATCATCATCAGTCGTAAGTAAGGAGCTGTCCTCGTAGCGAGCATGGAAGATAAGTACGGAAGGTATCGCAAAGTTCAGAGAGGTGTCGCAGAATGTATGATGAAGCAAAATAGATAGATCGTGAAGATGAGTGCCCAAAAAAGCGTTCAATATGCATCAATAGAATAGCTCTACTCCCAGCACTGGGAAAAGAAAACATCTAAGCGTACTATAACCTCGAGTCCTCAAATTTCGGCCCTCAATGGTTCTTGAAACCATGGCAAAGGCGTGCTCGTCATGTCGTCAGAGCCCGAAGTGATAGTCGTTCTCGTCACCTCCGTATCATCGCTCGTAATTGTCGTGGCACCCACACTACGGATCGTTGGTTGGGAGAGTACTGAATGAGAAGTGAATGAGGGCATCGGACCAAGGAATGATGTGCGGCTGCCTGGCTCCGCATACGGGTCCTCATACTCCTCAATGTGGGACATGCCAAACGCGCTCACAGATGGCGAGATGGGACCAAGCGGCCGACTGGAGTTCAGGGATCCAGACGACGTGGTCGCTATGCGTGATTGGGCGGAATTTGCAGAAGGACGAGAAGAATTGGATCCCGAGAGATTGAAAACGCGTGCGGAGGATGCAGGTGCCGAGCCTGAAGATGAGCGGGCAGAGTAGGGGCTTAGATGCGACCGCATCGAGTGCAGAGACCCTCGCTCAGAGACCATGGGATTTCCTTGATGGATGAGTTGGGGCTGTATTATTGAACGCCATTAGTCCACGATTGTCAATGAAGCGGTCTCAAAACTTACGATTCCGAACGTCGTTCTCCCCTCATTTGGGTCAGGTCCTGCACTACCACCAAGGAAACTGCCGCCAGCTAAGCTCTTCCAGCCATCACCTGCTCGCGGTGGCTCGGCATCAAGAACATCAATTGTGATACCAGCATCGTTTGAGGAGCCCGTAATAACGGACAACGAGTCTCTCCAAGCACGACGACTGGACAATGGCACAAGACCAGGCGGCAAAGGCGTTCCCCTCGAAGCAGATGAGAAGGGAGCTGGAGCTGGTATATCAAGAACATCTACACCCGTGGGGGACAATGGGCTGGAATTCCGACTGCCTATCAAATCGTATGGATCATCATATGCCGGGGGTGCTCCACTCAGCACAGGCGGTGCAAAATCCAATGGAAACGCGGCGCTTCCCCTCTGACTCCCAGGGGTGATTGCTCTGGAAGGAAGCGAAACAGGGGTACCTATACGAGAGACTGCGTCATGGTACACCGTGTTCCCGGATACTGCGCTCTTAGCGCTCACGCCCGACATTGGACGTTCCCCTGCAGGCGCTACACCGAGTCTGCGGCCGAGCAACGATTGCGCTGCCTCAGCGTCTTTATCAGACTTCCGCGAGCTGGGTCTTGATGCGCTACGAGATGACGAGGACCCAAACCAGCTCCTTCGCAGACGGGAGACAGAGTTGCGCCAGCTGCTGGGCCCTGGAACAGGCTCGGTATTTGTGGAGTCATCATCTTGCGGGCTGCGCGGACCGAGCTCCTGGACGCGTACGCGACGGGCGGTGAAGACCTTTGAGTCCTCGAACTCGCTCGTTGGGTAAGATGCACTGCGGACGGACTTTTCCTTTTCGTTAAGCAGGGACCGATCGGAAGGTTTGCGGGTAGCAGCTCCCTCGAAAGGCGGGGGCGGGAGCAGAGGCGTGATGTGGTCGGGCAGAGAGGGATGGCTTGGACTGTACATGCGCGGTGGGAGTATTTCTTCTGGCTCTTCCTCATCTTCAATGCAGAGAAGCTCACCAGGAGCCATGATGTACCCTGCCATTTCCCTGCTGAAACGCGCAGGGAAGCCATCCCCATTGTACGCCTGTCCAAAGTGGCCTGAGCCAGGCACCACGACACCATAGTCTGTCGAAGCTTGGGAGGATCTTGTTCTGTCTGAGCCGGTGCTTCCCATGTTATGGGGTGGTGCGGCACCGGGCGGAAGTGAAGATACTGGTCGTGAACGGCGTGCAACATCCGGAGCACTGGTGCTTTGGCGGAGGAAAGAACTTGCTTCGTCACCGCTGTCCCGAGGAGAACCCACACCAGCCGGACGGCTCTCCTCGTCCCCGGTTGGATCGGGTGTAAGGACATTCCATCCGGTCCATATAGGCGTGATAGCTCTGGAATCTCGTCTGCGGGAATTCCAGCGGACGAACCAGATAAAAAGCAGCAGCAAGACGACGAACAAAGCAATGGCACCAATTATGATACCAATGAGAGCGCCTTTAGATAGGGTTGTGGCATTCGAATACGGGGTTGATGTGGCAGAGGTAGATGAGGATGTAGAGGTAGATGATGAAGATGAAGATTTAAAGGACGATGATGACGAAGTGGGTGTCGCAGAGGAGGTAGGGGTGGAGGAAGTGGGAGTGAAGGAGATTGTAGTGGATGTGATCGGCAGAGATGAGGTTGAAGGTGCTGGCGTGGTGAGACCACCGTAAGTCCAAGCACCATCACTGCCCAAGGGGATCTGGAAGGCAACAATATCAGTATGCCACGCAATTGATAGTCAAGTCACTGAGATAAGTGTACTTACACTTGGACCGTAATATGTGAGGGGAAGTTGAAGTGTGGTCTCGGTCGTTACAGTTTGCCCTGCGGCATTGGTGTACACGATAGTTGCCAGTGTCATCCATGACGGTAACTGCTGGGTGGCAGCCATGAGTTATACAAGCGCCGTGAAACCTCGTTGCAGAGGAGTAGTCGTAATGAGTGAGCGAATGAGAGTTACTTTACACCCTACTGTTCAATCACAAACGTGTAACACAAAGATCACGAAACTACGCACAAATAGTTCTGGATAAATCGCTGGAGAAGAAAAAGACTGAAATCGTGAGGTAAAGATGACGCGCGGACGAAGAGCAATGAAATAAGGAAGAAAGCAGTGGAACGACACGTGTGGACGAAAAGAACCACAACCTTCATGGCAGTCGCGGTTCATTATTGTCACGTGCGTTGAGCTTCCTCCCACGTGATCATAATTAACGCGAGGGTAACTGCAAACTTGAAGTTGTACCTCCCTTCCACTCAATAAAATCCATTATTCATGAAACACAGTTGTACTCTAATTTTCTTGTTCAAGCAGTGACTGGTCAAGTAAGTATTGTGGATCTGCCAGATTGGAAACGATTGGTTGTTCTAGTGGGGCGTCAAATCGGGTTATGGGTTCCTCGAGACGCAAGAAGACGCACCTGAGATCATTCTCCTAACTTCGAGGGATGCAAGGACCCAGACGGGCGTTTTTGGCTACACACCGCTACGTCAACTCAAGACTTTCAAGGGAAGAATTTTTGGTTCATTGCCTTCGCTTCGGGCGATCACTATGAAGGCTTCCCAACAAGAACACAGCCGGAGGAAAACTATTTCGCTTTTAACGATCTGCCCGCCTCGCTGGTTCTGAGCTTCTTGAAGCACTACCTTGGTGACCTGTCACGGTGCACATTGCAACGGCAGTAACTAACGATATTCAGGTCTCACCGCATCACACCAACTGTAAACCATATTCCTAGGACGTGACGGCACTTAGTCTTATCGTTGTTTTCATGTTTATGCATCGAAATTGCATTTGAACGGTTGAGCTAATGGCACTCATTGCGGTAAAAAAACTCCCCTCCGATTCAATATGTATCACCATTCAAATCTTATCTTTTGGGCGCTATATATCGACACAGGTATAGGTAAAAGCAGGTGGCATGTCTCCTCTATTGCCATTGGCGTGTCATAGATTGATTGTCCCGACTTACCGCTCCATAATGTGTCTTTCCCTCTGCTTAGATCACAATCCCTCCTTAGCCCCGTTCAAGAGGGCTCTCGCACAAGTCCCTCTGTCCATCTGACCACCGGGACGCGTACCCTGCATCTCCCTCTGACCCTCTAGCTGTTAGAGAAGTGTAAGTGCGCACATCATGATACTCCTTGGTTAGGGCTATCATCAAATCGCCCTCTATTAGCTCCAGCCTCAATCTGGTACCTATCTCCGTCAAGGACGAGTTCCAGGCCCATGAAGACAGGCGAGGGGCCGTTCTCGTGATGCACCAGTCCCTGCAGAAATATATCTCTCAGGGAAACACCGCGTGCGTGATCCCCGAGCAGAACGAGTTGAGGGACAAATATCTCGTCGTCAGCACATTCGCGTACTATCTACTTGTTTAATAACTGTGTCCCATTATCAAGCGAATTTCAAATCAATGCTGCCGCGACGCGCGTCGAATTGCGACATTGCTGAAACCGCAGTTTGTACCTTTCTGTACGATGGCGCAAGTTACTCTCACGGCTAGACCTGTTCTTTGACTGCTTGCAGCCCTTCGTTCATTTGTGTTAGTTGAACACTGCCTTAGACCTTTTGACTGTTGGCAAGCATTGATTCCTTTGCGTCACCGGCAGCACGAGCCTGTATACTGCCTTGGACCTTGGTTGACCCCTTCCGTTGCCTTTGAGGATCGGGGTGCGTGCTACACACTAACCAGTCACAATTAGTGAACACGTTTCCCCTTCTCATGTTCTCAATAGGTGCACTGCTCTGGGGAACAGGTACATTTTTCATCAGTATGCGAATTGTTCGATTCACATCTTTAATTTGCCACTTGAATCTACCGTTGCAGCAGTGTCCATCTTCGTTTGGTTTTATGGTCACATCTGCAACATCCTGCATTCTATACTATCTTCGGTTTGGCAATACAGGAAGGATGATTTCCCCCTTTCACTTCGTGCTCTGTTGACACTTCTGATCCTCAGGAACTCTTCCATTTGGCTCTGTGGTCCCCCCGCTACTCTGACGATGTGATTATCGCAAGCATCCAGACCAATACTTGCTTCTGTTGCTTTCATGCTCATGATTACTCCCCTCCTGTTTGAAGATCGGGTCGTCACCAACGCTATGTCTAGTCGCCTTAGTAGTTACCTGCTTTTTCGCTGGACCTTTTTCGCTGCCCGATGCCGATTTACATGATGAGCTCATGGGCACCAGGGCATCATAGCTGTCGCGCTTGCAGCTAGACCGTTCTCTTTTAACTGCTCCCGCGTACACATATCATAAGAATGCCGTACATACAGTATTTGACATCATGCCTAATGCGCTGCCTCAGATCCATCAAGTCTTCCCGTTAACTGGAACTGAACTTCGTGTCTGTCCAATGCTCAATCAAGTTTTCATAGGATATTTGATAAGGCATGGCAGTCTATCGTCTAGTGAACATATGTAGTTAATAAATTATACATAATTATCAAGCTCGTCTGATTTCCGACTCATACTTTCTTGTGTCCAACAAGCAGATTCCGAACTCGTTCTCGACACGAAAGCTATACTCGAAGACCGCCTTCGCCGAGCTAGCGGAACGACCTTCAGAAAATGGTCCGCAGGGACCTTATCTGCGGGCCATCCTCTAGGATAGTAGCTCGATAGCGATTCAGACGATGACATGTCTTGTGCACCCGATGGAGAAGTGGGAGAGAGACATAGAGATGTTGCCCATGTGCGAATACTGCCATCGTGGCCGCCTGCGGCAAATGCGAAAGGGTCACCTGAGAGGCGATTGCATGATATACAAGTTAAATCCTGGTCAGGGCTTGTAGGGTGGATATGATGAAGAAGGTTGGCAGATTCTCGGTCCCAAATCAGGATATCACCAGCTATAAAACATTGTCAGCGGAGATTGGGGAATCGGAGCGGAAATCAGACATTTTCCGGCGCACAGTATGAATTGATCGTTTCTGCCGCCAAACGTTGATCCGACATATTCGATGGAGACTCTAGATGAAAATTCATGACGGAAAGTAAGTTTCGCACAATTCCGACCCCCGACCAACTCCATCTTCCAGAGCTGAGGAGGGGACTATATGTGCAGATCATAAGCGAGGACGTATCATTCCTTTTACGAACTACGAACCTGATCCCCGAACGCAAAGAGGAGGTGAGTGTTGTTTCTTGACAATTTAACATCATTTACATCCTGAAAAAGTGGCGTTTGACTGGACAAGTCACAAGTCAGCCGTATTATTATTAAGATGTGAAAAAGCAGTGGCCCACTTTTCGATGAGACGTGTGCGCGTATTGTACACTGAAACGCTCATGAGCCGCCATTGATCTTTACATGAGTGGGTTACTTGCCTATAATGCGCTTTTCCACTCTCGTAGGACGACTGGGGTGCATTCCGTTAGGCGCCGCCATTACAGGACCGATGCCTATTATACGATTCCCGTCCGATGTAACAACGATCCGTCGAAGTTCAACACGTCCGAGGCTGTAAGTGTCAAGGACCTTCTCGGATGCTTTGTATTAATTCTGGCTTGGAAAATGTAGTATTTACCTCCCCATCTTTGTCCTAAGGAGTGTCACGCCCTGCGACCTTGTATCATTTGAACAGAACATACCAGTTTCACAATTTCACTCCCCTCGACAGATAGAACCGACCCTTATCGACGATTATGCTTTGGAAGTGACGCACAGAGTTGACCACTTACTGTCTTCAAGAGGCATCCACTGTAAGAACTGGACTATATGTGGCCGACGGACTGTTTTTAGGCAAACACCATCCTAGGATAGCTTCAGAACCAAACTGAAACTCTAGATTGCGTCTCACCTTTGTCCATATCTTTATGCCGCGGGGAGACCTGGTCAACACGTAGTTGCCACATGCGGACCTGTTGAGATAATTAATCATCGTGACATGAATAACAACTGGAGATCACGAACCAAATGATTTGCTCCGTAAAGCCTCGCTCATGGTAAAGAACGTGGTGATCAGCGGACGGTTCCTTAAGCACGGGACCGTCAGACCCTCGAAGATTTTAAGTGAGACTAGCAAATCGGCACTTACGGAGACCTTGAAGATACATGATGTCTTATCCCAGCTATCCACGACGGGTCATGTAAACAAGGAAAATTCACAATGATCATGAGACTGCACCTTGCTGTCGCGAGATATTTTCCATCCGGAGAGAATTGCAAGTCTCTCACGAGAGCTTGATGAGGCGATATATCTTGACTGCATTCCAGACTCTGCAACTTTTTGGAGAGAGCAGACATAGCTAAACGTCGAGCTGTGGTTCCTCCTGGCGAAGGGGGGTGGGAAACAGGGCCTGAACGCATCAGCCAATCAGGAGATTGCGACCCGGAGATTCTCGGACGTGACTGCATTGAAATGATCCTCCGAACAGCATTCTTGAAGCGATCTCGAGCACGAGATCGTCTAGCTTCATCCTGTTCGTCTGGCGTATCCCAGGAAATTGATACCACCTCGTCCTGAGTCGAGGGAGGTACTGTAGAAACACCACATGAGGTTGGAGCTGCGCACTCGACATTTTCATCATATGTCGCTCTCTCAAGTGATTTGGCGGGATGGAGTCGCCGAATGTATGCACGGAAACTTGAGTAAAAACGGTGGGCGATCGTTCGTATGGGCGCAGTGATATGTTTGATGGTATCTAACATGAGGTCCTCTAGCCATATATGACCTCGATGGTGGATGAACACAAATCGTTCCAACACCATCCAGCACAATGAGGCAGCGAGTCCGAGGCACGTGATGCTCTGTCTCGAATGGATAAGGGCGCGTGCGTCAGAACAAGTAACGACTGTACCGTGAATATAGTGGTTAGGACGGGCGTGACCATATTCTATAGGCCAACAAATAGTGAGCCATTTTGTCATGAAAAGCAAGGACTCGGACGGACGTCACTTATCGTGAATGTGACCAGCATGAGTCCCACAAAGAAGCATGTAACTGCACCGACGAGTAACACGAGAGGAGATCGCCGGATCCATGTCAATACCCACCAGGGTACTCTGTGATTTGGGGAGCGGCTTGATGTCGCAAGTCATTAAAATCCAAGGATGCGAGAATGATCTAAGGGACTTACTGTATGGCCTGCGTCCATGCCAAACCAAGTAGACTGGTCGCTATAGCTGCAACGCTGCAAACTAGCGACGAAAACCAAAATGCATTTACAGATATTGACAACCTAGTGTCGGTTTGTCGGTACGAGAGCTGTAAAAGCGTTGCGGTGACAACCGAAAATATGGTACCGAACATTGACATATTAGAAAGATTGGAGGCCGCATACTGTTGCGAGAGCTGAATGATGGGGACACCTTCATCCGCCATGTCAGCTGCCAGTAGACGCCTATTTCTCAATCCTAATTACCGATATCTATGAACATCGACAAAGTCGATGCTACAACGTCAATATGATCTCCAATTTCTGTGGTAAGTCCGTGGACGTATTGTTGCACTGAAGCAAGCCGAAAGTGACCTGTGTGAAAGATTTAGTACGGTAAGTTTAGACGTCGCGTATTTTCTAGTACCTTTATACTCCGTCAAACAGGAAGCCCGGTACTAGGTTCGGTTTTGTTAACCCGGTGTCAGATCAAAAACGAGAGCCCTTACTTCCAGTTCTCCTACGAAGGCATTGATTGAAGTATTCACCGCATCATCCCTGAACTCAGGAAAGTCGTTCAGACTATGCAACAACATGCGGAGATCCCCTGCAAAGCCTTCAAACTCCTTGGGGATCGATTCAGTTGCGAAGCCATCCTCTGTCATGAATGTCTGAAATTGGAGAGGTTCGTGGTGAACCTTGCCACGTCGATCCATGATGTTGGGATTCACGAGCGTGTCTCTGGACTGGCGTGCAATCCTCCGAGGAAATAGTTTGGCCGTATTCTCGCGGAAGATGAACAAAAGTCGGACGAGCCGTTCGCGAAGTCTGGATGCAGCCAGTAGCAATGCAGCCGAGCTGCCCAGTTGACGGGTCCCATTGTCAAAATTCCGGAGCTGGACGGACGGGTAAGCATATTGATATTCCGCAAAAAAATGCTGACCTCTTTATCCAATCTTTCGACCCGCCTTTTGGCACGTGAAAACGTCAGCTTGGTCAATTAAGGAGGGGGCGGTTGGATTGATCGCTCACTTTTCAAAATTCTTGAACGCCTCTATACCTTCTAAAACGAGCTTTTCTTCCGGGTCAGCCGGATCTTGGAATGGTCAACGGAAAGTCCTCAAAATAGATATTATTCTCACATTGTTGCACTCTGACGATATTCTGTCGCGGTTTACCCTCACCTGTCGCAGAGTCGCGAGCGACGAGCTCTTTCAGCACTCCGAGAAATTCATGTAGCGTTTCTTTCTGCTTCGAGTTCAAGGTAACGTCAGAATCTATTGCGCGACGGTAAGCATGCAGAAGATGTCATCTATAATTTTTAAATATACCAGGAGGCATTATGAATCCGGCAGGATCCTGCATCGATGTCTTTCGTTGACGAACGAGTTGTTCTAGTTGGAGTTCGTGGTCGTTATAACTTAGATACCTTTAAGGACTTTTAAGGTCCGCACCTCCTGAAATGGAATCCGGGAATAGACTTCACGCAGCCATGAGGTTGATTATGAGATGCCGCACCGAGAAGGTCATCCCACAGCGGGTGTCCGTCACGTCGGGGAAAATAAAGTCATAGAACGTTTCGCCGAAAGGTCCACGACACGATGCAGCACTGCGGAAGGACCAAGCGAACTACCGAAAGGGGCCGGATAACACAGCCAGACGAGGGGCAGTGGTGTTAATGTTTTCAAAGGACAAGACGGAAGCTATCTTCCCCAATTCTGGCCAATGAATCCACAACTGGCACATGCCATGAGGTATGCCGTAGTACTTCTTGCAAAAATGAAAGTAAGTGGACAGTCCAAATTTCTAAATGGAACATTGACTGTGAAGTAACGTCAGGGACACTGTGTACGGCCGAAATCCGAGCATAACGGTATGCTTATGATAAGGGCCTAAGAGGGGTGTTGCAAAAAACGATCTATCAGCTCTCCGCTTTATCACCCGAGTAAAAATGATTTCTCCTAGTCTGAGACCTTGGTCAATGGCTTCAGTCTTTTGTAAGATATTCAAAGCGATCGTACCTTATGGTATGATCCACCGAAGAAACATGGCTGTGCCACTGTCCTCTTGGACGTCAATAGCAACCGATAGCTACCTCTGCTCGTTGATATGAAATTCCAATGAGGCGTTAACTTTTATGAAATCGCAATCGGCGGTTGCCATTTCATGTTCTTACCAAGATAGCGCTGTCCCTCCAAAGTATAATCTTCCAATGCAGATGTTAATCAGGCTATAACCTTCGTGTATGGCCTGGGCCAAGTTGGCTCCCTAATAGTCACTCTCAGAGGGTTCTTTCGTTGCATAAACGTCGCCCTCAGGCTTTTCGCTGCGATAGAGTCGTGAGTGGCAACGCTGAGAAGCACGTATGACACCTGGCACCACAATGAGCACGGCAACATATTGTCTGTATGTGACTTTTGGTGCGACCCAGGCCTAACAATGTTCACGGTGATTACTTGCACCACCGTGACAATACGCCTGGATTTCATCGGACAACGAAGGCTTCGTTAAAACGATGTCTTCTGATAGCACGCCACGGTGATTTGTGCACGAGGCATCCTTGCTTTAGCAGATAGAAGTCGTTAGAAGAAGCAAGTCCTTCTATCGGTGCGACCGGACAGATAAGGCGCATTAAATCATTGACGCCAACCTTATGTTGGAGAGTTACTGGATAAACACAAGGCTGCCGCAAGCACCCAGTGTGAAGTCACGGTGTGGGGACTTAAGAAATTGCCGCGCCAATAGTACGGTAGTGTGGGAATATTGCTGCATATGTCCTGAGTGGGCCTCAGAGCTGAGGCCTGCCACTACAAATTTCAAAAGTAGTCTAAGGCTTATCTTAGCATGAGGGAAAGACGACGTCTTTACTCGAGGCAAGAGTGTTAAATCGTATGCAATTGTGCGCGTCTAACATAACGGAGCATAAGCTACTGTTCATCAAACATTACAAAATATAATCGGAGGAAGTTTGCCGCTATCGGCGCCGGCGCTCTCTCGTCTATGCCCATCTTTCCCCATCAAGCATAATGTTTACATACGATCGAGCAGAAAAGCGCCCAGATTTAAGTCGTCTTCGTTTGGGCCGAGCAAGCGAAGATAATTCCCTGAATGTGGGTACGCTAAACCTCTGAAGAGTAACCAACTTGCTGAGACCCACAGGCATATTATTATTTAGGTGTTCCCGGACCCTACCCTTGCGCTTATTGATATCAAAAACATTTTAACTGTGGCTCCAATGTGACTCCGACATTTCTACCGTTCACTTCATGCTGCATCTAAGGAAAAAAATAGGGTTGCGATTTTGCAAATTAACATTGAAAACTAGAATCGCTGAGTTTTACGAAGCGCATGCATGATCGCATATGAAGTTCATTCTGTTTCGCATAGGAGGCGAAAAGGCACGTCGTACAAGCATCTCACCGCAGCATTAACAGCTTCGAATTACTTCCCCCGGCAAATGGCGATCAGATCTGTCCTCGCCGATCCCAGCCCTCGCCTTAAATGCTCGGTGAGTTGAGCCTGTTCCTCACGGCGATCGCGCACTTGGTCATCCAGACGGGAGTAAAGAGTAACATTAGCTCTGTATAATGATCAGGAGGTGTGATCATGATCAGTAACTCTACTGCAAGACAGGGACATGATGTATTTGAAAAGGCACGCACGTGAGGTTCTCCTTGACCCAATCTATGATATCTTTGAACTGGTCGACTATTTCTATATCAATACCATTAGCACCCGTTCGCACAATAAATCAAAAGTTGTGTGAACGAGAATTTGAGGAGCAGAAAGGGGCAGAAGCAAGACGACGCAAGGGAATAAGGAAGCAACCAAGATGACGAGGCATATCCGACATAGGGTCTATGACCCCAGAGGATTACACTGATGCAGAAAAGGAACGACGTACCTTCAGAGCCTTGGAGCCACTCTTCCCTGGAGCATGTCGACCACTTCTGAACGAGCCCCATGAAAGTTTCCACATTCAGGAACGTATCCATGTTCGCGAACATGTCTTGAAGAGAGAGTTCCTCCGCGGCGCCCGAGCCTGACTGGCCCGTGGGAGGGGAAGATTGACGAACGGTATCGGCGTCAACGTCAGGCTGCAGTTCATTATGAGAATGGTCGACGCCGGATTGGCTACCGTCATCGAGGCGAACGTCTGGCAATTGATGGGGGAATTCGTCCATCCTGGCACGTTTGGCTCTGCGCATATATTCAATCTCATCAGGGAGCGAGAAATCGCTCTCATCCTCCTGAGCACCTTGGATGGTGCGCTTCACCCTGCGCAACGCGGGATGAGCAGCGACGTTTGTCCTGCGCGAATCAAGCAGTGCTTCGCCCTCGTTTGCTATCTCTGGCTCGACATCTTCATGGATTCTCTCGAGGAGTTGTGCGGGTTGCGATCTGGCTACAGAAGATTTGTTGGAGCTGAATGTGTGTTCGCCATCGTCGTGAAGAGACCCATAGCTCGGGACAGGCGCTGCAATGACACGAGAGGTAGAGATAAACCCTGAGACAACACCTCCAGTGGATATATGCGCGTCTTTGAGGCCAGAAATGGTCAAATCTGCTCTTTGGGACGCAGATTTGGGCATAGGGGACGTGGGTCGAGCAAATAATGGCCCTGGATTGGATGTTGGAACAAAAGACGAGCCTTTGCCACGGAATGGAGAGTCGGACCTGTGTGGAGGGGCTAGAGGTTGCATATCAGGGCGAAGAATGCCGCTGAAACGCGCTGACGCGCTAGAGAACGACGTGTCCATGGCCGCTTGATGGTCCCCGGTGCTAGGCTTGCCAGCGTGTTTGTGCTTCCCTAACATCCCTGCAAAGCGAGGCCTCTTCTCTGAGTCTGCTTTGTGTTGCGTTGAATTGACTTCATGCTGGAGGCCGCTACTGCGTTGGGACTGGCCTATGGAACCCTGGTTACGGAGCGGCATATCAAACGGGTGTTCAGTGTCTGCATGGCTAGAAGCACGAGAAGCTGAACGGGGAACAAACGACTGGCGAGCGCTCATGACTACCGATATTTGGTACGATTATAAAAGAATCTCGATGAAAATAACAGATCGATCAAGAGTAGAGTTGAAAGTAAAGATCGATGTTATCTGATGTTGTGCGCTTATGAGTTGTTTGGATCGAAAGCTTTTGCCAAACAAATCGCACTTACGCATAAAAGCGCCGCGGGAAGAAATCAACGTGAGTTATAAACCGATCCCCGTCGCCTTGCTACAATGCATGGTATCCTGATTTAATTCGACGGGTGGAATATTTAATGGGTGAGATTATGCAGCGAGTAGTCGTCCGAAATTCGAAGGAGTGGTTACCTGTTATGAAAGGGGGCTGTATTCATACACGGACTCTGGGTCGACTGTGATCGATCGTTAATATTAATATAGCCATGCTGAAACGACATGGTGCTTTCCAGCCAATCAGTCACAGAAGTGGTTTCATGGCGACCGCGATGAGACGGACAGCGGATAGCCATGATTGCACTGCTATGTGATTTCTAGAAGGGTCGTTATTGGAATTACTGACGATTGCCTCGACCAGAAGTTGTGTTGTTTCCCAAGTATGGTCAATACAACATGTGCATGTGTAAACGTTTCCCATCACACGAGGCGTACTGAAATTCAAAGAGAATAAACAACCTGCACTTTCAATCCCACAACGCCACCCCCTCGTCCATCCCACCCGGGTATTTCAGCACGGCAAACGGGACATCTGAGTTATTATTTGTCAATATATGAATTGCAATGGCAGGAAAAGCGTCAAGTAACGAATATACCTTGGCACAGGGGCTCTGTCCATAGCAATCACCATGTTCCGTTTCATGGTGGATTTGACAGCAGCGAAGAGGCATGCTCCACAGCAAATATGACCGCACGGTGTCAGAGTTGCGTTAGTTGGAGGTGAGAAACAAATGGGACAAGTATAAGCAGATAGTGGCTCCGGCGCAGGCGATGAGAGAGTAGTGGCGTTCAGGGGGGAGACAGAAAGGTTGTGGCTTGTAGCTGGTTCAGGCGTGAATGAACCCATCATCTTTAGGGGAATGGGATCATCAATGACAATGGGACAAATTGGATTCGGCGGAGTTCGGCGGCTGACGACGACTACGTCGTCCGAGGGAACATCAGTGATTTCCGAGACTGATGGAGATGTCCCCCTTTGATCCACGATGGATATGTCTGCACCTGCAGCATCTGAATGAGCGTGAGATGCCACTGACTCTTGGGTGGGTGGTGGAGGCTCTGCAAGCTCTAGTTCCTCGTCCAGGAGCGAGGGTGAACCTAGCATGAGATCGGATTCCACGTTCCAGCTCGATAGTAGTGAGCTTGATGCAACTTGTGACGAGGTGCTTGCCTCTAAGCTATCATCTGGAACATTGTTCTCTGAGGGATTGCAGGGAAGATGTGATTCATGGAACTGGTGCACGTCGTTCTGCTCTTCACCACTGGCATCAATTCTCCGTCTCTTTCTCCGGTGATTTTTGATGTCTTCTTCTACAGGATCAGGTAGCAATGATGTATCAACTATTTGTTCGCTTTGCACCGGAGAAGCACGTCTGCTACTCTGAGGCTGTGAGCTACTCCTGGAGCTGGTGGCAGAGCGCGGAAGGCGGTTTCTGCTAGTATATGGCACCGGAAGCGTAGGGGATGTTGTCAGATCTATCGTGTCCGAGTTTCTGCGTTTTGTCGCCATCATCGAGGATGTCGATGATCATTCAGTGCTTATGTAAGAGTATGATCAGAAGTGTCCGGGGTCCTTATGACACGTTGGTGATACCAACTTGCTTTAGCACTTGCCGTTTACTACAACTTCCTGGCTTTGCTCTCAGTGAGCCAACTACTATCGATGTCGGGGGATAATCAGCCCTCTATCCTAGACCAGCTCGATGCCGCCGTCCCCCTCGCGCGTTTCGACGCATTTCCAAAACTTCCTTCAACCTACAAAGCCCGCTCAGAATCTCGCGGCTTCTTCACTCTTTTTGTCGCTCTCATCGCAATCCTACTTGTTTTAAATGATATTGGAGAGTATATCTGGGGATGGCCAGATTATGAATTCAGCATAGATACTCAGGGCCAGTCCCATTTGAATCTAAACGTTGATATGGTTGTCAATATGCCTTGTCAGTGTAAGTTCTTCAAGTCCATTTATTACGGAATCGCTGCCTCTAAACCAGAGACTTGCCGCAGATCTTAGTGTGGACTTGCGTGATGTAGTCGGCGACCGCCTATTCCTAAGCAATGGGTTCCGTCGGGACGGTGTAGGTTCACCTTCTTCGGCGAGGCGAGCATGCATTTAATTCACTAATCTGCCAGACTCGTTTTGATACTGGTCAAGCGACAACTCTCAAGTAAGTCATCCTCTCCGCAAATATTTTCACCCTTCAATTGCGACTCAGGGAACATGCCAAAGCTCTTTCTGCCCGCCAAGCAGTCTCGCAATCCAGAAACTCGCGAGGATTCTTCTCTTGGTTCCACCGTGCTGAACCTGAATTTCACCCTACGTACAATTACGAGACGGATGGAAGCGCATGCCGAATCTATGGCTCCCTCCAGGTCAAGAAAGTGACTGGTATGTTGACGTCCAGTAGTCCGCTCCTCTTACTGACATATAACCAGCGAATTTGCACGTTACAATGCTCGGGCATGGCTATAATAGTCACATTCATGTGGACCACAATAGTGAGTAGTCCCAGACATGTTCATTGAGTATGGATGCTACAATCTTCTCAAGAAATGAACTTATCCCATGTTATCACCGAGTTTTCGTTTGGTCCATACTTCCCGGATATCGCTCAACCCCTTGACTATTCCTTCGAGATTGCCAAAGATCGTATGTCTTATTCCTTCTCGATTCGTACTTGGACTCACCAACCAACAGCGTTCATGGTGTTTCAATACTTCTTGCATGTAGTTCCGACTACTTACATTGCTCCCCGGAGTCCACCTCTCGACACCAATCAATACAGTGTAACTCACTACACCCGTAAGCTCGACCTCCATGAAGGAGTCCCCGGTATTTTCTTCAAGTTCGATCTCGACCCAATGGTTATCACCATCCACCAGCGCACGACCACGTTGGTACAATTCATAATACGGTAGATCATCTGCCTTTTTCGACACTCAGAAGCTGAATACAGATCCCCTCAGTTGTGTTGGTGTCATCGGTGGCGTTTTCACCTGCGCTACGTATTTCGTACGTGTCGCCATTCGCGCAGCGGACGCCGTCTCAGGGGCAGATACCACGCCGGGGATTGTAGCCGCAGAAGCTACCGGCGTGAAACGAAAATGGGCCGGTGGACAGTTGCGTGTACGTTCCGCCGCCCAGAACTCGGGGAACGTCGTCAGACAAGGCGCAGGCTGGGTCGTCGAGGGTTCATCTTCGCCGTACGCATCCTATGCAAACACACCCGCCTCAGCCGGATTCGCCACCCAAAGTCCATATCCATATTCACCATATTTGTCTCCACCTACTCTGTCTGGGAGTGCGAGCGTCCCACCAACCCCGGGAACAGGCGTTGGACTTGGCTTCGCTGGGTCGGCATTTGGCCCGCCGCCGAGTGGAAGGGGGCATAGGGCGGGGAAGTCGGTTAGTATTTCACGAAGTGTTAGTGGAGGGCTTAGTTCGCCCTTCCCGCCTCCGTCGCCGCTTCCGTCTCCGGCCGTGGGACCACCACCTTCGGCTAAGAAGGACGATTAACGCGGGAGGTCTTTAGTAGCGGTACTATGTACTACTTTTGAGAGGTTCTGGTCACGCAGAGAGTTAGTTGCCAATATCAGCTCATCACCGATATTTGAAGACATCAGGCTAGAAATTTCAGTGAAAGTGAAAACGAGACATGTTCTGGCATGTCGAATCGAGAGTGAGCACTTTGCCCACGACCGCATCGATAACTTGAATCAGCAACTTGTATATCACACATTACATCAAGCACAGTTTGAGATCATGGCAGCCCAGCATAATGCCGTGCTGCCAACTGCTCTCAAAATACCTGCCATCCAGAAACTCACTAACAAGCGCGTCGTTCTCGCTTCTGCAAGTCCAAGGAGAAAGGAGATACTCCAAACCCTGGTACGAGCCCAGTGCCCCTTCGAGCCGATCTTTAGATAACATAGACAGGGCTTGGCACCCGAGGTTATCACATCCACCTTTGCTGAGGACCTCCCACTCTCTTCATTCGATGATATTCATGAATACCCTGTTTCCACCGCGATCCAGAAAGCAGTAGAGGTGTATCAAAGAGTATTAGTACGTTTGTTGCTTTCAATCCTCCGCATCTTTCCACAACTTCCCAAAGGCAGAGAATCTAGACGATGCACCCGATCTCGTCATCGGTGGTACGTACCCTCTGGCGAAGTTACTATCAAAATAGATAATCAACCTAATATTCTCTCAGCGGATACTGTCGTTTTCACTCATGCACTGCCATCGACGACGAATGAGATGGAGACGGGTGTGCGGCAAGAGCTTCTAGAGAAACCATCCTCGAAAGGCGATAATATGCGCATGCTGATGGACCTGAACGGGGGCGTTTGCGAGGTCGTAACAGGCGTTGCACTTGGTGCGAGTGTCATAATGTCTTGCATTCTGTCGTGCTAATCTCTGTTTCAGTGTATCCAATCTTGAGTGCTCCGGGATATGAGATCAAGTATGGTATTCTGTCTTTGAGGTGCCCGATTGACTGAATTACCATCGTGTCCTACAGGTCTATAGATGAACGGACATTGGTGTACTTCGCTGACAATCCGAAACATGTACTCAAGGCGTATGTGGACAGCGAGGAAGGTCTAGATCGAGCAGGAGGCTTTGCAGTCCAAGTTTGTGTCTTTCCCGAACTTAAGTATAGCGTGGTATTCATACAGATGGCAGGGCCTTGGCAACTTGCTCATTCGCAAGATTGACGGGGACTTTTACAACGTCATGGGGTTTCCTGGGGCGTCATTTTTCAAGCTCCTTGACATGCTCGTTGAAAATGAAGAGGATTTCCTCGAGATATAGATTATCGTAAATGGGTAGGATGAAGTCTGATGAAGAAGTGCTTCGAGACTGAACGATCGAACAATGGTAAACACGTGGATTCCCCGTCTTTATTGCAGGTGTGGAATGATTTGTCCGGGTGTCTAATCATCACTAGGCTTGCCAATCAGGTACCTAGCTGCGTACAGCCTCGGTTCGCTTATCCCGTTATGAAATTTGTCGAGCCCCTCCACATAGGAGGACTCCTATTGCAGCCCGGTCCCGCGTGCTGGCATGTTCCAGAAAGCTCTTCAAGTGCTTAATTGTGATAAGGAGCTTGGGCGCAACGATAACATCGAAGATTTCCAAATGGCGGGATACCTCTGCTATTTTGTGGTGCATGACCAAGCTCCGAAGATAAGGCAAGATAATATTAACTGTGAAGATACGCAAGATAACTGGCGGAGCCCACGGATCTGCGAATGCGACATTGACGAGGTACTTGGCTAGATGTCAAGTTACTTCCGAAGGGTATGGACGGCCTTCTTCGGTGTGCGAGCGACCTCAACCTAGAACTGTAAACTAACTTGGTGATGTCTATGATCTGAACTGAATGACAGATATCTCGAAAATGCGATGGTTCATGACTATGTCATTTGGGTAAACTTTACAGTGGCTGTCCGTGAGCACGACGACCAACTAGTAAAGGTACCAGATACCTTTTTCCACTACCAACTTGTAAGCGCTACCTATACATGACCCCATATGCAGTGCGCTCAGCACATCAGCATTGACTTCGGCTGTTTTACAGCCCATCTGTCGATAATCTCGTCGGGACCAAAGTTTAGGGTGATGACGAGCGGATCCACATGCCCCCCGGCACGCATCCACCGCCGAAGAGGTCCGGAGCATCGCTTCCACGACTTCAGCGTCAAACCATCCAGTAAAATAGTCTTGACACGAGGCCAAGTACCGGGTGCAAGAATCCCACTTTTGGTGTTGGGGCTGGGCATCACCAAACTCAGTAACGCAGATGAGAAATCCACTATATCCGCTTCGCCTAGTATGAGCTCTTCCACATTTGGGAATGCCCTGATGAATGAGGTAGCAGGTAGCCTTCCTTCGGCCGTGCTATCGTGCAGCCGGAGCCGTTTCACGGGTGGAAATTTTGGCTCTCCTTGATTGCGGAAGAGGCATTGTGTCAGATCCTCTAGAAAAAACTCGTCATCCAAATCGTCCTGCCATAGAGATACAAGGTGGTCAAGAAGTGGTGTATGTAAGAGGAGAGCATGACGATACCGATAGTAGGGAGTCTCGCAATGGATTATCAGCGTCCGTAGAAAAGGTGCACTGATACTGTCGTTCTCTTCATCGCCACAGTCGACTACTGGACCGTACAATGCAAGGTATTCCAGTGCATTGACCGATTGCAAAAGGAGCCGCAGGTCCTCGCCACCTATCAGGAGCGGTATCACCCGATTCGTTGGTCTCAAGCGATCCAAGTCATTTGTTCGCAGTGTCAAGGACCTCAGCGAGGACAAGCTGAAGAACCATCCCAAAGGTATAGTGTGTGTATGTATGGGGAAGTGATCAATTTCCAACGAGGACAAAGATGGTGCGCAATTGTCAATTAGGAATGGAAACTCGGTTCTATAGTGGTTGTGACAGAACACTACAGTGGGATTTCCTTTGATCGATAGTTCCGTGAGGGAAGGAGCATATGCGTCAATGAGCTCTGGCAAGATCGTCAAAAGAGCCGAGTCTGAGACATTCCAGACTCTTAGGCTGCGTAGCCGCCAAGCATTGGAATAAAGGATACCAAGGATGCGAGGGAGAAACGCCTCGTTCGACAGATGAATTCGATCACGTTTAGTAGGCGGCCAATGACAAAAAGTGACGGCAAAGAGGTGATCTGATGAACGTTTAATGTATGTGGACAGATATTTTAGTGGTGTCTTGGACGTGATGAACACGTTGGTCCAAAACTCCGGGCAGGAGAGGGCAAGGTTACGCCAACCCCTGCAGACTCCGGAAACGGCCAACTCGAATGAAAGGGTGCTCGTTGCACTCGGAGCATCTCCAACGCCTCGTTAAGAAGAACCTCGTTTGGCAAGTGTGCAACAGGCGCAAGCTGCGCGTATCGGATTCCCCGCGGTGTTAGCTCTTCTCGAAGTGCGATGAGTCGGGCCAGCATGGCTCGTCCCCGAGCCCATATGGCTGCATGTCCGATATACTCCGTCGTCCAAATATCCTTCTGGTCATCCGAGTCTATCACAGACGTGTCAGAGCGTTCACATGACTCCAGACGCCAAGCATGAGTAGATTCATAGACTTACCACGCAAATTCATTGGGTGTTTGACGATGTTGAGGAAGGGTGCCGAATTTAAAGTTGACGACGAACTCTAAGTTCTGGAATCTGCCATGCCTCGTGGTGGTTCAATTGTGCACGTTCAACGACACTTAATATTTACCCTGTCCGATCTCGAACATGTCATATAAATATACTCAGAAAAAGACGCACTGCGTGTTGGCATTCAAGCTCCAAGGAGTATAGTCGTGAATGGCCGTAAAGTCGATGAGATCTTGAGGTGGCAATTGGAAGTAGGTGTAAGCACCTTGCCATGTGTCCCCTAACCTAACCGTTACTTCTAATAAAGGGCTTTGTACTAGTTTCGTACTTACGAGTGTGATGAAAGGGACGGGTTGGTACCAGAGGTTCTTGGTCTCGAATTCATCACACTTCCCTGCCCTCATTGTCTCGGTCGCTCCTCCCTCATGGCTCGCACGAAGCAAACGAAAGTTCAGAAATCACATAGCATAAAACCTGGTCATGGACTCCGCCGCTTTCAAGTCATGACTGCAAATAAAGCCGAGATCATCAATCGCAACCTTCTTCGTCCCATCGCAGACTTCCGCATCCCAGCCAGCAAGAAAGAACTCGAGATGAAACAGTGGAAGGTCCTGGCAGCTCGCAAGATTCGATATGGGATCCCGGAGCCGAAGAAGTATGGAGGACGAGATTCGAAGCCTGATTTCGAGTGTATGCGGGTCCCTGCGTTGAAGCAAGGTAGACTGGTCGGCTATGTTCCCCTTCCGCCCACTATCGATCTGCCTGGGTGTATCTGTGTTATTTTATCGAGTACTGGCTGGCAGTCTGGAAGTGTTGGGACGGGGAGTCCAAGAAGAGGCTAAGGAAGGAGAAGGCATCACTGGTTGTTACCTCGCGCCAGAACGCAGGCGCCCGTTTTCTTCCGGCTATGGTTGCCAGAAGAGTCGTACCACTGTTTCTGACCCATGTCCTGAAGACCACAGACAATAACCTGTCCGTGATCTTAGAGACGGACCAATGTAAGGCTCCTTCTCTCTAGTAGGTGCATCTAACGTGTGTTCAAATATTCTAGGCGAGGCGCAGCACGCAGAACAGCATCAAACATACCATGCAGTGTTGCCCACAACACTTGTATCAGCGTCGGCTACTGACACTGGCCTGGCATCTCGGTGCACACCCTTTATTACACCACCACCGATTCCTACTTCCATGGAAGTAGATGAGCAATGCGCCGGTGGAGAGATCTGTGAAGATATGGGTGAACCAGCTCGTGATCCCACTCCCCCTTCCGATTCCTTTCTACAGCTCAACCCGACATCGATGCCTATAGTACTTGCATCAGCGCCAGCTAGTGACGCTGTCCTGGCGTCTCGCCGCACACCCTCTATCACACCACTACCGATTTCTACTTCTATGAGGGTGAGCAAGGCGCTGGTGGAGAGATCTATGAAGATTTGGGTGAACCAGCTCGCGATCCCACTCCGCCTTCTGATCCCATTCTACAGCTCAATGCGGCATCCAACAATCAGTCGATGCGAGCATAGGAGGATCACCTGCAGCGATTACCGTCTCCCACATCTTCTGCTGATCCGATGACAGAGTCCACCAACGAATCATCGGTTTCATTGCAAAATGTTGCAATGGTCATGATCGGCGACTTCTTACACTACTTTTGTATATAGCCGTAACACCTTGGTTGTTTCAACTTACTTGCAAGGTTCCTCGCTCCATAACTAAGCCGCAGAATGTATGATTGAACGACAGACTCTACTTATGGAGGTCTGGTGATGCATTGATGTGTGATTTAATGGGCGTGCTTAGACTTTGTTAACTTTGGTCTGCGATCCAACTTGCAATTGAATGCCGCTGAAAGATCATGAGTAGAGTAACTCGAAATATCACTCAAAGTAAAACAAACAGTCACTGCAAACAGAAAGCAAGATGAACATACGATAACGAGGAATGATATATGAATACAACTGGTGTGCAAATTTGCTGAGTAACTGGTACAAGGATCGACATGAATATCAGGAATTAACGAGGTGTCCGTGGAAAATCGACTGGATAGGTATCGGCAGGGATCAACGACCCCGAATGCTCTTTCCCACTCTGCGCAAAACGGCTGCACAAAGCACGAAAGAGAACACAATCACGTAGGATAGACGGAAGGTAGGAACGCGCGGTCGGACAAGAGAAACGCTTGGCTCTCGAGAACGGGCAGCCTTCACTTCTGGGCGAGGTTGTGCAACAGGATGAGAATAGGGGTATATCCATCCCATTGTGCGAGCAATCATTGAACGGGTAAATTCTTTCAAACCAAGATTGTAGTCGGAGAACATGATATCGTCCGGAGCAGGAACCCGATCACGAATATAAGGTCGGTCTATGGCGTGATGTTCACTGGATGGCCGTCGAGTTTCTTCTGGATGAACGGAAGCTTGGTTGACAGCCTCCTGGGTCGTGACTTGTGCCTCGACGGCTTCCAGACGTGCTCGGAATGCCTCAAGCTGGGCGCGAGTAGACGCGATGGATGCTTCCAGCACTGCAATGATGGCATCATCATCGGAAGGTGCAGCACTTTGTTCAGGTGCAAGAGAGACGCCTTCAGATGCAGCTGACTCGACTACAGCGACTTCAAGTTCTGCTGCGTCAGTGATGTCCGAAACCTCCCCTAGATCTAAATCCGCCTGAGGTACTTCGTCCACAGGTTTGCTTTCTGATATAGTGTCCATCTTCCCATCGGAACCTCCGGTAAATATCGCGGTGACGATTCGCTTCTGCATATGAGCTCGACCGTTCCCCAGGACACTAAACTTGCTGACTGAAGGCCCGTTTAAGTCAGCATTGATTTCGACCGCTGCCGCTGCGTTCGGAGGTGTAGATGCCAATGGTAAAGGAGCAGGCGTATTGGTGGGGATCCGCTTTACGGTCTCTCCCAACGCGTAGTCCTCTTCCCAGGCACGTGCGCCATTAACAGGACCAGAGGGAGCTAGAAGCTCCTCGATGGTCGGCTCGTCCTCAATTTCCCTGAGTGATGTGTATGCAGGTGGTGGGTTGCTTTGACTGGTTGTCGGATTAGAGAGTGTAGATGGAAGGGGTGACTCTGCAGATGGAATGTCACTGTCGCTATCGGCATCACTACCGCTCATGGAGCTTTCGCTCCCGCTGGCGGCGCCTCTTTCGCGTTCCCAAGTTTCAACAAGACCCTTGACCTTTCCACGTCTCCTCATTCGCATGCGTGCAAGATCTCTGTATCTCTGTGCAGATGAATCTGAAATTGAGTTCGAGCGATTCAGAGTCATAGTTGGGGATAGTGGAAGCTCTCCGTCAGCTAATATGGAGGCAGATGGCGGGAGGATTAAATCCACCGAAGAAGTGGAGAAATTGGAGAGATTGTAAAATTTGCTGTTGAAGGGTGAATTCGAGCTGCGTGTAGATCTGGCATAAACATCCTTTGAGTGCGCGGATATGTCTTTAGAATGGTATGAGTCCACCCATATGCGACCACGGATGACATCTGCGCGCAAGGCGCGGGAAACCTCGAGCAGATAGAATCGCTGAGCAGTTGTCAGTGACAGGCTAAAAATACATGGCAGTTGTCAGATCATTCTTGTGATGGGAAGAGTGGCTAATGGAAAAAATAAACAACTTACCTAGCGAGGTCAGCGTCAGTTATTCTCAAAAAATCCCTACCGGTAATAGTTTGTTCTTTGATCGCGCGAAGGAGATATCCCTGATCTTCAGCACTCAATTCGCTGCCTGCCCGTAGTGAAGTGGCGAGATGTAAAGCGAGGTCGTCAGTAGACCAGTGCTTGGGATTGCGAGGTAAGTTATTGTCCTCCGCAACAGCAATATCATCAATAACAGGGATAGTTGCAGTAGGGGGTAACGTTTCCGCGCGTTTCAGTCTGCGAGGAGGCGTTGCGTCATCACTGAGGAAGACACTGGATCCACGTGTTGGAAGGGAGGGGGGAACGGGTAACGGAGAAGGTGAAGGGGAAGGAATTTCATTGACGTTTACATCTTCAACAGATGACAAGGAAGATGTGTATCGATGCCTCGGACGAGTTGGTGACGGGGGAATATAATGGTGTTTGACCGAGTGTGCTGAGTGCGGCGACGAGTTCGAACGTGAGAGGACGGCAGATGATGTTGTCTTGATTGCATATGGATGTGCATTTGGCAGGATTGTCGGGTGCTTCTTGCTCGGAAATGGCGCTGTCGATGGACTAGGGGAGGCACTGATTATGCTCGTCATCGTAGACGACGACGACGACGACGACGCTAATGATCTAAACAAATCAACAAACAAACGTGAGAGTCTTCAAGCAATTCAAGCCATTTCATCTAATATACGCTAAGTGCTAGCAAGTCCACCTTCAGAGCTACTTTGTAACTAGTGCGGGTCTCCCATAGGCAGACCAAATCAAAGGAAGGCCTCCTTCGTATTACCAGGAGCAGGACTGGATCAACATCGTGGATGAACAATGCCACTCCCGCCTACGTCAAATCCTCCTGGGGCATGCATCAATTCATTCAAGCTGTGTTCCCCCATCTGATGCGTACTCTAACTGCACGGGGGGAACATGTGGTGGATGGCAGCAGATCTGTGGCACAAGGTAAGGTAAGTTACATCTCTGCATTTTCCAGTAATGGAGACGATCTCAATAATTGATGTGCTTTCAGACCTGTTTGTGAACGCTGAGATTTACTGTTCAATTCGGCCTGGTTGTTGGTGAACGTGTTCCATATTCAGCAACGACTAGGTCGATTTGAACATCAGCTACAGCAGCTTGCTCGAGTCTCCATTTTCTTGTTACATCTAAGTTCTAACCATTTCCTGCTTAATATGAAAATTTGACGGTCCTTTTGGTAGAATTTGCAGTCCTGGATGTACAGTCCTGAGATGGGCGAAAAGATGTATCGATGAAGTATCTACACTCAATAAAATGTGTCTGGGAGGTCAGGATGAGCACGAGAAAATGCCTGAGAATGTATGGTAAGTGCCGGCGAGGCGAGCACGCTGCCAGGACTGTTGGGATTGGGACTGTAAACCCGAGCGGAGTTGGGACCGTCAATTTCTCGACCCGAAGCTGCAGCTGTCAGAATTTCGCGGAGAACCGCACGCTTTGTACGCGCGTGGGATCAGCACGTTCGGACTGGAAATTTGACTGTCCTCAGGCAATCCTCAGGTGAGAAATTTGCGGTCCTTTCGAATCCCGCTCGGCAACGCTCACCAGGACTCCGCACGGTGGCTAAATGTCGTGCAAGCTCTCCGCAGCGCGAACGCACCACAGGAAACACTTCGGAAGCTCGACGGAAATAGAATATCGACCGCTCTACCTACCCCGACCGTCCCTAGAATTTTCCGTCCACAGCTCGTCCCAGACGCGACTCGACCTCCCTCGTCCGCCGCCAGATGCGCCTCCGCCTCTTTTGGCAACGCTTAGGTAATCCTGTGCAGGACCGCCAATTTATTTCCCCGTGATCAGCTCTACTTTTCGTAACCACAAAGTCGCAGATGCGTCATTGAAGCCGCCACCCGAGATTGTAGTCTTTTAGAATGTACAGAGCGCACCGCGACTCCGGTACGTTGTTCATATTCACATTCGATGATATAATCAACTTACCTGGGGCTGGTCAGCGCAACCTACCAATCGCCGCTGACTTGATTCGTAACGTGAAAGTTATTGTCACGGTGGCAATATGCCTCAAAATCCCCCCTTGTGCGCTGTCGAGCAGCTATTTTGAAAGCAATCGGTCATCACCGGCTTCTTTTCATGTCTCGACGCCCTCCACCAGCAGCCACCAGCGCATGACTTTCAAATAATATCTCCAAGCTTAACGAGAGCATGTAACAAAGATAGATTTCGAATTGTGACACTTCGGAAACTACAGGTTACTATAGATTCAATAAAACATGTTAATTGCGCAGGCCTGCTTCACATTTCCCTTGGCTTACACAGTCTCGGCCTCCAATTTTCTCATTAAAGCTTCCTCCTGGAAAGGCTGTATAACAGCGCGTGCAACTTGAAGGCACCTATGCAAAAGTGAATGATATCGAAACTTAATCTCCAGAGCAGGAAGGTGCTGGGAGAATCAAAAATGAGATCAATGACCAACTAGTTCCGCAGACAGTATCATAAAATTCAATACACACCTCTTGACAGTTGGACCCGGGCGTGAAGCATCAAGCCTGATTCAGATCGCCGCACGCACTAGATGGAGTTGATTCTCTCAGAGAGAGAAATGCCGCAATGCACATTGCGGGCTATATGGAAAGGTCCGCCGGGTCTTCCAACGGTCTCTTTGAAAGTTTGATCTTGACGGCGAATTTGGTTGCTATGCTTGACCTTTTTGTCGACCCTTTTCGCCTCGATCTTGGTCCCCGTCACGGTTTCGGCGATGCCGATACACGGCCCTGTCTCTGATGGAAGATATCGTAGAAAATACAGTGAGGCCCAAAGGCGTTTCAAGGTTTCAGCACATATTGAAATCAACACCGCAACGATGAGGACGTGATGACAACAACTTCATCTCGCCCTTACAGAGGAGTTCCGTACACGAGTCTTGTCAGAATCAGATCCAGAGACACCGGATCCCGCGGCTATGTGTTGGATTCAGTGCAACGCGGACAGTCACAGAGCGGAAGCTATTCATGGCCTATGAAATTCGCGTAGCCATGTCACCTTTTTTTTGTTCGCGATAGTACCTCAGGAAGGTCGACGATATGACTCGGAGATACCCTCGCCCTCTGCACCTGCCTGCGCTTCTTGTCTTCGTCTAACATGCAGTACTGTGCGCCAGAATGTCAATTGAGCTGGAAAGTTAAGTCCACAAGAAGAAATGCCCCTGGGGGCTATGCTGCTCCGCGGCTGTCGATTATTGCAAGGTATGATACATATGGGATATCTATCAATCAGAAACCTTATTAACCGAAGTGCATGTGCGTGGTGATATCCAAGTGTTAATCAGAGTCTAAAATGAAAACAGAGATAAACAGCCATTCAAGGTATCAACTAGGAGAACATACCCTATTGCTATCATGAGAATGAAACCGACGGTGGCAACGACCTAGACATACATATCTGGGTAAGAATGGGTTGAGTTATAAGATATACCACGTACGAGGGTGGCGATAATACTAGCGGGCACGCCATTCTTCAAGAAATCCATGTTAGAGAGATAAAGACGTCCGAGCTCATCCTCTTGAGCGGCGCTGGTCATGCATAATGCGTCAGGTTCGATTCGCAGTCATTGTGTAGTGGACATACGCAGTTTGGTTAGGAAACCCAGAAACAGGCATACCCATTCCAGCAGAGCAAAGAAGACCCGTCATAAAAATGAGCAAATTTGCACGGTCGCCGGGTAGGCTTTGTCCGACCTCCTTCGCGATGGGCACTAGGAGCACGCTCGCAATTGTATGGCTGATAAATGTCGATACAATCTGGAGGAAGTTGAGTCGACTGTGAATACCAGGGAAAAAAAGACTGCTAACCAAAACTACTGGGGAGAGGACGAGGACAACAGTGTACAAGGAGAGACCCTCGAGAAGCTGATGGATTATCCCATCCATAGTCACCATCAAGCCACTCGAAGTAACGCCCTCGCCGAGAGCGATTCCGCCCATTGCCAGGAAAACAATTGTCCACGCGAATTGTTCAAAGTCGTCCTGAGAACACGCAGGTTAATGTGAATATTGCCATTCTACTCACCACACACCTTTTTCAGCACACCAGTGGCAAAAAAGGCGACAATAGGGATGATCGCAATAACACCCATGTCTCCAACAAGACCCTCAATTTTGTGCTCAAAACACCAGAGAGCAATCGTGACCAGACAGACGAATGTGACCCAATACTGCTTGAGGGTGAAGGATTCCCTTGTCGGGCGGATACCCCGTATCTCGATCTCTCCTTCCCCGTCAGGGGAACGAGCAGGGCGATACATGACAAGCAATAGCAACCAGATGAGTAATATAGAGATTATCGACACGGGAAGCGCCACAGCAAACCAATTCGCCCAGTCAATTTTAGGATCCATCGCCGCGAGGGCGATAAGATTCTGTGGAGACGATATTGGGGAACTCTGGCCTCCAATATTAGCAGCCAGGGCAATGGCGAGCTGTAGGAATCATGAGTAGTTGATCATGCACATGAAGGATAACGAACGATTAGCGCTGGCGCAAAAGCCGAGCCAGGGGGCAACGTTCTCAAGATAGGCTAAGACAAGAAAAATCAGATCATCGTTTCTATGGGCGCGGACTATCATTTACCCGGATGAGGGTGAAGCACAGCGTTGGAGCTGCAACATTACTGGAACACGTTAGCAACACGTGAGTGACGTGAATGGATGTAACCAACCTGATCCACATACTCGCGAAACAGGAGACACCCATGAAGGCAAGAAGTACGGAACTGGGTCTTGAACCTGCAAAGCTCAAGACTCTCGTAATTAGAATCCGATCTATGTTGGTTTTGCTCAGAGCCGAAGAGATTGTGAACCCCCCAATCAGAAGCATGATAGTGGGCGAGAACATGACCGAGAATATATACCTGGATCATGTACTCAGTATTTCCGAGAATGGTGAATCCTCAAGCGAAACAACTTACTTCGTCGCACCGGGCGCAGACAAAGCAGTGCCATCGTCATCCCGGATGACCCGTAAGCAGACTAATAGGAGGGGGACGAAAGTGGACGTAACGAACAAGGGTATTGCCTAAAACGCGAAGATAAGTAATAAATGGAAACCAGGGGGCACTGCGCACCTCTGTGGCCCACAATATGGTGCTGAACATAAGTACGGCAAAACACTTATTGGCCTCTTCACCAGCAACGATGTCCATCTTCAATAAAGCGATGAAAACAACTAGCGCGGCAGTCAAGGATACCCTCTTCTTTGTCAACTTCAGATTTCCGAGAGGAGTCGGGACGTCGAAAAGGCTACTTTCTTCCTGTTCTACTAGCGTAGCGCTGGTGAGAACACCTAATCCGTCAACAGTACCGTGTCGTTGCTGCCCGATCATTTGACGCCAAACTGTATTGCGCTCCCATGCAATGTGTTCACGCTGGTACAGCTTCAGCTGCTGCTGTGCCACGGATTTGTCTCCATTTGTAACACATTTGGCATAAAGATCGGCGAGTTGGGCAATGGTATCTGACACTTTGGCTTTCGACTCTTCCGTGAATGGTGTGGAGGTCTCCACAAATTCGTGCATGTAACGATCTTTGAGCTGAAGACAATAATTAGCTATACATCAATGAGGTACGATCAATGCAAGATACCTCGCTATACACAACTTTGTCATACCTGAGGGAAACCAGTTCAATAAATCTTGCGTGAATGAGATAAAACCAACCCACTTCTTTAAGATCTTGCGAAAGCCTGAGTAATTGACCTCTACATAAGACCTCAGAGCGCAGAAAGAGACGTAAAGGTTGGTAATTTTTCGCTTGAAGAGCAACCGGGTATCCAATGCGTAGCTGCCCTTTGCGGTCCAGATGGTGTCCCCACTAGAAGTGATGCTGTCCTTCATGCCCCTCAGCCGGCTAGCCAAGCTGCGAGCTCTCCCCATCGGAGACATGCTGGCATTTGCACCACGCGAACCGGATGCAACCTGCGAGGTCGACCGTGGGCGCGGGCGCGGGCCAAGAGATATGACACTTGCACTCAAATCTCCCGCTTCGCTAGAAGATACACTAACGCGGCGATTCTGAGGCTCCTCACGAATAGAATCTGCTCAGTCGGCGTTAGCTGTGCATGGCATCGGTATTAATGCAAGACAGACCTGTTGCAAAACGTGTTCCATATCCGACGGAGCTTGACTTGCGGCGCCTGTGTCGTGACCCTTTGCCGTAGTCTACAGATCGAGTGAGCATGTTGGTTTCATCTTCATCTTCCTCTTCCTCCTCCTCTTCTTCTTCGTCGTCTTCGTCGTCTTCATCCATATAGTGGAGTCCCGCCTCAAGCCCAGCCTCATCATGCTGCGCGATAGATTTTTCCAATTCCGCAAGTTCATCCATCAGCTCTTTTTCTTGCGCTTCGTAAAACCTCGTAATCTTCTCCAGCTCCCGATCCAGCAGTGGTTTAAAGAGACTGTCCACACCAGATGTATCGGTGTGGTCGACAAGGGTTGTCTGTTCATTGGCCTCCAAGTCATGATAGGACGACTCTATACCATCTGGCCGTTGCTGCCGCTTCTCCAGTTGATAAATGTATCGCTTGAGCACATCATAGCTTCAAAATGGATTAAGAATGACTGCTTTCGGATATAAGGGATCAAACATACGCAATGTATTCCTCCCACCAATCCGCAACAGCATTAAACTTTAAAGCCGAGCTGGCAAAGCGTCATCACTGAATTCCGTCAATCTTGAAGTTGAGATGGTGCACACCTGAATTTCATTGCAAATGCCTGAAGAGACGGGCCACTTAAGGTCGAGGGTGCGAACGACCTGAGCGGGATTTCTTCTATCTCCGTTGATATAGATGGACCACTCCCACGTCGGCCCAAAGCCCAGTATCCAGACACTATGGATGACCACTAGAAGAAAGTCCTAGAAGGTGTCGAGTTGATACCTTTTGTGGTGACTGTAAGCCTTGAGGTGCAATTGCAGACACGCTCCCAAAACGGTAGTGTCGCGTGACCCGGAAATTCCCGGCTCGTTGATTCTGCACTGCCGACATGCGGTAGCCTAAGCCCTTACTCCGAGTCTGCATGTTCAACAATTTCAAACTGGAACCTACTTACATCCTCCAGACGCGCTTGGCGCCTAAGTCCCATCTTACGAACTGTGAGCGCGTTCGATCATGGCGATTTCTCGCAGTACATGCCAGACGCTCCTGTGGAATAATATGAGGACCTAAAGTCAGGTAGCCGCACATCGAACCTTGACCTGATGTCCTCTTTTGAACTTGTCCGGTACTTTCCCCGCAACTAACGATCTGTGTGTGCCACAACGAGCGACGATACAAAAGTGACGAAACAAGGGACCGATGTTCGCACCCGTAACGTGGTTTCGAGAGCCAAGAGGAGCCAAGCAGGGAGCTGAAATTCGCAGCCTTCAGGGTGCTTTGACATGTTCTCTTCCAATCGATCGCTGGAAGAGCGAAGTTATTTTATTGATGCGTTCTGACAATAGACTCCACGATCTGCATTGTATTCATGATACCTTCTTCCTCATCTTGCGCGATACCTTTCTGCCCACGGTGCAGAGTTCATTCAGCGACTGAATAATAACGCGATAATGATCGTTATATTCTACATTGGCTGATTAGCATCTTGCGCCCTGTGGGAGTCACGCCGGCAGCTTCCGTCTAAGGTATTGTTCATCATTGTCACATCTTTTGTTGGTATGCTTCATGGTTGCATCTTAGTAACTAACAAGTTCGTCAGTGCTTCAATAGCGCCAGGTGGCACCCCGTAACCTTGGCTGCAAACACAAATGAAACTAAGGTGAGGCGATTATTTGACGCCCCCTGTCGTATCTTTTCCTCTTCTCTTCCCCTTGGCATTGAAGACTTAGGCGGGTGCTTCTGATAGCACAAAATAGGTGCTATTGCTATAGCATCTTAACTAACATCTCTCATAGCAGAGCTAACACCCACCGTGTGCCTGGAAGTTGATCTCGAGGTACGTTTAGTCTAGTCTCTTTGCACTGCTGCATGATCGAATTTATAGTCGTTTGAGAATAGAACGGACTTGACTAATACGGGGGCGCAAGTCTGTAATCGTCTTTCCATGGTCCGTGAGTGCGCAGGTGTGGATCTCGAAGCATCTGATCAAGGTTCCTGCTCAGATTACAATTAGGGATGGGGTTTCACGCAGCCAATTCCTGCCAAGTCTCCCTGGGCAAGCCAATGAAGCAAGACGGCTTAGTCGTGGTTCACGCATGTTGCGATTGAACTTACCCAGCTTGGGTATGCCATATTTCTGTCAATCAGCATCGAATATATTGCTCAGCTCTAAACAGCCTTCTCAGGCGATCTGCTACGGGCCATACAATTGCCTGACTGCTGTCATGCTGCAGTAGCAGGTCCCTGAGGTAATGTCAAACGATCCTTCCTTGGAAATGGCCTTTGCACATGATGTCAACGTCTATGTCCCCTCTTTTGCTTCACACGGTTCAGCCTCCTGCTTTCCCTCTCCGGCCGCCAGACACCAGACCGCATTCCATTCCGCAACCTTGTCATTCGCCTGGGCAACCACCGCATTCCGGTGTAAGCCCTGCCGGAGGAGTCAGGTTCCCACTATATGGCAATGCGCTGAAATTTGACAGCCGCGAAAAGCCCGGCTGCTTGCATGCTTACATTCTGCTACAGATACGGTCACTTAAGAATCTTGTGTTGTCCCTTCGATACCAATCCGCGCGTCCTTCTTTTAGATTTAAATACATATGATCTAGAAAGTGATCGTGGAGAATGAGATTAAGATAGATTAAGATGTGTCATACAGGCCGACGTCTCGACCCCGTGGTTCTTCATGGTCTATTCATTGCGGTTCGGACGTTGTTCCGATGGAGTGTCCTCAGCATCTTCACAGTGGAAGTGGATGGTCCGATATCAGCAAGTTCGGCCCCACGAAGCCAGTAGGAGGCCCCACGTTGGAATCGGACGTGGTATCCAAACCTTCGTTCACTCGGACTTGGGAGCACTCGGAGCTGAACTGAGGGGGGTCAACTGCACACCCTATCAAAGTAAAATTATTATACGTGACCCTATATTACAACTAAAACTAAATCAATGCAGCGTAAACTCATGCAACGATAGCAAACAAGAGAGTATAAAATCAAATACGGCAGATGATTAAAGCCGACAGTGCGGACGAAAGTGAATATGTACGACCATGAGGGGCATGAAAAAGCATGAAAGAATTGAAATCAAACTCAACCACACTACCACGGACGAAGTGGCCCTCGCATCGGCGAATCAGATTCAGCCTCGTCATCATCGCAGGAGTGACGACAAGCTGATAGCCGAGAATCTGCCTCGGCATGGAAGCCAGCAGCGGATTTGTGGCTGTACCTCTGTACATCAGGAGGCGATGGCTCATAGCCGCGGCGTTTCCCCGGTGACATCTGGTCAACATGTCTCGATTTAAACGAGGGGACTTCTGCGGAACGTGGTGTGGTGGGCGATACAGGAGATGCGCCATCAACGGAACTTCCGTCGTGAGATGAATGGTAACTCAAGCTGAGCTCTGGCGAATGTGGCGTTCGGTACGATCTTTGGGGTTCTGCGCCAAAGGGTCCATCCAAGGAGGAGCGATGTGTGCCTGATCCGTGTCTCGGCCAGGAAGTTGGCGGATAGGATTGTGGAGCACTGATACCGAAGGGTCATCATTATTGCAAGTTGTACAGGTACGGAAAATAATTACCGTTGATGTGATGTCGATATTGACCTTTGTCTTGGCCACTGAGTGACCTCATGTCTGGCGTCAGCAGGATATTCGTCTTTCATCTTCAAGCGTTCTAGCACCGCTGCAGAGTCGTACGTAGAAATTCCCCGCAAGTCTTCGAGCGCAGAAATAGGAGGGAGTGCGTATGATGGGCTGCTAATGTGCCTGGGAGGAGCCAACGGTTGAATCGGGGGCAGCACAATTTGATCTCCGGGGAATTTGCCGTTCCGAGGGTCGTGATCGAGCTCCTGTAGAGAAATTGAAGGAATATCTAGCGAAACTGAGTCACTTGTTGCAACCGAAGTTTTGCGAGAAGGCAGAAACGATGAAGCAGGATAGGGAGAATACCGCGACCGCACGGAGCGCTCACGCATGATTGGAGATGCAGAAGAGGATATATGTAGCGGCGGACTTGTGCGCTGTGGATGAGCGTAAGATGAGGGTTCTCTGTACATCATTGATGGAAGGGAAGCTGGCTGTCCCGGAGGCAGATAATGCGCTGATGAGCTAGGATGTGCACTTGGCCCTGCAGCGGGGATGGACCATGATGTTTGTGAATCACGAGGAACAGGTGGCGCTGGTGCCACTACTTGGTTGTTCCGACGCGATCGCCTCCGCCCGGAACCATTGGATACGACTTGTCCATAGCCTGGTTGGTCTGGAGAGAGGCATGTGCTTGGGAACGTTGGTCTGTAGAAAATTAGTCAGCTAGCGTAGCGTAAGAGTGTGGAGCAGACGTACCCGAAAAGTGGCACTAGATCTTCACGGATTGGCCAAGCCACTCTGATACAAAAATCAATGGCTGTTCCTAACCACGGAGTTTACAAACTTACCGTCGTGAAAGCCGGAGGGCAACCTAATATGGAGTGAGCAGTGCAGTATTTAAAAAAGCGGGAATGCTGACCTCGTAAGGCATCCATGTTCCTTGGATTTTTAAATACCCTCCCCGCACACGGCGGATAACAGGTGCCAAGTCAGGCTGTGAATCGATCATTTTGACGATGTCGGCTGGGCTCGTATGTGAGATACAAACGCAGAGTCATGGATGATGTGCTAACCCTTTGAATTACCGAGAGCTGAGATCACGTAGGAGTAAGCAATTGAATTAATATACGAGTGCGAATGTCACACCTTTCCAAATGCCAGTCCACAAAATATAACCATCATCAATATCCATCATAATCCATTGACCATTTAGCGGGTATTCGTATACTGGACTAAGAGGAATTGAAGTTGGGGAAGTGATGGAGGGGGAAGAGGCGCTTACATGTAACCTCTCGGGTCATTACTTGTGATGTAGCGACCTTTGACGACGGAGTGATTTGGACTCGCGTACGGACGGAATCGGGGACCTTGTTGAGGAATGGAAGGTGAAGACGCCATTGGATCCTTTGTTCACCAATTGAGTTGAATGATGATGGGCTAAATAGGAAGTGTTGCTCACCTGAAGTACATTGGAGGCCATGATGAAGGCGCGGATATATAAAAAAAAAGGAGAAAGAGATAGTGGGGTTATATGTATTCCGGGGGTTAGGTGGCGACGACGGGTAATAAAATGAGTCTACCAGGAACTGGTTAACGTCGTCTTGGTGTCTGCGGATGAGTCAACTAAAAAGGAAGTGAAATGATGGAACTGATTGCACAATGCTCCGGCCACGTCGTCGTAGGATGTTATACTAGTATCTAAGTAATTCGGTTTTCTTGCCGCATCGACGCTAGTAGTTGACATATATACCTAGATAGCATTACATAGATGCCCGTTTATAGACTTGTTCCATGCGTAGACCGGCCCCCTAAACGGGTAATTGCGCGAGGCACGCTTCCCCGACGGCGACCCTCGGCACCGGCAAGTTCAAAAAACGATCATTATCCAAATTTGGAATCAGAACCTTTTCAATCCTTCTATTGCCCTGTTCTCGAGAAAAGAATTCTTGTCACATTTTTCTAATAAACTAACCACTTGCCAGTAGAGCTGCCAATGACATTTCCTCACGCTTCCGTGCTGCTCATACTCAGCCGTCGCCTACACGCGGATACGGCACTAACCTGCCAAAAATCTGTCACCCGTCTGTCACCCGCATCACTGATTTTAACATATGGAGGGAGAAGGCACATTTGACGTTCAACCAAAAAGACAACCGAACAAGGTTTCCCGGGAGAAGCGTTGACCCATGATTTTCATGGGGACACTGCGGACAATAAGTCTACTTTTGGATGCAATGAGTGTCGAGGGCGCGGGTATCAATATATTATGGCGCTCCCGGGCTCTCTGAGCTCCACATGCGACACTCGCCTCATGTTTGACCAGTCGCTCACATGGTCTCATCCTGACATTTGACTCAGGCCGCCCCACGGACTGAACCAAGAATCTCACATCATCTCCCTCCGCGCATTATCCTCGAGACACCCTTTTATTATTATTTACATAAATGAGTCTGCCCTCGGAAACGTACTACATAATCCCCGACTATTCCTATTTGAATACTCTGCTGGCTGGCGATGATTCGAATGAACACGGACCTGAATCAATGAAAACTCCCTCGGGATAAGATTCGAGGTTACTCCTGACCTTATTATGAGAGCAATATACCTTTATTTGGAAGCGAGCTTCGATTAGCTCATGGGTGCCTCAGAAGAGTGAAGCGTCGATCACAAATTGCTAGACCTCGATTGCCTCGAAACGTTCCGGATTCATCCTCAATCATATTTTGCATCCAGCGAAACCAAGGGGAAACCCCAAAACAGCCACCCGGTACCCTGGCGCCGTTCGGTACCGAACACACACAAAAATAAGCGTAACATAGGCACAAAAACTACAACTCATATGGCCACTTTTTCACCCTCAATCACCATCACCTCGTCACTCGCACCAAGTAACATCACGACAACACAGGTCTAATTACATGACCAACATATCCTTATATACTGCATCTAGTAAGGTCCACTACCGTGTCCATATCCTTTCGCAGCAAAGCTGCACAATGCGCGCCGAACCTCGTCTCCACCAACTTTGCTTGTAGTATAAACCACATTACTGAACTTGAATCCATTGAACTGGCTCGCTGCGCATATCGTATATGCGCCCATGTTATCAAAGCCAAGCCAGTCCCCAATCTGAAGAGCGCTTGGCAATTCAACTGCCTTGCACACGCAGTCAATAGAGTCACACGTCGGCCCCCATAAACTGCAGAGGGACAAAGGCTCCGAAGAAGAGACATGGAATGACCCTTTAAGGGAAAGGACGTAGGGGTTCACAGTCTGGTGATCAAACATGATGCAGTTGAATGCGCCGTACACCCCTTCGTTGATGTAGTCTATACCACCAAAGTAAGTTGAGTGACGGTATAGTGGTATGAGAAGGTTATCCACATACACATGACGCTTGGTTCATCCGAAGTTGACCTCGGATCCAGTGGCTCCAAAGAAATCTCGTTCATCGGCGCCCTGCGTGCGATGATGTTGGCGGCGAGGCTGAATGCTCTGGACACATAAAAACGGCCAGGCTCCGCAATTAGCCTGATACCTTTTCGGTCAGGGAAGTATAGATTGATGGCGTCGGCCAAAACAGATGCGGCGGTTTCAAATCGCGCATCTTCAAACCCGCCGCCGACATCAAGTAGAGTGAATTTGTAACCAGCTTGCGCCCCCATAAGGAAGGCGTCGCGGGCACGCCTGATGGCATCCCCGTAGATGGTTGGGTCATAACATCCACTCCCAACGTGGAAACTGACCCCAACCACATCTAGCCCGAGCTCCTTAGCCTTGGACAAGAGGCTGGGAACAACCTCAAGGGGTGCTCCGAATTTGATACCGAATCGACAGATACTTTTGGAATCATCCGCGAGAATACGGACGATAAGTTTGGCACCCGGGTGCGCACGCGCAATTTTATACAATTCATCGGCATTGTCGAAAGTCATATGGTTAACACCGGCTTTTGCAGCGCTCCGGACGAAAGAAGTTGCTTTGCACGGGTTGGCAAAAATGATCCTCGATGGATCGACGCCACCGATACTGAGGACCTGAGAGATTTCTCCATTGGATGCGCAGTCAAAGCCAGCCCCCAAAGCAGCGAGAAGCCTTATAATGTATGGATCCGGGTTGCACTTGACCGCTAGTAAATTGGTCAGTAGTTAAGGGAATGACCAAAGGCGGGCTACAGACCGTAGTGTGGGACAATCTCTGGAAGATTCTTCATCCATCGCTCATGTTGGCGAAAGACTTGGCTAAGATCAGCGACGAAAAAGGCTCTTTCTGCATCAACCTCGCTCGTCGCCCCTAGCATTGCGGCATCTATGATGCCCTTCCGAAGATGGATTTCGGGGTGTCCCCTGAAAAGGGGCGGTAGGGAAGAAAATATTTTCTCATCATCTAGCCGGTTGTCTGCAGCAGGGTCATTGGTTGCTACGTCAATCAGCGCTGGTAGGTCCTTGACCACAGGGTCAAAAGAGGTGTCTGAATGTCCAGAAAATTTTTGGAAGTTGCGTGAAATGAAGTGGTCGAGTGGGTTCAAGGCAGAAAGGACTTCAACCGGAGACATCGGGGGATGGTCCGCGGGTGGTAGAACTATATGATCGGACTGGTGTATAACGGAGTCTTGCCCGCAGCCGGCGGTGTGAGTGGCTGGCGTGCTTTTCAAAACCTCGAATTACCGAACCAGAACCGCTGGTCTCTGAGGAACCACGGGCTAGTACGGCAATAGAAAGGTTCTCTTCAGTAAGCGGTGGGTTCCTCGCTCCCTGTCCGGCGAGGAAAAGGCTTGAAGGGTAAAGGTAATGTAAAAAAAATCAATCGAAAAGGAAACTAAGACGAGAGTGGAATCAGTGGACGAAACGAGTTAGGCGAAGCAAGGAAGTGGGTCCTGTCAAGGAGGTTCGCCTGAAGCGAGGTTTAAAATCAAAAATGCCACCACAGCATGGAGCTTTTAGCTTACCACGAACAGAAGACCACCTGGCAATGCGGTGGACAGTCAGTATTGGTTGATATCTTGGGAGACAAGAGAAAATGGAGACGAACTCGAGGGTCAAGAGACGGAGATCACTGTTCCTTCCCTGATCAGTAATGATGGTACCGAGAGTCTCTGGAGTCGCTGTTACAACGACTACAAGAGAAAATACGTGATTTGCTGGTGGCAAAGGGTGATTTGCGCCGTTTTGCGGTTGGTCTAGCAAAATTATTGGCAATGACTCGATGACTAGAAGAAATTTTATTGATCCATTAGAAAACTCGGTGTATCAAATTACATAATATTACGGGTGACGTAGTTGAAGTTCCGTAGTTCCGAACTTCATTCTGTACTAACAGCGCCGTGTTATTCATTCCTCCGTCTTCTTCGAACTCTTCTATGATTGCATAGGTCTCCATTCTTGAAGCAGTCCTCGATGCACAGGAAATTCCCCCCTCCATTACCGGTGGTCGGTGGTTGTTCCATTCCTATTCAATAATATAGTCCTCAAGTCACGCCCACATCTGAATGAGTGATATGCAGACTCGATGCATTCAACTAATAGAAGCACCTGTCACGACGGCGCCTCGTCGATCCCGTGGGCTGTAGCTTATATGGCTGTGGCAAAGCCAGATTCCCTATGGCACTGTGTTCGGAACCTAGATTCCGTACCTCGAATCAAGCAGAATCCCAGAGCAGGATATAAACAGGTGTACATGTTCCTTGCTTTCCGTCGAAGACGCTTCTTCGCCGCGTGTTCTTGTCTCCTTGGTCCGTTATAGCTGAGATCAGTATAGATCCATATAGATCTCGCTTCCTCTTCCCTCTATTGACGGAACGCGAGGTAACCAAAGATAAGTTTCTCCCCACGGTTATAAAACTTCACCCTCCTCGGCGAGCTGTCAGTGTCATTGCAGGGCAGTGTGAGCTCTCGTGAGCTCTTTGTTTAGCAGTATTCTCCGATCGGTAGGCGATGACATCCCTCCTGACAGGAATGATTCGAATGCATGGTCTCCTATTTGAGATCATTCCCATGACCCGCTATATCTGGTCCTTGTGTAAGATGGTACTTATACGATCCATTGTCAGGAAGCTGTCCACCCATTGCTCTGTTTGAAACTGAACCTTGATTTTGACATGTACATAACAAGTAGCTCTTTCTGCTGGGTCACATCATTTCCTGTTTCCCCCGCCTTGGGCCTGATACTAGGGTATATACGTGTGCATGCGCAGTAATGAATGGAGCCACATGTTGTTCCAAATGGCTTCAGAAGCTGGGTCGGTTTTCCTCGGGACGCTTCGAGCCTCGAGAGGCCTCGAGCTGTTGGCGGAAAAGAACGTGGTAACGTCATTGCCCCAGAATCCCCATCCAGAGTTATTTTCCAAAGGGATGATCTTATCAAGCAACGGACTACAACGGACCGACCTATAATATGCTTTTTAGGTTTTTAAAAGGGGCCGATATGGATGTGAACTTCGCAGGAATCGTCCGGACTCCGGACCAACAAATAACGACGTTTTGGGCAATGGGCAACCTTGTTCGACGGGGGAGAGGTAATACTTCGGCTAGCGCAGGTTTGGTGTCCCCAGGGTACCCAGCTGACACATGCCCGGGTCGAGGTCGTTTAACGGGGCGGAATAGCCGTGGTGATGTCGAGCGCATATGTTGGTCTGTGGCGGAAATACCTCCACTGGAATGAAATCAAAGGGTCAAGGGGCTGGATACTATCGCTACGCGGGAGCTCCGCGATGGAGATTGAGTTGCTCAGTATTCAAATACGCGATTGGGGTAGCATGTCGATCCCTTGTACGCCGTAACGTCGTGGTACTCTCCGTCATATATTTGCGATTGTCGTTTGGCCCAATGGAACATTCCATCCTGCCAAGCGACACTAACGAAGCGAAGGGTCTCTCAGGATATTCCGTAAAGTTGATAAGGGATGCGAACCGCCATCCATTCCTTGACATCGGTGAGCAGTAACTGCAGAAAAATACTTTGTATGACCAGTCGGCAAGATAAGACTCCAAATCACTAGCGAGGGTGTGCCCAAGGAGCACGGGTGTCCGCGGAAGCAGGTACATCGCGCGACGTCAGTGGCGCGTGAGGCTGAGCGACGTGGGTGTCCCATTCGATCAAACCGCCCAGGGGTAGATGCTGAACTACAACCCTCTTGCCCAGAACTTCTGCCTATGGATAATTCAATGAGAATGTCAGACATAGGGCATGAAGGGTTATCACCTCATACATCTTGAATAACCCATTATTGACTTTCCCCCAATTGGGAACCCCAACGGCGATTGAGTGAAGCTGAGAGGAGTGTTCGTAAAAAGGACCGTGTTTGACTTGATGAATCCGCATAATGGATATGAAGTATAGGTTGCTTTGGGGAAGCGGGGGGTTTAGGACGGAAGCTACAGTAATATCCGTCTGGTCTGTGGTAAGAAGTCACATGGAAAAGATTAGACGATGGACTAAATAAGAAAGCGAATGATCATGCCTCGTAACTGTCCGCTTCCAAAGATATATCCAAGGAAGCTATAATCGTCGAGACCCCAGACGCCATGGCTGCCAGCAGGCTCCAACCTGTAGACATCCTGGAGCTTCCAACACAGCTGGAGATAGCGTACGAAAACGCTGAGGACCAAATGCCGCTCTTCATCTGGCTCAGGTTTGAAAAATCGTATGAGGGTCAGGCAAAGAAGGAAAATAGCGAATGACGATTCGTGGCCAGTTCCGTAGTCCATCCTCAGGAAGGACCCAAATGAAGTAAGCAAATAAGGCTTCAAATATGGAGATGCAGAGGCAAACTTCTCGCCAAGCAGTTTTGAAAGAAGCTCCTCAGAACGCTGGAAGGGTGGTCATCGCAGTGAGCCATAGTTGTCACGCATGTCCGATGGACTCGCCTCCTCTAAGCGAGCTCCCCATGCACGAAATGCAAGATTACCAAAGCGCTGAGGAGTCTGAAGCGGCGGGATTTCATCGACCCAGTCGCTCAAGGTATCCAGGAGACCGAGTATATTGTGGATTTCCTGTGAAGTTGATGAATCATATAACGGTGATGCAATCATGATTGCAGACCTGGCTATGTGTTGGGGGGTTCACTGGCAAAAGCATGTGGCCAACCACTGCTTCACTCAGCCGGTGTAGGAATAACAGATAATCTGAATATCCCTTCGTGGATTTCCAGACCTCCAGATCTTGATCAGTTCGTATTTTTAGTTCCGGCGGAGCCTGACAGAGGGGCAGCTCAATCTGTCTCAATGGCAAAAGCCTCGTCTGTGAGTTCAGTGGCATATCGACACAATAGATGATGGTCGTCGTTGTAGTACGCAACAATGCACCGCCATCACGTGCACACATTCCTTATGTAATACGCGTTCCTCACCTGACCACGTTCTCACCCTATAACTTGTTACTTCACGCGACGCTCCGAGCTCCTGACTCCAGCAAGTTCATTGGCTCAAGAACCGCAGGTATAAACGCGCCTGCTAGAGAAGAACTCACATCCGCTTCACAATGCCTCCGTTTGACGACTGGAACATCATCGACGAAGAAGAAGAACAAGAGCTACAGGACGCCGCAGTGAGTGCTCCTGCTACGTCAAGGCCACCCATCGGAAAGCTCACAGAAATCTCTCCTAGTTTTTTGAAGGAAAACGTGATGTTATCCTATTTTGCATCGACTGCTCAGAGTCCATGCATGAACTTCGAGACGACCCTAATTACGAAGACGTCAAAACATCTCATCTCTTTACTGCCCTTGAAGCAGCGATGCAGATTCAGAAAAAGAAAGTAATAGTAGGCCCCAACGATTCTGTTGGCATCGTGCTATTCAACACAGTGAGATATGCGCCGTGACACATTGAGTTTATGTTCACAACTGGTCGTGGAAGACTCGCTCGTCAGAAGCAAAGAATCATGCCACAGAAATCAAGAAGAACTCCTTCGTTTATCAGCCCATTTCGGCCATAAGTGCCCCGGTCATTCAAGAACTTATTCAACTGTTGGATGGTTTGTCATGTTGACTGTCGTGTAACACTTGAAACTCAACGATTTGCTCCAAGCTGCTCGAGAAGATCCGGAGCTGCTCAAATCCACATTTCCTCCACTGACAGGAAATAAAATGCCCCTGGGTGATGTATTTACGAGTTGCAACTGGGTTTTGCGTGACGGGTGAACATCACGCAGTCCGGTGAACAATTATCATCACTTACACTGTCCCTTCAGAGCACCAAAGACAGCTTCAAAACGCGTCTTTTTGATCACAGATGATGACAATCCACACCCAGGAAGCAAGCAGCTCCTCACTTCCGCTCGAACAACCCTTCTAGTGTGTCTATTTTCGTGAAAGTGTACGGATGGTTAACCCTAGTTTCAAGGATTTGACACAGTCAGGGGTTCAGGTCGAACCATTTTTCATTGCCACTCAAGAGAAGCCGTTTGAACCGTCCAAATTCTACTCGGTGAGAAGCACCTGCCCTAGTTCTCGTGGTTGGCTGACGGTACCCCGAAGTCCGTTTTGCTGCCCAACGTGTTAAACGACGAGGATGAAGACACTGGCGTTCTTCCTGAATCCATATCCATCACGCGCATCGACGATCTTCTATCTCAGATGCGTTTTCATGAGGTGCAAAAACGCGCCATGTTCAGCATTCCTTTCCAATTAGCGGACGGATTTGTGATAAGCATCAAAGGGTTAGTTACTTCTCCTATCAGCTTACTAGACTTCAACATACTCGCTGCAGTTACGGGCTTGTCACAGAACAGAAGAAAGGCGCGTATAAGTACTTCGTTGACCTTGGCGATCGCATGGAAGTAGCTAACAGCCGTACGGTGTATGTTGACGAGGTCCTGCGCTAATTTCGTATCGTGTGCTAGTGCTAACCATTTTCTCTATGACAGGATCAACAAGCGGAAGTGGACAAAACCAAGTTGGTCTATGGGATGTCTCTTGGTGCTGGTCCGGTTGAAGAAGGTAGCGACGAAGAAGGCGAAGGAACTGATACCATTTCTCGAGCTGTTCCGTCGGGAAAACGAGTGTGTATTCTTCGTGATCTCTGTTTAGTACTGACCTCTCGTAGCCATTTTACACTGCAGATGAGATCAAGTCTTTCCGCACGCTGGACCTTGAACCAGGTGTGCTGTGACTAACAGCTCCGGAGTTGCTTCTGATATCAAATTTCAATAGGCATCAAGCTACTTGGCTTCAAAAAACGCAAAGAACTGGCTTTCGAGGACAATGTCAAGCACTCTGTATTTATCTATCCCGACGAACTAGTGCGTTTGCTTCTTGTTTTCAGCTTATTGCAAAATAACCGGTCAATGCAGAAATACTCAGGAAGCAAGCGCACATTCACCGCTCTGCTAAAGAAAATGATAGAGAAGAAGAAGATTGGTCTTGTCCTAGCACTCACACGACGCAACGTCGCTCCCATCTTCTGTGCAATGGTTCCGCAAGTAAGCCCTATATTTCCTTATTTATTGTGCGCTAATCATACCCCTGCCTAACTAGGCGGAAAGTGGCGAAGAAGGGGAATGGAATGAGCCTGCAGGTTTCCATTTGATTCCCTTGCCATTCGCCGATGATATTAGAGCAGCACCACTGGAGGAAGCATTCCGAGGTGAGCCAAACATGCACTACATTTCAATCCCACAGCTAAATTACCGCATCTAGCGTCGGATGAGGTCAAGGATTCCGCACGGGCCTGGATTGACAAGCTCTGCGTTAAGAACGGAGCATATCCGCCTGACTCTTATCCTAACCCTGGTCAGTAAAAAATTCGTATTGAGTCATCCGCTATTATAACCTCGACCTGCGCTCGCAGCCCTTGCGTATCACAATGCCCAGCTACAAGCAAGTGCCTTCCGCGAGGAGTTTGATCCGGAAGCCTTCGAGGATCTTACACGTCCCAAATACGATATGATTCACAAGGTACGTGGATTGTATTCACAAGCACACGATCGCCAAGCTGATGTTGCCCTAGCGCGCTGGGAACCTTATGAAGGAGTGGAAGGGGGCTCTTTTGGCCGACGAGTCCGCGAATGTGGTGGCCGTTACCACAGGATCCAAAAGAAAGGCTGTACGAGCACCTATTAGTTTGATAAGAACGTCTGCTGATGATGCTGTACAGGACGTGTCAGTTGACGAGGCGGAAATCCGCAGTAAACACGAGGCTGGCACTTTGGGCAAGGTGAGTGCTTTAAATAACGATCCGATGTAATGCCTATGTCAACGTTACTGCAGCTCCGCGTGGATCAGCTTAAGGTATGATTTGATAGTTCCTGACCGATCTTCATCCCACTGACCTCACTTCTAGGATTTTCTCAAGAGCAAGAGCCAGCCGATGTCAGGAAAAAAGGCTGAGCTGATTGAACGCGTTTGTGATTGGCTGGATGCTCATTGAGCGATTCACATGCACTCCCACAGATTGAGGACAGCTTTCTTTCTTATTTTCGGTCGTGCGTCTGTGGCATGCTTTCTAGGAACTTATTCTCGAATGCCTATATTCTTTACTATGCCACATAATATCCTTGTATAATGCAGCTTGATATTGCCCTCCATGATGAGCCTCCCCGATGAATGCCGCGGACCGGGTGGCTCCGGTGACGCAATTTCAGAAAATCTTATCTGATCAGTCAGCACTCGATAATTGAGAATTTTATTATCCCAGGAGGACCAACTCAGGACTGCGCTGGTCGATCGATAGCTAGCTCATCCTCACTTGTTCTGCCCAACGGAGCGGTTTCATCAATTCACCAGTCTCACTCGGTCACCGAAATCCCCGCCATCACATCATGTCTACACTCGAGAATCTCGTTGACATCCCGGCCACCCTAGAATTCCAAGAGTTGCTCTCGAAGGATCTCAAACGTATATCGCTAATCTACTTCTGGACGTCCTGGGCTGAGCCATGCGTGCAAATGAACCAAGTTGTCGAAGGGCTAGCCAAGGCATACCCAAAACTGCTCGCGCTGAGGGCAAGTACCCAGGACCCTGTCAAACACCATAAGATTGACAACACAACGCTAGGTGGAGGCAGAAGAGCAAGCGGACATTTCAGACTCCTTTGACATCAGCTCTGTTCCGACATGCTTAGTTATTCAGGTGAGTATGCGTGACACTTCCCTATATCTGGGACTAAGCAAAGGTCAAGGGCCACGCTTTACTTGCTCGGATCGAAGGCGGAGATGCGACCCGGCTTACAGAAACGATTGCAAAGTACTTGGGAAGCAATTCCTCCGTAGTTTCTCAGTCAACGACATCCCAACCTCCTGTTCTTCCGTCATCTTCCGAGACGGTAGCACAATTAGAAACCCGCATGCGGAAGATCATGAATCAAAGCTCGGTGGTTTTATTCATGAAAGGGGAACCAGATGCACCTCGGTGCGGCTTTTCCAGGACTGCAGTAGCGCTGTTGAGGGAGAAAAATGTTACATTCACTCACTTTGACATTCTTAGCGACGAGAGTGTGCGGCAAGGTGAGCTTTCATGTTTTGAGGGATATCAATTGGTTGCTTATTTTCTCGCACAGGCTTGAAGACACTGAACGATTGGCCTACCTTCCCACAATTTATAGTAAACGGCGAATTTGTGGGAGGATTGGATGTGGTGAAGGAGATGAAGGACTCGGGGGAGTTCGATGGCGTTTTCTTTGACTGACTCCGTGGCTGATGTGTACTGTTATTATAAGTCTAACCTTTGAGCAGATACTTGTTAATACTGTCTTGCTGTCAGGCGATAGAATCGGCTATAAATTGTATAATTTAATCTGAAGAGAGTTTGTAATCCATGCATGTAAGTACATGCTCGAATTCGAACCACCAACGTGTGAGATAGCTTCTCATATATACGTATATAATTACCAAGGCGCTTGTTCTCATAATACGGGTGTAGCTGCCGAGGACCGTTTATCTGATGAGGTACCTCGGTAAACAAACCTTGCACTTCGAAGACACTAAGAGCACAAGGTATGAAACGCGTCTCCTCGCCTGCGCATCACCGCCAACAGCGCTTAATCTCCTCGGTCGAAATAAGACGGACTTCCACTTTAGCTGAAATAATATTTGGTCCTGAACGGTCCATAAAAACTTCGCCATTTAAGATCATTTTGTGATGCAAGCATGCGCCTGGGATTGAGGACAATATGCCACTAGGTGGCGAAGTCGCATCATCGTATCAGGCCATACAGACCCGCGAACCTAACGGGGGATGACTGTGGCGACATCAATCCTTTCATGAATGTCACCTGTTCGGTGATTTATATTGTCCGCAGATAAAAAATTGCAACACTTTCACCCGCTCAAGCTGGGACTCTTGTAAGGGTTTCTGCAGAGCGAATGATATGAAACATGAACCTTACCACGAGGCCACATAGTAGCCTTGCGGGCATGCGGCTCATTCAGTTACGGTACTTGGTACCCGTGCAGCCGTTGTGGTAATAATGACCTACCAAGAAGGTCAAGGGCCAACAAGTGGAGCGATTTAATTAAGCATCCTCCTTCCTCGAGGCATTTGCCATCAAAGAGGCTCCGCACTCTCGTTATCTGATACGTGGAGTCATAGTCGACGAGGTTAGGCATCCAACTGAATTAAAAAAGGGGGGGATCGGTAGGAGTTTCCGTATGGTTTTACTGGAAGTGCAACAAGTCGTGTATTGGAAGACGTGAATCAGGACGCGCATTGCGAATAGTTTTGCTTGTCGTGTATGTAATTGAGATGGTTGCGCGTGACGTCACGCAAACAAATAGAGGCAAATAAGCGATAACCCATGTGAAGTCATCCCAGCCTATTGCCTCAAGGCCTAAATGTTTTTACCCGGGTCGCCCATTGTCCATATAAAGTATTGGATTTGTCTACGACTTTTCTCGCTGAGCGCTCTGTCATGACCCGTCACCCCATTGACAATCACCTCAGTATACATTATCAAAGCCCTCCATGTCTCGCTTGCCGTGTCCTTTTACTCCTGGACGTGCAAGTTTGTGTGCTCAGCAGCCCAGCACAAGGCGGCGTCCCCTCTGCTGAGACTGTTCTTCGTAACATTGAATACATTCTTGACCGTGCTCGCTCAGCAAAACAGCCACCTCGTATTATTCATATCCGTAACTCCGGAGAGCCCGGTGATTCAGATACACCAAACTCCCCCGGCTGGCAGCTCGTTTTTCCAACACTTGAGCACGAGTTCGTTATCGACAAGTTCAAAAACAACGCATTCTCTGGAACAAAACTGGCAGATCTCATACCGCGCGACGCCGAACTCATAGTCGTCGGCATGCAGAGCGATTACTGTGTGCGTGCCACTTGTAGCGCAGCTTTGGATAGAGGAAACACCGTCATATTAATAAAGGACGCACACGCGACCTACGATCGCATTGAAGTATGGAACGGTGGCATGGTCACAAAGGCCCAAGATGTGGAGTTGGAAATAGAGGCGGAATTGGAGGAGGCTGGGGTCAACCTGCTGTGTATGTCGGATGGACCGCACTTGTTCAGCGACCGATAACACGCACTTGCGGGTTGGGTGATTGCTGATAGTAACTCCACTTCCCTGAATCCGTTCCTTTCTTTTCTTAGTTTCAAATTCGTGCTGTGAGTTTGTTCTTGTCCGCGCCTCGTTATATCTAAAGGAGAGCTGATTACTCACTGTCTGGAAGCCTTACTCCTTCAGTTATTAGTTCACGTTTAGAAGTCCTATGGCTGGTATGATGGTTTGAATGGTTACCCTGTTGTGGGCAGGCTCCGCTGATCACTTGGTACCGATATTACCTTGGTAGCACTTACACTCACTTACGAAAGTTACGATGCTGAATGTCACGTGATTACTACGAAATAACATCATAAGGCTCTGTCTTGGCACGACTCGACCTCTCCAGCTGCCAGTAGCGGTAAGTAGCTATAGGATCTGAGCGCGCGTTCTATCACGAATCGTCGCGCCTGGCCACTAGGTTACTTATTCTCGCGCCCAACACCATCCGCAGTCTCCCATAAGTTTTCACTTGGTTCAACCATAATGACCATGCCGACCCAAATCGACCCATACAAGGCGCTGGCTCTCGGAACGGTGATTTCATTTATCACTCCAAAGCTGTCGGATTGACCAAGTGCTTATACTCAAAACCAGCGAGTGAAGCTCAACACCGACGCACCATTCACGCCCACATACATTCAGGCCTCACTCACCCGATCAGGAGATCCACAGGGTATATACACGAATCGTGTTAAGAATAAACACATCATCCTAGAAAACCCTGCTCGAGCAAGCAGCGCACAGAAAGAACGCGATTCAAAGAAGGCAAGAAGGGAATCGGAAAAGAAGAAAAGAAAAACTGGTGCGCTAGGACGGAGATCCACATATGCGAAAGGCCTCTGGAAGCTTGAGAACGGGGCAGAAAAGTGATTATTGAGATTTTGAGCGACTGTATGCGGTCTACTGATGCGTTCACCCCAAGGTTTGATCTATTCCTCCCACTCCATCAGCTATGGATGGGATACATGTCTGAACTGTTGGGACTCTCACCTCCATCTTCCGTTCCGGCCACCAAAGCAATGCCCAGCTCGTCATCTATGCACGCAAAGCTGGTGAAGGCCGACTTCCACGGTTCTCTATTGACTGGTATGCAACTTCTGTCGTCATATGCGCATATACTCACATATTTTGTCACTTCCAAGTCTGTCAGAGCAAGAATCCTTGCTTGGTCGGCTTGTCTGGTATCGTGATTCACGAAACTGAAAACGCCTTCAAAGTAATCACTCGTAAAGATCAACTCAAATGTGAATGCTCCCATTTCTCGCCTTTCAATGTAGTTGTAACGCAAAACTTCAGTAATTCCAAAACAGAACTCGATATTCACGCTGGCGGTTCCCCTATACTCTACATTGCCTCAAACGCAATTCGAACCAGCGGAAGCTGTCAGCTCCGCGCTGAGTGGTCAGTGTTCAGCAACAGTCCTGGATGCTCCGCATATTGCATTCGATCTATATGGCAATCAATTTGGTTTTCGATCTGCAGATCGTGCGGGTAGGAAGTTCAAGGCCAAGGAAACGATCGAGTTATAGATTACTCCGCGGCCGACGATACAAACACCTGGTAATCATCATCATCTATTGCAACATATTCCTACCGAATCACACGTCCTCCAATACACTGTTAACCAGATCCGGCCTGGTATACCTGTCCCCAAGCAAGTTCCTGGAATCTGCAGAAGCATTCAGAGTTAGGTGATGTGATAACTAGTGGATGCAGGACAGCCATACTTGTCGTACAACGATAACACACCCGCGCCAGCTACCCCACGAAGGATATTTGCACCTGCCCCAGCTTTTATCGTGCGTGTCAGACACTCAACAGTACCACTCCAGTATACATTTGACCTACCAAACAATGCCCTTGTACCTTCTTTGGCCATGATTTGCCGTCCAGCGTCCATAAAGGACTTGTATCGTACCTACACCCATTAGTAGGTCGAGACATCCTTAACATATGGGTAAATTAGCCCACCTTTTCCCCAGACGTCATCATCATTCGTCTTCTAATGGTGTCAAGCGGATATGCAGCCAAAGCTGCTCCCTGGAGACTTATGTTCAACGTCATAGTAGCTGCACGACCGTCAACCTACTGTCGTGCACATCCAACCCACAGCAAAAGACGCAATAAAGTTGCCACGCAGATTTCCTACTAGAAACGTGTCTCTAATTGTGTCATACCCTCCGAAGCTGTGCAACACGTCAAAACATGAACAATGCCGCTGAGAAAACGTGAACGCACTAGAGACCTCGGTACACGCAGATACCAACCACACTGGGCACGAACCCTCTGTACAGGCCAACAACCCCATCGGAACGGAGAGTCTGCCTGTATACGTCCATCAAACCGGAAAACTGACGTTGTCCCCCTTTAGCTGTCTTGGCGTCAGCAGATAACCGTGTGCGGGCGCTGTGTCGTTGCAGTGTCAATGTCTCGTTGCGTCCCATAACATCATATACGCACTAATCAAGCGAATACACGAAGACTGAGGAAGATGCTCCAGCGGCTGCTCCACTGGCGACGTTTCCTGACAACTCGTTCTGGCTATCCATTCGAAAATGCAAAGGAACATGCTGCATACCAAAAACCCACAAACCGAATTGTTCTGATTTTTTGAAACCAAACATTTGCTTGAAATTGTCCTTGAATGCAAAATTGAGGGCCTGGGTAGGGAAGTATCTGAGCACGTTAGTCCCATTACCCCTCCATACTGTTCCCGTTTGAGAATGTACGTGTACTAAGGAGTTCACAGCGCACAGCTAATGGCCCCTTCTTCTGAGACGGTTCGTTTGAAGCAGTCGGTAATGCCTTTATAGGGGCGGTCGAGCCTTCCGGAAGCAATCATAGCTCCCTGGTTCTGTATAAGAAGTTTGACGCGTTCAATGGGAGCGGCTGCGGTCTTTGATATAGCAGCTGCAGTACCTCCCATCATGAAGTCGACTGATTAACTGAGTCAGTGAGGGCGTAGACATTAATATTTCTATGAAAGGCATACCAAAGAAAGTAGTGGCGTCGGTGGGTTTTGTAGTAGTCATTTTGACGGAAACACTTATTAGTGAAGAGGAAGAACAGTGGAAACACTGGTGAGCATTTCGTTAGCTCTATGGCGCGCTCTTATAGCTCAAGGCTGAAAGAAAGATCCGGAGAGTACGGAGAGTGGTGCACTATGCATATGCTCCACTCCAAGAGGGCAGTGCTCAGGCCAACGTCCTATTCCGTATTCGTCCGAGCTCGTTATATTTACCTTTTCAGATGAAAGTAACTTGTCTGTCGCTTACCAGTTTACAGTCGTATTGAGAGGCACTGAGTTCATGTGATAAGCTTGACAGCAAGCGAAGCCTCCAGATTGCTGCCAACTCGACATCTGCAGACTGCCATGATCTTGTGCTTGGCCAGTTAGAACCAGCGGTTCAGTCAAAATGGCATAAATTCAGCATAAACGCGAACCGCAGCAACAAGTCATTGTGTATTACCAACTCCTGGTAGCTTTTACGGACATCAATCGTTTAAACAGACGTTCAAACACCTGAAGTTCATTAGAGGACCACCGAGAGTTGATGATAATCGCAAAGTATACCAATGATTCAGCCACGTAATTCAAGTGTTGAAATCAGTTGTCGGCCAAGACTTCAAGCTTGCACGGTAGACTCGATTCTTCTACTATAACGGTTGTTTGATAAGACGCAAAGGATGATGCTAAAAGACACGTTGAAAACAGTATCTCCAGTGTCCACCTGTTGTGTGATCAAATCGATCATGGTTTGCTGCAATCACGCAACAGGCGAATACCGGAGTCGCCTGGATCCGACGGGGCATCACGATGCACTTCGGCCGAAGCTGCAGAGGCGGAAGAGGCGGAAGACGAAGTCACACACACAGGACTTGAAGGCCGTGGGGGAAATCTGGGAAGATGGTACCGAAGAATGTGATCCAAGTTGTGTACTAGAGGGTAATAAAGAGTCTGAAGGATGAGAGCAAGGCTCCGGCAGTTGCCGCCTCTCTTCGCTGACCAGTCTATCATGCTTTACATTATCATGATTTATAACTGGAGAAATTTGTACTTAGCTCATATCATGGATCCTGCCTTTGACTTTATCCTTGTCGAGAAGCGCTTCCGAGCCGTTACGACTGTTTTGCGAAACATAGGTCATCGTCGTGATCCGTTGTCTGATCTCCAAGAAGTCCCTTCCACCTTGCGCCACATCGTTAACCTTCTCACCTCCGGTGACATTTTCAGTCTTGGTCTTGAAGCAAAGAAAGCTATTGCGGTCAACTCCTGCCACAAACAATCCTCCAGCATCCGAAGAACCTTGATATCCGCTCCAACGCGAGGAGGACTCCACGGATACACCGCGCCATTTGAGCCCGGGAATTTGAACCACATGCCGTCAAATGCCAGGAGTGAGCGAAGCTCTTGACAGCACCAGCAACACTTTCTTCCTACTGCAATGATATTCTCGGCGTTGCCTGACGATCTGGTTAGTAAGTGTCAGCTCAGGCAAATGTTGATCATAAGGCTTGCCGGTTCGAGTAACTGGTCCAGAGCTGCAACATGATGATCTTGAAGGGATATCTCAAAGGCCACGCGTCTCGAAGAAGTAGAGAAGTACGTGAGGAGGCCCATCAATGTTGCCTCTGTGCGAATGGTGCCGGGGAAGGTTCGTGGAAAATAGGGTTTCAGAAGTGAATTAACTCGACCTTTGGAGGTTTCACTGGGGTGACTTGAATATTGCTTAAGATATGCTTCGCAGATGTCATTCAGGTTGGCGATGTCAAGACTGGTATGAGGAATTTCGAGGCAAGTTCACCACGAGTGATTTTGGAATATTTCGGTGATATCAGCGACTCTATAGCTGCATGCCACGCACGGATGGCCCTCAAGTGCCGTAAGACACGGCTTCCGCCAGACTCGCGAGGTTCAGGTTCTAAGTCATCGGACTCGTCTGAATTATATACGTCTATATTAAAATTCAATAGTAGTGCGGTACCATGACGAATGAGCAACTTACCTTCATCCCCACCGTCCTGGCCACCTGAGGTGGTTATTATATTTGACCACAAAGCAGGTCTTTACGACCCCAGCGCTCCAATAGACGTAGCGATACAGCCCGGCACAATGATCTGTGACTCTGTCGATTGCCCTCTTGAATTCCTCCCCGTATTCCCCTCCTCCATTTTCTCGGTCAGCTTCGCATATGACTCCAGTCTCAGGATGACGTCGCCGAGGAGCCAAGCCTAAAGGTGTACTGTGTTGCTGGAAAATTCCAACTGGGTGACTTCCTGGTCTGGTGGTCTTTGAGGGAAACGTCGTTGCTATGAATGATGAGTAGTGGTATAACTTCAAGTGGTCAATATTCGCACCTGTTCATGATGATTTTTGAGATCTCGTTACTTCCTCCAACTTTGACTCAGTTAAGGGAGAATGGGGATAGAGATTTTGGGTGACCACCAATATCTGGGGCCTCTCGTTAACCCCATCGGGGACGATTGCGCCTGTCGCTGCAATAGCTTTCTTCGTTTCAGGACTGAAAACGTCGCAGGGGGTGAGAAGGTTAACGAAGTGGCGCAAGAAGGGACTTCTTGGCGATCAAACGACGTATCACGACGATGACCCATGTTTCGCAAAATGGTTGTAACCGCTCGAACGCGCCTCTCGACAAGGGCAAAGTCAGAGGGAGGATCCATGATATGATCTAAGAATTAGTAAGAGTAATAGACAAGACGGGATTCAAGCGCCATCACATACTTATATATTCGTATATATACTCCAACGAAAATGAGTCATATCTCTGAAAAAAGCTGCTCGAAATTTAAACAAACGAACGTATGCGACGGAAAGAGAACGAAAAGAAAAATATGTGTATGAAAGAAGAGATGCGATGGGGTGTTGCATGCAGAGTACAAATGCGATGATATGTGTACATCCGCGAAACAAAAACTTCGAGGCGGCATAATGTTTATGTTACTAGTGGCGAGTGCTTGTGGCGATATTGATGATGAAAATGATGGCGTCCACGTCCCTGCATATTTGCAGAGCCTGTTGATAATGAGGACCGTTAAATAGCGCGATAATTTTTAGGAAGACGTACCGGAACTCAATAATGTGTTACCTATAGTTCCATGATCGCTGGAAGCTAAGCTACCACGCAGTATGAGCCGCCGCTGCTGCTACCAGATTCCTCATCCATAGGCACCGAAGCAATACTAGGTGTTGATTCCTGAACTTGAGAGTTCGTGAAGAACGCAGTAAGAGGAGTGAAGGCATCCATTTGTTACGAAGAGAGGATGGCTTTTGAATAAAGTTTCAAGGTAATAAGGCGCAATTGCTCTGAAGCTACAGGTCGAAGAAGGGCGACTGAACCTAGAGAAAAAGAGCAAATAATCACGACATTTTATACATTCGCAGCGGTCCACGACATGGGCAAAGCAAAGTTTCGCGTAAGTATAGGTACAACCTAGTTCACCGGAAGCGTGTGGAGAAGGTCCGGTCTAATTGTCTTAGCCGCGTCTGTAGTGCATTTCAAGGGTACGACAGGATAAAACAGCTTAGGCGGTCGAAGCGCTAGCGTGTCTGCGAGCCTATCATCGCAAAGACAATAAGAATCATTTGAAGGGGGATGGTGGCTTGGAAAATGGAAGGATCCGATGATGAGGTCGATGTATTGACAATAAGCTGAGTGGTCCGAAAAAGGAAGTGGAACGCCAACGCGAAACAAAAAGCATGACGAAACTTTATGTAACTCGCCTAGCACACACCATGGTCCAGACGGTCCACAGGTACGACTACGATGCTCTACGACGTCGGACAACCTGGAGATCCAGTAGTCCTTATCCCGATGCTGCGGATGCACAATGTACCCGTAACATTGTGACTCTTCAGCATCACGGTCAAAGGAACGAGGTACTAGGTGACCTGAGGCCTATAGTAAGCACGGGCATATTCACTGTTCCAGGCTGAAATGACTGTAATTTGCTCCAATTTCGGTGCGTCGCTCCACCTGTCATCGGGCCCTAAACTTCATAGTTCAGAGACCGGTAGATAGCAGCTGCTGTCTGCAAGGTCTTGTTAACAAGTTCCTTAAAAACAATAAGACAGAGAAAACGACATGTCGTCATCCTAACTTGGACGAACCTACGAATGTTTATCCCTTTCACACTTCTGGTCGAGGGATTCTGCATTCTAGGGTTATCATGGTGCCTTCAGTAGCTTGTGAGGTGAGTGGTCAATCATAGATTCGTAGTGTATCAATCTAGCACCCAAGAAGTTTCGAAGTTCCTTGCATTTGTCAGTGCGTTTAATCTCAACGCATCATCTGCCCTAAATTACTAGCATTTGAACCTTCATCGGCTTCCGGTACCGGTTCGTCATTGATTTAAGTGCGTCAAATAAATCAAACATGTCGTGTATGATACTATGAAATGTCTCGACAATGCAGACACAGAAAACAATAAGTAAAGGAGATCCGATGAGCTCTAATTATTTGCCAATTAAGTTACGTTGTGGGAGAATTCCGCCGCCACTCGGTACCCAGTCACTCCAGTTCTTCATCGAATCTGCTTTCCACTGGCGCAGGACCAGCGTCACTACTCTTGGGTATAGAGACACGTTCCTCGTGCTCACTAGGAGCTTGGCCCTCGGCATCAGATACATATCCACTGTGAGGAGGTCGTCCTTCAGGTGCCTTCTCCTGCTGACGCTTGCTTGGGCGTGACGAAGCCGTGCCATCATCATGGCTTATCGACGACGCTCGCTTTTCTGGCTGAGCAGAAAAATAATCAGTGGATATATCAACAAATAAATCAAGACACTTACCGCGTAACCATTCTGACGAGCTCCGGTGAAAGAACTATTGGCAGGTTTGGTGTAAGAAGGTGGAGCCTTATTCTCGTCGTCATTATCGACGACAGCATCTTGATACAGGTCCTCATCCTCGTCTTCCTGTTCCTCTTCTTCAATGCTAGACCCATCCTCCTCCTCCTCGTCCTCTTCTTCACTGACATACCCAGCGGAACGGACAGCTGCCTCGACTGGACCCCCGCGGTCCATTTGCTCGCTAGCGACGAGATAACGGGCGCATAGCATTCTGACATCATTCCACCACTCCATCATATCCTCATGACTACGAGAACGGAATGACCAGGCATGCTGGCCACCCGTCATGGGCAATTTGAAGGAGCCATGTTTAGTGGTACCTGTGCCATCTTTGCGACCCTCGATGTGGAATTTGTGAGACTTTGAAGACGGTGTTGAAGGAGGACCAAGCGTGCACGCCGGAAGGAATAATGAGAATATGGGTGTTTGACTGCCTGTTTGAGATGGGTCAGATGTCGCAAACTCGTGCAAGAATCCTGCAGGGGTGAGGACATAATAAGCCTCGCGATAGGTCCTTGTAAACCTCTTCTTGCGGTCGAGATGTCCAGTATGCACGGCTATGACAGAGGTATCTTCTTTGGAAGGGTACTGAATTGTTTCTGGATTTCGCAGAGGGGTCTCGGGATCGAGAAGATGATCAGATCTGGCTGAAAATGATATCCACTCTCGGTCGGGCGTAAGTGAGACCATGTTCCGACCCATGGTGTGCCACGTATCCTGCACTGAATCGGTCATTCGAGATCGCCACTCATCATAGGTTTGCCACGCCGACTGAATGGCGCGCACTATTCCTTCCTCGAAGTGGGCAGAATTCTGTTGCATGATGATGATGGACTTCTGAAGAGCATTTTCCTCGTGTACCTGCTTCTGTAATTGTCTCATGACCGCTATATTGGCAACATAACTAAGACGCGTCAAAGGGGCATTTCATCACATAAAACCTTGAAGTACTCACGGGTCGCTCTTATTGGTCACGGTCATCGGGGTATTCTTAAAAATGCTGACGCTCGTTGCCAGTTCGCTGATCATTCGTCCGGAGAGCTCGCGTTCTTTGGCAACGCTAGTAGCCAATTTGCCGGTGTCGTTTTGAACATTCTGGCCGGACTTAAGTTGTGATACGTACACTATTTAAACAGAGTACCCACCTTTATGTGGGCTTTAATTTCTGCGTGTAGTTTCTGTAGATGTTGCACGATGGAGCTATCAACGGTTCTACCCAAGTTTGCATGCTGGTCTGCGATGAGGCGCGTTTTGTCGCGAATGCCATAGTATACATCCTGACGCGCGGTCTTAAAAAAAATAGCAGAGCTACCACAGGTCTCCATACCTGCAGGCCACCTTCGCCCAGAAATTGGTTTCCTGAGCGGAAGGGTACTTGGATGACTGCGCCAAGCTTTGTGTATTCCTTGGCGATATTGTTCTCGATATCGGCGATTCCTTCAAAGTAACTGATGAGCTGCTTCACAATAGCTTTCCAGGAGACGAATCGCTCGATAAGAATATCGGATGGGCGTAAATCCTGCGGGGCAACATTTTTCTTGATGAGCGACTGGTTACGCGACGCTGTCGAGCCGTGTTTGCTAGCACGCGAGATAGAGGTCGCGCGGGATATAGTTGTAGCCTCGTGGTTAGACATTGGGTTTACTCGAGAAGAGGGATTTAACTGGGAGCCTCGCCGAGTTGGGCTGCTTTATTGTTCAGTTTATCGTGGAGTCGACGTCATACACTAAACCTTTTGGGAAGTGTGTTACTGTGTCACAACGCAGCATTGGGTGTCACATAATGTCATCACGCTGCTTTCCAAGCCTTCCTCTTAGACTCACTCTTATTTTTTTCGGAGAGACTACGTGGTCAACGTCAAAATGAACTCCGGAGTACAGAACATTGTGATTTCTCTGGGTGCAATGCAGGGTGAGCTGACATACGCTCAGTTCGGAGACTTTGCTAACTTTTGTGAAACTTCTGTGACGTGTTCTTAGTTGCCCGTCGAATCCCATTCGATGACCCGGAGGTTCTCAACTATGTTCGCATAGGTTATGTTGCAAGTCAAGTCATCATTATGGGCGTGTACTTCTATGTTTCCTACAAGGTCAGCACCACGTTTTAGAACACATACATGGTATCTGAATACGTGTGCCAATACAGATTAGGCAGAAGAACGACCAGACGGTCTTGAAATATGGTTAGTCTCCGTCTTTGGTTTTTCTTACTCTCTCTCAATTACCCTCTGTACAGTTGATGGTCAAAATCCCATGGTAATATCTCATACATGTAACAAGCAATACGATGGGCTTACATGGTTTAGTCACCCGACTCGGGAGGACTCGTAACCACGACGGTCCGCGACTATGACCTGTCCGAAACGTCAAAACTTGTGCGTCAACTTCTATAACAACATGAATTTTGAATTTATTCTGCGACGTATAGCTTCGTGCTGCGTACTTTGGTGTCGCCATGATGGGCTTCTTCCATATCTACATGAAGTACACCCAGCCTCTCTTTATTCAAGCCCTTATGGGTTTGAAGAATCTGTACGATGCAAAGCCTGTTGCTATCCACCTCCTTGGCAAGGCTGCGGAGGGCGACCTCAAGAGACCGTTCAAGACTGCATCGATGTTCGGAGGTACGTAGATTTATCTATGTGCCTGTCGTGTTACTCAATTGTTATGTTCTTAGCTGCAGCTGGTCCGCAAACAGACGCAGCAACGATTGCAGAAGCAGAAAAGAAGATTGGTGCAAAGAAGGAGGATTAGTGAATCTATACTTTACACTCTCTGGCTGCTCTACATGGCTTGCATATCTATCTCATCCATGACATGTCAATTTGGTGCAATATACACCCACCATCTGTCATGAAAATTCGAAGGACGAGAAACGGCGGCAGCATAGGACATATTGGAGCGTGCATGAAATGTCTATGCAGTGTAATCAGTGCGGAACACGATGACATGCTTTCACTGATAAATAATGATGTCTACTGGAGGTTGTATCCGACAAGGCTTCTCCGTCCGACAATCTCCCCAATCTGTCAACAAGTCAATAACCGGAGTACCACACGCCAGTGTCAAACCAACCTTGAAGATACCGTATGCTTCCACGGCATATATGCCGACCTTGGCCCACTCTCCGGAGCTGAGTATCCCTCGCCAGTACGCCGGGCTGCTAGCACGACTCCATAGCGTTGAGTATGCGCTTCTCACCACGGCAAGATCGGTGGGAGGTTGCAAACGCTCCGCCACGTAGACCTGCTTCAACAATTCGCGAGCTACAGACAAGTTATACATCACAGGTTGGCGGTATGCTGAACTGCAATTAATATCTGCGAAGAGCGAAGTATCCAAGATGACGTACATCCAAGCATGGTTCCAGCGCGCTCGCCGAGGGGACCAAGGAACTTTTTTGAGCTCTCCCAAAGCTTTTCTGCAGCCTTTTGTGCGGACCCGAACGCGTCCTGCGCTTTCTTCTGTGCTGTCTCCGCATTTGAACTTGCAAAGCGTGAAGACTGGTTTGGTAAACGACGGGGACGAGCAGCCTGTCTGAAGGCAGATGTGGAGACTGCAGACCGCATCTTAGGTGTGTCCGAGCAGATTAACCAGAGAAAGGAATGTAAGTAACGACGCGGAGACAAACGATGAGGAAATAAAGAGGGTGGGAATTTTTGTACAACTACCCTTTCCCGGATATGTCCGACGCGCGAGTCTCCTGGAACCTAGCAGACCACCCACCTCAGTGGCCTAAGTTCCGCTCGGTTTTCCAGCAGGTAAGGCTAGTGCTCTCTACAAGAAGTTTCGTGCTAATCGTGCAGACCCCCCATGTAATAGGAACATTGCTGCAATTTTGCCTTATAACCGGAACACTTGAAACTTGAAGCTTTACTAAATAATCCTAAAATCGGTGGTGTTCGTTTCTTACTTTTGAAGCTATCCATTTACGCAATGAATTTGGTCCCAACCATTTGTATCCTGCCTGTCGTCAAATCGCTACTTGTCATGCAGCACCTTTCGGTGGGTCACTCTACATGTTTACGCGCATAATCGAAACGATACCGCTGGCTGGCAACTCCTGGTCCAGTGTTTCAGGTGGCGCGCCTCGTTATTCTTCTGCAATGTGTTAGACCATCCTGAACTCTTGTTTAAAATGCAACAGTGCGAAGCATTGTTATGATATTTGCTATTGGCATGGTGGCAAGCCCTTATCGTGTGTCTTGTTTCTGAATAGCTTTCAAATCATATTCGAAAGGTCCATGTATCTGAAATGCAAGCCTGAACAGAGATTGAGAATCTCCACTTTTCGTTGTGGTTCATGTCTTGGCTGCTGTGCTGCAACCAGGCGAAGGTTAGTCTGTCATCACCTCCGTCCCTTAGGCGGTGCCTCCTAAAATACTTTTCGCCTACAGAGCAAACCTGAATGCCGTCGCATGAGGACATGGTAGCTCGTCGAATAGATCAATAGTGTTGATGAACAGTAGGCGTTATGTATCTATGCGACAAGCTACCACATTATTTTCTGAACCCCAAAATGTGAGGTGCGTGCAGTATATTCATAACTATAGCTCATAGTCACCGGCAACTCCGAACAGATCTCAAGATTGAGGTTAGTGCAGGTCTCGTATTAGTGCCCCTTTCAGTCCAGCTTCTTCGTGGTCTCTCACGAATATTCCGCTGATTCCGTACCATCTCGAATGATGACGCTCCAGCCAAATGTAGTATGTTATGTTGCTTCTTCCTCCCGCAATAGTATACGATATTTGATCTTCTACCAATGTCTAACTTCGTGCCAACGGCATCTGCTGTGATTCTCTATATGAGGATACATTGAGAGGCATGTTGTAGGTCATCATGTCATCATGACAGTCACGGTCCACGGAAGAATAGTCCCGCTGATTCTGTATATCGGCGGCGGCGGCACCAGTGAAAGAGTTAGGTTTGATGTGGCCGGTCACGTCAGTTGCTCCGTAGAACATGACTGTGCGTACTCGTTCCTGGTCATTTCAATATGACATTCCCTGCTCCAGATAACAACTCGTTTGTCAAAATGAATATCGTTTGATCTCCGCGGCCCACGAGAGTGTGAACAGATGAGCCATATCGTTGGTCGCTTGGGGTCCCATCATGATGTACAAAAAGTTTAATGCGTCTCATTGTAAGTATTAAAGGAGTACAAGTGTTGCGCCGACTTACTGGCTGCATCACGTATGGCAGGCGAGCAGAATTCCAGGTTTCGGGCTGTTGCGGTGACCGACTGCAAGTTAGGAGCCGAACTTCATGACACTACTTGAAGGCAGCCCAATAGTCTATACAGGTCGTGTCTGAATCCCCCTTTGATTCTTGAATTCTTGCGTAGTCGAATGAATCCATACAAGGAATGGCACTACATTTGATGACGTGGCGCCTGACCGGATTCTGTTTGGAACATGCATCCTCAATCATTCGGGCATAGGACCTCAAGGTTCCGATTCCTTCAAATCCGGTTCGGTGCGGCAGATAACGTCAAAGCCCGGCGCAGCCCTATATCCCCTTTGAGTGGTTATGTGACTCCTTGTGCGATCCCCCGCGCGACCTTTCTGCAGGACAGAGTTACGAGAGTCTTCTGATGCCGATACTATGTATCCGATCTTGCAAGAGGCTTCATGGAGAGATGAACAGAATGCAACTTCTGTCATGCTGTTTTGATGCGCTCATAGATGAGGCTCATTGATTCAGACGAATGCGCGGACGCTGCGGAGCTTTAGCGACATCCGTACCATATATGTATACCTGCAATCCTCGGCAACTTGACGACGCCCAGAAAAAAGTATTGTCTGGCTGACTTTATGACCAATGTACCTGAACGCATGGTAACCTTCAAGTTGAACAGTCAAGAAAACACGATCGCCAGCGTCTGGACGTATACCATCTGAATGTGGCATCCCGATGTAGACTTCCCTAGCCAGACCCAATAGAAGGAAGATAGTCGTTCCTTCTAATAAGGTTACAGAAGATTGTTTTACCACCATAGGCAAGAATTGAGGACTGCGACTGACCCACCAGGAGTTCGGGTACAAATTTCTATGATGCGTTTGTGCCAATCCCTGATGACGGATGTCAGGTGGCTTCTTGCTGCATGTGAAATGTATCAGGGAGAGCTACCGTCGGACATCAAGTGACCAACCCACCATCATTTAAGTGTACTGTGCACCCCTTCAGACCTCTCCAGATCTGTGCATAGTACTTACTTTGTCGCAAGAACACCCCGCAATTATTCTATGATATAATGGCGCCTTCATGGAGCCTATTGCTCTCCAAACAGCCTGAGCACGTGCTAGGCAATCATGTCATCTAGTACTCCATCCGTCACTCACTGGCGCCGAATTAGGTACAAATCCATCCCACTGACTGTCAGTGATGCAAAAAGAAGACACTCCAAGTCAAGCGAAAAAATGTATCCCATAGACGCATGTATGGGGAGGATTCCATTTAAGAGTTTCAGAACTGGAATCGGAACTTTGATGAGACAAGAAAGTTGCCTCTTGATGCAGCTCTCGCCACAAATGGTCCCCCAGCATCTGAAGAACCTTGACGTCCACTCCAACGCGAGGGGGAAAATCCATGGATAGGTGAGACCATTTAAGCCCGGGAATTTGAACTGCATACTGTCAACTGCCAAGAGCGAGCGCAGACGGCAACAGCACCAGCAACACTTTTTTCCTACTGCGATGTTCTCGGCAGTTGCCTGACGATCCGTGTGGTAGGTCAGTTCATGCGAACATTAATTATATGGCTTTCCGGTTCGAGTATCTTGCCCAGAGCTGGAATTACCGGAACATGATCATCTTGAAGGGTCATCTCAAAGCCACACGTCTCGAAGCAGTAGAGAAGTATGTGAGAAGGCCAATTACTGTAATTTCTGCATGAACAGTGCTAGGGAAGGGGTTTCAGAAGTGATTTGACTCGACCTCTGTTGGCTGCAAAACGATATGAATATTGCTTGGAAAATCCTTCGCAGATATTATCCAAGCTGGCGATATCAGAACTGGGATGGGATTTTTAAGCAAACCAAGGGTAGATTTACCACAGGTGGTTTCGATGATGAAAGCAATATAACTGTAGCGTTTCGACCTTGGGTTCGTGACATGTCACATGGGATGATGAACTGAACCTGTTTTCCGTACCATGCAAGGATAACCTTCGAGCACCGCAAGACTCGATTTCCATCAGACTCGCGAGGTTCGGGTTCCAAGCCATCGGACTCGTCTGAATCACATATATCTATAATACAAATTCAGTAGTGTGGTAGCATGACAAAGTGAGCAACCCACCTTCATTATCACCATACCGGTGACCTGAGGCGGGCATCACATTTGACGACGAATATACAAGAATAGAATAGCAGTGTCTGTAGGGAATGGCAGCTTGAATTTTGAGGCGAGCCTTATCTTTGTCAAAAGGATCTAACACAAGCCAGCTATACAGCGCGGCACAATAATCTGCAATATTGACGATGGCCGTCTTGAATCCCCGCATATTCTTCATCATCTCCATTCTCTAGGCCTCCGCCGCATAAGACTCCCATGTGAGGAGCCAAGCCTAGAATTGTACTGTCTTGCTGGAAAACTCCATTTGGATGACTTGATTGTCTTCGGACCTTGCTTGTGCATCAGCACACCTTCGTCAGGTAGAGCAATTCCAACCAATAGGGAGCATCAAGCCAAACATCTCGGAGCTCATTGGCCGCCGGAGTCATGTCACACATTGGGCCATGTCTCCTGGTCAAATACGCGCGAACAGTCTCCGACGACAGTAAGTCACGATGAATCTGGAGATTGTATCGCAGTTATCACTGGAATGCTCGTAGGATGTCTCTCCGTAGTCAGACCATATAGAAAGAAGGCGGCCATTCCTTCTTTGTTATGGTAGGATGCAAGGGCAGTCCGATCAACGAAGTGCCATCATATCTTACCATAATAAGGAGTTCTTTAAGGGAGACGTCGTCGTTGCTAAGAATGATAGAGAGTGGTAAGCTTGGTCAATATTGAATATTCGCACCTGTTCACGCTTCCTTGAAATTTTTTCCAACTGCCGCCTTCATTAATCTTCTCACCCCGTGATGTCTTCAGCGAAGAAAGTTTTTGCGGTGACAGACGCGATGGGGTTAACGAGAGGCTCCGGATAAGTATTAGCAGTTGCCAGTCACCCAAAATCTCAATCCCCGTTCTCCCGCGATGATGGTCCATGTTTCGCAAAATGGTCGACAGGGCCCTGATAAGCTTGACAGGGGGAAATTCCAAGGGAGAATCCATGAGATGAGACTGATGAGGGGAAGCCTGAAGCCTCGGCAATTGCCGGAATGATACACAGTTCGTCAAACATCACAGTTCCGGCAGAAAAAACATCGTAGTCCCTGTTCAGGCGATATCGCAAGCATCAGTCCAGCGGCAACCCAGCAGTCCCACATTCACGGGTTTGATGTTAGCTGCTAACCTTCAGAATATTTTGTACCTCATACAACCAAGTTCTGTCGAAGAATCAGGTTTGCAGTGCATGCTTGAAATCTAAGCCAACAACTGATTTCATCACTAGAATGGCGTGGCCGAATCACTGGTATGCTTTGACACTGCTATCAACTCTCAGTGGTTCCCCAACGAATCTTAGTTTGTTTTAAATGATTGGAATCTGTAGGAACCGCAGGAGTGTCAGTGGATAATCCCCTCGAAAACACAATGTTTGATATTTGTAGGAACCATTGAAATGGACCAGTTAGTGTTGCCGCGCTGTCCTTTGGAAATATCCTCTTCTCTATCCCACTGTGTGGTATGCATCTGGATGTCTCGACTTCGTTGTAGCGATCGATTGTATCTGTCAGCCATGGTAAACGCCACTATTGAAAATTTACCTGTGAGTTACTGGATACGCAGAAAGATATTGCTCACTTCATACTATTTTTTCTGGGACCAGCCTTCAAGTGAGCGGAGCCAAACTATTCCGGTGTAGGTACTCTTTTGCGCAGGGTGTATGAAAATCTGATGGTTTCAAGGCGTTCCTCTAGCGTACATAGTTGGCTCGCGCTTTTATTTTTTCTTAGGAATGCAGGAGAAGCGTCGCAGCACGCAGAATTCGTGGCATTGCCACTATGCTCGGATATGCCGTTCCACTCCATCGACATTCCTCAGGCACCTCTCCAGCCCCTCAGTCACCTCTTCAGTACGTCACCATGATAACAAGATACACGTTGCTAACATCACTCGAGCTAGCTGCTTGCCGTCCTACCAATCTAGAGCATGCATTTCGATGTGTTCGGAATTAGGACAAACTTTCACAAAGCAATATGCCCAGTTTACTCCCTGAATCATTGGAAAGATGGCCTTCCCGCGAGTCATCTCGTCTGCGAAGAGCGCCCCCCTCCTGTGCCGCGCTCGCGCTTTCGCTGCGTCTAATAGTTTCTGAATGTGTATTGATGTGGTAGGTTTCCTTAAGCTGCGAGTGGGAAAACAGTGATCATGTAGATGCACATGATTCTCGCGCTTAACAGAAATTGCAATACTTACCCCGTCGATACATACATGTACTACTCGGTAGGAAAGTCACATACCTCCATGTGCATACACTGATCCGACCCTAGCGGTGCCACGTCACTTTCCGAACGGTAGCCCTGAGGTTCGGCATTTCCTTCCATTTGAATATGAAAAACTTGAGGTAAGAATTCTGCCTGATTCTCCACGCACGTTTCATATACAACTTTCATATTCACATAATTTGAAGGATTTTTGATTGATCAAAGTATTAGTAACTGATGCGAGCTAGTGCCAGACGCTGAGCTTCTTTGAAAGCACATGTACATGTTTATAAAAAACCGGTTGCGGTTCCTGTGCTCTTCTGATGCATTCGATGATGCCAAATTTCATCTCAGGAAATAGATACTCCGCGCGCGTCCGAGTCCGAGGTGTAACCTTATCTCTCGTGCTTTTGTTTCGGACTGGGTGCGTTAGATAATTAGGCGCTCGGGCGATGTATACGTCGATCAGGGATGTGTTGGGGAAGTACTATTGATATTGTTGCCTGCGATTTTGCCTCAAGGGCCTCGGCTGGGGCTTTATTGCAACAGGTCCATGTTATCTCCATTGCACGGGTGTAAAACATCAAGACACGGCCTGGCCTCATGTTTCGGCCAAAAAATATACCATTATTGATTCTAGGATGAATACTTTCTGCTCAATGTACATGGAGATGGAAGGCCCCGACAAACACAAACAGCCCTCCAAATACCAAATACTACATGAATACACCTACCTTGACTGCCCACATGATGTTTTTCCGGTACTCCTGTATGCGCTTTCGTGTACAAACTGATGTGATTTAGTCACATAACACCTCTCTGTCGAGTAATCACTCACCGCAACGCGGGATCCAAGGGATCAGGGAATCCCACAGGCGTGACTTGAAGTGTTCGTCAGAGCGCATGCCGACGTACTCAAACCATGAAGGGTAAAATCCAGACCATTCCAGGTCCAACATATACACGGTACCGTCGCGCACCAAGTCCTGGTGCGTGAAGACAAGTGGTCACGAGATATCGAAACGAGGGGCATCGACGGGCGCGTGTTTCATCCGCTGAGACGCATCCAACTTGTGGTTGAGCCATTCCGTCATCTCGTCATAGGAAGCGAACGAACCTGCGCCGAGGTCGGTAAAGAGTAGTTCTATGCACACCACGCCATCGAGAGTTCCTGGAACAGACCTCCGGAGACGGTGAAGCTGACCGATGTGACCACGCAGTGTCCAAGCGATGCGAAGTTTCGAGAGGAGGGTAAGGCGATCCAGCAGCTGGCTAGTGTCTTACCATCGATATACTCCATAAATATGTAGGTATTGGAGGAGGCGTTCAGGACGACTTGTCGCACCTCAGGAACAGGGATAGTTATCATCGTCCGAAGGATGAGCGCCTCCGTGATGACTTCGTGGGAATACAGGTGCATTTTGTGCACACTGATCCAAGGTATCTGAGTAGATGGCATCTGTCTTATCGTCTTATCTGATCCCATGACCGCCCTACCATTGCGGCGAGTTCCTGAAACTTAGGCGATTCAATTTCGAGGGCAGTGGGATGCAGAGAATAACACCGCAGGGTTACTCAGATGACTGACTCAGGACAAGCGGTTCGCACGAAAACAGGTAACTGTGGTTTCGCTCCATCAACATCGAAAGGAGACGACGAAAAAGTATCGTTGGTATGGGAAATCCAGCAGAACCATCTGCGGTAGGAAATTTGATGTGCTGAACGAAGTGACGGGTTAAAATGTAGTAACAACGCGGCAGGCTTGGTAGTCGGTGCAACTGGCTGAGAATGAGATATCCAGGCTATGGTGCTTCATGCACAGGGTAAAAAAATAACCTAGAGCGCTTGAGCTGAGTCAGACTAAAGTCTTATCTTTCTATTATAGCGTGTGATACTCCGCAACCTGTGTCTCCCTAATGTAATACTAATTCATAAATCACAGGCTAGGTCGAACATTGACAGACTAGCTGAAGCTGCGGGTTCCACCTAAACCACTTTCCATCATGTCTGAATCAGTTCTAACGCACGCTCGTTATGGCAAAGACCTCATTCGCGTCTTTCGCGTAGTCCGGGATGGCGAGTTTCACCAGGTCGTGGAATACAATGTGACGATACTCATCGAGGGTGATCTCGAGACCAGGTCAGTGACGCACAAGTCTGTCATGTCTTCCGCCGTTTCTGATAGTCGGGGGTGCAGTTACACAGTCGCAGACAACTCTGTCGTTGTCGCCACCGACTCTTGTATGTACATTTTCTCGACAATCCTGCTGAAACTCGCTGAATGACGTGTACCATAGTAAAGAACATTACTTATTGTACGTGCACTCGTGGTGGAGGAGATAAAAGCTAACCGAGGACAATTCGGTGATTAGATCTTGCCAAGACTTCACCCCACATCCTCAGCCCGGAACGGTTTGCATTGCATCTGGGAACTCATATCGTTTCCAAGTATGCCCACATAAACCATGCGCTCGTCACATTGGAGAAGTTGCGCTGGTCCCGTATCGCCTTGAGTGCAAATGACCACCCGCACCCCCATTCGTTTGTTCGGGACGGGAACGACAAACAGACGGTCGAGGTCGAGGTACGAATTTAAATTTATACCCTCCATGCTTCTCGGATTCAAACTTCGTGGGTGGAGCCAAACTGGTCGCTGAGGTGGAGCGTTTCCTTGCCATCAGCCGCCAAGATGCGGCAACTTCGGGTGGTCGAGCCACTCGCCCCCTACTTCCGCTTCTTTTAGCTCTCTGTTTCTGAAAGGTATATATAGGGCTCATCAAAATCCTTGTCTGTTTTTCCCCCCAGGTCGATGCCTCAGCTGGCAAGGACAAGCTCTCAGCTAAAGTAACTTCGGGAATTACCGATCTCCTAGGTTAGCTTATCATTGCACTCTGGAGCCTACGTTTACAGATTTCCGCTTATTCTAGTGCTCAAGTCGGGTGGCTCTGCATTTCACGGATATATTCGTGATGAGTACACTACGCTGATGGAAGTGGATGACCGTATTCTGTCAACCTCCGTGGACCTAGCTTATACCTTCGCGCCCTTATCGCTCAGCTCACCTAGTGATGTAAAGAAGCTCGATTTCATTGTCCAAGAAGGTTTCGCACCCGGTAGCGTTTGGGATGCGGATAATGTTGCGATACGGGCGAGGAATGCAACGCTCGATATCTTTGCCCTCGATGCCAGCGCTAGTGTGCAAGTGCGTCATAGGCTTCTATCCCCGTGTTGTGCACGTTGCTGATCGATCAATGAATTTCATGACAGGCAACGTTGTTTAAGATGGGGCAACGCGTCATCGCGGAAAACGCGGGCGTTGACTCCGTCACGTACAAGCTGCCAAACAAGCACTATATCCCAATTGATATGAAGTATATCGGGGTGGAATAACACTACGCCGTTGAGTATCATTCAGTTTTTTTCCTTTCAACCCCCGTTGCGTTTCTTTTGTTGCTTCTTGACATCGCTTGGGCGAAATCGGCTTTGCCTTTGTCGCCTGAGGATGGGGCCAGTGATCGCAACTGCGATCGCGAGAACCAATCGTTTAATCTTGTTGTTACCTCGGGTTCGCAGGCCATCATGATCGAAGCGTGGTGCTGTCTCCCGAGATGCTCGTATGACGCGTCAAGGGAGTTTCTAATTAAGGGGATCTTGGCATCAGGTCCCCTGGCATTTCAAGAATGCCGGCAGAGTCTGACGAGAAAGCGAACCTCAATGTTGGGCGTGAGATCATCATCGCGAATTGTAAAGTTGTTCGCATTGTTCCTGTCGCGGCGATCCGGGGGCTTTGAATAACAGGGCCAGGACAACGAGGGTGATGCTCACGCTCAAAACAATGCTTTTTCATGACGCCTGCCTTCTCCGGAACCTATTACCGGACGCCCGGCGGTGATCTGCTATTCATGTTTATAGTCCTATGACGACTGGAATGCAGGGAGATTTACTGATTAAATGTACGGTGATAGGGCGAACGCTGAAGTGTTCGTGCCCGTCTCCGCACCAAGGTGACAGACACGTTTTGTAGGAGTGTTTTGATGAAACTGACGTCACTTGTGCGTGTTTTGCAGTGGACTGATCTCCGCCACGATCTCCCGTAAATAGATATTCCGCAAATAGGTGTCATCAAATGGCGTCACACGCTAAATTGCCAGCTATTGTCTTGACGACGGCACGGCAATTGTGTTGGTTTATTTTTTTGTTTTATTTTATTGGTTAAACAATGGAGAGGATTTGGAGAGAGGATTCAGAGATATGTGGAAGACGGTATAGGATGAACAGAATAGTGATGACAGTTAGGGGAGATAGGATCGATGGCAAATACGTAAATGAGATTTGATATTGAGTAAGCAGTGCAAGTCGATAAGGTATGTATGACATCATAAACGGCGTCCGCCGAAGCTATAGATCCAGGTGTTTCGGTCAGGATAAATATGTGTACAACGATTGTGTCATCGGATTGTAGCCACTCATCCACGACTATTTCCTCTTAACTTCTTATACTTCCATCTCTATATCCTACTCTACTATTGAAATGGGCGGTGACCATCAATGTCCAGTTTGCCAGGCAACTTTTACTCGTCCACAGCATGTAGCTCGTCATATGCGATCACGTATGTACCATTTTTCCATTCTAGCACCAGTTTTACTCCACTTTGCCACGGGGAGCGGGTCTTTACCCCCTGTCCTTTCAATCTCCCTCCATGATCATTTTACTGACTCATCGCCTCAGACACTGGTGATCGCCCCTACAAGTGTCAGTATTGTGGAGACCAATTCGCAAGGAGGTAAATCGTCCTTTTAAATCACTTTCCCGATCTTAGTTGACATTTCATCAGCGATCTTTTATCGCGACACGTCAACAAGTGTCATGCAAACGAAAAACCCCCACCGAGCGCCACCAATGGTCGTCGCAAAGGTTCTGCATCTGCCTCTCGAGCAACTACTTCGAAGCAAGCATGTGACCAATGCGTCCAATCAAGTTTACCTTGCGACGGCAGTAACCCTTGTTGTATGTTCGCGCCTCGAAACCCACGATCCTCTTCTCACCTTTATTCTAGCAAAATGCGTACAACGCAAGAGTCGGTGCACGTACGTCAAGTTCCACCGCCAAACAGCACCTAGTGGTCCTGGACATCATAATCCTCGCCCTACTTCCGCTTCCTCTTCTCTTGGGAATGCACGACTACCATTGGACGACTTTATCCTTGGTCCTCCCCCCATGAGCGTACCCAGTATGGATACTTCTTCTGGTGATCCACTTTACACCACCCCGTTTTCCTTCAATCATGTGTATGCTTCGTCAGCAAACCCTGTACATCTTCCCATGCCACTCTCTTCAGACGCCGATATAGCTGGAAGAAATCGGGCCCAAGTTGAGCTTTTGCGTCAAACCGGAGCTTCCATTCTTGCAAATCCGCAAGGACCACCGGGTCTTGTGCCTGAGCTTTATTCGGACCCTAATCATTCATCTACCCATTGGCTTGGATGGGGCGAAAATCCGGGGTTGACTGCTCCGCAAACTAGTCCTCCCCAGTTCGCGTCTTTGGACGAAGCTTTCTCACATAATCAATATGGTGCGGATGGTTTAGATAATTTCAGCTCAGAAATGTTCACTGGGTCCTTCATTGGATCAGCATATCGGCCTCGCCGGGGCTCTATTGATTATAGCGACGGTAGTAGCGCTTCACAATCTATCCCTTCCAGCGCTACTTCGTCCAATGCCCATCTTCCTCTCTCGGCAGGGGATATGTACCAAGGTGCATCAGAGGACTTTCAGCAGCGAATGCTGCTTGACCCTCAACGCCGACGGGACTCTATGTCCTCTTCCTCTGCTCCTGAATTTCATGGCCAGCAGACAGATCAACATTCTCGTGTCGGTGAAGGCGGGTTCTCCTCCGCATTTGGACTCATGTCTATTGACGATCCAAATGTCCTTGCTGGGCTCTCAACAGATGGTGTACCTTTCTTCTCAAATGCTGCAATGAATATGCAACCTCACTCCCCAAATGCTACTCCAATGCCGCCAAAGGCGCAGTCACAGCAGCAGAACAGAGACCGCGGCATGTCCCTCTCTGCGTTGGCTACACCTGGTTTAGGTCGTGACAGTGACCTTTTGTGGAGGACGTTCATGCGCACGCCTATGAGTGGACCTCACCCTGGTGGCTCAGAAGCGCCAGCGAGCACCATACCGCAATCTCCCTGTCCACGCCGAAGACCCCGTGTTTCCTCTCTTCCAAGTTCCAAAACCCCCACCGTAGAGCGAGCCCTTCCTGGTATGGCTAACGGCCACGCAGAGGCATCAAACGGAATGCGCATGACGCCCCATGGCACTCTTGACGACCTTCGGAGTTACGAAGCTGCTGTCAATGCTCGCAATGCATCGCTCAATCTTAACCTCCCCAAACGGCGAGGTACGCGTCCAAGCCCACCCGCATCTGTTTCTTCAGGTGCACGTGGCACTAATCGTCGCATAGATACCACACATTCGCAATTGAATGCGAATTTTGACTTCAATGTCAGCCGTCCGTCGAGTTCTTCGTCGACGTCGTCGCTTTCACAGGCGTTCGTGCCACCTCATCCGCCACTCATGAAGGGAGCAGCACCGCCTATGAATGGGGTGTCCATTTCACTTCCCGTACCGCGCGTGAGCAGCATGGGAAGTTCGAGCACTCAGAGTGGGTCGAGAGAGTCGTCTGTCACTTCTGACTGCACGGGAAGCTCAGAGGGCGAAGTATTCCGACCTTCATTCAAGCGTCTCCCTTCGCAGACATTGGGTCCGGCCAATGCCAAACGTGCCCAATTAGAGAAGGACGCGGTTTCTGAGAAGAGATCTATGATAGTGAACGGCGATCGTGCTCAGCTGGGCGTTCCAAATGCCGGCTCGCGTCACATCGCTACGCTTCCCGACCGTGCTCGTCAATCAAGCGACAACCGTTCATCTCGCGGACGACAGTGATTCATTCATCCTTCTTTCTTCTTCTCCCTGTCATTTTCCTTCTGTTCTTTTCCGTGAATACCGTACACCTTCCATCAATACCTGTCGTTGGACCTAGTGATTTCTTTTGCGGGTGCCGTTACTTTTCCTTTGGTTTTTTTGTTCTTTGATTTGATACCTTATTCATGTACGGCGTACGGCACTTATACACGAACCGCAAGTATTACAGCACACGCAGCTACCACCAACATACAGCGTGTTACAAAATAAAGCTTTTCGACTCCTCGGGCCATTGAAATTCAATTGGGTATTATGTTATGTTGCCAGCGCGCTCCAAGGATCCTCCGAGGCTCCGACCATTCGCAGTGCTGGGCATGTCACTTTCAACTCCTTACCGAATTCCTTCGACATCGTAGGCACTTCGGTTGGATACGCGGTGGAGAAGGTGGTCGTTGGCAGCAAGCTGCACGTCATCACGATAAGGTTGACAAAAATATCACATCGTGGGAAGGTTGTCTTTGGTTGTCTTCAAGCCCTTACCCTCGTTCCTAGCCGAATCATGACTGCCACAGTGCCACTTGAGTCGAATGATTCCACCGCCGGCCAGTAGAAGGAACAAAGATGATATATGAGTTCCACTGACTCAATTTTCGCTTTTGTTCCTTCTGCAGTGCCGGGCGGACAAGTTACTACCACTAGCTAGGGACCTGAGTTTATCGTTCGATCACTCATCGTTTACTCCCCCTTGGTTTCACTGGCAGGACATACTGCGTCAATTGCTGTCCGATGCTGCGTCGCGGAACGTGGTACAGGACGATATCTTTTGAAATTGGCTCATTCGACACGCTCAGATATCTCAATGGCTTCTGCACTTCTCCCTCGTATGTAACACCATTACTGATTCGCACAATTCTACCGACAGGTCCAAGACCCTTTGGCGAAGCTGTATTGGAGTATATTCACTAGATCTTCACCAAAGGGTCTGGCTTGCCTCTTGGACCATTATAGAACTTACCGATCCGAATGCATACTTCAACGATATTTTGGACCGACATTTTTCAACGTTTGGAACACCGTGGCCAATGATATCGGCGAGATGCAGTTCATCATTTGATCGAGCAGTGAAATCCATTGGGAGGACGGTATTACGGTAATGTGTTTTGCTGGCTAAGGCTGCAGAGCAAATGATTAGTCTCCCGTAGGCAGACCAGATAGAAGGAAGATGGTCGTTTCTTCTTTATTATGGAAGATGGCTATCGTTGTTTCGTCTCCATGTTCGGAAATGTAAGTCGATCATTGTGCTTATGGGTAACCCTCGACCGCTATACTACCCGTTCTTTCTCCCTTCATGTATTCACCTCAGGGATTTGGACCGAGTTCTGCAGGCCTTGCGCGATCTCTGTATGAACATTATGCATTACAACACTATGCGCAATATACGCCATAAACCAACACCCCGAAATCTAATATATCGTATTTCCTCTCTCACCAATGCCAGTGGTAAGTTTCTTCAAGTCAAGTCGTGGAAGTCATATCATCCGACTGAGCATTTCGCGCAGTGGGAAAATATAAATGTTCAGTTGGCCAAGAATCTTGGTGTTCTGGTTCCTGTCACTGAGTATAACACCGTTTTGTGCGGTGGATCGAATGATTTTGGACGGTAAGCCTCGAGACTCTTTTTATCACAATTAAACTCATCGCCATCCCTCAATTCGCTGCTTTATTACAGGCTGTTGTCACTAGTATGAGATGCGGCGAATTGGAGACCAGTGTCAAGTCACCGTAAATTGATATGAGCGGCGCGTATTCGCATACTCATGAATCCCAAGTTTTCTCTTCGATCCTCCAATTCCAATATGTCCGTTCAGTCAGGATGGGCGCACCGGATCTCCGTATTATGCTGCGGTGGTCCTTGCTCAGGCGTTCATGTCGCACGCATGTTCGTGGGCCTGGTGCTGTGCTTATCCTTCTTGACACAAGGCCACATTCCAACGATTGCTTTCCACGATCGCCGGATACCCTTCTGCGAGTTCGAGGTCGCGGAGTACTCTACATACCATTAATGTCTCTGCTATCCTTGTGCTGTCGTCTGGCTGTTGTGACGATTTAGTGGTCAAATGGGAGGGAATATGTATTCTAGAATCTAGACCATTATGTTAGATGTGACCTTGCAGTGATTCGCTGGTCTGGGAGCCGGTACCATTGTAACTTCGGCAAGCAGTTGACTTACAAGTACGGAAATACGGTTGCTCGACTCGGAAAAGAAAAAATGTGAGTGGTTGTCTGCTCATGAAAGCCCTGGGCATTGTATATTGAATATTTTGTTGTCAGTACTACTAAGTAGTTCAAGTTGCGAGGAATGAGCGTGACTCGTGACGCGAGGCAGGCTTCGGTTCGAACTTCTTCTGTGGTGCGGGCTGATCTCGACAGCTTCTTTACGTCTCAGCGTGCGCTCAACTCCATTCGAAGCCTTCTCTCGGGCTTTTATACCCCCCTACAGCGATTTACCTCGCTGTCCCGTGCTTTCTCCTACCTCCATGTCAACCCCATCCTCTCGATGCATCCTCTTCGAGCCACGTTTCACGAGGCAAAATACGCGTTGGGAAACCCGAAGGTTCCCTCATCGCCTCCCCTGGCTCTTCGCCAGCGGACGACGCACACCTTCTCTCCACCAATCAGACCTTCAACAAGCCACATCACTTATTGTCTCAACCATCACCGTCACCGGTCCTCCTGGTCCTCCCGCAACGAGTTCCCGGTCAAGGCACCGCTGATGCCTCTAGTAACCCTGCCTCAACATCTTTTGCCATGGCTAGACGCTTTCAAGTCCTATGAAGCCTTTGGCGTGGGCTTTGTCTGGGATCTTAGCATCTTGTACGAGATGGTTATCCAGCTTCTGCTAGTTTCCATTCAGCATAGAACTCGCAACTACATATGGGGAGAATTTGGAAAGGTCATACAACTTGCTTGCTTGCAGGTAGGTTCTGAAATAACATCATTTCAGAATCTGCCAGCAAGTAAGCAAGCTCATCTCCATGCCACACATCCATAATGAAACGCAGTCTTTCACTCAATAGCGCCAGCGACTTTTTCGGGGAGGGGTGACTTGCACTCGCTTGGTGCGTTACTTAATTTGCAATGAACTGAAGCGAAGGTGGCCAAGAATCTAGGCACCATCGCGAGACATAGAACTCTTCAGGAATCTACAAAGGAAAATCCACCATAGCAAACCATCTGAGCTCCTTGCGATATGTTGTCTCCGCAGAGTAGGGTTTTGCCATCCCATTGGCTATTAGGGTCGTTTTGTCGTATACTGAAATGGCCTTGTCGATAACCGAAATTGCTCTAGTCTGGCACGCCCATGAATAGAGTACAGTCTTATATCACTACGAAATCCAACTAACATACATTTGTTTGTGATTAACATGAGTAAGAGTCCATTCCTCCAACAATGTAGAATGTTCACAGGCGCTGATATGGTCCGTGTGAAGTGTGATATAGAAACAAGAGTAGCGTTCGTTAGTTTAGTGTTAATTCGTTCGTCCTCTATCGTCGTTTCTTAGAGGGTATCTCCAGATGTTACGTTGATCCGTGCAGCCAGCCAGACTGTATCATAGCATAAAGTTTAATCTGCTGCGGCGCAGTACCCTGGTTTACTCACCTTATCGGTCGAGTAGTTGATGATAAATGCGCAGTTCGACTCTTCATGTCCCTGAGGGCAGTGGCTGTCCAACGGCGCAGTCGATCCCATGCTTTATTCAGACGTAGATTTGGTAGGAAGCAGGTATTGGAGGATGTATGCTTCTCGATACCTTTACCCTTCCCCTCGGATTTCGCTTCGACCGCGCGTGTTGTAGTATGTGAAGACTAATATGTAGGGATGTCATAAAACTCGTAAACAGATTGAGATAACAAACTGAGATAACACTCACGTCGGATTGGCTGGACTTTATTGACTTGTCATAAAAGGCATCCATCGTCATCTCTGGCGGTTTATTGCCGGTGTATGATGCTGGCTTCAACACCAAACTCGGCATCTCCACCACCGTTACGCTCTCTGCACTCAAAGTGTCCTGTCGTGTGAGGTGTGAGGTAACCTGAGGACAGAACACGAGTCTAGCGCTCACATCGACCCCCACGATATTAAGAACGTCTTGCTGCATGTCGTAGCACATGGGCCGCTGAGAGCGCCTCAATGATGGGCGTGTTACCATCCGCGACCATAAGTTTTCTTCTGACATCGAATCTGAGCTAAGGATTGTGGTGCAACACGAAGGATTCGTTCCGGCTCCTGATGGTAGTTGCTGAATCTAGAGTACGATCAGGCACGACTGTTATGAGCTTCTCGAACACTAAATTATGCTTCGCTAGTACATGCCTCGGGCACTCGGTAGACCGATTGGTCATGCGAAGGATATCTGCTGGAGCATTGACTTGTGAGAGATGGCCCTCCCACACTGAATGTGGGCTGCTGCCAATTGGAACTGAAAGAAGGCGGTTCCAAGATACTTGTGCACGGATGCTCTCCGGATACGAAGTACTTCTCCAAGTCATCTTCAGTCAGAAATCCTCCCTGCATCATGCATGGAGAAGCTGAATCCTCGTGAATAAGATTGTCGCTTTCGAGAACTTTACTTGGATAACTCACTGTGGGGTTGGACGATGGTGGGGATAAAGAGAATCACAAGCTGTTCGAACTTGAACGAGTTATATTTTGCAATTGTTATTCCCGCAGGATTGCACGAGGCCGACTGCACAGGATTCTGACGGTGTCGTGCAGGTTAACTTGGCTACGACATTTCTGGACTCGGTAAGGGATGACCGTCCGGTCTCTTCTGCCTGTACCGGTGCAGACTCTCGGTGCCGTTGTCAGCTGTTATAATAGGCTCCTCCACGATTCTCAATGCGAATCCTAACCCCACGGACAGATTTTAGCTCAGTGGAAATGTTGGGGAGCTACAAGCGCAGCCACGAGCGTGAGATGTTGCTGGTGCATAGATGCGATAGTGACGAAGCCACTGACAATCATGATCCGTATCGCTAATATTGTGGCTACTATAGTGCTATTGTCCAATTGTGCACATATCACGACTATACGCGCTCCTAGTATAGTTTTGCGGCGTCCTCTGTACTAAAAAGCTGGAATTTGACTGACCACAGACTATCTTGTTCGAGTAATGGAGGATGGACTTCATGGATGATCCAAGGCCAATCCTTGGCGAAGTGCTCGAGACCGTCAGGGAGATATACCGTTGCTAATAATTCGCTAAATGGGGGATGCGGGAAATAGAACAAACGGACGTGCGTGGGCTCGCCGGGGAAATCGGACGTCTACCACAATCCAAGAGCTTTGTCACTTCCAAGAGCTGATAAATGATGCGCGTCCTAACGCCTATCTATGTTCAACGCTGCAGGTGGGGTGTTGTAAAGTGGGGACGTGCTGAGGTCGATCTCGAAGAGAATGCTGTGGAATTTGCTCAATTGACCCATGTGGCGACGACCGCTCGGCTTGTTACTTGAGGACGTCCACTATTCTGGCGTGAGTGATAATGAGGTCGAGGGGGTATGCCTCATGTACTGTAACCCGAAGTGCATATGCATGGGACATTCATAATCGACTTCTTTGAGGAACGATCTGGGTGGCAGGTAAATCTGCGATGCATGTATGGTGCCGTGGACCTGCGGTATTGGATAGAGATGCAACTCATAACAGCAGGAACAGCATTGCAATGCTCGAGCTGTATGTCAATGATTAATCTAGTAGTCACAAACACGTTTACCCAGCCAAAGCTGTGTGGGTAAAGCATCAACACCAAGCGCCAGAATGATCGGAACTTCGATTGGGCCGCGAGGCATCTGCTTCGAAATGTAAAGGCCGCATCGTGGGTTTCGTCCCTTTGATGGTATAAGGAGCGCATCAAACACTGTGGCAGGGAATGAATGCACAGACACCACCTGAAAAGGTTGTCGAGTCTTCAAATAATAGACAGAAGACAATACTGATGACCCGTTTTGCGATAGGCATGCATACAACTAAGGAGAAGCTGGTACTAGGCAAGGTAATGGGAAAGAAAGGACCCTGACCGAGAGATGATGTGACCTTTGTTTTGAGAAGCGAATCAGTGCAGAAACGAAAGGACACTGAATTAACGCACCTCGTCACGAAGTTTCCCATGCAAGTCCTCCCAGCTTTGTGCCCTGCACCTGATACCCTCTCGATGCTTTCCTCTCCTGCCTCTGCTCTGTCTGAGAGCGTACGGCCCTTGCGGGTACATTCTCAACCTCAACTAATTCCTTCACTTTGAGAATTTTTCCTGCAGCTTCTGGACTGTGGACATGATACACAGTTTGCATACGTCTATGCAAACCGAGTGCTACCAGGGTTTCCTTCTTCCGTTCGCCTAGTGCAATGGCAGAGCGGCGGAGAGTAATTTTGAAGTGGGTGCTTGATTCTGATTTAGGTGGTTGTTTTGGTGCTGCTGTCGCGAATGACCGCAACGAGGACGGTCTAATGATGTTGCTCGACGTTATGCGGAACAGCGACGCCATATTCTTTGCAAACGGCAGTAGCAAAGGTCAATTTGACAATTTGTTGGACTATGTTCTTCGCTTACTAATCAACAGAGTAACATCGAACAAGGTCCGAATTTGGATGCGTTCTCCTGATTCAAGATTGCATTCTTCAAGATGAGCTCGCTATATCGTTCTGCAATCAGTGCCCGAATAGCAAAGTTACCGCAGCTACCACCAAGCGACGAGGATGATGATGATGAACAATCTGAGCTTGCTGATGAAATCGGCGAACTCTCGACTGGCATGGGCCCACCCCCACTGTACGTCTTTCATCTATCCAGTCTTTTTGTTCTCATCGCCGTATAGACCACGGCCAAGTACATCTACCCGGAAGCCTAAGCCGCCAAATCCTCATTTTGAGCCCTTGAGTTCTGCTTCATACTTTTCACAGGCATTGCAGGTATCACTCCCCACCCGAGCCCTCGACGTTCGGGTATACTACACTCCCCCGAAGTACGACGGTGGAGGTGTCATTGTATTACACCACGGTGCAGGATATGCCGGTACAAGTTTTGCATGTCTCGCGAAAGAGATCAGTGAGGTCATGAGAGATAACGTCGGTGTCCTAGCCTTTGATGCGAGGAGGCATGGTATGCATTCGCTTCAGGGGAATGCGGAAGACTGATCGTCTATCAGGAAAGACAACATCATCTCAGTCTGATGAAGACTTATCAATTAATGTCCTTGTGGAGGATTTTTGTTCTCTGCTGCAAACGATTTACCCCGACGTAGCAGCAGCTCCAACTCTAATGGTGAACTTATTCTCCCTTCCACGCATCTCAAGTTGTTGAACCTCCGAGAAGCTTGTTGGACACAGCATGGGAGGTTCCGTATGCGTTCGCGCTTGCTCCATACTTCAGCAACAAAAATATAATATCGCAGGAGTCGCCGTTTTAGATGTAGTAGAAGGTATGTATCGCTACACAAATTCTGAGAGTTGCACAAGTTTGAATGATCACCAATAGGCACAGCAGTAGAAGCGCTGCCTCACATGCACGCGATTCTCAACTCTCGACCCGAGGGTTTCGACAGCGTCGAGGAAGCAATCGAGTGGCAGTCCGTGTTTCGTTTCGCCTTTGATAGATGCTTATATTCACACCTTCTTATACAGCGTCAATACGGGCCTTATCCATAACCCCACTTCTGCCCGTGTCTCAATTCCATCTATTGTTGTTCCCGCCGACTCCCCTCTTACGCCCAGCACGCGCGCAAATAGCGGGTTCAAATACAAGTGGCGTACGCCACTCCGGTCGACGGCACCATACTGGGACAGTAAGCATATATCTTCATTCCCTTTTAACCTCATATAAGTTTCCTAGGCTGGTTCCCGTCGCTTTCGTCTTTATTCCTCGGTCTCCGCTCCGCACGGCTCTTAGTATTAGCAGGCGCGGAACGCCTTGATACGACTCTTATGGTTGGCCAAATGCAGGGCAAATTCTGGCTTGAAGTTATGGCTAGTTCGGGTGTGGGACATCTTGTCCATGAGGTTCGTCAGTTTTTTGGTTAGACGCCTGACTGATGTTGACATACACTTAGGACGATCCAACGAAGCTGGCGGAGATTCTGGCAGATTTTTGGAAGCGCAATGAACGTGTTGTGGTTCGAGGGAACGTTATCAAGAGGGTCGGGGAGGTTTAAAGAGTTTGATTGGTTGCGCCCTGTTGTTATATTGGTTAACCATTTACTCCGAGATCATCATCATCATTATGCTCGACAAGCTGAATTGGAAAGCAAGTAGTAGCAGTCTCGGTTCACAAGACCTAATGGAGCTTTGAAGATGGATAGCTGTTAAAACCTGTTTCATTTATCTTAGTATTCTTTAGGAAGACCACGGTCATCGAAACAAGACAGCCGTTCCTTCTTTATTCTGATTCTATCAGCGCTTTATTTTCCACAAAGTGGCTTCGAAAACTAGAAGCAAAGAACTATGACTTAGAATTCATGTGCGTAATCGACTAACCAATTATCGACGTCGCCAAGCGTCCCAAGGCTGCATGATCATACTGAAAACAACCAGTTTTTAATCAAAATCTTTTCCCGGGCACACAGCGAACTTGGCTGCATGCAGGGCTTCATACTTTTTGCACGGCAGACGTATTGACACTGGGACTAACCCTACCATGCACGCATGAAGTTCCCCAGAACAACAACCAAATGAATCCGCAACTTGAAGGTTCTCCACCACACCAGCACCCTCATCCGCACTGAGTCACGATGCATCCAATGTATGGGTAACGTACGTCAGGTAAGTACTGTCATCTTGAAACCGCAGTTTAATTTGACGTGGCATAGGTGTAGTCAGTCTTGGCGAACCCGACTCGGGAGTTCGTCTTGTCGTACACCGAGTAAAAACGCTCTCTGGGGAAGAACAATTCAGCAACTTCTTTTCCAGCGAAAAAAGGAGCACAACGTACAGGAAACAATAGCCGTTGGTAAAATCCAAGCCAGAACCAGATTTACTCCCGGTATCACCGACAACTAGGTATATATCACTGGTGGTACCGCCAATTGCGGTGTTCAATGATCGAGGCCAGATTTGCGCGTTGGGGGTGAGCTCGTAAGTTACGCTGCCGATAGTGAAATATAAGGATGAGAGCTGGTTGTATTGGTCGGATGAGATCTTTAACAGGCCAGTGGTGTTATCAAGGCTTGCACCCGTCTTTGACTTATATGTGTCGAAAGCATCTGAACTATAGTTTAGCAGGGTGTCAACGGCGTACACGGCAAGGTGCCTACCAGTGGCAATGAGAATAAGGGTGGTTCCTGTATCAACGATACCAGCTGTCTTGGTCAAAATTGACGTGGACCCATAGCTGATGGATTGGTCAACGCCCCAATATTCACTCGCCGGAGATGTTGATGTGATAGGCACATAGTTAATGTCTCCAGTAATTTTGGAGGCATCATAACCGCCGAATGTGAGCTCGCCACTGCTATCATCAGAGGAAGCAGGCGAGAAGAACACCCCGAGTACTTCTGAACTAATCGTTTTCTGCGCGTAAAGATTGTCCGTCACAGTCGGGACTTGGTTTGTATTAATGACGGTGCCCTCCGTTAAGTCAACTGGTCCAACGCCAAGAAGTCCATTCAGAGAAGTACCCATCCCTGTGGATTCGGATGCGACGCCAATAGATTGCTTCTCGATGACCAGATCAGAGTTGAGCGTTACAGTGTCCAAGTATTCTTCTCCAAAAGCGTAAGACAAATCCCCGTATGCAACGTACTGGAAGCACTTGATATTAGTGCCATGAACACCAAGTAAAGCTTACAAATACTCACGAATCCATCACCTGTACTTTGGCTCGTGCTGGTCTTTGTGTAAGCCTTGTTGGCCCCGATCCATGTATTTGAACTTCCGGTATCTACCAGGAGTGTATCTGTATGACATAGACAGTCCATCAAGTAAAGGAACTATCGGAATACGATTCAGCAGCTTACAGTACGTCGGTGGACTCCCCACGCCAACGTCAGCGGTGTATATGGTCACAGCATTGATTGCATTGATGGAAGAGCTTCCGCGTTGTAGTAAGACTTCGGCTCAAGCTCGATCGGCAGCAGCGATATTCTTGCTCCCATTCGAGTTGAGCCTAACAGCGAGCTTAAGAGTAGCAGCAGTGCTCGATGCTGTCCGAAGATGAGGCGAAGCCCTCGCTGACAGCGAGAGGAACGCAAGCGCCGGCAGAGTAAGAAGAAACGAAGGCGAGTAGGAGAGAACCATCTTCATGTCCATCAATCTCAACTGTGGGCTTTTTAAATGGTGGTCGGTGTTACTAGAATCACTGTATTGTTCCGGTAGTATAGCGGAGGCGAACTACATCAACTTGCGAAGCGACCCGGATCAGCATGGAAAGTGGAAATGAGTTGTAAGTTGACCAGTGACCTCTCTTACCGTTCCGAAATACTTCAGCTCCAAGGTGCGTATTTCGAAGGATTGCACTATGATGATGCATCGCTGATTAAGTTAGTAGTCCATCGTCGGCATTGTGGAGGCGAACAATGTCAAGGCTTCGAAGGGACTGACTTAAAATGTGACTTAAGCGAACGTACTTACATGCCATGATAAAATCTTTTCATGAACAATTGGTGTCAGTTCGTAAGTAACGGCAGCGAACAACCCTGGCCACAGCATTTTAGGAGATACTACACAAACTCTCATAGTCCATGCCACTGAGAAACATTGATGCGATTCAAGTTCTACCATTTCAGGCTCATGATCAACGTGATTCGGATGATATGCACATACCTGATCAGATGTCCGCAGAAGATTCTACGAAAAAATATTCAGTGGCCAAGTGAATCGAATATCACCCATGACCATGTGTTGCAAATAGTGGGACTCAGAGTAGTTTTTGGGACGCTCGCCAAACTTCGCTAGAGACCGGGTAAAGTCTTGCAGAACTCCCGTAGGAGCTGCAAGGATCAGCCACCAACACACTCGGCACACATCGGCATGATGGCGGACTTCGAAACGACACTTGTATATTTGCGAGGCTTGCATGCGCGGAGAGGTGTGTTTGATATAGCGAATAGTAGCTGTAAGCAGAATAATTCTCCTTCATCGGTGGTACTAAGAGCTGCCTGCACCCCAGCGGCAGCGACAAGAATAGCGAGGTAGGTGAACATGGTATCTAGTATATGCATTAGTGATGACTGTCAGTGCAGGAAACCACCCACCATCAAAACTTTGATTGTATGGTATACGCGAAGGTGCTATGGTACGTCCAGGAAGATGTGAAATAGATAGAATGATCAAGTTGCCCGAGTCTTGATTACTCACTGTAAATGAGGCGATTGTCTCTGAGGATTTTAAGACTTACCACGTTCAATATTCACTGCGGAAACGAGAAAATGACCGTATCCAGATAGAGTACAAATAGAACAGTTAACCATATACAAACTGGATACAGGCAACGTCATCTGTCTAGGTCCAGAACATGTATGAAAGGGTCCGCTATTCGGACCCTAACTGTACTGTAGTTAGATGTAATAACCAACATCTAGCTTGAGGTCCATCAGACAAACCATACTCGAGGTCGTGTGTAGATAGGAATCGAATATATATCTCCACAGGTATGGACAGAGTATAGATTGAGTATGGATCGAGTCTAGATTGCATACAGATAGCAACAAAAGAATACATGGCGGATCCTCCTACGCAGCAGCACCTCAAGCAGAAAGCTAGCGAAGAGCATGCAGTACCGGTGAATGGACGAGCGGAAGGTTCGTGTGGTCGAGAAGCAAGAAGTCGTGTAAACAAAAGGTGCTTCTGTATGAACCTCACATATCCCTAGGCCTGTCGTCCCCGTCATCCCTGTCCCCGCATCCTCCTGTTATGTTCCAGCACACATTAAGCATGCAGCGCCGTCCAGATGGAGCCGCTGGAGCACCTGCAGAAAAACCTGTTGGTACAGCTCAGGGGGTTCAGAACATCAATCCGCACCCAGTTCCATCATCCCCACTTGTTCCCAATGATCCTTTCATTGACACAGTGCCTGATAATCGCCACAGTGGTTTCAACCCATCGGGACTAGGTTTGTATGGTGAAGGACTCGGTGGAGGGCATAGTGGAGGGCATGGAATGTATGACTTTGGGGGATCTCAGCAGAATGGACCAGGATTAAATCAGATGCGTTCTCACCAGTTCGACCAACCCCCTTCTGGTGGATACAATCCACATATGACACCTTACAGCGACCCTGGCTCTCGTGGGCATTCAGTACCCCCCACTACGCCCATGATGGGCGACCATCCCAGTCTCCGAGGATACTCTGTTCCCCCGACCCCATCAATGCAACATACACCTATTGCGCAACGCAACGACTCGATGAATAATATGATTCAAAGCGGCTTTCAGCAGTTACTCACCGAGATGCAGAAATTCAACACTCGTCTCACAGGCGTTGAATCTTCCAACCAGATCTTCCTCGGAAACCAGCAAGCATTGAACGAACATGCGCAGCAGGGCCAGAATATGCTGAAGGAGTTGCTGGATGCAATGACGGCATCAGGTGTGGCCAAGAGTACAGCGGGCAAGAAGAATATATCCAACCAACACCCTGTGTTAAAAGTAAGCAACAACACACCAAATATTCACAACATACTGTGTGCTGACCATGGTAGCCCATCATACAACCGATATTTTTTGAGCTGTGTGGAATAGATATGAAGACTGCCCGCGCAGATCAAACAGAGCTGCTTGCGCAGAGCTTACCTCTTGCAAATGGCGATGCATATGAGACAGTGGATGGAATACAAGTGTGGAGGCCGCATTGGGGGGGGGGAAAATTGACGATAAAGTAAATTCTTTATATATTGCAGAAGTGGTTCAGCGTGTATGGGATAATGAAACAGTATGGACCTAGTACTTACTTTGTGATGATCCCTGCTAATTCCCCTGCTAGTCGTTACGAAATGACGGTAAGAAAAAGGGAGAGATGAAGGATGAAGACTATGACCGCACCATCATTAGCACAATTGCTAAATCATACTGGTGAAACCTCAGTCAGCAAATCTCCAGTCACGTATCGGCTGAGAAGACAGAGAAGCTCACCATTAAGCAAAAAAACGCTTGTCGTCGAGGAAGACGTCAAACTGTAAGTTGTTGGGAACAGATCTAGAGTAGATTGATGATCACTCACCAAATACACAAAATAGGCCGCAAACCGTCGTCGTGAAGCTGTTCCTGACTTTGAAAAATCCTATGGGCATCAAGGATCAGTAGCGCTAATCGATACAGATTACGGATCTGATTATGTGTCATATGACGAGGGTGAACTGAGCCCTGACTCAGTAGAGCGTTGTAAGGACCAGAGTCAAGGCAAAGGAAGCCGAAAGGTCATAGGGTTGGAGTGGAGATCATCAGCGGTAAGACTTCAGATATTATCAGAACTTGACTTACAATTATGGTTGATAGTATATAGCGTTCCTTCGGGTCCTAGATGAGATTCACAGGTGTAGGAAGTCTGGTGAGATTAAAGGGGGGGAACAGGATGGACCTGCAGAGCCTTCAGCCAAGCGCCGCAAGATAATGAAGCCAAAGGACGTACATAAGGCCACCTTTGAGGCCCATCCCTCCCAGATGAGCTCTCGTCTCCTGAAGTCAGGCAAATCAACAGTTCTGTTCAATACGATGGTAAATGCGGCATGGTTAGACGAACACAAGGAGGTGAAGGTAGTTGAAGGAGCGGAGTGGCTCAAGGATTTTAATGGGAGCATTCACGAGGGAGACTTGGCGGTAGACGACAAGAAATATCTTGATGAGCTTGCGGAGTGGTACGCTGATGAAGAAGATAATGGGAATTAGCTCTCGTAGACCTGATGTAGCAATGAACAAGAGAGTTACCAGTGGGAGTGGCGGCGGAGATAGTAACACCAATAGTATGAAAATCTTGATGTCTGAGGATTGAGTCTGTTGGTGGTAAGACAGAGGGTAACACAAATGAACTTGTTCAATTTATGATGCTATTATCAAAGGCGCTATACATATATCGCAAGCAAATTTACTGTGGTTCTCAAAAGTCAGTCTCAGCAAACTATGCACAGAGTGAAGAGAAACTTTCCTTGGCCAAGTCGATAGTGGCCCATACCTTCACCTGATTTGCACCGATCGAGACTGTTGTGCGAGCCAGGTGTCCATGTATGCAATCAAGGTCTATGATGGTCGGGATTTGCGTGTCCGACCCTCAATACTCTTCTAGTTCCCAAAGACGGACACTCACAGACGCACTGAAAATCAATCAATGTAAGCAACATATCCGAGAACAAAGTGAATGCTTACAAGTCATCCCAACACATACTTTACTCACCGTGCCATGGCTTAAACCATCGCATACGGGCAAACCACATTGATTGATCTGTGAAATGAATATCTTGGTCAAGCTGAAACACTTCAAGTACTTCTCCGTAAGCATCATGACTCCCTTCGCCATGCAAGTGGGGTATAATAGCATGCACAAGGGAGGAGGAGTTATAACCAACGGTGCGAGATGCATAATACCGCCTGCCTTTGATGACCACATAGTCAAAGAAAGTTGCCTCGCGATTGAGGGGAACACTATGAGGGACAATAGGACGGTCTGATCGACAGTGCACGGGGGTCTGAGGCGAACGGAAACAAAGTGTCTTGGCAAGTAAGCGACATGTCTCCAGGGTCATCGAGGTCTTTTGATGCCGTGGGCTGAGTGCATAAGTCTGCCCGGCTACATAAAATAGAAGAAGTTAGCAAAGCATAAGAAAGAAGAACTACTTACCGTCAGCGTTGACCTCATCTAACTCTGTAGATAGAGCGGCAAGAGCGGCAACCGTACCACGTTCTTCGGATGAAGCCTTAAGCATATGCTCTGCCACTTCGCATGGCAGAGACTCTTTGGGCATCTGTAATAATGCATATGTCTAGGATATGAATATGCCTTAGTAAGTTGATTGAACGAAGTACTAGTGAGATACGTACTAAGCGACTCGACTCGCACGTTCGGTGGAACTCTGAGAAAAATGTCGTCTCAAGTTCTCCATCTCCGTGGTTGTTCGTCTTGAAGGACTTGAGAACTTTATTAAGACGCTCGAAAAGAAAAGTCCAGAAGTCGTGGAGTGGTCCGAAGTTGCGCACGAAACTTGCAATATGTGTGGCGTAGTGATGGTTTGGTTTGATAATGTTTGAGCCATAAAGCTAGACCATAACGAGCTCAAATAAGTCTATAAGATGGATCGACGACATACCTTGAGTAATTCGGTAGCATATTGCCGGATGAGAGTATCTGTGCAGTCAATATCTGTGTCGGATAAAGTATGATGCATCAGGATGCGAAGGGCACCAGATAGCTTGAGAAAATTAGCAGGGTCATCTGGATGCAGACCGAACTTGAGCTCTTCTTCCTCATCACCGGTATCAGTCACATGGGGGACCTTGCCAGCTGCAACAGACTCGGAGGGGAGTGCCTCGATAACATCATCTGTTCCCTATAGAGTAGATAAGTATAAGAAATAACAGCATCAACAATGTACCTTCTTGCGATGTCTCGCTGCTTTTTTCTCTGCAGAGATGCGTGCCTTCTCAGCCTTCTTCTCAGCGGCGATCCGAACCTTTTCTACTTGCTTTGCAGCGGCAGCTTTAAGTCGTGCGTCATTCTTTGCAGCAGCTTCCAATTCCTTCTCCCAGGCAATATGAGCCTTCTCAAGTGCATGAGCCTCTTTACCTTGCTTTTTCGCTGCTTCGAGTGCCCTTCGTTCCGTGATTTTCTTCTCGGCCTGACGAGTCTTCTCCATTTTGAGTCGTTCAATCTGCGCAACACGATCTTGCAGAATATGATTACTATCAGCGCTTGGCGCACAAGCACTCCATAGTTGAGGTATCTACATTTCATATCAGTTACGCATCTTTAGGCAGAGGACTCGGAGAAAAACTTACAACTATTGGCCCGTATACAGTCGAAAGTAAGAGCCATTGATCTGCAGTCAGTGATCCTCCGGAGGGCATTCCTATGTCTTTAGGAAGCTTGCCGCAGGAGCTCGGTAGAGTGAACTATACAAGATATAAGGCAGATCAAACAAGAAAGCGTGAACTCACATTGGCAAGCATTTCATGAAAGGCGGTTAGTTCGTGATTTGGACAAAGTACTTTTCCTTGAACCCAGATATTGTAGAAATGAGTTTTGACAAGTCCTGTTGGGTTATAAGCGAGCAATGAGTTGAGAAATCAAACGATACATACCCAGGAAGAGATTGTGCATGGGATCGATCACAACCTGATTAACTAAATCAAAGTATGGGAGCCTTGCAAGCTGGGTATAGCGTGTCGCGAAGTCCTTCACAAAGTTTTTGCGTGCAGTGGGTGTCGTCAGTTGTCGGTATTGTTCTCCTAACTCCCGCTGTTCCAAATTTGTCCGTTCCTTAAATGCTGTGATAGATGGTTAATGTGAACATTGGGGCTACAAGCTTCAAAACTCACCATCCTTCACAAACACTGCTGCTCGTGCTTTATCCGCTTGCGTGATCCAACAGGCTGTGCATAGATTAGTGTGTGAATGCGATCCAAAACCACCAATCTTGTGAGCGGCAGGCTTATCACAAACAACGGCAACAAGGGCAACCCGAACAAGTCGACCTTGATAAGAGTATGAGCCGATCTTCAGATAGATCTGTGGATTTAAAATACTCACCTTCTGGACACGATTCTGTTGGTACCTTGATGCCATGCTTCCATAGCCGTAAGATATCTGATATAATTGGTCGAAGGAAACATTGGATTTGATCCGGGTTCTGTTCCTTTGGACCTGGTAGGATGCTTGTACACATTAAGTTTGAGGTGCGATATCTAAGAGATGTGGGTCATTAGTTTCCGACGCAAAATCAATAGTTAGGTAGTACAACTCACCGGTACTCGAGGGGAAGGTTACAGATAGAAAATGATGTGGGGCATGATGAATGCGAGGGTGCGATGTTGCTGCAAATATACGAGAACCTATAGAGCGTGTGAGCACATCTTGTAAGTAGAAATGTGCCAATACATAGCACCAATCAATCCCTAGATTGACGCCTAAGTGAAGCTCGTTGTTGGGACCTTGAAGTTCATTTGGGCTATTTGAAAAGAAAAGTGTCCCATCGGGCGCTTTAAGATTCAAGCGACACACATTCCCATCGAAGATATCTGTGTATTGACCGGGTGTTCATGGCTTTGAACGCCAGCCATTAAGTGTTGCTTCAACTCCCGGGATCGTTAAGATGGACCGAATTTGGACTGAAAGAGGGAGATATGGGTATTTAACATACGGAATTTTCTTTGCTCGCAGAAAACCGCGCTTGGTGGTATCAGGTAGAAAAAGAGGGATATTGCAAGTCATGCAGTGATCTTGCTCGTGCGTAGAACCTGTGGGCGGATATACTTCTTGGCATGTGGGGCAGCAAGGAAGGGTGTAAAAAGGAGTATTGAGTGCTAGCACGCGTGTGGCTGACTGCAGGGTGCGGAATGGGATCTCGAGCTGAGGAGACACGAACAACAGCAGGCAACCTAAAATAGAAAGAAGTGCATTACATGCGGCACGAGGGAGGTGCCATTGCAGATGCAGCCACATAGTGACTGCATATATAGTGAGGAGGTGAGGTTGAATAGTCGACATGGCACAGGCGCCATTCGACATAAAAAACGCCTCATCTGGTTCGAAAGGATCGGGTGAATCCTCGTCATTGACCAGGGGTTGGATCAAATCGGCAGAGGTGTCGTCATCCATCATGGCTTCATCGAGGTTCAAATCAGCCATATCCATGTCCACGTCGACATCCATGTCTTCTTTGTCATTAGTGTCCATCCCTCGCACTCCCTCATCCAATGCCTTCTCCAGTTCTCGTTCCATTGCACGCTGCTCCGGGTCCTTGGGTATTGAATGGGCATGATACCGATTCAGGGGCTGCGCGCCAGCTGCGGTAACAGTATGGTATGTATCGTAAAAGTCAACCGCATCGAGAAGTGCCTCGGGTGTATGAAAATTCGGGCCAAGATTGGGAAGAGCGCGACCGTGATTTTGAATATCTATATCTTCCTGCGTAAGTATGGCATGATCGAGCATTTCCTGCTCAACAGCACATGGAGAGACAGGAGGGGGGTCTGGAAAATCAAAGATCGGTGCAACAAGAGCTGCAGGAGCTGGATTTTCGCATGGTACAGGTTCCAGGTGAGTGATCTTGTGGGGAAAGATGCGTCCAGAGTGGATGGTGCTCTGTGACTTCCTGCGAAGATCGGCTCGTTCATGAGACTTTTTGGTGTGAACTGCTACAAGTGTACCACTGCACTTGTGAGTATCACAGTAGCATCTGGCTGAGTGGGCCATGGTTGTTGCTTGAATTACTAGTTTGATGGTATGATGCCGATGCGACAAAGCGCGTCGCTGTAGATCTTTGTGTCACATGACTTTTTCGTCACACTCGCATGATCTTCGCACTGCTTTGACAAGTTGCAACTGGTATATAATCATGCAGAATCACATATATACAACATCTAGTATCTAGTAGTACGGAGCTTGCCCGAAATGAGAGGACTGCCTGGGCGTTTGATACCAGCGCTCGTATTCACAATGGTCTAAAAAATAAATCAACAGCCAGAAAGTAGTAAGGTATGAGGACGAACCTTATCAGCTGCATCGACAAATCCTTGCTCTACTTCAGACTCGGGCTCCGTGACGCTATCATCTGGGGCAGGAAAGTCATCTATATGAGTTGTCGGAGGACGTAAAATGACGTTACCGATGGGTTTTGTGGGGGCAGATGGTTTCATAGGAGAGTTATCGATTCCTGGACCAATAAATGTTCGCGAATTTTGGGGAAGCGCTATAAACATATCAGCAACATCTAACACATAAAATATATGTACATACATTTTTCCTTGGGCATGTCGGGAGATTTCGTGGTCGTGCAAGTGGATGGTATGATTTCAATTGTCTAGCAACATGAGACACTAATTTTTCGATGGCAAGTAAAAAAAAACGTACGAGGGGGCCGGGTACGTCTGGAATAAACGTAATGCGTATCGTTTCTGGGTACTTGAGAGGGAGTTCGAGGCGTATGATGTTTTCTTCAAACATGAGCATGATGTGAAGTAAGTAGAAGAAAGGACTTAGCGATTTTTTGGCATGATTTGACTCTTGGGTTGTCGCGACGTCCAGATATAACCTTCGAGCATGCCTGTACCCTGGTTAGCGTCGAGTTTGGAACGCTGCTTGGACATGTGCGGTTAGCTGGTTAATACATGTGTCTAAAGTATAGTTTGGGTTTGTTTACGCCGTGTCGCCTCTAACCGTTCGTCCGGTTTTCTCCAAAGTCTGACATTTGCAACGTCCGAATTCCCCAAGTCTAGTTTGTGTACAGATAGACTACTAGGTACGGATTGTGTCTAGGCAGACGGCTTATCCACGTCCAGATAGGGTCTGGTCAATTTCTCGTTTCCGCAGTGAATTTATATGCACCCGAGGTTCCCGCATGATGGACACCCAAATCATTAATTATCAGCTCCTGAGTACTGAGGGGGGAGGAACGCACGCGGGCTGATGGTGAGTCTAGGCCGGGAGGTGAAAGGGCGGTGCCTAGGATTCAAACTTCCATTACAATTTTCCTTCCAACACACCCAATGATAGTCGATGTTACTGTCGATGCATGAAATCACTTACCTTGCCATTCTTGCCACTGGGGTAAAGGCAATGACGACAAAATTTGCGCATTGCCACCCTGTCCGACCAACCTGATTGCGAGTTGCGAATGTGCTGCTGCAATTGCCTCCCCCGAGTAATCTCGTGAGTTAATTAGCGAGTGTCAACGTTGGTGAGCTAACGTTCGGTTTACCAGCCCATCGCATGAATTATGTGGTGGCTTTGATACTCAGACCGGTGAACAAGGCACGCTGCACAGCTCGTCCCTTCTGAGGCGCATCAACATATCTTCCAATCATTTTCATTGCAGCCGCTTTCTACTTAGCATTCACACTTTTCACACTTTACACATGTAGTCCCCTTCAGCGCCTATGATACTAGGTAACTAGTAGAGTACAGATCCGATGGCTACTCCTCAGTTGAACTTGCAGCAGTCCCAGCAGCCTGAGGTAGATTGATACTTTGATGACCACTCGTCCGAGCAGTTATGCTGAACACGGTAGCATAGCCCTAAGCAGGCCTTTCCGTAAGCTCCTTCATTGGCATCACTAAGAGCTGCCTTCACCCCAGCGGCAGCGACAATAATGGCGAGGTAGGTGAACTGAATCTTCATGGTATCTAGTATATGCGTTAGTAATGAACGTCAGTGCAGGAAACCACCCACCGTCAAAACTTTGATTGTGTGATGTACGCGAAGGTACTATGGCGCGTCCAGGAAGAGCTAAATATGAAACGGATAGAATGATCAAGTTGCCCAAGTCTTTAAACTTCGGGATTACTCACTGAAAACGAGGCGATTGTCTCTGAGGATTTTGGGACTTACTGCGTTCAATTTATACGCACCTGAGGTTCCCGCATGACGGACACCCAAATCAATAATTATCAGATCCTGAGTACTGAGGGGCGAGGAACGTACGTGGACTAGTTGCGAGCCTAAGCCGGGAGGTAAAAAGGCGGTGTCTGGGTTCTAATATAAGGACTTAATGATTATGCATACCGGTAACCGGCGGAAGTGTTGTGGGCAGAACTGCGGCAGAACTTCGGGTCGAGAGGGTGGGAGAACTTGGGAGAACTCCAGGCTTGGTGGAGCAGTTAAAACCAATATGCATAATGATTGAAGTTGTCAATTCCGACTTCCATTACAGTTTTCCTTCCAACATGTTTAATGACAGTCGATGTTACTGAGCATACATCAATCTCGACGAATTACCTCGCCATTCTCGCCGCTGCCACTGGCATGAAGGCAATGACGACAAAATCTGCGCATCGCTACCCTGTCCGACCAACCTGATTGCGGGTTGCGAATGCGATGCTGCAATCGCCTCCCCCCCAGTGATCTGCCACGTTCTTGAGCTAATTAGCAGGTATGAACTACCGTTCGGTTTACTATCCCATCGCGTGAATTAGTTGGCGGCTTTGCTGATCGTGCTGTCCGACGGTCAGTACTTGTCAGTAGCATTGATGATTATGTGATGATATGAGGAGTTCGCCTCATCGCTTGAGATTTTGGTCTCTCAACTACCCAGTTCACGATCTCTCTGACGCCAGCATTGCTATCACTCTTGATCCGCGTGGAATACATGTTCTCTTATGTAGGTCGGGGATGTGCTCGCTTCCGTGGGCGCGTGCTTTTGGTGTCAGACTCGGCTATAGACATCGCCTGTTTCTTGTCTTTACCGTCAAACGGCGGACTATGTGACTAACTGGACAACTGGAGAAGGTTGGAGACGTGACTGAAAGCGGTGTACCGGGGCGATCTGGCGCAGGTCCTCCGTGGAGTGCCATGGGTCCCGGCTCAGTGGCCGGAGTCCTGGCTTGTAGGTGGTCGCTGCATGTTGTAGTCGGTCCTCGATAGATAGAGCCGCCGCCTCTCGCCTTAGAGGTGTGGCCTTGGGTTTCCCCTTGCAGTCCGTGCCCGTTCCAGCGGGCAACATAGGTCTTGGCGACTGAATTAGAATTGGCTGTTTCACAGTCGTCGTGGGCATGGGTGGCAATGAGATATCCGTATGTTTCTGAAAAGACATGAGCGAAGAGTGAAGATTCTAGACACATTTTTGCCATTTTTATTTTGGGCCCGGCAGAACTGCATGGAGACTCCGTGGGTGGCTTATCCCTTAACGACCTATGCAAGAAGCCGGGAGGAGATAGAGAGGTATATGCAACAAAGTTCGTTAGAACTGAGAGTGTCGTCAACGAGCGAGTGCTTTTTGGGTGTGAGGGATCGATGAGTACCTGCAGGTGAGGGTAGAGCCTTGGATGATGCAGGTGAGGTAGACGTAGAATCATGTCCGTTAGACTCGTGTGTATGGCCAGCCATTGCCAACTGCCAGCAGTTTCTGTGGTGCTTGCTGAGACTGAATTTGAGTGGCTTTGAGCAGGGCAAACCGTGAAGGGCGAATGTTCAAAGGATTGGATATTGTTGCAGTAGCATTAGCTATAGAGGCCCGGACAGTCTCGGATTGCTGGTTGACGTTAAAGGCTAATAACCCGCCTTGTAGGGCGCCTTATTTGAGTAGGCGATCTGAGGGGCGAAGGGGGAGATAACTGGAGCATGCTTGCGTTCGTGAGGGCTGAGGGAGGGATGGAGGTGTTGGAGGTAAAGGGGTTGCGATTGGTCTTGAACAGATAGTCTTACAGACACTGCAAAAGGTAGAGAGGAAGGCTTAGTTGCAGCCAAGTGAAGGTGCAGGAGGGGACAGGGAAGCGGGTACAGTGCAAGAAACTAGGAACGAATCGCTGGTGTAGTCAACTATATAATACCAGCTCAAAGTTATGGTGGACGATAGGTTACGGTTCGATTTGTGTTTCCGATACTTTTTCGTAGTTTTTTCACAGTACCATTATAAATGTTATTAAATAAGATTATTTTCTATTTTCGAGACCTATAGGGGGTCAGAGTAAGTGCATAGGTGAAGTATGAGGGCTACATAATAGCACTAGCGAAGTCTAGTGACGAACGAGAGACACTCAGTAGTGTTGAGAAACAAAACTATATTGATAGCAGTACCTAGTGACGAACGAGAGACACTAAGATACATCAGTACGACGCTATGTGCAAGACAATAAGACATACACACCTCAGTAGTGTTGAGAAACAAAACTGAGGTGTCGACGAACAGATGCGACAACGTAAATACAACGGCAACGATTAGCTAAGATGAGTCCGGAGGATTGACGAGCAGAAGTGCCATGGGGTGCAGAAGGTCAAGAAGCATCTGCAGCGTATGGTGTCGAAGGTGGTCAAGATAAGGATAACAAAGAGCTTATACGCTAACAATAACTTGCTTAGCGTCCCATATATTGTCGTGCTGATACTTATACCCGCGAACGACTCACTTCTAACAGAAAGGCCAGCAACTCCACTGTACAGCAGACAGTGGGACTGACCTTGTCCTGAGCACGCATGAAGTCCTCCAGGACAACAAGCACCTCTAGAGAAGACGCGTGATAGAGATCAAGTAACGAATGTCAGGTTAGTATGCTGATGAGAGTAAAATTGATCTTTCGAGTGACCATAGGTGGCATATTAGGTGTACTCAGTTGTGGCGAACCCGACCAGTTCGCCGTGTCGTTCACCGAGTAAAACCACTGTCTGGGGAAGAATGATTCGGCAACTTCATGCTTGGTGAAAACATGAAGCGCAGCATATAGGAAACAATAGTGGTCAACAAGTTCATGTAATACTTATCCAACCCATGCGGTACATAGCTCCTTCAAGCTCATGATCCGAGCGGGGTGGCTCTTGACAGATAATGTTCGACTTCGGACTCTGTCACGTCTGGGCCTCAACTTCGATGTCGACCGTTCCTTCATCATTCCACATCGTAGAGCTTCGGAATAACTGTGCAATGGAGTGTGGTAAACTATCTCACTGATTAAAACAAAAATGTAAGATATTGCAGAGTGGCCAAGTGAGTGGTAACCGATAGTACTGATGAAAAGACCGTCAAACAGAAGTAGTACGTTCGTATGAACAATGTACGTCAGGTGGGATGCTGATAAGGATAAAACTGGCATCCTGGGACTGCAGTTTAATTTGACGTGGCATAGGTGTACTCAGTCGTGGCAAACCCGACTCGGGAGTTCGTCGTGTCGTACACCGAGTAAAAACGCTCTCTGGGGAATAACAATTCAGCAACGCCATTGCCAGCAAAAAAAGAGCGCAGCATACAAGAAACAATAGCCATTGATAAAATCCAAGCCAGAACCAGACTTGCTCCCGATGTCACTAACAATCAAGTATATGCCGTCGGTGCTACCGCCAATGGCGGTGTTCAACGATCGAGGCCAGATTTGCGCGTTGGGGCTGAGCTCGTAAGTTACGCCACCGGTAGTAAAATATAAGGATGAGAGCTGGTCGTATTGGTCGGATGAAATCTTTAACAAGCCAGTGGTCTCATCGAGGGTCCCACCCGTCGCTGACTTATATTTGTCGAAAGTATCTGAACTGTAATTTAGCACGGTTTCCATGTCGCACGGAGCACATACCAGTGGCAATGAGAACAAGGGTGGTTCCGGTGTCGACGATACCGGCTGTCTCGGATAACATCACTGTATCCCCATAGCTGATGGATTGATCAATGCCCCAATAATTACTTGCCGGAGATGTTGATGTGATAGGCACATAGTTAATGTCTCCAGTAATTTTGGAGGCATCATAACCGCCGAATGTGAGCTCACCACTGCTATCATCAGAGGAGGCAGGCGAGAAGAACACCCCGAGTACTTCTGAACTAATCGTTCCCTGCGCGTAAAGGTTGTCCGTCACAGTCGGGACTTGGTTTGTATTAGTGACGGTGCCCTCCGTTAAGTCAACTGGTCCGACGCCAAGAAGTCCATTCAGCGAAGTATCCATCCCTGTGGAATCGGATGCGACGCCAATAGATTGCTTATCGATGACCAGATCAGAGTTGAGCGTCACAGTGTCCAAGTATTCCTCTCCACGAGTGTAGGACTTATCCCCGTATTCAACATACTGGAAGCAGTTGAAATTATGAATTACCACGTATAGAGCATACAACTCACGAATTGATTGCCTGTATCTTGGCTTGTGCTGGTCTTCGTGTAATCCTTGTTGGCCCCGATCCAGGTATTTGAGCTTCCGGTATCTACCAGGAGCGTATCTGTATGACATAGAGAGTCCATTAAGTAAAGGAACTATCGGAATACGGCTCAACAACTTACAGTACGTTGGTGGACTCCCCACGCCAACGTCAGCGGTGTATGTGGTAATAGCATTGGTTACATCGATGGAAGAGCTGCCGCCATTTGAATCTTTTGTTAAGACTTGGGCTCGAGCGCGATCGGCGGCGACGATATTCTTGCTCCCGTTCGCGTTGAATCTAACGGCGAGCTTGAGAGCAGCAGTGTTCGATGCTGTCCGAGGATGAGGCGAAGCCCTCGCTGACAGCGAGAGGAAGGCAAGCGCCGACAGGGCAAGAAGAGATGAAATCGATGTAGAGAGAACCATCTTGCTGACCACCAATGTCAACTGTGGGCCTTTTTAAATGGTGGTTGGGTTTACGAGAACCACTACATTGTTGCGGCAGAATAGTGGAGGCGAACAACGTCAACTTGCGAAGCGACTCAGACTAGCCTGGAAAGTTGAAATGAGTTGTAAGTAGTAGTAGGTGACTTCTTAATGTTCCGAAATACCTCGGCTCCAAGGTGCGCGCTTCGAAGGTTCACCATCAACATCGCGAACAATATCAAAGCTTCGAAGGGACTAACTTGAAATGTGACTTTCGAAGATATTGCATGAAGATACACTGCCAAAAATGTTACCGTGGTCTGACTAACGGTGATGACATTGGGTGACGCATGAGTCGACCCATGGAAATCCTACAGTAAGCCTATTGGTGGACTACAAAAAGGAACCCATGATCGACCGTTAGCGTCGAGCATGGAAAACCACGGAGGGATGCAATAGACTTTTCATGGGCAGGTACAAAGTTTTGCAATGGCATTCTGACGACAGGCAACAGATTTCACGAAAAAACATTAGCTGTCATTCTCTGGTAAGATATACGAGCTACTAGGGACAGAAGGCCATTAAATAAAAGGGATAGTCAAGTGAGAATGACGTGTGAGAATGATGGTGATCAGTCCAATGCATTGCGAAATGATGGGAGTCCAATGATAATGTGTGAGCGAGTGTCCAATGATTGTATGCGAAATGATGGTTATGGATGAGAAGGAGAGGGAAATATCAGCGGCACACTGAATGATCAAACATTGTTACCAGCATGTTGTTAAGATCATGGTCGGCGGTCATTAGTGCACGGGGTTCGTCGAAGATCCCGGGATGTTGTTGCGAGGGCGTGATGTAGGAGCTGGTGTTGCACTTTTGTCATTCTCGTCCAAGTCAAGCAGCTCGAGATTGTGCGTGGCGAAGTTGCGCTGTAAATGGAAAAAAAAAAGTACTGCAGTCGAAAACTGAGCCAGTGGAAAACTTACTATTTGTACCGCTTTTGTGCCAGCAGTACTATTACAGGCTGGTTCGGAATGAGTGCTTGCCAGGTGTCATAAGTCTGTTGATGTTCATTGGATGGAAGGAGCTGGAGTGTGGAAGTGTTGCGAGTGTGGTTTGAGAGGGTTTGAGTGTGGTGGAAGCGTGGAAAATGGCAAGTGATGATTATTTTCGCTAAGTTCAAACTGCGGCACATTCAGCGTCGAAAATTGTCACTACCACAGTATATCGATGAAACAAATGAAAATTGTCCCTAATGTACACCTTTGAGTCTTTGACGCTCCCGTTCGAGTAACGCTGGTCGTGTTGAAGTGAGGTTGCAGTGATTGGCTGCACAATTGTGTTGTACATTGACACTGCAGTCAGTTTGCTAAGTTGCCGTGGCGAAGGTCAATAGCTTAAGGAGTGTTGGTTTGTCTGTGTAGAAATCTCGCGCTATACGGCCCTCAACAACACGGTACATTGGTGTAAGCACGCTGCACGTATCAAGAATATTGTATGTATTGTGTGCGTGGGTAGTTGGTAGGCTGAGACTATGGGATGCGCAAAAGATGACAAACGTGGCCAAAACATGGGCCTTGCCATAGTTTGTCGGCCGTTTCCCTTTTACAGGTAAACTATGGGCAAACTATAGGACACCTTTGGGTTCGGGCCGTCGAGAACTTACGGTAGACCCAGACCGTAGGTTGCATACGGTAACATTTTTGGCAGTGTACAATTGGTGTCAGTTCGTACGTAGCGGCAGCGATGATAACCCACAGAATTTTACGCGATATACTGAGGCATCTGGTTCTATGTAGTACCATTTCTGCTCATTAACGTGATTTGGGTGACTCGGATCATGATGCACTTACCTGATCAGCTGCCACGGAAGATTCCAAGAAAAATTATTCACCACCGTCACGTCGGCCAAGCGAATCGACCCGACCCCATGATGATGGAGTATATGGTGATCTGTTACCATTCCGAAATACTTCGGCTCTCTATGGCGTGAGAAAGGCAAGTCCCTGAACGCATCAGTGGCAAAGACCTCAACCACCGCTCGGTAAACCTACTTCCTGGTCATTCTTAAGTCGAAGGTCGCCGCCCTCGCGCATACCTGTTCTGCCGCATTCGTGCCACTCCTACATCACATCAGTGAGCTACTCCAATATTCGACATCGACATCCCCGACTTCAACTTACACGGTACTACCAGTTCTGACGCCACCAACAAAAACCGCCGCTGCTAGCGCCGCTTCTCCATGCATCACTTTTTGGCTTCTTCATCCTCGTGTCCCCGTCTCTCTCATGTCTGCCACCCTCTCCCATACAGAACTTGGATGTGCAGTGTAGCATATCCTTGACAGTGTTTTGTTCTTTACATACCACAAAATTTTAATCATGAACCAACTTAAATTCTCGTGTCTTTGGTTTGCTGCAATATTCAAATTATGACTATCAATGACAGGAACATGTAGGTAGGCACTGATACATAGTAGGGTAGTATGTACCAGGTGGAGCTGCAAGGTATGAGAGGATGAAAAAAAGTGGAAATCACTGAAGACAGAAGGCAAAGGCGCCAGGTAGTGGCAACTGGTGGGCAGAGACAACGAGGATTGAAGGGAAGAGACAACAAATGTTGACCACAAGTGTGATGGTGATCTGGCATTGGATCTTAACACGGAAGTGCCACCCGGTCTTGATGCGCTGTTTCCAAAAAATCAACTGGCGGCGATCGCCGATGGTATAGCCAGGCTGCAGGAAGGAGCAGGAGCAGGATTGGTGTCAAGGGTTATAGGCAGGATGCAGAGGGATGGCAGCATTCACGGGCACTAGGAAGAGGCAGAGGATGCTGTGCACAAAGACTGCAAGCTCGACAAGTAGGACAACAAAGACATGTAATTAGGACAATAAAGATGATGATACATGAAAAAATATTCATGCCTTTCTCCGACACAGTTTGCGGGGTCCAACCTTCACTACATAACATCAGTCGAATGGTAACATGCTTTCTGAAAGATAGAGAGCTGATCTATTTCGGAATGGTAACAGGTCACACATCACTCATGATGATGGGATGTTGTTGCATTATGTAGTAAGTATAAGTTAACCACAAATGACTCAAATGTTCACCTATCCACTCTGAGCTTCTGAGGTATCCTGCCAGATCTCGAGCCTTTCAGAACAAGTCTGGTCAACAAATCCATGTAAGAATATTTCTTGAACTTGTTTGGTATCGCTCCAACTTGGGACAACTAATCTCGGTCCATTGTTAGTTTCCCATAGTCAGACCTTGAATGAGGGAAAACAATTGTTCCTTCTTACCATGGGTCTATCGATATGAAGCTCTGATAGCTGTCAGAAATGCTTCTCCCACACGATACACTCCACACCCTGCACACTCATCTCAGCACTGGGTTCTGTAGGTGCAAATAAAACTCTGAGTATGGGTGTCCACGGTCTGCATATGGGAGCTTGTTGAGGCACCCTGGGCAGACCATAGCTGGATTGATCATGTTGGGGCGAGCCACGATTCATTGCGGCAATGACGCAGACAGATTTGTATGAGTCTACTAACACCTGAGACATGGCCAAATAAGAGTCTGTGACAGATCCAGTTCAAATCAAGGAACAAATTGTTAATATTTAAAAGGATATTGTTTGCCTCAAGTAGTGCTGCCGTGGTCCAGTTCAGTCAGGTTCACAGAGGGATAACCAAAGACCGAAAACCGGACCTAGGTCCGGTTCTACCAGACTCAACGAACCCTGAACTGGACCTTTGCGAACGGTTCAGAATGGTCACGTCCGGTCATTTTCAGGTTTGAATGTGAACTGAACCCAAATTTTTTTACAGCAAGCAAAAAAAACATAGATAGTACTTGTACTCATAGCTAGACATCCAATACAGTTGCTTCTGCCTCAACCTGTGCGGAAACATGGCCATTCTTGTATGCGGCCTTCAACAACTGCAGTGAGCTGAATGTGGATGGTGCGAGTCCATTGTGCCGCACAGTAGACGTGATCCCTCCACTTGAAAAAGCCTGTTCAGAAGGAATGGCGCTGCCTTGAATGGGCAAATAGTCTCGTGCGATGCGTGCTAGTGTAGGAAATTGCAATGAGTGAAGCTAATAAACAATTTCAGTAGCAAATAGACAGGTCAATGAGATTACTTACTCCCCACCAGGCGACGATGTTGTCAGCTTCCTCTTGTGGCGAAGACAGATACAAGGTGAGTTCTTGATGAGGATTATGAGCATGTTGGTCTGCAGCTTGACATGTTTTGATGGCCTCGCGCATCCATGCATCACCGTACCAGTTTTGATGTGAGGGTCTTGTTGGCAGAGCAGGGTCTTTAGCAGGCACCCGAGTTGGCGGTTTATAATACTCGTCAAACTATAAATGCATGTTCAGGAAGGATAACGAGCAGTCGGGACTGTTATTACTTACCAAAGCCTCGAGGTGAGCCCTCCTGTCCACAACATCTTGAGTGTCCCATTGATCTTCAACATAGGCAAGCTTGTAGTTGGGGTCGAGAACTATAAATGTAATTAGAGGAGTGCATGCAACATAGAAAATAATATTAATGCTCACCAAGACAAATGAAATATACATCGGAGTCACTCGTTTTCTTGTAGTACTTGTCAATGTTCTTGAGTCCATGCTTGATTGCATCTGTGATCAGCGCGTACTGTGGATTGTTTGCCATCTCTTGCCACCGGTCAGTAAGGCATTCCAATATAGGGATCGTTTGCGACGCAGTTGGGTGTTTCGCAGATGAGAAGGATTGTTGGGCAGTCGCTGGTTCCTTCAGGACTTGATGAACGAGCATGAGGTGTTTCCAATTGTTTCGATCAAGCTTGAAATCGTCATAAGACTTGTTGCAAAGATTTGGCACTTCTTTACTTTCATCAGCGAGGTTTGTGAAGCGGTTCACAGCCTGTTCAATTATAAATATCAGACTGATGAACGCTGACAAAAAAATGGCTTACCCGACATAACATTAGCATGCGGTCAAGACATTTATATAAAGAAGCCCAACGAGTCCTAATCCACAGCAATAACTTGAGCTCGGGGACATTCTCTTCTTTGCAGGCCTTCTTGAAGAAGGCATGAGCTCGAGGTGATTTTCGAATCTAACAGTACCAATCAGCGAGAGCATAGAATAATAATGCAGCACATACCTGGTCAATGAGTGCGAGGGCTTTACCAAGTGAATCACCAGTGTCGAACACATCATCTTTCTCATGATCACCGTTAACTTCCATGGCTGCGAGCTCCTTATTCAAAACATCGAGATCATCATCATTTCCCGTATTGAGTGCCTGACGGATCTTCTTCATAAGCGCAGCTTGAGGAGTAGGTGCGACCGCATCTACGAAATGTCGTGCGGCAAGGTTCAGTATGTGTTCCTGGCATCTGATGCGGTGAGTGGCAGGTATCCAACGGACGCCCTCAAGAGGACATGAACATACCAACTGACATGAGTGTGGAGCATAGAGATTCCTCCTCGAAATACATGCCTGCTCTCAGGTTCACCAGCATCCCTACCAAATATCAGCGCAAAAACCATGCATACAGTGCTAACTACGTACTTGCAAGGGTTGCATACCCAGTGTGTTTCATGGCGAGTGAAGGTGGTGCGAATGTCAGCGGTACGTTCCCTCTTGGTCAAAGTAGCTTGCACAGCCTTGGGTTCAGCGCCGTCCTCAGGTTCAGTGTCATCCTTGGGTTTGGCTTCATCTTTGGCATTGGCCTGGTCAGCACCAGCCTCCAAAGGGTCGGTGTCGTTACCAGCATCACTGTCATCGAGGCTATCATCAGCCAAGAGGGATGATACAACCTTTTTCCGAGCCAGTTGAAGTTCAGTAGCGCCAGACAATGCACATTTTCTGCTAGTTGAAGAATAGACATTTTCGGCATTGCGGAGGCGAGCAGACAGCTTAGATGTGCGAACAGATCGTCGAGAACCAGCCATAACTGGTGCTGGTTTGCACCCAGCCTGCAATAACATGGAGAAGGCATCTTTAGGAGGATGAGGATTAGATGATGACAGTCGGGCAGAGGATGTAGCGTCAATAGGGTTGGGATCGTCAGGATCGTGGTAGAATACAATGTCCTTGGCATCCTTGAGTGAACCGTCAGCATTGAGGGCACATGCATCATTGGACATTGCAGGAATGGAAAATACTCACCAGGTGAGGCATGGTCCTTTTATGTTTGAACAAACCATACAGCCAGCCGTCTCTAAAGCCCGTATTGGACGATGCTAACAAATATATCAATTAGTTTATCGAGTTTTATGAGATGGCTGATTCGTACCTTTATCTAACAGCCGGGGGCGCAAAATGCGAGCCTGTGGACAGAAATCAAAACCGGTGAAAATCTTGAGGATCCCGAAGAAAGTTGAAATGGCGTTTGCATTAGAGGATGCTAACAAATATATCAATATGATATATCAATTAGTTTATTGACTTTTATGAGACAGCTGATTTGTACCTTTATCTAACAGCCGGGGGTGCAAAATGTGAGCCTCTGGACAGGAATCAAAGCCAGTTAAATTCTTGAGGATCTTGAAGGTCAGAGTGACCATGAGGGCAGGAGTCGAAGTAGAACACCTCACCGATATCGCAAGGAAGCAACGAAGCATCGGTTCAGGGTTCAAAATGGTTCGGGAAGGTCCAAACCCATGTTAGAATGGTTCAGGAAACAGCGGACCATGAACGTCATTCCGGTTCAGTCCGTCCAAAATGTGGAACCAAGGACCGAACCATGGCAGCACTAGCCTCAAGATCCATGATCAAAGCTAGGAAATGTTCAGCATTAGTGTTGACCCCAGATTCATAATCAAATGAGGAATACACAAGGACAAAAAATGCTGAATTTGTTGGTATCAATCTGCCTTATTGTTATATTTATAATCAGATAATGAAAATGATTGGTATATGTTGACTACACAAATTCAGATATAAATTGTAGACATGCCACATGATCAAATATGTGATAAATTTAAACTATGTATCAGATCGAGTGAGGGGACAGAGTGTGGCTATGTTGGCTGGACAGAGAGCGGAAAAATTATGAATATGTACATGAATATGCCTAAGAGTTAACCTCTGACAATGACCCTAAAAATGTGTGTATATCATATGAGTGCCCCACTAAGGGCTCACTTAGTGGGGCACTGGTTAAATGAAGTGGGCCACTTAAGGGGAACTACAAAAATACAAGGACAGAGAAATGACCGCTTAAGAGGAGCTACGAAAAAATACAAGGTCATATGAATGGCAAGTCTAGTGGGCCACTTAAGGACTACAAAAATACAAGGAGCCATGGATGACAACAGGAACAAGAGTTTCATTGAGTTAACATTCACTACAAATACCCACTACATCGTTCATACTTTCAAGTTTGTTCCACAAGATTTCTGTGCAAGATAAATGATGGCAAAGCAATGACCGAAGATAGGGGTGGGTTGAATATCGTGATTTGACACTTACATTGAGTTTACTTTTGGAGGAATAGAACGACGAGGACCTTGCCAGGAGCATATTCAAATTGAAAGTGGTGATTGTGACTGTGTGCAGCCTATTACTAAGTGGGTGCAACTACCTTATTGGGAAGTTGCGTCCATGTGCAACACATGCGCAACATCCCAAGGTGTTAAGACCGTGCTCAGGGGTAAGGCAGAGTCTGAGGGGCTTGGCTTCAGCTTGTGCGCTGTGTCCCTTACCCAAGTACGTGCCTCTAATTTTGGATTGTAGTCCGACTTGAGTTCTACAAGCTCCGACAGAACATTGGAGTGGAGGTCCTCCGAAGGAGGACTGACGGACTACTAGATGAGCATGGGAATGTTGGGTGGAGGTTGGTCCGCTCAACAGGAGAGAGTTGGAGGACTACTGCAGTCGGAGCTAACAGTAGGAGCGGAGTGGAGGAGACTGCTTGGATGAAGTCTGAAGCAGAATGGAAATGTGGAGGACAGTTGTACAAGAGTATTGGCCACAAGTCTGAGGCGCAGGAAAGCAGATGAGCAGAGAAGGCAGCCGACCTAGGGAGTCAATCCCCTAGGCCGGCAGACAGGAGTTGTCAAGGGTAATGCCCAAGAACAAGAACAAGAGATCAGGGCTTAGAAAAGGTAATATTCAGACTAAAGATCTACAGACAGATGTACATATGTTTATATACTCTAAGTAAGTAGCATAGCATAGCAGAAGGCTATGTGCTGAGTGTATATAATTACTAGAAAGATGACTGAGACATATGAGAAAGAGGCTTGGAGAACAGTATGTACGCGACAGATCAATAATCACTCGGGTATAGGGATTACCAGTGATCTGAAGGGAGGAACTATGATACTAAAAGGAGATAGGACCAGTTGAGTGGTTCCTAGTCTAGGAGTGGACTGGTGAGGCAGTCAGGCAGACCAATAGTCGGGTGGAGCGACACAAGAGAAACTGAAGGGACCAAGTGGGTCGGAAAAGCGGAGATGGTGGAGGGAGTAGGAGTAGGATCAGGCAGACTGACAGAGCGGAGGAGCGGAGCTCCAGATAGGGTTGGATGGTAGGGATATGGTGTTGGAGGAAATAGGGGTAGTGTCGGAGGAGTGGAGCAGAGTTGGGTGGAGGTAGTAGGGCTAGTCCTACTGAGATGTACTTTGTGCATTGTCGGAGAAGGAGGGATGGAGTGGACGGGGAAACAGGGGGTTGGACCAGCAGTAGGGATGTTCACAGGTGGTATTGGAGGTGCTTGGATCTGGTATATGGCACAAGGGGTAGTTGTGACCGTGCACAACATACCCAAGAGGTAAGTTACAACCAGTTGCAATAGCTAAAATAAAAACCAATAAAAGCCATAGAGATAATCAGGATACATGGATACTAATTCATAATGGAAAGCAGGAGTGACAAATAAGTGGTTGATGGCTTATTTGAAAAGTTGAAAGCAAAGTTGTAGCCAGTAAAAAACTACATATTCCCAAGGGGTGGTTGCGACTGTGCACAACATCCCAAGGGGTGATTGCACCCATGTGCAACATCCATAAGGGGTAATTGCGACTGTGCACAACCTATGACTAAGCATGTGCAACATCACTATCTGGGTTTGAAACTGAGTTTGCTACTACTATACAGTACCACTATCATCAACATGCCTTTGATTCATTACCACCATCATCTCACCAGTCCCTAAGTCAACAATTCAAAATGCTCACTTGCCCCAACTGTTCTGCTACATTTGATGTCAACAAATATTATGGCAGGCATAAGAAACAATGTCTGAAGGAAGTGGAGACCTTTATTTCTAAACAAAATAATCAAAGAATCACTGTCAAGAAAAATGACAAGGGTAATTTTGAGTGCTACTGTTCTGATAATGGATGCCCAGACCAGAAGAAAGTCTACAAAACCATAGCGACTCTCAAAAAGCACATGAAAAAAGTCAAGTCTCATTGGATTGGATTAAGCAAGGTAGAAGATTGATTAGCATACATGCATACTAGTCAACAACTGACATCAACTCAAAGATTGGACAACCTGATCCATATCCACCTCAAGCCATAGATGGATCAATGACTGGTCATCAGGTAAGCGAATTGATTAGCATACACATACACTAACTCATCCTTATAAACAGCCAACACCAACATTCCAAGAAGATCAACCCATGGATATCGATCAAGATCTAGGAATACAAGTACGTTGTATGAGTTAGCATGCCCATATGCTAACAAACCATCAGTCTCAGGCAAAGGAAGTGCAGTCTGAATCTGGGGAAATAAGTGGTTGACCGCCTATTTCACAACCAGGTCAACAAGTAAGTCTCATATGATTTAGTGTACATGCAGGCTAATGGATTTGTAGGAGCAGTCTCAATCCAAGGAAATAAGCGGCCAACCACCTATTTTGCAACTGGACCATCAAGTGAGTGTCAGGATTTAGTATACATGCACACTGACATATTTTTAGGAGCAAGCTCAGTCCAGAGAAATAAGCCGTTGACCGCTTATTTTGTAGCCAGACCATCAAGTGAGTGTCATGATTTAATAAATGGGCATGCTGATGGATCATGGTTTAGGATGGACTACTGCACCATCCATACCTAGACAGAATTGGCATGGCAGTGGATGCAGACCTTCAAGTCCTATGCTGTCTCATCTGCCAGGTGGTATTGCCTCCAGATCATGTCTCTGGCCATATAGGCAATATCCATCCAGAACTATGAATGGACGACAACCAGTATTGTCAAGCAATCTCTGAGATGGAAATTGCCATGACTCTTCTCAATGGCATCACTGGAGGTAAAGACAGCAAGGTATTCAGAGGTCTAAAAGTATATGACAGTCTAGTCTGCAATGCATGTGCCTTCATATGTGGATCCAAGAAATGGATGCAGACACATCATCAAGCAGAGCATCCCTCTCTTATCTTGCCCAAGCAGTGGTCCTCTTGCAAGATGCAACAATTGAACAAAGGGGCAAACAAGCGATTCTGGCAGGATGCTGATGATGAAGAACCATTACATGATCATCAGGAGGTCATCGATAGATTGAGAAGAGAAATGAACGAGGCAGTCAGAGTGGAACAGATTGCTTCAGAGAAGTGCATGGTAAGCCCTTGGATAATGACCACCAAGTGGCATGAACATGTTGCCGGTCATGATGTCTTGATGCTGTGCAAGCTGGTAGAGATACCAAAGGCAGATGATGCTGTGATGCCACATCTACAATGAGTCGTAGAGGCATACTTCAGACATGCTCAGACATTACTGGACACCACAGACAAGCTGATTCTGCAGAGGCTGAATTTGCCTGATCCAATCAAAGAGTAAGCAAACTTCATCAGCATATGCGCATACTAAGCGACCTTTACAGGGGAATCAACAACACACCACTTCATCAGCACCAAGAAATGGCCACTCTCAAGGAATACATACATCCAACAGCAGCCTTGCTAGTGATGCTGATAAGGACAGACAAAGAAGCAAGCTACTTTGTTCTATTACCGGCATGTCTAGAAGATGTGATCCATGATCTGCAGGTGTCTCTGATGAATGAAGAACGGATCATCCAAAGCATGCATGAGGTCCTCAAACAGGTGTGGATGGTCAAGTGGATCAAGACCACAGACAGTCACATTCCTTGTCCGACCAAATGACTGATAGCTCTGGAAATACTGGAGGCAGATGGAGGTCACAAGGAGGCCAGCTATGTGATGAATCCTTTAGCAAAGCTAGAATATTGCATACAACTTGTTTGCCTAGAAGAGACAAAGATCCTAAGTGCTTCCACCTTTGATGGGGATGACGAAGCTGCTTTGGACTCTCTATTACCTTGGTTCACAGAGAAGACCAACTCCCCCTTCAGCCGCATTCGATCCCTTTAGCATTGAGCCTCATCGATTGCTTATAGCACAATGAGCACGCCTCGGGTCTGGTGGACGGACCGAAAGAAGTGGGAGGAGATGTTGTACAAGGGCAACAAGGTGCATATAGACCACCTGAGGCAAATGTTTGCTTTGATGGAAAGCAAACTGGTGGACCTTTGGGAGAACAAGGTGCTGGTAGGAATCAGCATGCACGTATGCTATGAGGACATCAAGGACGACAACACGAACCACGATGTCGGCTACTCCTTTCTATCAGATCGCAGCAACAGTTGCTTTGCAGATAGGGATCGCTTTTTCAAGGCCATCATTGAGAATCAAGAGACCTTTGGTCGGTTCGCCATCATTTGCGATGGAGAGGTGATTTGGGACAAAGGAGTGTTGATGACTTGGTTGAGAGACTATGCAGAGTTTCAAAAGCTAGTCCTAGCCAGATGTGAGATGCTCAGTGGAGCACCAGGCCGCAGCACTGAACTCACCACCATGGTATACAGAAACACCAAGGTAAGCAGCATATTCAAAATAAGACATCAACAGCTTATTTTCATGACCGACAGATGTGATCCCAGCGCAACCTAGTGATGCTAGGCAAGAACCTGACCATGCTGAGGACATATCACAAGTCTAGAGTATTGTCTGGGCTGGACAAGCTCATTCCTCACTCCATAAATGGAGTGACAGCAGACCTGATGATCCAAGATCTGGCCTTGACCAGACCATTTGCAGAGATAGCAGCTCAAATCTGCTATCCAGACAAGCCAGAGATCAAAGAGATGTATCAGACACATCTCTTCATCAACAAGGACAAGCTGTTCAACACAGATCAACTATCCGCAACCATGTTGAGGGAAAGCATATCTCACATCAGCTTTGGACTCAGAGTCAACTCATGGCGTCACATCAGCACCACATTCAAGCGGAAACTGGGTTGATTTGCAGAAGAGTTGTTGGAAGAAGACAAGCAAGACACAGTCAAAGCTCTTCAAGCAGGTCATACAAGATCGACAGAGAACAGGATCTATGGTCTGAGTCCTGATACTCTGGCAGGGACACCAGAAGATCTATTGCCTCTATTCCTTTAGACAAGCACCAACTGGCAGCTCTTGATGCATACCATACCAGGAGGGCATGGATTAGCATACACGGATGCCAGTGTCAGTCATTTCAAGGAGCTGGTACAGTCTGGTAAATTTGGATCAGACCACCAAACAGACCAAGCTCCAGCTACTCCCTCTCCCTCTCCACCTTCATACAGTGAACAACAGCAGAGGTGACTCTATCAACAGAAGCCATCACTAACAGGATCATAGGCAAGTTAGAAGACAGGTTGGTCAAAGGACTTGAGGAAAGGTTGGTCAACCAAGTTATAGAGCTGCTTGGTCCAGCACTGCAAGCAATCATCAAGGATGTGGTCAACAAGGTGATACCTCAAGAACCAGCTGTGCCTATGAATGCCGTAGATTTCACTGACTTGTATGCAACAAATGACTTTGAAGAAGGTGAGCTGATTGAAACAAGCCATTGACGGCTTATCTGAGATTTATCTTACAGAACATGTCAATGGTCAGTGCCTCAAGATCATCTCATACACCTTTTTATCCCATGAACTGAAATGTAGGTTTCAGCAGAGTCTATTGAAATAAGTTGTCAACGGCCTATTTTGAATTCATACACAGAACATTTCACATCACCACCACCCAATGAAAATGGAGCTGCAGCAGAATCAGGTGAGTCTCCTGAAAATAAGCTATTGATAGCTTATCTGAGATCATTCACAGAAGATATTGATGGTCGGTGACCAGAGATTAATATATGCATATGCTAATGATGGCCAACAGATGCACCACCACCCCCCAATCAGTTGCAAGAAAAAAGGGATACTCTAAAGAAGAAATGTCTATGGACTCTTCAAGCACTTTTGAACGACAGGTTTGCCAAATGGTCTTCACCGCAGCAAAGGGATGCAGTAGTTGCTGTGCTGCAGAGAGAAAGAGATGTGATTGCCATGCTCAAGACCGGAGGCAGAAAATCCATGCTTCCTATCTGTTAGGTACCATGCCAGCTCAGGAAGCAGAGGGGTTGGGGCTTGGCTTCAGCTCTTGCGCTGCACCCTTAGCCGAGTACGTGCCCCAAATTTGGAGTGGGTCCAACATTGTCCGATGATAGGACGAGTAGACTGCTTAGGTCCACTTTGAGGGTCGGGAGGTAAGAGCTACTAGTGGTGGACTGACTAGGAGTGGAGCGGAGAAGACAGAGGATAATGGGAAGGGTGGAGAAGGAACAGGGGGAATGTTTGATAGGAGCGGAGGAGGCGGAGGATAGTGCGGAGGGCGGAAAGGAGTAGGGGAAGTATTTGATGGGGGCGGAGAAGTAAAGAGAAGACTTAGAGCACGGCTCTAAGTCAGAGCGGAGGGTTGGAGGTGACAACAAGGTGAAACTTGTGTCCAGAGGAGGCAAGGTCCTACTGAGAATTCTCACAAGAAGTAACTGCGAGAAGACAAGTAATATTAAGACTGAGGAAAATATCTAAGTACATGATATGTTATATACTTCTATGTATGAGGCAGTGATCAGGATAACTATATTGTAAAGCTATGTACCAAGGATATAATTTGTAAGTACTTACACAGGTGAAGACATAAGTCGGAGCGGATATCAATATGTACGTGTCGGATCAGTGATTGAGTGGTAAAAGGAATTACCGGTGATCTGGGAGTAAGGGTCTATGTACTGAAGAGGAAAGTATATATCTAAAAGAGGAAAGCAGTTCCAGTTGAATGGAGGCATTTTATGGAAGGGGACCGGTTGGGCGGTCGAGCAGAAGCGTAGGGGCGGATGTGGATGATGATTGGATGGAGCGGAGAATGGATGGAGTGGAGGTGGTCGGAAAGCAGAGTGGATATTGATATTAGAGCGGTCGGATCAGGTATATGACACTATCATTGCTGCCATCATGGAACTGAAGGAGGCGGTGGTCATAGTACTTCCTCTGAGGTCCTTGATGAGCGATTGGGAGAGAAAGCTCAAGGGAATGAAGATACCATTCTAAGTCTACAATCCGACAAAGCCTCTGGTGACCATGATCAATCTGATCCTTGTATCAGCAGACAAAGCAAAGTTCAAGACTTGGAGACAACAATTGGCAGAACTAAACACTGTTCTTCCCATCAGCTGCATGGCAGTCAATGAATCTCATCTGCCATTACTCTCTGACAACTTCAGAGAGTCCATGTGGGATATGCTAGAGCTGAGGCAATTCTCCATGCAACTGCTGTTACTGAGTGGCATGATACCACCCTCCAGCATCCCCGCTCTCAAGATAATATTTGGTCTGACTGATAAGGTACATGAGATCAGGCAGTCCAGCAACTGGCCAGAGCTAGAGTACATCCTCAAACCACCTGCATCATCGAGCGATATAGAAGAGGAGACCATTCAGATCATAGCGAACGAGTGGAAGGAATGGTCGACGAAAGACAGAGGCCTAGTCTTCATAGTTTACATGCAAGATGGAGAAAGTGTGGCTGAAAAGGTGATTCAGAAAGTCCATCAATTCATAAGCATGTTAACAAGACCTCTGTAGACTGGCTGGCCATTCTATAATAGAGACAAGGAGACGAGCGATGCTACAAGGGCTCGATATTACAAGAGTTGGTTCCAAGGGGAAACTCCGGTAATGATCTGCACGAGCGCATTCAGCACTGGCAATGACTGTTCGAGCATTTGACTAGTGATCCATATGAAGATGCCTATGGAGATGACAGAGCTGATCCAAGCTCAAGGCAGGGGGGGAAGAGATGGACAACACACACGGTGCTATGTTCTTCTAGATTTTTCTCCAGCCAAGATCACCATAGGACGACTTGAAGTTGATCACAAGGGACTATGGCATGCAAGAGACTATGCATACAAGAACTCAATTGCATGCTGTCTCCGTCATGCATCCACAGAATATATAGATGGAGTAGGAACTTGGTGCAAAGACAATGCAGCGAATCAGCAATGCTCCTTCTGCAAGAAAGGACCAAAGGGACTAAGCCAAGGACGCGCACCATTGATGGTGCATTTGAATGATAGGCAGACCTCTGGAGAAAGCCATGTGCATGAACAAATGACTTCACTCAAGAGAATGATAGAAGAGATATTGACCAACTCTGGAGATCCATTCCTTGAAGCTGTTGAGAAAGCAAAGAAGTCTAGGAAAGAGCGGCTAGAGGGAGAGATGATGGAAGTAGAGTGAATGCGAAGAGCTTTGGACAAGATCAAGGACAAAGGTTGTGCTCTATGCTTGACTACCAGAAACAGTGAAGGACAGGACAGACATGGCATATTTCAATGTCCTTCATTTGCACAAGTGAAGGTGTCTTGTCATGCATACATGACATGGAAGAAAAGGATCAGGTATAATCACCACAAGGGAATATGCTGGAAATGTCATGTGCCGACATGCGGAGACGAGCTTCACAGACCACTGGTAGCCGGAGAGGTGACCTGCAAGTGGCCAGACATTGTGGTTCCTATAGGATTTGGAATCCTAAGAGATGACAAACTACAAGGCGAAGCGGAAAAGAAGTTCAAGGTAGATTGGAAGAACAATGGAGAGGTGTTTGCGACATGGCCAGGAAAGAAACCAGAAAAGAGACGACTGAGCAACAGAATGGACTTGCTGCTATGGTTTGTAGAAACACATCTTAATCAGTATATATGGACGGTAGCATGAAAGATGAAGGCAATAGCAAACATGTGGGCCAAGTCACTAATAACATCAGTCGTGGTCATACCAAATAAGCGGTCGACAGCTTATTTCGAGATGTCAAGATGAAAATTAAAATGACAGGATTCACTGAGATAAACAAGCAAGCAAGCTGCTATCTAGGAGAGTCAGCCATGGCCTCAGGAGAGACCTACAATTTGTATCAACTGTAGCACAAGTCACACACTGGTTCAAAAAACAAGCACTCAAGCACAAAGTCTTAGAATGAGATATTGCTGGCAGAGATCAGATGCGTGCACTGGTATTGTTTGAGTATTTTGTTCATATCTCTTTGAGATCTCACCGCATCAATGCTGCGAGACCACACGCAGACTCTCCTTGAAAACTATGACAACTTTGTTTTTTTTTCAAAAATTCCCACGGTCTATAATTAGTCATTTGATTTCTACTTGCATATACAACTTTTTGTTCAAAAATTCCCACAGTCTATAATTAGTCATCTGATTTGTACTTGCATGTCTCTTATATTATCAATGCAGTTCAAACTCCCTGGGCTAAGACTGGGTTTCATTTAACCCATTGGTTGATCAATATGTACTTATTTGTCACTGTTATGATATATACAATCAGCAACCTGTGGCTATGTCAGTTCACAACTTAACCTCATACCACTACCTTCCTATTTGGGAACCAACCAAATACAACCAAACAAAGAGAATGTCTGAAACTGTAAGTTCAAAATAACATTCTAATATAATGCATTGATTCTGATATACAATGCATAGTCGAAAACCAATGAAAGCATAAGTTGTGTAGCATTGCAAAATAAGATGTCGACGGCTTATTTTGTTCACCCACCAGAGGACTGGTGAATACCAGATCAAGGACAAAGCAGTGAGTCTACCACCTCAAAATAAGACGTCGACGGCTTATTTTATTCACCCACCAGAGGACTGGTGAATACCAGATCAAGGACAAAGCAGTAAGTCTACCACCTCAAAATAAGATGTTGACGGCTTATTTTTTTTTCACCCACCAGAGGACTGGTGAAAACCAGATCAAGGACAAAGCAGTGAGTCTACCACCTCAAAATAAGACGTCGACGGCTTATTTTTTTTTCACCCATCAGCCAAAGAGGGCAGCGGTAAGTCTAGATATGCCTCAAAATAAGACATCAACGGCTTATTTTTTTTTCACCCACCAGACAAAGAGGGCAGCAGTAAGTCTAGATATTCCTCAAAATAAGACATCGACAGCTTATTTCAACAGACACAGAAGGAATTCAGTGATGCTCTAACTGCTTCTTTGAATGTAAGCATAGCAGTCTCTCATTGATCAGCACAGTGATATTCAATCAACTCTTTCATAGCAAGCACATGAAGCAGGCAATGACATGGCAGAAGAGGGGAGAAAACACCCAAGAGTATGTGAACCCATTGAAAATAAGCGGTCAACTGCTAATTTTTTACTCAATGTAGGAGGAGAGCGATGATGATGAGAATGACGAGGCTGAGGATCAGATGACCTCAAAGTCCAAGGTACATATTGCACAACTCACACGACCAGCCAACCTTTCTAATCATTATTTTTCTCAGACCAAGCACAGGAAGACAAACAAGGACAAAACCATCCCAGAAGGCAGCAAGGCAAGCATTGCATATCTAAATGATGGGTTGACTCACAGATTCACACAGGAACAGGAGTCCCGTGTGAATGTGACAATCAAGACTGTGACAAAGACCAAAAAGACCAAAAGCAAAGATCTGGTGAGCATTGCTTAATACTGGGTTCATCTCAAGGAAATTAACAATGCAAATAATTTCAGGAGCCCGCCATCAAAGTGGTGAAGAAGTCTCCATTTCAAATGACAATTGACAACATACAGGCAGAGATCAATGAAGCGACCCCAGGCTTTGCCATGATAAATGTCATGGACGATAATGATTTTAATTGGGGACCTCTAATGGAAACGCAAAAGATCAACACTCAAACCGTCGATTGGACGTTTGTGAAGCAATTGGTAGTGGATACCAAGAAGCACGGACTTCTGAACCGACACACCGAACATGCGATCATCATAGGAGTAAGGCAGTCATTGATTGTGCCTTCTTCCTTGGAGCACCTTCGACTAGGGCAATACATCAATAATGTCGAATGGACAGAGGAAGGCCGAGCACTTGAAGTGGTACTCAAGGAGAGCGAGAAGCAGGTGAAGGAGCATGGAAGTTGGATCGCAAAGTTTGTGGACCAAGGCAACCAAAAATAAGCCGTCGACAGCTTATTTTGACTGACACATTCACACAGATCTAATTGACAAGTCAAAGCAGCGTACTCTCATCATGGACACTCTGGCCAGCAATATGCCACTAATCACCAAAGCCGACTCAGCGGATGAAAGGCTGGTGCAAGCATTCATGATACTCAACATGAGTCCAGCTAAAGAACGCTCAAAGTACATCAAACAAGTCACGCAGTCAATGGGTCTGGACTCCAAGACAACCGCGCTGACTCAAATCCTATCAGATGAAGAACTATGCCAAGTGGCCATGAATTTTATGGTCATGCATCACTTCAGATCGTCAAGGTCGGGCGCCGGATTGAGCCACAGGAGCTCAATTGATGATGGCTCAATCCAGTATCCACTGGCAGTGCCCGATCCAGTGCCCACCCTTGACGATCTGAAGTGATGCATGACCATAAAATTCATGGCCACTTGGCATAGTTCTTCATCTGATAGGATTTGAGTCAGCGCGGTTGTCTTGGAGTCCAGACCCATTGACTGCGTGACTTGTTTGATGTACTTTGAGCGTTCTTTAGCTGGACTCATGTTGAGTATCATGAATGCTTGCACCAGCCTTTCATCCGCTGAGTCGGCTTTGGTGATTAGTGGCATATTGCTGGCCAGAGTGTCCATGATGAGAGTACGCTGCTTTGACTTGTCAATTAGATCTGTGTGAATGTGTCAGTCAAAATAAGCTGTCGACGGCTTATTTTTGGTTGCCTTGGTCCACAAACTTTGCGATCCAACTTCCATGCTCCTTCACCTGCTTCTCGCTCTCCTTGAGTACCACTTCAAGTGCTCGGCCTTCCTCTGTCCATTCGACATTATTGATGTATTGCCCTAGTCGAAGGTGCTCCAAGGAAGAAGGCACAATCAATGACTGCCTTACTCCTATGATGATCGCATGTTCGGTGTGTCGGTTCAGAAGTCCGTGCTTCTTGGTATCCACTACCAATTGCTTCACAAACGTCCAATCGACGGTTTGAGTGTTGATCTTTTGCGTTTCCATTAGAGGTCCCCAATTAAAATCATTATCGTCCATGACATTTATCATGGCAAAGCCTGGGGTCGCTTCATTGATCTCTGCCTGTATGTTGTCAATTGTCATTTGAAATGGAGACTTCTTCACCACTTTGATGGCGGGCTCCTGAAATTATTTGCATTGTTAATTTCCTTGAGATGAACCCAGTATTAAGCAATGCTCACCAGATCTTTGCTTTTGGTCTTTTTGGTCTTTGTCACAGTCTTGATTGTCACATTCACACGGGACTCCTGTTCCTGTGTGAATCTGTGAGTCAACCCATCATTTAGATATGCAATGCTTGCCTTGCTGCCTTCTGGGATGGTTTTGTCCTTGTTTGTCTTCCTGTGCTTGGTCTGAGAAAAATAATGATTAGAAAGGTTGGCTGGTCGTGTGAGTTGTGCAATATGTACCTTGGACTTTGAGGTCATCTGATCCTCAGCCTCGTCATTCTCATCATCATCGCTCTCCTCCTACATTGAGTAAAAAATTAGCAGTTGACCGCTTATTTTCAATGGGTTCACATACTCTTGGGTGTTTTCTCCCCTCTTCTGCCATGTCATTGCCTGCTTCATGTGCTTGCTATGAAAGAGTTGATTGAATATCACTGTGCTGATCAATGAGAGACTGCTATGCTTACATTCAAAGAAGCAGTTAGAGCATCACTGAATTCCTTCTGTGTCTGTTGAAATAAGCTGTCGATGTCTTATTTTGAGGAATATCTAGACTTACTGCTGCCCTCTTTGTCTGGTGGGTGAAAAAAAAATAAGCCGTTGATGTCTTATTTTGAGGCATATCTAGACTTACCGCTGCCCTCTTTGGCTGATGGGTGAAAAAAAAATAAGCCGTCGACGTCTTATTTTGAGGTGGTAGACTCACTGCTTTGTCCTTGATCTGGTTTTCACCAGTCCTCTGGTGGGTGAAAAAAAAATAAGCCGTCAACATCTTATTTTGAGGTGGTAGACTTACTGCTTTGTCCTTGATCTGGTATTCACCAGTCCTCTGGTGGGTGAATAAAATAAGCCGTCGACGTCTTATTTTGAGGTGGTAGACTCACTGCTTTGTCCTTGATCTGGTATTCACCAGTCCTCTGGTGGGTGAAAAAAAAATAAGCCGTCAACATCTTATTTTGAGGTGGTAGACTTACTGCTTTGTCCTTGATCTAGTATTCACCAGTCCTCTGGTGGGTGAACAAAATAAGCCGTCGACATCTTATTTTGCAATGCTACACAACTTATGCTTTCATTGGTTTTCGACTATGCATTGTATATCGGAATCAATGCATTATATTAAAATGTTATTTTGAACTTACAGTTTCAGACATTCTACCTATATATTGTGACTATCTGCAGGGTGCAGATGTCCCCATCCACCTTTGCCTTATTTGGAAATAATTTATGTAAGCATCCCCCTGACTTCTTTTCCCATGAGTGTTTTTTCTGCACTTGGCCCTATATGCCACTGGCCTTATGGACCACAAAGCCACTTTGCCAAGTTCCATTTGTTTCATCCCATTCCTTCCACATTTTATTAGCACATATCTATCTCATCTTGGAGCCCCTGAAAAACTGATCCTCCCACAAAAAAAAGTCCAGTTCCTTAATGTTGAGTAATGGTTGAGTAATTGTTGACTTTGAGGTACCATCACAATCTTACATTCTGTCATATACCAGATCTGACCACTCCGACAATATTGATATCCACTCTGCTCGACCCTACACCTCTCCCGCTTTCCTGTCACCTCCACTCCATCCGCCCTCCACTTGATCCAATCAGCTCCCATATCCACTCCTGCAGTCCCACTCGACTGCCTCATTGGTTACCTTCCATATCGTCTCCATTCAACTAGAACCTCTTTCCCCAGTTAGGTATATATGTTCCCCTTTGACACATAAACCTTACTTCCCAGATCACCAGTATTTCCTATAACTGCTTGATTACTGATCTGTCATGTACATATTGATATCCGCTCCGACTTATGTTTTGACCTGTGTTAATACTTACAAATTGTATACTCGGTACATAGCCTCATACCATGGACTACTGGTCACTGCCTCCTACTTAGAAGTATATAAAACATATCATGTACTTAGCTACTTTTCCCAGTCTTAATATTACTTGTCTTCCTGCAGTCTCTACTAGTGGGAATTCTCCATAGGACTTTGCTCTCTCTGGACACAAGTTTACCTTGTTGTCACCTCCAATCCTCTGCTCCAACTTAGAGCAGTGCTCTAAGTATTCACTCTTACCTCTCCAACCCAACCAACCAATCCCCTTGCTCCCCTCCACCTCAATGCACTTTCCCCATTTCACCCGCTCCACTTCTAGTCGGACTGCCGCTAGTAGCATTTACCTCCCGACCCGCAAAGCGGACCAAAGTGGTCTGCCCGTCCTATTGTTGGACATCATCAGTCCCACTCCAAATTTGGGGCATGTACTTGGCTAAGGGCGCAGCACAAGAGCTGAAGCCAAGCCCCAACCCCTCTGCTTCTCCATCTGAGCATGGTACCTAACACATTCTCACACCTACTGGACCACCTTCTTCCACTTGTTCCTCTTCAACACAATACCTGGAGGACTCAACACATCCTGGGCTGCATAAGTCACAGCCCACAATGCTCCCACACCAAGAATTTTCCCTCCCAGATCAGTCCTTGTTGAGTTATGCCCTACACTCTGTCCTTCTTGGTCTCCAAGCAGGCAGAGGATGTAATCTGCCCATATCTTTTTTTCATCACACCACCTGGTGTCCAGCTTTTGTCATTCTACTCTACAGACCCACAGCTCACTCCCATTCCACTTTTTTTGTCTCCTGGTGTGAAGTTCAGTATCTGGTTGGGCTTGTGTTGAGGGTTTTTACTGAGTGTCTTACACACCACTTTCCTGACCTTGTCTTCGCATTTTGACTGCTTACATGATCATCTTCCTCTTTACCTGGACTTTATACCTGACTTTACCCTCGCATACCTGGTTTCCAGTTTTGGTTGCTCCCCATTAGTTTGGGTTATCTGGTAGCATCCCCTTGGTAGCTTTCTGGTTGCAACTTCTTCAGCTCACTACTTAACTCCTGGAATACATTCTTGAATCTTGTCTTGGCAGTGACTGTTCCTTCCTTATCCTTTTCCTCCCTCTATCTCTTGAGCCAGAGAGTCTAGCCAGAAACCCTTTAGGGTCAAACATTGTCTACTCTCTAGACATAGCAGCTAGGTGATGCCAGACCCAACTTTGTCCTACCCTCACAGGACTTGTTGTTACCACACTGGTGTGGGTACGACAAGTGTAGCAGCGAGAAATCTAACTACTACAAAGTTGGGTCTTTGCTGCCTGCTGCCTCGCTTGAGAACAAGCATGTTTGACCCTAAAGGGGATTGCTACTGGGGAGTGCTAGTCTCTGTCTAAACAACCCTAATCAACCCTACTGCAGGTAGGATGAGGATCCACAAAAATGCAGAATGAAGCAGAACAAAGCAGAACAAAGTGGAATGAAGTGGAACTCAAATGGATAAAATGCAGAACATATAGATTCATCGGAACTTGCAGATCAAGTCAATGGAAGTATATCACAAGTTTAGATTGATAGTGAGCATAAGTCAAAGCAGTCCTCTAGTAAGGTGAAGGAAAAGTCAGAGAAAAGTTGGAAGGTAAGAGATGAGATTCAATGATCAACACCCAAGCCCTGAGTACCACTACTTATAGGGAACATTATTTTCAAGGAACACCAAGGTACAGGTAGTAAATTCTCAGGAAGCAGAAGTGAAGGCAGGCAGTGCACATGGGTGCAATACTGCACAATAGGGGTCCATGCCATAAGGGCATGTGTCAATGTGATCCAGATAATGTTAGAAGCAATGAGAAGAGGGATATGGTGTACCAATGAACCTGGAAGGATGGGGACAGGACATGTGAAGGTTGTCTGATGATGCGTGGGAATATCAGATAGTGCGGGCATGTTCCAAAGGATGCGTGGGAATGCGGCACACATCGGACAATGCGCGGGAATGCAGAATATGCAGAACTGATGTGAGATGATGCAGAAAGAACAGGATTTTATGCCTACAGTGGGAGTGTTCCCCACACCGGGCCAAAACTGCTCGAGCTATGCCCAAAAACTCCACTCTGGGTAGCTTAGAGGGGGAGGAGGTAATCTGCACATATCTTTTGTCCATTGCACCACCTGACCTTGAGCTTTTGTTATCCTTCTCTACAGACCTATAGCTCACTCCTGCTCTACTTTTTTTTTTTTTTAGTTTCCCAGGTCAAAACTATGTGACTTATGCCCAAACACCCCATCCTGGGTCCTGCACACTCAGGCCACTATTTTTTGGCCTCAGTCTTTTAATGTTAGGTTTGTTAGATGCTCAGGACTGCATCATATTCTGCCTTGGTCCTTAGGGTTGGGCATTAGGTTAGTTAGATGCTTAGGACTGCATCATATTCTGCCTTGGTCATTAGGGTTAGGCATTAGGTTGGTTAGATGCTTATGACTGCATCATATTCTGCCTCAGTCCTTAGGGTCAGGCATTAGGTTGGTTAGGTTATGTTAGGGGCAACACTCAAGTCAATCCCTCCCCTTACTAGTTGACAAGCACAAACACTTGTTGATCTTTCTACTTCACTCCAGTGCAAACACTTGTTGATCTTTCTCCTTGGCCTGAATGCACACTTTCACTGCTGCTTCATATTCTTCCTCAATGCCATCACACTCCAAATTGCTAAGTTCAGTCAGTCTAGTGATAACACCCTGTCATCTTCAATGAATTCTGCATTCCACCTTCAAATCATGACTTCTATGTGTGGTGCTCATCTAGGCCACTCTGCTGTTTGCATTCAAAACCTTACTTTAGCTCCCCATCCCCAGCATCAAAACCAGGATCCAATCCTTGTACTTATAATAGCCAGGGACTTGAAATGTGACTTTCAAAGATATTGCATGAAGATACAATTGGTGTCAGTTTGCACATAGTGGCAGCAATGACCCACAGGATATTACATGATATACTGAGGCATGAGGCATCTGGTTCTAGTACCATTTCTGCTCATTAACATGATTTGGGTGACTCGGATCATGATGCACTTACATCTGCAAAACCACTGAAATGAACGCTTACAACTTCAGTAGCACACTCATGCAATTGGTGGAGATGCTGAACATATAACCAAAAATGTGTGCTTATGAACGCAAACTTGAACTAAACTATACACACGAGCATTTTGTGAGTGCTTTTGAACAAAGTCACATTTGCTGATGTACCTGATCAGATGCCACAGAAGATTCTAATAAAAATTATTCAGTACCGTCATGTCAACCAAGCGAATCAACCCCACTGATGATGTGGATGTTGTTGTATTATGTAGTAAGTATAAGTTATGTAACCGCAAACAACTCAAATGTTCGCCTATCCACTCTGAGCTTCTGAAGTATCCTGCCAGATCTCGAGCCTTTCAGAACAAGTCTGGTCAACAAATCCATGCTAGAATATTTCTTGAACCTGTTTGGTATCTCTCCAACTTGGGACAATTAATCCTGGTCCATCGTTAGTTTCCCATAGTCAGACCTTGAAAGAGGGAAAACAATCATTCCTTCTTACCATGAGTCTATCAATATGAAGCGCTGATAGCTGTCAGAAACACCTTCTCCCACACAATACGCTCCACACCCTGCATGCTCATCTCAGCACTGGGTTCTGTAGGCGCGAATAAAACTCTGAGTATGGGTGTCCATGGGCCACATATGGGAGCTTGTCGAAGCACCCTGGGCGGACCATAGCTGGATTGATCATGTCGGGGCAATTCGTTGCAGCGATGACACAGACAGATTTGCGTGAGTCTACTAAGTCTAGTCTAGTCCATCTAGCTCTGTAAGTACAGTAGATATGCTCATAATGCATAATAATTAATAAAAAACGAAAGAGATATGTTTGCTCATATGCCACCACTATGCATTATGAACAGAGCATGATGCATGACATTTTTACCATGGTGCGTGATTTTATATGTCGAAAGTCAGTTTGTTATCAAATTTCTTTTTTTCGTCATGCATTATGAGAATATCGACTGTAATGTGTCTGGCACGACATGCGTGGAAGATTCTGACTATTAGGAATATGGATGTACGAGAGAGATCGTGATAGAAGATGGAGGGGTGTGTACCATGCTTTCGTATTCCCGAGGACCGAGGGACGAGAGCGTCTAGTTTAGATCACGCAGGACGAGCCTGCTGTGGACACAAGAACACTTGTCTCGCACCTCCTTGGCTTTCGCCGACAACTCCGAGCTTCTGTAGTAGCTTGCCCTGGTCAGACGCGCTTTTCAGAGTAAGTCTAAATCTGGTTAACAAATTCACATCGAACCCATACCCATGTATTAGTAGCTCCTTCATTGATCTGATTTGATTGGCTCTTGACAGACTGTCTTCCTTCTTTCCAGGTCTGACTACGGGAGAAGTTGAATCATCGAGGAACGGGTGAGTGGCGGAGTCGTAGTATTTTAGAATAATTGTGTAATGGTAACTAGATTATTGATTGGAACAGAATTGTAAGAGTGGGTGGTCTGCTGAACGAGTGTTGACGGTAGTACTGATAGTAAACAGTCAAAACAGAAATGCGAGTAGAAATGTTTTTGGGTAATGTACGTCAGGTAAGATGCTGATACGGGTAGGATTGTCATCTCTCGGTGAACCCAAGTTAATTCAACGTGGCATGGGTATACTCAGTTGTGGCAAACCCGACTTGGGAGTTCGTCTTGTCAAGTACCGAGTAAAAACGCTCTCTGCGGATGAACAATTCAGTAAATTCTTACTTGGTGAAAAAAAGAGCATGCGTACAGGAAACAATAGCCATTAATAACATCCAAGCCAGAACCAGAATTGTTCCCGATGTCACTGACGACCAAGTATATGCCGTCGGTGGTACCGGTACCGCGAATGGCGCTGTTCAACGATCGAGGCCAGATTTGTGCATTGGGGGTGAGCTCATAAATTCCATCGCCGATAGTGAAATATAAGGACAAGAGCTGATCGTATTGGTCAGGTGAGATCTTTAACAAGCCAGTGGTCTCATCGAGGGTCCCACCGGTCGCTGACTTATATTTGTCGAAAGCATCTGAACTGTGGTTTAGCACGGTTTCCATATCGCACAGGGCACATACCAGTGGCAATAAGAATAAGGTTGGTTCCCGTGTCGACGATACCAGGTGCCTTGGTCAAAATTGGCGTGTACCCATAGCTGATGGATTGGTCGAAGCCCCAATATTTATTCGCTGGAGATGTTGATGTGATAGGCACATAGCTGACGGGTCCAGTAGTTTTGGAGGCATCATAACCGCCAAATGTGAGCTCGCCACTGCTATCACCAGAGGAAGCAGGCGAGAAGAACACCCCGAGCACTTCTGAAATAATCGTGTTCTGTGCGTAGAGATTATCCATCACAGTTGGAACTTCATATGCATTACTGACGGTGCCCTGCGTTAAGTCAACTGGTCCAAGGCCAAGAATTCCATCCAGAGAATGGTTCCCATGATAATCGGCTACGACGCCAATAGATTGCTTCTCGATGACCAGATGGGAGTTGAGCGTTACGGTGTCCAAGTATTCCTCTCCAGATACGTGACTCGAATCGCGATATGCAACGCTCTGGAAGAAGTCGACAATATGAATACCGTGTAGAACGCACACATACTCACGAATTGACCGCCCGTATCTTGACTCGTGGTAGTCTTCTCGTAAGGCTTGTAGCCCCCGATCCAGGTATTTGAGCTTCCAGTGTCTACTAGGAGTGTATCTGCATGAAATAGATAGTCAATCAAGTAAAAAAAACTGCTAGAGCACGAGCAGCTTACAGTTTGTTGGCGGACTCCCCACGCCAACGTCAGTGGTGTATATTCTCACAGCATTGGTTGCATCAATGGACGAGCTGCTGCTGCCTTGTAGTAAGGCTTGGGCTCGAGCTCTATCAGCGGCGACGACGTTCGTGATACCCTCCGAGTTGATTCTAACGGCGAGCTTGAGAGAAGCCGTGCTCGAGGTTGTCCGAGGACGAGGCGAAGCACTCGCGGACAGCGAGAGGAAGGCGAGCGCTGGCAAGGTAAAAGGAGAGAAAACCATCTTCCTGACCACCAATCTCACTTGGTGGTGTCAAATAAATGGTGGTTGGTGCTTACTGCAACCATTGCTACATTTTTTTCTGACGGTATCGCGAACGCGAAAAGGGAAGCGACTCGCCACTCAGACTAACTTGAAATGTGCCTGCTGGCACTTACATAACGTTTAACTTTCGCTTGTTGGTAAGCTAGTACTAAAAAGCTCATATTAGTAAACTGTTTAACCAGTGCAGTCTGCAGAATGGACCAGGAGGACTATAACGATACCTTTCTGCACTGCTAGTTCAAACCGGTTCCGGTGCACAACCCTCTGCCTGCCATTCCCATTCCACGTCTGAGGCGGATTCAGAAACGCCTCAAAGTTCATGCCAGTACCCGGCCAAGCGACTCATGCATGTGTCGCAGGGATACCAATTATTAGCGTCCCGTTATAATGCTGATACCGAGAATAGCCTACTTCTAATCAACATCTTTCCCCGTCCGCACAGGAAGGCCAGCTTTGCTCGCAGCGCCTCATACTTCCCCTGCTGCACTGCAGACTCACTAGAACCGACCTTATCCTGAGCACGCACAAAATCCTCCAAGACGATCAACACCTGTGGTTGCTCTTCCACTACACCTCCACCATTGTCATCCAACTGGTCGAGCGCACCGAGGACACGTTTAAGTGCAACAACTCCTGCCTCACGGACGACAGCTGCTAGGTCCACACTGTTGTATCCATCGCACTTAGTATCCTGCACGATCTGCTCCGCGCCCTGCAGGATCGTCTCGGCACCTGGTTCTGTGGGCATGAATGGGACATTGCACACGACTGTCCGCACGATCTCGACACGCTCGTATCGGCCCACGTCACGTCTGGCACAGTTGCAAAACCCTCTCGCTTGGAGGAAGGTTGGACTTTCACATAACGCGGCAAAATCGTCGGAAGTAATTCACAGAGGGGCGAGCTGAGAGGGTGCGAGAGGAGAGGGATTTGCGTTGAGGAAGTGCGCGATGGAAGAAGTGGAGAGTTGGGATGATAGAGAGACAAAAGGGGTGATACTTTGCCGTGGTGTCGGTGTTGGCGGCAGATCCACTGCCATGGCAGTGTTTTGGTCGGTGTTTTCTTGGGCCTCTGGAAGGACGACCGTGCCGTCTGTGAGTTGTTTGAAGATGCGCTTGAAGGCGATGACACCCGCTGTGTCTGTCGATGCTGATAGGTCCGCACCTACGTAGCCAGGCGTAGCTTTGGCAAAGGCAGCGAAGTTGAAGTCGCCGTCGAGCCGGATGTTTGCGCATAGTACTTGCAGAATCCTGCCAGTAGCATGAAACAGGCTCTCAAATGTGAGACTCCGGGATTACTTGTTTCGGGCCGAATCGACCGGCGCGATGGAGAACAACATCTAATGAGTCTGGTCGGTTGGTGGCGTCAATGACGATCACAAGTTTGTTTTCGGTCTTCTCCCAGGACATATCTGCATAGATCAGGTTAGAGGATGTGGCGAAGAAAATGATATCAAAACTACCATCCATGCACTTCAAGAACCGTGCAACCATACGGGAGTATTAGCATCGATTTCGTCAACGAACAGTAGACATGACGCGATACACTGAGCGTCATGATTAGGCTGAAAGCAATCCATACGGAACATGAGATATACCTTAGCCTCGTCAAATGTATCTCGTAGTATTTTTTTCAGACTCTCTGGACATGCCAGACACGATCAAAGGAGCAGATATGCTGATAAATGGAACACCCAGTTTCTACACGCCATCAGTCGACTTACTCAAATTTCTGTGGGCGCACTCACCCCAACTATCGCGTTCGCTAGCAGGGTCTTTCCGCATGCTGAAGGACCATGCAAAAAACTGCACATGGAGGCTGCACACCCGTGTGTAGCTAGATCTCCAGATGACAGAGAATCTCTTCAACGCATGCTTCAACACCACCTAGATCGGATAATCGAGTAGCGGGGGAGTGTGATCCGTTGTTATTGCATTGCTAGATAGCTTGGTCGCTTACCACTATCTTCTACTGCTGAACAGGCTGATCGCAATTTTCGCTTTGTCGAAGGGGGATGTGTGTCTGGTGCGGTTATTGCATTCGTAGCGGGTGTTGCGGAGGATGGAAGAGGTCTCTAGGTCTCAAGTGTGTTCTATTGTGGGTAGAGGCGGTTGGTTCGTATCTTCTGGAGGGGTCTCGACGGGCGTGTTTGGCAGAAGCAGAGCACTGGCAGGAGGAACAGGATTTAAATTGAGCTTCGCCTTTTTGTGGGTAGACCACAGGCTTTGCATAGACCTGTTCAAATCCCTGTCTAATACCAGTTCAATGAGTTTCAAGCGCGCAACGTACATCCATGTGCATGATCAACGATCGACTTTTGACTTGATCAAGAATTGATAGAATTTGATTTTGCTCGGGTATGACTGCACAGCCACTGAAACATTGCTCCTGCAATTCGTAGTGTTTCATCAGCATGTTCATATCTCTGACACGCAACAGCTTGGCTCCGTCCTGCACCCTGAGACACCTGGCAGTTGTGCCTTCAAACGTACTCGATGAATCGGAACAAGTACTACTTAGCATTAGTACGGGTGGCTAAATCGAAGTCAGTGAGACTCTTATTTTCCTCAACCCGAAATCTCAGCGTCCAAACAAGCCAGAAAATGATTCTGGTTAAAACTCCTCAAGTTTACGGTATACACGCAATGCACATGCTAGCAGGTGATTCGAACTTGAACAACGAGCGGGAGCAAATTCGTTTGGCAGGAGTTCGAGGTACTGTCGACGCGGATGGCGTAGGGGCAGAACCACTTTGACTCCTGATTTTTCCGGTCGGCAGAACTGTACACTATCTTTCCTAACGATTAACGTCGACGTCAAGTTGACTCATCCCACCCAACATCCTTGCCATCAAGATCAATCGAATAATATTGATATCAACCACATCTAGTATACTCGCCTGTATTTTTGCCAGACGGCAAACGGATCGTGTGTGGTTCAGCAGACGGGATGATCCTAGTGTAGTATACGGAGACCGGCGAGACATTGGGTGCCCCCCTCTAAGCGCACAGTGCCACTAACACCTTGCCATGTGGCAAGTGCACCATGCAGGTTCGTACGCCAAAACAATCCGGGTGTGAGATATGGAAACGGGCGAGACATTGGGTGGCATACTGCACAGAAGAACGAAAACTGGGTCAAGGGTAGCGAGCCATAAGGATACCAGGTAAAATCGTTCCTTCTTTGGAAGTGTTGCAGATAATTATACATGTGCTACCCAGAACATCTGACAATATCGAATGTACCTGTACCCAAGATGCACAGCTCCGAAGAGCCCAATGAAATAACACATCAAAAATGGTTAATGAAGGTCGAAGCATGTTGAACGAAGTTGGAACGTATGTGATTGTAATAAGTGAAGTGAAGTGAGATGCGGTGTCGCTCATGAGACCCGTGGTTTTAAACACTACAGAGGATATCGCAATGTCCAAGCTATCACGGAGCAGTGTTCTGGAGCTGCAATAGATGACAGTGAGCCATCGTCCCGCGAACAAAAAAACATTACTTACATCCATATATGAATGGGACGGCGTGCATAAATTTTGCACGCGTTCATGCAATGACGCAGTAACAACCCCCGGTGCTTGTTTGGTACTCCTCCTCAACTGGTGTCGACGATGCAGGGCTCCGCTCATCGTCAGCTTTTGAAGCAGATAAAATAGCGAGGACGTTCGAGAATGAGTCCATTGCGGGTTGTGGAGTGGAACAGACGACGAAGCCGTGACTTTACGAGTAGTAGTAGAAGGTTCTGTTTGAGAGATGGCAGCTGGATAAACTGCTGACGGATGAGAGTCAAAAGTAAGTTGAGCTGATGAATGTCGCACTTTTGGTGGTTCTCTTATATACCTTTCCACCGTGACTTGACCTACGATGAGAACTTTGCAAATCCCATACGTTCCGCGACTTCTGTCCTAATTGTCACTAAAATACCATTGTGAGACTGAGACGTACTAGTCAAAGCGCACCCGCCACGCTAATTGACACGATGAAAATAAGCAAGCTGGAATAGCGAATGCATATCGTGTGAGCAGCGACCTTTCGATGGGCAGGACGACTCCCGGGAGGGGCTTAACAATAAGGTCGTCCCAATTTGGCAACCGTAGTATTCATGTAAAAGGTCCGACCCCGCGAATTTTCATTCCAGGTACCTTTCACCTTACAGTACCGTCCTGAGGTTTATTGTTCACCGGAATCGGTCGACTGTGCTTTTGACCAGGGGCGTGAAATTCTAGGGCATATGATCGAAATTCATATGATAATAGCCCGAATCACCTCGGGAGTCGGGTAGGACTTACCGTGCCACGCAAAATCAGGGGTACCACTCACTCTACGGGTATTACCCGTAGGTCCTTGCTTACTTGTTGGATAAACTGCAATGCCAGAGTCTAAGCAACGACGAGCATAGTACTATGACCACATAGAGAATTCGTGGCAGAAGGTTCGGTTGGGAAACGGTGATATGATTGAACAAGTGCGGAGATGGGTACATGCATGGCATGAGGTGTTCCCTTGCTAGATTAAGATGTCTATTTGGGCGGATGCGGAGGGTAGGCGTCATTCGACAGGCTGCACCATCTTGGTCTGATCAGAGTCAGTATGCTTGATAGTTTTCTTGTCTCCAACAATCCCCACACTGCGGAGGAAAAGCACTGCCAGCAGCGCAGCTACATTTATAGATCGTCGGTAAGGCACTCTCAACGCAGGCCAAATTCGCAGCGCTCACCAATAAGCGCAAATGAAGCGGAAGTCCATTGTGCAGATTTATACCCCTTAAGCTGTGCGGACTGAGGCGTGTTGGTGCCAGCGGAGTTGACAGTAACGCCAGGATCAGCAGACTCCTTTTTAACTACAGTGTTGAACACGATGGTGGTTATAGTAAGACCGAATGCAATGCCGAGCTATCTCAAAGAAATCGACCTTAGAACGGGACAGCGTTGGTTGCTTTACTGGTACTGACCTGTGTCATAGTTTGGAATAGCGCTCCGGCAACGCTTTGCTCGTGGTGGAGCGCAATTTTGGCGATGAAAATTGTACCAGAGGAGTACACAAAATCAGCGCCAAACACGACGAGAACCGTGGACGGGAAGCCAAAGGCCCAGTATGTTGCGGACGGGTCAATCAGCGCAAATAGGATGCCGGCAGATGCTGTCAGTAGCGTTCCGCTGACTGGACGGCGAGTCAGCCTCACGTCTTAATATTCCTAACAAAGAGCCATACCTACAAAGACGACCAAGGGCAATCTGGCAACGACCATTGCGACGAAAATGTTGCACAAACAGCCGACAATGAACATCGGAATGAACCGGATCATGGTTTTTACAGGCGGGAGCAACAAGTAGTTCTGATAGTATAACTAGAAAGGAGCATAATGAGCGACATCGCATCCCGACAGGCAGCAGGAAGTGGACATACCTGAACCCAGAAGCACCAGCTCATAAAAGCACTCCAATTTAGGAATGCGATGACGAGGATAACAGCCATCCGACCCCTTGCTCGCGTCCAAATCGAGGGCCTCATCAATGGCGGTGGCATCCACGCGGACGGTGCTCTTGATGGATCATCTTGGACTTGCTCCAAGTATCGTTCCCAAAGCAGGAACAGTGATACCATGATAACCCCGGCGATGAGAAGCGCAATAATATCTAGCGATAATTGGGCAATTTAACGATAACACAATATATGATACAGGGGAAGTCTCACATGGAGTTTTCCAACCTTGCGAAGCGAGTTCTCCTTGACCAAGTACAAATACAATTAATACCAAACCGACGGTGATAAGCAACGCGCCGATCCAATCGACACGTTTGACGATTTCGGTTGAGGGAACATCTGCGTCGAATGAAATCATACCGGTAAGTCCTGTTAGAGCCGAAATTCCTGCAGTCAAATAGAATACAGAGGACCAGTGCGTCCTGTATGAAGATGTTAGAAATACAACGTCACGCACGAGCAACTTCTGACGCACGAGGAAAATTCTGTAAGCACACCGCCTATCATCATGCCAAATGCGCCTCCGACAGGAGCACCCGCTGAAAAAGTTGCGAATGCTATTGAGCGTGCTCTAGATGGAGGGAATGAATGCGCAAGGATACCGAGCTGACAAATTGGATTAGAACTTCCTGTTCACAGGGTATACAAATCATTCACTGCAGAGGGTATTGTAGCGGCGGTACCAATGCCTAGGAATCCGCACAAGACGGCGAGGGTAAGACCATCTGCGATGACAATGTGAATGGACAGAACTGGCCGAAAAATCGGAAGGCGCACCCACTCTGTGCAAAGCCACAACCAAGAGAAAAGGCAACCTGGCATAGAGTACCGATCATGAACGCCTTTTTTCTTCCATAAAGATCCGCCAATCTGCCAAAGAACAACAGAAGGCAACCCTAAATGGGAAGTGAGCCACAACGAAAGCAGACGAAAGAGAAGCAAAGACGCACCGAACTGAGTGAATAGGAAGATACGAGCCACTGCAGTTGTTCTTCGTCGATATCTAGGTCCTTTTCGATGGTTGGGAGCGAGATAGAGACAGAAGCGGCATTGGAAGTCTGTATCAATAACGAACAGCAAGATATTACAAAAAACGAGGAATATGATCATGATGAGGACGTACGTTGACCACCATTGCAGCAGTGCAGGTCACGACGATGAAAATGGAGCGTAAAAGACTGCACTGGACGACATGGTGCTTGCCCTTCTCGAAGTTGGGATCGTGACTTGGTGAACGAGTCAGTGTCAGCTCAGGCTTGGACATCACTCCTGGTGCTTTATCGATGCAGGGAGGAACGGGAATGCAAGGGCGTAGCGACAAAACCTAGTTGACGGTAGCTGTCTTATACTAGAAGGATACCTGCCCGATAAAATGGATCTGTATGTTTGCACCGTCACTGGGTTGATCTATGTGTGTGACTAGAACCCTTGGCTGGGATCAAAAGTACTGGTTCAGGGATGAATGTCATATTCCCGCTACGAATACAATTTCGTAGTGGGTTTTAGGGTGCACTCTACCTGGTCATTGCATTGTGGTCCTGGACTTGGAGCAACTTCAGAAATGACTATGTAGAACAACAAATACAAATAAGGAACGTCGGACCTGCTCAGGATTCAGGAATGCTGTAACAGTTGGTACCGCCGGTAAAGCCCCATACATAGGTCACTCACATCAGTGCTGCTCGAGCTTCGGTCGAAGCAGAGCCTTGACTCTCAGGGAAATATAGAAAGGGATCAAACACCTTCTCGGAATAATATCGCTCCGGAACATGCCTGATCCCTTTCGATCCCTCACTCCACGTTAGGCCAAACCCTTGTCGTGGGGCATGGTTCACGAAAAGAACAAACACAATTCATGGCCAACATATGCACTTTTGTTCGTTTATGTTAACATATAACTGCATGCATACATTGGCCATGGAGACTAGTCACTTAAAATAATGTATGTCCCTTCTTTGTTATATGCACCACTATCTAAAAAAAATAGAACAACCTCCACTCGCAGTGTTGAAAATTAAAATCCGTTCTACGTGCTGGGCGCTCGTCTACGGCTTGCCTGATAAATGAACTGGTCACAAGTCTAGCTCGGAAGTCTTTGATCAATATGTCCATCTCTCTGCGCTGGCATGCAGCAGCCGGTTGGCTATTGTAATCCTGTGTGCCCGATCTATCAATCCCTTTGTCCGTGCTGCACACAGCCAAGCGACCTGACAATTGTGCTTTCAAACTTACTCGATGAACAAAAGCGATCGGAACAAGCACTACTAGTAGGGATGGCTGAAGCGAAGTCAGTCAGACCCTTATTTGCCAGATAGAGGCCTTGGAGCCTGAGAACAATGTGTGACAAAGAGTGATACAACGTCGGCCTTACAAACTTGAGTGCCGGTTGTTTCTAACGATGTCGTTCTAGCCGTCCTTTGGATCCCGCAGAGGAGCGTTAGTTCCTCAGTCGTGGGACAACATAATCAAGGACTGTTTCACTTGCTGAGCCTGCACGGTCTCCGAACCCTGCACCCCCGGTTGCTGGTTGCAGCGAATGAGATCCCACATCCGATCAGACAAACCAGGTAGGTGCAAGTTTGACCATTTGAACGGGCGGTGATGATTACTATCAACTATTGTTGCAGGAATCTTCAACGCTTACCACATTCGCTTCCGAAGTGAATCCTAACAAGGTTTACAAACCAGGCACAGTCAAGGTAGGTTCAAGCAAACGCAGCCGGTAATGTTTTAATGTCCATCGTCAGACTGAACGGGAAGGCATTCTGTCTCAGATCAAACCTGGATCAGAAGCTTTAACTGGCAGATCTGCGCAATATCTTTAACGATATGCGGTTGCAAATGCTTGCTCAGAAATCTGATGGTCGCGACAAGCGTGACAAGACCAAAGGACGGAGAGAGGGTTAATGAGGGATGTAGTTCAGCGTTAGAACACGAGTACGCGCGAGACGATCAAGAACGACATGGATGACACATTCGAAACAATCGAGGATAAGATCTACCAGTTAGTCACGATATTCTCCGGGCTAGAGAAGACAAGATAAAACCAATTGGGCGATATTGATATTAACACACAGTTACTGGACCAAATTGCGCTAAGGAAAGTCAAACTTCACTCGCTGCTGGGGCCCACAACCCGAGCTTCTGAGCTTCTGCTAGTGGCGATAATCATTCAAAAATAGTCTAGACTCCAAGGCTGATACTAAAGGCATGCATCAACACCTGTACATTGAATATGGTAAATAGAACATTCGAGCACAACACAAGTACTAGAGAATTACCTTCAGCACCAGGAGTGGGGAAGCGCTTTTCAACGTCTACTCGACATCAGAGGGGTCCTCGGCAACAATATCTAGACGCATATCTGGTCGGACAGGGTACAGATAGTACGAGCAAGATGAAACATACATGCGAACTTCTTCATGCCACGCTTCTCGACGTCTATGTTACAAACCAGATGAATAGGATGTTCGACAATAAGCCCAGTACTAGATAATTACCTTCGGCATCAGGTGAGTCCTCAGCAACGATATCTATGCCATGAATATCCCGTTAGATTGCGCGCAGATAATACAGACACATTGTGACATACATGCGAACTTCTTCATGCCACGCTTCTCGACGTCTATGTTGCAAACCAGGTGAATAGGACATTCGATAATAAGGTCGGTACTAGGGAATCACCTTCGGCATCAGGTGAGCCCTCAGCAACGATATCTATGCCACGAATATCCCGTTAGACAGCGCGTAGATAATATAGACACATTGTGACACACATGCGAACTTCTTCATTCCACGCTTCTCGACGTCTATGTTGTCAATCAGGTGAATGGTCTACGAAAAACCGAAGTTAGCACTGAAGAATTACCTTCGGCATCAGGTGAGCCCTCAGCAACGATATCTATGCGACGAATATCCCATCAGATAGTGCGCAGACAATACAGATACATTGTGACATACATGCGAACTTCTTCATGCCACGCTTCTCGACGTCTGTGTTGTCAATCAGGTGAATGATCTACGCAAAACCGAAGCCAGCACTGAAGAATTACCTTCGGCATCAGGTGAGCCCTCAGCAACAATATCTATGCGACGAATATCCCATCAGATAGTGCGCAGACAATACAGACACATTGTGACATACATGCGAACTTCTTCATGCCACGCTTCTCGACGTCTATGTTGCAAACCAGATGAATAGAATACGCGAAAACGAGGCTAGCACTGAAGAATTACCTTCAACATCGGGGGAGTCCTCGGCGACGATATCTGGATGCATATATAGTTAGACAGGGTGGGGATACCACAGGTGCGTCGGGACATACATGCAAAGGGCTTCATGGCACGCTTGTCGACGACTGGCGCTGCCGCCGTCACCTGTAGCAAAGCGATGGCAGCAAAAACAAAAGACAAAGCGAGCTTCATGGTGGTTAGATGTAAGAGTGATTGATGAAGTGTTACTTGGGGTGTTGAGTGCAGAATCGATGCAGGGAGTGGAGCTTTATATCTTTGGGGAGCTCGATTACCAGACCCACTGCAGACTCACTCGCAGAGACCTTCGTATCGTATCTTATCTTATCGTGTTATTTTGCGTGTTATGTGATTAGGCAAAGTGTTCTTCCGTTCGCGACATGCTTTTTCGATGCGCCACGACGAGATGATGAAGTCTGCCTTTCGACTTGAACAAAAGGAGGTGCGTGGCGGGGTTTGTGATGAGAATACCCGGAGGGTATTCTTTCATTATCATTCGCTTAGGCAAAGCGTTCTTCCGTTCGAAACCTGCTTGAGCAATGCGTCATAATGAGGCGAGGAAGTCCGCCATCAGGCTTAGACAGAAGGAAGTGTGTGACAGAGGTCATGGTGAGAATCGAGCTATGACTCGGAGGCTCTATTCAACAGTTCTCTCGGTCGATCAAATAAGAAGCAGACAGGGACATGCTGGGACATGCCGCTGCGAAGATTTCAGTAGGCACGGATCATACTTGCCCTCACTGGACGTATTCCCGATATATGACATCAACTGTCATATAGACAGAAAATACCGAAGTTTCCTACGCCCTAAATAAATATAAATACTTACCAGTTATCAACTTGGAGTGCTCCTCTCATGCATAGGCTTCGCGCAGTAGGGCATTCGAGCCAAGCAGCATCTAGCAAACCACCAGTAGGTGGGTGCTGTGCCACTGACAAGTAAAGAGGTTCAACCACTGCTTTTCAGATATACCACGCACCTTCATGGCTTCGTATTCGCCCCTCCGAACGCACGATCTAGAGCATCAACTTGAAGACTCTGAAGACGCTAATCTTCTCCCCAACAAACACTTTATCTCTGAGCATTGTACCGCCGCGGTAGATCCCCCATTTGAATGGCCCGCTTGGACTGCACTGGGACTCTCCATCCTCGCAGTTGTTTGTGCATGCACGGTGTATATCGCCTCTGCCAGTGTTTCCGGGCCGCGCGATGCCCATGGGTTGCGGCAGCCCAACCAATTTCCAGGTCTCGAATTTATCGACGAGCCCCGGGTAAAGCAAAAGGGTACGCACGTTCAGTCATTACGAACATTGTATCATAAATGGACCCGTGTGGCCAGCACCAAAGATGTACTTCCCAAGCGCCATCGTACGGGTGAACAAAGCCTTACCTGACCAAATCTATACTTCGGGCTCGCACGTTATCCTGAGCGAGAATGTAAGTGGACCTCCGTGATCTGAAGCGACTTGGTCATTTATATCGTTCCAGGACTCAATGTTCTACCAGTGGCACTTAGGCACGTCCAAATTCACCTCTTGTTACATCGACAGCGTCGTTCCCACTCCCGACGATGGTCTTGAGGCCAATAAGACCTATACCTCATCTGGCTCCCTCACCGAAATCCAGATTTGGAACGTTACCACTCCTGTTGAGGGCATGAAGAGGCTCAGCTGGAATTCGCGACCCCAACGAATTGCACTGATGGGCACCGTCGCATTCCTTCCTGAGAAAGAGAAGATTGAGCAGCTGCATTTCGAAGATGGCTGGCAGTCGCAGCTTCCAACGCGATTCTCGTGTGGTAAGAAAGCGACTGTTAGCATCGAGGTTGCCTGCGATAGTTGTAAACTTGAATTCGAGCAAATATTCTCGATTCCTCCATTGGGTGAGTGCGGCTGTACTGCAGATCGAGATGCCAGACTGAACCATTGTATAGGTTTCGACCTGATGGAGATAGGATAGATTGGGTGTTCAGTAGAAAAAGATACGGATCACATTAATGTACATACTCGTCAACCTTCCGATCATGGTCTTTGGTCCATACAAATGTCTGACGCGCAATCAAAATAATGAGTGACTCCCGTAAGAATTTACAGAAACAAGCTTGTCTGTAAAAGTTTGGCTCGACATCGGCTAAATTACGGACAGAATGTGTAAACCGTAAGAACTCTGCAAGACGATGGACTGGGAACAACACCAATGATCCGGACGACAATTCCGTGAGCGAATCATCTAAAAAGAGTAAGAAAATCACCCGAATTAGACATTTAGTGCGCTCCGACAATTTACAGAAATTTATGGAGAGGTAGCTACCCCTCCACAGATTGGCAGATTTACAGACGAGTGCGAGAGTGACCGTTTGACAGGTGTTGGTTGATAGCTACCTTCCAAATCCAGCGCGGCTATTCGGCTAAGGCCTGAGGATTAACAGAAATTCGTCTGCAAAACCTTACCGGAAGTCACCCGATATCATGACTAATCAACATTCATCTTGGTTTGGACAAAACCCAATACCTCAGCGCATCCTAACAAGGGAGAATTTTGGTTCCAACTCCCGCAGTTTACGATAAATGGGCAATGCACATGCTGGCCCGTGGTTCGGCAACGATCTGGAGCAGAAGACGTTTGTTTGGCAGGAGATCGCCGAGAAGGCTGGTCAGTGGTCATCGTCCAGTAAGAATATTCCATTGCGAACCCACCTTCACTTATGGAGCCACGTCAAAGGTACCGTCGACGCGGACAGCGTAGGGGGCAGAACTACTTTGGCTCTGATTTGTCTGGCCGGCAGAACTGTAGACTATCTTTCGACATCTCGACGATTAAGGACGATATAATGTTGTCGGACTCATCCCACCCAACATCCTCGTCATTGTAATCAATATATCAATATAAACCTGATCCATGGCAAGTTGGAGTTTGTTTGGTAATGGCGTTGACTGGCAAGAATCCAGAGAAATAGCTCCTGGCATTTGGAGCACGACTGCGGACTGCTATACAATTTGTGGCTTTTTGACGCTGCGACGGCGAGGCACAAAACCTTGATTTTCGACAATGCCTTTCTGTCATATCATATTGTATAATGCGACAACTACACGAAGATGGCACCATGATGCTCAACCGCCACTGAATCATACAGGCTCCTCCTTAGCAGATTCTCCCGCCCATTCACACGAGGGGTAGGCATTTCCGTCCATTGAGAAGTAAACCATCCCCTCTGAGTTCTATCATCTGCCAGTGACAACAGTTCTGGCCAAACCGGTTGGCAGAATTCCTGAATTCTGCCAACAACATTCTGGGGCGGACCCGGCCGGTGGAGCAGATTATACCGCACAGCGGTAACATTTGTTTCTTCTAATGGGGTGAGCATCGAATGTACAGGAAGCTGTTTGTTCCGAAGGACTCGAGCCCACACATTGGCGCAATCGAAGGTCCGGCAGTTCAGTTCAACCAAGTGTAAATCATACGGATGTGCTTCGGAGAGCATCCTTGCTCACTGTAGGTAGGATAAGATAGCAAGTGGCCAATATTCTGACCCTTGCTGAAAAATTCTTCCCCCGTCCCCCACAATTCGATTCGACCAGAAAGTGCCCCTACAATTTGGTCCCCCCGTCAAAAGGAATATCCTTATCAGAAGAAGACACATCATGGTTTTCCTAGGAGACGGTAGGAAATACAGTCGGCGGCGACTAAGTGACACGCACCATAAAGCAAACGGGTTTATGTGGGATGGCACGTTATGTGTTGCCCCTGCCATCAACAGCTCGAATTATAGCTCCCAATACTGGTGGTTTCTGGTAAGTTACGACTTGTCACAGCTATCTTCCGCAGCATACACATAAGTGACTGAAACTGTCTTCAGATCACATTCAACGACAGACTCGATGCTTCATAGCCTTAAACATCAATCCTCGGAAATACTGCGCGTATTTGGGCCTAGTGTTTTCGCCATTAGCATCTTATTGAACATCCTTACTATCTTGCGCTTTCAAAAGACATCGGTTGATGATAGAAAGCACAGTATGTCGTTCTCGTCTTCACTGACAGTCACGTAGTTCAGTCTCACTCAACATATTTAATGCAGCTTACATTGACGATGATTATCCGACTGAATTACCCCTCCGCCTGGACACCGTCGCGATGACGTTTAATAGCACAGACCATTACAGTACATCTGGGATTATGGCCTGGTCGGAGTGGAATTCACTTGACCATTTTCCACGAGGCTGGCACGGATTTGTGCGCCTGGGACCAAAAGGTAAATTACCATCGCCCCATTTTTGTCGATGTGTGCCAGACACTCACCGTTCCCAAATTCTATCAGGGCGGGTGTTTGGTATCTCGATGTTTCACCAGATTCATTGTCTGCAAATGATCCGGGAAGCCCTCATTAACGGGCCCAATGACCATAGTGGTCATTGTCTCAATATTTTGCGGCAGGCCGTTCTTTGCAATTCTGATATTACCCTCGACCCACTCAACGTCGACTCTGATGGTCAGTTGATAGGCGCAGACGGCTTGGGTGTGACGCATGTGTGCCGGGATTGGACACAGGTTTATGCGTACGTCGTGGAGAACCAGAAGGGCCCCGCGTGGGCAGAGAAAAACAATTAAGATAGAGACGTGATGTCGAACGTGACAATCTGACATGTCACCGAAGATGACTCGAGAAATACAAATCATAAGTCTCGGTATCACTATCTTCTTCGCCAATGTCTCGATTCTGCAGTACTCAGACAATGATTCAATGACACGATATTAAAGGAGTGGGATGCGGGCGGGGTAACATCTCCGAAACGTTTGACGATACATCGACCACATCTTTCGGGTCCAGCTGCTCTCCGCCAGTTTCAAGTTGTCGTGCCGCCCTTCTTGTAGCTATCCGCCTCTTTGTCTTTCGTTCTCTGACTTCTTCACTCGGCCTTCCTTTATGCGTCTTCCTCTTCCGCCCGTTTTTCCCAGTATTGTATGGGTCGCCACCGTAAGAGAGGTCAAACTTTTTGCTTTTGGCCGACGGCATGTAGGCCGTCACTAGGCTGCGAGGGTGCAAGTTCTTCTAGGTAATTGTGGGAACACAAAAAAGAGTTACTCCTGCGTATACCGCGCAAAGAAATGTTGGTATTGCATTAAGGGGGAATCGAACCCCCGGCGGGTCGATGGCAACGACCCAGGTTACCACTACCCCATTAATGCCTGACAGCTCTTGCTGCAGTGACAAGTCTTAATTTTTTAATGTGGTCACCTCAGGTACACTATGCATATCAAAATCCCGCTATCCTGGTGCTCTTCCTCCCCCCTCCCCGCACACTCTCATCCCCAAGCAAAGCCATCAGCCTCCGCTTCTCCGCCTCCTGTCCGGGATCTTCATATGTCACACGTAGACTATCATCGCTTGGGCGTGCACTCCCGTCCAGCAAGCTCATCGCGTCATAATACACGGGCTGGGGAGGAAGCACAAGTCGCGCCGACTCGCCAGTGATGGTCTCGCGTGATTCCTGCCGAGATTGCACCTACAGATAATCAATGCATCAATATTCGAGAGAGAAACTCGGGACTGCCAGCAACCTTGGAATGCGGATGTGGGGTCGTGACCGCTTGCCCGGCGTACCACATCATCTTCTGACATCTGTCTTTCCCAAACGGCGTCGTCAAACTCTCCTGCAGCTCGCGCGGGCGACGATCCGGAATTCAGTCGTGCATCTGAGCTTGGCGGGAGCTTCGTTGGCGAGGGTGAGCTGGAAGAGGGTAGGCGTCCGGTTAGATACAGGGAAGGTGTTGGAGGATTGATGTCTTCGGAGAGTAATAGGTGATCTCTGGCGTACAGGGGGCGCTGCTACATATTCCAGTGCGGAAGAGCTGCTCTGCGACGGCAGAGGAGGCGGAGAATCTGAGAACCGCACCCCGTCGTCACACTCACCTTGAGGCAGAGCATCGTGGAGCGAGCAGTTTGAAAAGAGTTGGCGAAGAATGTGGCCGGAGAGGCATGCTCAATATCAAGGAGAGTATACGTTCAGAGGTCTTATAAGAGATTTGGTTTCTTTGCGAATAGCAGAGGGACGGTTTTTCCTATGATAGTAGAACATTCGAGAAAGGTTTAAGATAATTCGCATTAGGAGGGACATGTTCGAAGTCTGAGCTATAGACATAGGGCGCGCCCGCGAGGTGGGCATAGGATTGTCCGTACATATCCGTCACGTGACCAGTTCAGGCTAGCTCAATTCGCGCCTGGTAAGCTTCTTTGCAGTCAACAAACGCCGCGAAGAACGAGCGTCGTACAGTCGTTTCGACTTTATAGATGACCGGTAGCTATCGCACGTTGCACTTGGGAGTGATCGCAATCTAGAATGCGGAAGGTGTTTCTAGCGATGTCATTGCAGCTGTTCTTTTGATCTCGCAGAGGGGGTCAAGGGTTAGTTCCCCAGTTGTCGGACAAGGTTACAGAAGGTTCGGGTATGTGCAGGGCATGACTTCACACTTAGCGAGAGTTACCATCAAGGAGAAACGGACGAAGCCCTCGTTGCAGGTGAACCATTGATAAACATAGTTATTGAACTAATTTGCGCTAAGGAAAGACCTTCACCCGCGACCGGGGCCCACAACCCCGAGCTTCTGATCTTATGCTAGCGGAGAGAATTTTTCAAAAGAGTCGAGAGGGTTGAAACTAAAGAGTTACCTTAGTCGATATCACGAGCTGGATGCATATGTAGTTAGAGGACGCGAATACTACAAGACACGTCGAAACATACCTTCGACATCAGAGGAGTCCGCAGGGATGCTGTCTAATCAGAGTGTCACTCAGATACTACTGTGGGCACGTTAGAATTCAACCTACATCCCTTGCGCGAACGAGCTGGATGCATATGTAGTTAGAGGACGCGAATACTACAAGACACGTCGAAACATACCTTCGATATCAGAGGAGTCCGCGGGGATGCTGTCTAATCAGAGTGTCACTCAGATACTACTGTGGGCACGTTAGAATTCAACCTACATCCCTTGCGCGAACGAGCTGGATGCATATGTAGTTAGAGGACGCGAATACTACAAGACACGTCGAAACATACCTTCGATATCAGAGGAGTCCGCGGGGATGCTGTCTAATCAGAGTGTCACTCAGATACTACTGTGGGCACGTTAGAATTCAACCTACATCCCTTGCGCGAACGAGCTGGATGCATATGTAGTTAGAGGACGCGAATACTACAAGACACGTCGAAACATACCTTCGATATCAGAGGAGTCCGCGGGGATGCTGTCTAATCAGAGTGTCACTCAGATACTACTGTGGGCACGTTAGAATTCAACCTACATCCCTTGCGCGAACGAGCTGGATGCATATGTAGTTAGAGGACGCGAATACTACAAGACACGTCGAAACATACCTTCGATATCAGAGTCCGCGGGGATGCTGTCTAATCAGAGTGTCACTCAGATACTACTGTGGGCACGTTAGAATTCAACCTACATCCCTTGCGCGAACGAGCTGGATGCATATGTAATTAGAGGACGCGAATACTACAAGACACGTCGAAACATACCTTCGATATCAGAGGAGTCCGCAGGGATGCTATCTAATCAGAGTGTCACCCAGATACTACTGTAGGCACGTTAGAATTCAACCTACATCCCTTGCGCGAACGAGCTGGATGCATATGTAATTAGAGGACGCGAATACTACAAGACACGTCGAAACATACCTTCGATATCAGAGGAGTCCGCAGGGATGCTATCTAATCAGAGTGTCACCCAGATACTACTGTAGGCACGTTAGAATTCAACCTACATCCCTTGCGCGAACGAGCTGGATGCATATGTAGTTAGAGGACGCGAATACTACAAGACACGTTGAAAGATACCTTCGAGGGTCTTCTCCGCGCGTTTGTCGACCACGGGCGCTGCCATTGTGGTCTGTACCAAAGCGATAGCAACAAAAACAAAAGACAAAACGAGCTTCATGGTGGTTAGATTGATAAGAGGGTGTCACTTGGAGTATTGACTGCAGACTCGATGCAGGGAGTGTGGCCTTTATATCTTTGGGGAGCCAAATTTCTGACCCAGTTCACAGACTGACTCGCAGAAACGTTCGTTTTGAATATCATATGGTTAGGCAAATTGCTCTTCCGTTCGCTACCTGCTCTTTCGATGCGACACGGTGAGGAAGTCTGCCGTTAGTCTTAAACAGAAGGAGCCGCGTGGCAGGGACTCAGGGTATTATTTCATTGGGCCACTTTCGTGGACTCAAATAAACCAGATTATAGTTTCATGCATGAGGAAGGGTGCCGCGTCGTCGTTTCGTCACCGTTTGAAATTTTCACCAACCTGACCAGCTCGAATTGATCGACGATCTCCGAAAAAAGCAAAAGGGTACGTACATTCAATTATCACGAACATTGTATCATAAAGGGACCCGTGTGGCCAGCACCAAAGATGTACTTCACAAGCGCCATCGTACGGGTGAAAAAAGCCTTACCTGACCAAATCTATACTTCGGGCTCGCACGTTATCCTGAGCGAGAATGTAAGTGGACCTCCGTGATCTGAAGCGACTTGGTCATTTATATCATTCCAGGACTCAATGTTCTACCAGTGGCACCTAGGCCCGTCCAAATTCACCTCCTGTTACATCGACAGCGTCGTTCCCAGTCCCGACAATGGTCTTGAGGCCAACAAGACCTATACCTCATCTGGCTCCCTCACCGAAATCCAGATTTGGAACGTTACCCCACTCCTGTTGAAACCATGACGAGCCTCGGCTGGAATTCGCGACCCAACGAATTGGACTAATGGGCATTGTCGGGTTCCTTCCTAAGAAAGAGAAGATCGAGCAGCTGGATTTCGAAGATGGCTGGCAGTCGCAGCTGCCAATGCAGTTTTCACGTGGTAAGAAAGGGACCGTTAGCATCGAGGTTGCCTGTAATGGTTGTAGACTTGAATTCGAACAAATATTCTCATCTCCTCCGTTAGGTGAGTGCGGCTGCACATATTTACAGGTTGAGGTGCCAGACTGATCCATGGTATAGCTTTCGACCCGATGGAGATAGGATAGATTAGGTGTTGAGTAGAAAAAGATACGGGTTAAGGTAGACCTGCATTGGTCAGCCTTCAAAGTCACGTACGTACTAGTAGCTTGGTCGCGAACAATTGGAAGCGAAAAACTAAGCTTGAACTTGACGTTGCATAGCCACAGCTCGTAGGGTCCCACAGCCTACAGGGGAACGCTGGCTCGGCGCTTCAATGCTTCGTGCCCGAATCATGCCGAGTGCATGTGCCCGCTCTACGGGCCAGCTCTCCGCATTTGTTGTAATGACAACCTCCACCGAGGTCGACAGCAAGGTCACTCTACATATCAAATGTGTTCCGCTCGCCTTCCTGTCACCTACTAGATCGTTGATTCACAAGTGTATAGCTACTATAGTCACTGTGTGGGTAGAATGTGTAATATATCTACATATTGTAAGATTTCCAATTGGTGTCGACGCCATATGCGCGCTCCACAGGACGCTCGACTCGAGTTGCCTCTGGCACGTGCTCCACTTCATGAGGTCACTTTGCTGACGTGTTCTGTGCGCACTCCACTCCAACCCCTTTCAGGCTCCACATTTGTTTCTGAGGGCGCCCAGTCGCTCTGTAACGTCTCTCTTATTACAACTCATTATCATGATGTCGTGCTGCTCTTTCGAACGATCGGAGATCCACAGTACACCAAATTCGTCGATGAAATCGGAGAAGACACATCTGGCGCACGTTGTTCACTCGGCATTATCAACGAGATGCCTGATGTTAACGACGCTGTAGAATTCGTATTCCCGCCTCACATTCTCCAAGATCCAGAGGAGTGCATTAAACGCGCATTCCTATCCCCACTGAATGTCTTTGTCAACGATTTCAACGATAGCGTTCTCGAGGCGCTACCAGGAGACTATGGTAAGAACCTGCAAATGGCCATTCACTCACTCTGATTCTCAGAGAAACATAGAATCTTACTTCAGTTCAGACGTATTAAAAGAAGCTGATCAAGCGCCTCCTGATGCTCCCGAGAAAACACCTGATTATCTTGCCATGCTAACACACCCGAATACACCTCCGCATCGCCTGGACCTCAAAGTAAACGCGATATGCGCAGTGCAACGTAATATGTCACTAGAGAAGGGATTAGTACGAAATACACGGGTGCGAATCACTGCACTGCGCCGACGCTTCGTCGAAGCGCAAATTCCACAAACATGCGAAGTTCATTGTCTGCCTCGCAACACATTCTCATATAATCCGGCGCGGTCCAGTTGGACCGCCAACCGCAAACAATTTCCACTGCGACCTGCATACGCTACGACGTTCAATGGCTCGCAAGGTCTGACACTCCGACGCGCCGTGGTTGACATTCGCACAGATGGATTTGCGCATGGTCAACTGCACACAGCGCTGTCGAGAGTCTGAAATCGACGCGATATTCGGACGTTGTGGTCACCCACAAATGAAGAAAGAGAGACAGCAAACGTAGTTTACTCTTCGTTACTGCTGTAAAAAGATCTGAGAGACCGTCCGCAGGCGAGCAGAGCGCTTGTAGGTTATATCCAAAGGCACCGCTTGCATCCGGGTGATGAAGAGTTCCTTCAAAAAGTGTGCGTGCGTCTGCTGGATCCAAGAGGACGATGCGGACGAATGGGGCAAACAGGACAGATGGGATGGATGCAGACGGGGCGGACAGAACTTTCCAACTTTTGGGTTCCCTCCAAAGGGAATTCGGGAATTGTGGATCAGCGGCATGTGTCTTCCCAGTTGAAAATTTATCAGCACATTGCCATCGCTTTTGACTTACTTTTCGGCATCCAATTGCAATGACTGCAACCCCCAAACCCACTACCTAAAGGAGTAGCGGACACAACGGAAGTGAATGCCCCTGGACCGTTAATTCCCCCGTGATCAGCTCTATTTCGAACGAGTAGACACTCAGCGAACTGAAACCTCGAGAAGGGTTTGGGGCCCTTTCGCTGTGAATGCCGTAGTTGTTAGTTCAGTACAGTACCAACAACTCGGCAACGACCAAGTAAGTGACACGCACCAAAAAGCAAGTGGTTTTACGTGGAGTGACACGTCATTTGACGTCCCTGCCAGCAACGGCTCGAGAGTAGCCCCCAATACTAGGGGTTTCGGTTTCTGATAACTAGTCACAGCTGTCTACGCTGTGCAGTGCGCATACACATACTAAGTGACTCGAACTTTCTTCAGATCATATTAAGCGACAGACTCGATGCTTCACAACTTCAGACTTCGATCCTCGGAAATACTGCGCGTATCTGGGCCTAGTGTTTTCGCCATTAGCATCTTATTGAACATCCTCACCATCCTGCGCTTGCAACACACATCGGTCGATGATAGGAAGTACAGTATGTCGTAGTCGTCTTCACTGGCAGCCACAATGGTTTAATCTCACTCAACAAATTTGATGCAGCTTACATTGGCGACGATCATCCGACCGAGTTACCCCTCCGCCTAGACACCGTGGCGTTGACGTTTAACGACACAGAACATTACAGCATATCTGGGTTCATGGCCTGGTTGGAGTGGGATTCACTTGACCGATTTCCACGAGGCCACGGATTTGTGCGCCTGGGACCAAACGGTAAATTATTGTCGCTCCATTTCTGTCAATGCATGTCGAATGCTCACCATTCCCGAATTCTGTCAGGGCGAGTGTTTGGTGTCACGATGTTTCACCAGCTACATTGTCTGCAAATAATCCGAGAAGCCCTCATTAACGGGCCCGATGACCATAGTGGTCATTGCCTCAACTTCTTGCGGCAGGCCATTCTTTGCAATTCTGATATTACCCTCGACCCACTCAACATCGACTCCGATGGCACGTTGGTGGGCACAGACGGCTTGGGTGTGACGCATGTGTGCCAGGATTGGACACAGGTTTATGCGTACGTCATGGAGAACCAGGAGGGCCCTTTGTGGGATTAAGACAGACAGGATGCGGAGGTTATACTCAGATGCAGGGTCCAGCGCGACCAACCTGACCTGGCACCGATGAATGGGACCAGCTAGAGAAATCAGCCTGTTCGTTCGAGGTTCAACATCCTGTAGAAACAAATATAAGTCTAGCAATTACCTCAAGCGATGCCTCTTCGGCAACAATAACCTGAGACGTTTGACGATACATCGATGACATCCTTCGAGTCCAGCTGCTCTCCGCCGGCTTCAAGTTGTCGCGCTACCCAAAGTTCTTTCCACTATGCCAGCTGTCCACCTCCTCATTCTTCGTTCTCTGGGTTCTTCACTCCGTATTCCATGACACGTCTTCCTCCTCTACGCGTTTTTCGCAGAGTTGTAGTAGTATGGGTCGCCATCGTGAGGAAGGACAAACCTGTTGCCTTTGGGCATCAACCTGGGGAAGTATTCTAGTATGTCACCGCACTCCTCTCCGTCATTCTGGTAGGCTGTAGGCTGTGAGGGTGCAAATACCACTGCAAGAGGGTCTTAGTCCGATCCGCGCAAAAAAAAAATCCAGAAAGGGACATAGTACCAGTAGCTGTTATAGGACGTAGTCGTCTGCTAGAAATGGATTCCGAACACAAACATCTGAGTGTATGAATAGAACTCGGAAAATCTGGGAATTTGAAACTTCGGCGGTCTCATTGATGCCTGACAGATCAGTGACAGTCAACTAGTACAATGCAGCACCGTAGGTGACTAGATGGTATAACAAGCACTACACTTGGATGCATATCAAAATCCCGCTATCCTGGTGCTCTTCCTTCTCCTCTTCCCACCCACACTCTCCTCCCCAAGCAAAGCCATCAGCTTCCGCTTCTCCGCCTCCTGCCCGGGATCTTCATATGTCACGCGTAGACTATCATCGCTCGGTCGCGCACTCCCGTCCAGCAGGCTCATCGCATCATAATACATGGGCTGGGGAGGCAGCAAAAGTCGCGCCGGAGACTCGCCAGTGATGGTCTCGCGTGATTCCTGCCGAGATTGCACCTATAGATAATCAACGAATCAATATTCGAGAGAGAATCTCGAGACTGCCAACAGACCTTGGAACGCGGCTGTGGTCGCGGCCGCTTGCCCTTTCGTTGCTCCGGGCGTACAACATCATCCTCTGACATCTGTCTTTTCCCAAGCAGCGTAGTCAAACTCTCCTGCAGCTCGCGTGCAATGTCTCGCGGATGAGGCACTCGCACTGGCGACGGTTCGGACGTCAGCCGTGCATCTGAGCTTGGCGGGAGCTTCATTGGCGAGGGTGAGCTGGAAGAGGGTATGCGTCCGTTTACATCCAAGGAAGGTATTGGAGGATTGATGTCTTCAGAGGGTAATAGAGGTAGTCTCTGGCATACAGGGGGCGCTGCTACATATTCAAGTGGAGGAGAGCTGCTCTGCGGTGGCAGGCAAGGCGGAGAAGCTGAGAACCGCACCCCGTCGTCACACTCACCTTGCGACGGAGCGTCGTCGAGTAAGCCGTTCGACTTGGCGAAGAATGTGGCCGGCGGGGCATGCTCAATATCAAGGAGAGTAGGTGTTCGGAAGTCTTGTAAGAGATCTGGTTTCTTTGTGAATAGCGGAGGGACGGGTTTGCCTGTGATAGCAGAGCAGTCAGAATCGCGTCAAATGTTGGTATCTCCTTGCTTACTATTACCCTTAGTAGTAACCATCATCTGCACATCCTCCTTCGCCTTACCCTTTGCCATGCGACCGCCGACATCGCCGATGATATATTCGCTGACGTCAGGCACCTTCCCCTCTGTCGCCATATCCTCCAGCCACGCCATGCCAACGACGGGAATGGTCCACTCTTTTGCCTTGTCATATTTGGCACCACACGCACTTGGACAGAGTAGATGCGTCGAACGTCGGGAGAATGTCTGGGCAAGCGTTATGCCCAATGCACGCAGCAAACGTTTTGTCCAGCATAGCTCAGACTGATCGAGTCCAGAAAGACTTAGAATAATCTGTCCAGCGTCTGTGATTATGTCAGCACGTGTGAGACGAGAGGGCTAAGGTATTATGCATACTAGGTATTGGACAGGGAAGGGTAAGGGGCATGAATGAAATATTTTCGTGTGGTTCACATATTCGCTCTTGGAAAACCGAGTGTTCGAGCCAGCATTCTGTGCGATATTTGGCACGCAACGTCTCATCAGGCTCGTTTTGGTAGAGTTTACTCCCACTAAGTGATCCACTGCATAAGACGCCCTAAGCAGACCAAAAGCTTGAAGCTCACCTAATGAGTCGCACCACAATAAAATCGACATTATCTGCATCTTCATCCATGACCACACCTCCCCCATTCTCAATGGCGGTGCGTACATTCACACACTTCGCCTCCCCGAGTAGACTGAAGCGGTAGCCCGAAAAGAGTGTCGCCATTGACGAATCCTTCACCTCAGGTCGGTGGGGTGCTTCGCTCCCCTCTGCGTCCTCGGGTCCCAGAACTGCAATCGTGGTTGTCCGCCTGAACGGCTGGCGCGTCACCAGCTCTTTCGTGGGTGGTGCAAATGAATTAGTGCGCCTAAATGACGAGATTACGCTGGGTTTCCCCTGCAGTTCTCTCTCCTGCTCTTTGTATTTCGCTCGCGCATCAGGCATGAGCCGTGCTGGTAATCGTGTTGGCGACGTCGGTAGGCCAGCCACTGACTGTGACTTCGAAGGACTGCGCACGAGCTTGTTACCAACTGCATCAAGCTCGAAGCCCCGTGGACGTAAGAGACTCCCCCAGAGCTGAAGCGTCACTGCGCGAACTGGAGCGCGTGCGAGGGAAGCAGGTTCCTCTTCATCCGCTAGGTCATGTTCGAGACTGGGTTTCGGTAGTGCGGGTGTCCTGGGTAGATGCCCGTCAACAGGGATCGCATTCGAAGGGTGTGTGCCTGGGGCGGAGTCGCGGACTGGTATTGAGGTGGTAACCTCTACTGTGCGGGAATTAATTTTCAAGTGTGTGAAGTGGCTGTCTACCTTACCTTCGTCCGCAGTCTTCCTCTCCGGCCTCGGCCGTGTCACGGCGTAGCGTTTTTCCTCGAAGCGTCCTCCAAATTCCAAGCAGTCCCAGAACCACTCCTCCCATACGACGTATATCTTTGCCTCCCCACGTTTGTTGAACTTGTCAGCGTAGCGCATCTTCTCAGTCTCATTGTCGCCCGCACATAGTAGGTGTGTAACCTTCACAGGGCGTTCAATGGCTTTGACATATGAACCACCGTGTTTAGTGAGGGCACGGTTGATGCTTGCGCGTTGCTCGAGGTCGTCGATACCTGATAGTGAGAGTGTGACGCCAGAGAATATGGCGAGGCGGTACCCGGAGACGGTCTGCGTATGTTAGGAGTATGTAGGTTGTAAGTGATTCTGTCGAGCTCACCTCTGCTAGGTCCACGTCATCTCCACGCAACCAGACTTGATGTGCATCTGTTATCCACTCGGGACGCATGATAGGTATTTTGCGTTCTAGCGCGCACTGCACTCGTGTGAACAGGATTAAACAAAGGTGAGAGGCACCTGAGAGTAGTCTCACCGTATACTTGGCCCCGCCATGGCTGTTGGCTAGTAAGTGGGTCACCCTGTCCGTGAAGTCGCTGGTAGATGTTGCCCCTAGTTCAAATGCTTGCTTAAACAAAGTAGGCTTCCCACACACTGTTAACTTCTCCACTTTCTGTCACAACCACAACTAGAACCGGCGCACCTTGTCCATGGTACCCGTTGCGCAGATGGTAACTCCTGTGAACGGTCTAGGACACAGGTCGACCATACTCGCATTGGGAGGGACTTGTTCGGAGTCTGAGCTGTAGTCATATGGCGCGTCCGTGAGGTGGGCATGGCGGGATTGCGGTTGAGCTGGTCGAAGTTTGACGTTGGGAACCTAGATAAGCGGTCTGTGTATATGTAGTTAACGAACAGGTCCGTGCGCACCTTGTGTGATTTGTTCGACCGACGCATCACGAACAGTTTCGAATTTGTGAAAACACGAATTCAAAGTGTACAAGGTCGGTCACGTGAGCAGTTCAGGGTAGGTCAACTCGCGCCTTATGACCTTCTTGTTCCTTTTTGGCAGGTCTTCAAGTTCGTTGAATTGTGGGTCCACGCCGGCCGTACAAAGACAATCAGTAATTCAACTTCGTTGCCAACTTGCGGCACATCTTCACCTGCGACGCAGCAGTGTGAGAAATGTTATTGTACGATTGAACCAGGCGCACTGGCAGGTAATTACGTGCGCTTTGGGCATGCTGCAGGCAGCAGCCTGAGCATGCATCACTACCTGTCGTCATCAGAACAATAGTACAACCCCATACAGAACCGAGCTCATTGCGTTTGTTGTTCCACGAAGACCTGCTGTTCTTATTCTTGGCAACTGCTCGGTAATGTTGCACACCCTGTCAGGCTCTCAGTGGGTCTCAGATGGTCGTAACTCATAGCAGGGAGAGATTTAAAGCCCGGCTAGCGTCTCGAAACAGCTCAGAAAGAGTCCCACTTGTCTTATAGCCGCAGTCCTTCAGCGCCGTCCCTATCAACCACCACCTCCTACCTGCGCTTCCCATTGACATGCGTAACCTGATCGCTGCCTGGTACAAGAGTACTGAGGATCTCCTCAACTACTGCGAACCTCTGCTTGTCCATGGAGATGCTAAAGATAGTGCACAGCTAGCATTGTATGTTCTCCTGTTCAAACTCCAACCTTCAACACTGCAACAACTGATTCGAACTAAATCTAGCCTCAGGGGCATGAACAATGCAGTGCATTTCCTTGAAGGACGTGTTGCTCGCGACGACCAGAACCCTATTGCCTTGGCAGAAGAATGTAACCGGCAAGTGGAGAAGCTGCACTACACACTGTTGGATGTGAGTCGATCAAATATTTAGATTGTGGGTGATGGCTTACTGTGTCGGTTAGAAAGAGCAGGAAGCGAAAGGTTTGCATGACCAGAGCTGGAAAAAACGGCTAGCAGTCATGGAATGTCAGTAGTGTCTCGCAGTTTATGATGAGCCGCGATTGAATTGTTCCCGTTCTGCAGTCCAAGAGCAAAAGAAACTGAAGAACAGCTTGAATGATGACACCGTAGGTTCCGAAACCTGCAGGGAGAAGGTCATATACCAAGAAGACGTTGGTTTCAATCTTGATTGCATTAGCACCCGCCTACTTCACATTGCTAAAGCAAGTCCGTCAGAGCTGTGCCACTGAACATGTTGACTAGGATTGTCTGTAGTGTAGCACATATGTTTTGTACCATTAAATTTGCCATTACTGTAGCTTGCGGATAATGGGGAGTTTCGTTGCCGGAGTGTCCTTTGAAAGACGAGCCTTTTCAGCACTACATTGCTTTCATACCAAGTGAAGTGGAGCTCGTGTCACCCAAACACACCCACCACTGAGGGGCGTTTCCGAACAAATCCGTTAACAACGTCATTTGTTCTCGGGTAGGTTGTACATTGAAGCGAGCGGGATCATCCGAACAAACAGCGGTGACCGCTACAACCTCGTCATCTTCGTCGTCGTCGTCATAATGCATATCTTCGTCAGCCTCGATCTCGCGCCGCTTTGGGTTAATGCAACGCTTTTGTCTGTACTCTTGAGGTAGAGTATATCTTCGGTTGAGGCGATAACCGTAGCATTGTTCATAGTGTTGTCTAGGTGGACACTGGATATAAATTTGACGTGACTTGGGAGACTAGCCTGATGTAGGGGACCGGAAATCTGCAGCTTGTATGTGAGATGACTGCCGATGCACGATACTGATGTTCAAACCTGAAGTCCCTGGAGTAATCGCTCGATTGACATTGACATTGTGCGAGCAATTTCAAAGGTAGCAGTACCGAATGACCGCTTTGTTTAAATAGTATATTATTCCACCAACAATTCACCATGGCGGTTTTTGTATTGTCTGTTGTTCATTCGATTTATGCATTCAGTGCATTGCTTGCTAACAGGGCTAAGCAGAAAAATGGCAACTCGATGTGAAACTCACGAACACAGCCTTCGTCCCTCCACGACTCAAAACAGAATCACCTACATCTGTGGATGCAAAAGACGTGTACATGGGGTGCATAACGTCACGAGTGCTGGCGTCATAGTCATATTTATGGATTTATGGACTTGCAGGTGTCATATATGACAAGGGCCCAGCTCTGAGGGTGCCTCATTAGACGACCAGAAAAAAAGAATCACGTCAAGATATTCGATGTCTAAGATGGAGCACCAAAGTCAAACATGCAACAATTAAATACGCACAGAAACGGTGAAGATAGGTAGTAATCCACTCACCATCGCCGCGGCCGCTCAAGGGCACATTCCTAAGGCCTAATGGACTGCGGAGCATCTGTATTGGGCCATTGGGCTCCACGAGGCTCCGTGGTCCAACCATACTTACGCACACTGGGGGAAATCGTACATACGAAGGCGAAGGTTCGGGCTGGTCATGTGACATTTAGGGCTGGTCCTTTGGCGTCAAATCGCGATGTGGCGACCAAGTGGCGCCTTCACACATACCTGGTTTACCACATCTCACCATAGGACCGATGTCGCCCAGCCTTTTCCTAACATGCGGGGAAACCGCCACGCATTCCGTCCTAGTAAGGGGCTTGAAAATTCATGTTTTTATTATCAGATCCACGTGTGCTGACTCGAAATGACTCCAAATTGGCTGCTGGTCCAATGCAGTGCACTGAGCCTGAGAGTCATAGGCATATTACATGGTAGCAAAATGATGCCTGACACCCATACTTTCTGTAATAATATTGTGGCGGCCCGCTGTAGATCACTTCTCATGATGTTATGGCTGTCTTCACCGACACATGCCTGTGGCTGCGGCAGCAAAGTGCAACGACGCAAGTACATTGTGACAGTCGTAGTACGTCTATTTTGTTTACGGAATGGTAGGGATCCTAGGTGGCCGACTCAAATTATCCACAAGCTGAGCTCTCCAGTGAATGGCGCTACCTCTTGCCACACAGCAGTTGGCCACATTCGTATGCACAAATCCTGTACGTACAATATATATAAGGTGGGTTCCGCCTTCCAGTCTCAGCCTCCTATCATATTCCTCAGGTTACATCACAACAGCACCTCGAAACCATGTCTCTCTCCTGGAACGGCACTAAGCGTCCCAAACGCGACGAAGTCACCAAGTGGCACGACAGTACCAACGTCATTCTCGACTATTGTCAGGACTATCTGGAGTACGGCAGCACCACTGATCATGTTCAACGTTCTTCGTAAGTTGTGTTCCATCGATAAGTAATGGTCTCCTTGACTATCCCGCCGCTTAGTCTCGGAGACATGAATGACGCTCTTTTGGCCGACACTCACTTGAGCTATGACGAGCGACTGGCCGAGGCGCAAAAATGCAACTATCGAGCCCAATATCTTAGCACAAAGTTGCAAATAGTAAGTCGTGGCTACACCTAGTAATCTGTATGGCTTAATTACCTTTGGGATATTATAGCTATTTCACCGAGAAAACGGCTCTGATTATAAATCGTGGGCTCGAAGATATGCTGTCTTGCATGGTATGAATGGCTATCTCGTGGAGTTTTACGAGCTAATCATACCCTTTCTACTTAGAAAAAGGGTATGGAGCGAGAACAGATGCAGCTGATCAAGTGGCTGCAACCGATCGCTATCTTGCCACGATTGATCCCCGAACCTTTGTAATCTCCAGGACGTCACATTTTCGGTGAAAGAACGTCGCGCTCAGCTTGGTCCTTGGCTGCTTGGGCGACAAATATTTCGGTGTCTTATTACTCCCCGCTATCTGTATCGGCGGATATTTTAAACATATGTATGTTGTATATATGTTCTTTGTTTCCATACCGTAACAAAGTATACTACTGTTCCTTTGCGACACGGCAAGTTGCGGTCTCTTGCGGTTGATTCCGCGACTCATTAGTATACGTAAAGCTATCAGTGCACCCATTTAGCGCCTGTAAGTAATGGGGACAGCCGAGCTCGACCCGAGGCGCTATCGTTTTTGTCTTCTGTGGTTCTGAACGTCCATTGATGATACATCGTAACACGTTTCACAACGACGAGACAACAAGGCCCCCGACGTGCTTCTGCGATCCCGCCTATTTGCGCGCTGCCATAGAAACTCCACATACATAGTAATATTGTTTCAAAAGAACAAAGGACAACAGCGCGGCGGAAGCGGTAGACACTGCGACTGTCTGGGCGTGCATCCATCTCTGGTGCCTAGCTAGAAGGACGGTCCGTACAAAAGGTACTAAACCCACTTTTGTGCGGATGATTACCCGCTACACTCCCCCTTAGTACCTGATTGTTTCTCTTCTGGAATTATTTGCTTTCAGAAAGCTATAAGTTGCCCTCGACCGGTCAATCTCCAGCCAACTCGACAAGCCTTCTTCTGCCCTAGATTCCTCACATCTCATGTCTATCACGATCTCTCAGAAGTTTGTGTACCACGGATCTTCCGTGGAATATTCCTCGGACTGCCCGATGGGTACCCGGGAAATGGTGCAGGCCTGGTATCACCAGACCAGCGAGGTTCTACGACAATGTACTGCGCTGATGAGTTACGGGAATGAGAGTGATGTGGCGCAACTTAGCCGGTAAGAGCTGTGAAATCCTCTCGAAAGCACAGCTGTCTCACTACCTTCCTGTAGCATACAAGCAATGAGGACCGTCATGTATCAGCTTCTCGATAAGAGAACGAGAGAAAGTCTCTCAAGGGCGGTATCTCTGGGCGACATCATTCTTAGCTTGTCGTTCGACTTATACAATCAGCTGCAGGAAGTGAGTCCAATGTTCTGCTCTCGCCATACCTTCCTCACAATTACTGTCTAGAGAGAGTCATCTGGTCACACTGCAAGACCTAGACGAAGCTCGATTTATCCGCCTATGAATGGGTCATACGCGCACATATAATCCAAAGGGCCCACAGCCTTGCCAGATGCTCGGCCGCTTGCCCTAGGTAAGAAGTCTACGATTATTTTGAATATTGTGCTGAGCTATATCACTGCAGCGCATTCAGGGTTCGACAGCTACATTATAGTAGCGGCGAGCTGCACTAGTCATGCCTTGAGAGGGTGGCCCGACCGCACATTGCTGCATTACGTGCTACAGTTGCGTCAAGTTTTCCTTGTAAACTGTTTAAACGGTACATGAGTTTTACCAGTCTATGACATTTGTTCATACATAGCGTATCGTGTAGTGTAGCTACGTGGTAGAAGTACTTAGAAGTAGACTAGAGCGTTTCCCTCGCTATCTTGTACACAGGGGACACCGGCTGGCCAGTGGTAGACATGAAATATGTAGATCACTACGTTGTATGAAGTTGTGTATAGTTGCTTTGTCCACCACGATTACACACGGGTGCTGTGCTGGCAACCACTTCGAATGCCTCCGAGACGAATGGAACTGACAAAGAAGTGACTTGCTTGGAGACAAATTGTTGTAAAAAGAGAACGAGCGGTATGAAATACGCATAAGCCCTTTTGTAGCGCGAAAATCCGCGGGCTGGGATAACGAAACAGCCAGATTGTCAGCCTTTAATTAAGTATAGCCATACATATCGACTGTTGTCTCGTTGTATCCAACCTCGGGCCGCTGGCACAAAGATATCTGCGCGCCTGACTGGTGGCCTATTGATTCTTGAATTGTCGTCGCCGTCGGAGATTCGGAAGGAATCGACATCGATAACTTCTGAATCACCCTTTATGTGATATTGTTATCGCCTTGTCACTATATGTATCGTCGAACGCCGCGCTAATGTGCCTATCTCTCTCCGCGCGGCGGCGGAACTCAGTGTCTCATTGGTTCCAAAAATACGATTTCGTGTCTTGAGATCATGGCAACTAATAGCAAAGCTCGTTGGGAGAAGAAAGGGAATTCAAAAGTTCGTGCTAACAAAGCATATCTGTGGGGATGAGCAAGACCCTGCAAATTCTGTCGCAGCAGCAATCAGATGACAATTCGGATGCTCAGGGGATGCTCGGATGGGCACGATGACGAGTAATCCTTCTTTTTGACCATGGCTATTAAAGGTTCATGCTATAATTTATCGATAGAGCATATGGGTACTTACAGCCTTGTTTTATTGCTAGTACTATCTTCAAAAGTTACTTCGTACACATTTGCCACTCGTACTGCAGTAACTTTGATCACTGCCCGTCCCCAATATCTGACCGTGCTGGAGTTCGGATATGGAGTGACTGCGACTGATCGGATGAAGCAATTCCCGAACTTTCACGAGACAGGGTGATTGGAATTCGCAGATCGCGGCGAGGATTAGATACTATCGTATAGTCGATTAGGAAGATCTGGGTCCACAATAGTCCAGATCGCACCCGCCCGTGTGGTCTGCGACTCTGAGGGAACGAGCGTTTTGGAACCGGTGCGTGAAAATTCGGATTGCGACTTAGGGCGAGAAAGGACCCTCTGAGTGTTCCGAGGCCAAGTCTCTGGTTGCAGGATGGAGCAAACCGCGAAGAAAACGAGACCCAACCAAAACACGCAATTCTAGGTTGCAAGAGAATTGTGCGTGGGTGGAATTCGAAAACAAAGTTGACGAGCCTTCGGTACCGTGGGGGAACGACTCGGAAGCGAACTCTAACGAACTCGGGAATTGCAGAAATGGTGTTCGTAACCAATATCATGAGAGCGCAAAGACCTGAAAAGATCAGTTACCATTGGCAGTGTCAAATAGTACGTACTACGCAATGCTTACTTACGATTGCGAAGCCTAAATACTACGTAGGTAAGTGATTCTATGCTAATCAATGAGCCTATGCTAATCAATGAGCCTATCAGTGAGCACCAGCGGATGGCAAGATACTCTCGCAGGCTGGGTCAAGGCTAGATTGTTATACAGACGGCGGCGGGTTGAAATGATGAGGCACAGGTGTACTCCTATATTTGAAATTGCCGCCGGTTAATTAGCTTAGTGCCTGACGGCCCTTCCTTGGCAGGCCTTAGCTGCGGTTGCCCTTTGGTCATCTTACGTAGATCGTCTAAAATTCCTTGGAAGACCAAGCGTGTCGCTATTAGTACTTCCTGGTCTCAGACACCTCCATATTTCGACTCATACTTGCTTGTTCACAGCTGCAGTTGCAAACACCTGTTGCTGGCATATCTCCTATGCCTGACTTCTTGAACGCAGTAGTCAGTGACGTGTCTGGCCACTGGAAGAGGGGAGCCACAGGCCAGGTAAGCGTTTCTTACAACGCCCCGTCTGTGCACAACTAAAGGACATTGTAGGGTGGCTTATTGTCAGGACTAGATCCCACAGCGTTTACTACCTCGGATCCCTTGAGGCTATGGATCATTCAAATGGGTGAGCATCTTCTGTTTCAAGTGCGTCGACAGCATCATTCTAAGCAAACCGCAGGTATAGTTATTACGTTGGGGCAACTGCTCGCACTTGGTTTGGGCAAGATCAAACAGCCGAAAGTTATCGCTGAAGTCCTTGCTGGAATTCTCCTCGGTCAGTTCATTTCTCGCATCGCACTATTACTATTAGATTATAGCTGCTCATTCGACTGTAGGTCCCACTGCCATGGGACGAATCCCTGGTTTTACCGAACACATATTCCCCGCTCAATCCCTCCCATATTTCTCGCTAGTTGCAAACATTGGCCTCTGCCTCTTTCTTTTCATAATTGGTCTTGAAATCGACGGGAGCATCCTGAAGCGTAGTGCACGCTCATCCGTGGTCATCGCACTTTCTGCCATAACCTTATCCTTTGGTCTTGGCGCTGCCATTTCTGTGCCACTCTACCACAATTTTATTGGTCCCTCCATCAAGTTCACATACTTCATGCTTTTCACTGGCGTGTCATTCTCTATCACCGCTTTTCCCGTTCTTTGTCGCATTCTCACCGCACTCAAGCTCCTAGACACGACTGTCGGCGCCATTGTTCTCTCAGCTGGCGTGTGCAATGATGTGGTCGGTTGGAGTCTGCTAGCACTAGCTGTGGCCCTCGTCAATGCAACCTCCGGCCTTGCCGCTCTATGGATCCTCCTAACTTCTGTGGCATTTATAGCATTTCTCATGTGGCCGGTTAGAATCGCACTGCTGTGGTTTGCTACGTTCACAGGAAGTACGGAGAATGGACCCACCATGACTTTCATGACAGTCACTATTCTTATCCTTTGGACGTCTGCGTTCTTCACGGACATCGTGGGAGTCAATGCTATCTTTGGTGGGTGATGTTATGTCATTCCGACGTTCAGCCTTGATTTAGGATGTAGGGGCGTTCCTGGCGGGTATCATTGTTCCCCGCGAAGGCGGTCTTGCCATCTCGCTAACGGAGAAGCTTGAAGATATGGTGACAATCGTGTTTTTGCCATTGGTACGAGTGTGGGAATTGCTGTCTCCGACAAGGCTGACCACTTAACAGTACTTCACGTACTCCGGGTTAAATACCAACCTCGGATTGCTTAACAATGGTTTGTTTTGCTAACCGTGACTCGCGTTGATCATTTACCAACTATTGCGTCAGGCATCACTTGGGGATTCACCATCGCCATTATATGTCTAGACTTTACTGGAAAATTCAGTGCATGTACAATCACCTCACGGATATTCGGAATGAGTTGGCGAGAATCAAGCACTATCGGATCATTGATGACTTGCAAAGGGTTAGTCGTCCAATTTCCTCCATCGTATCTGGTTATTGACATCCTTTATTAGTCTTGTTGAATTGATCGTGCTCAATATCGGGCTTGCCGCCGGCATTCTCACCCCAACCGTGTTCTCTATGTTTGTCTTTGAAGCTTTGGTCCTAACTTTCATGACTACACCCCTCGTTTCCTGGCTTTATCCGCCTGAACGCCGGGTCCGAGCTCCAGCTGGAGCTGGTATTTCACGGGCGTCAACTGGAGACAGTGACGAAGATAAAGGTGACCGGAAGTCTCCTATGACTGAGGATCAACCATGGCGCTCCCGCTTTGCTGTTGTCCTCGACAAATTCGACCACATGTCGGGAATGTTGGTGGCCACTCAGCTGCTGTGCCCGCCCTCTCTTGGACAACCCTCGGTCCGATCAACTAAATCGATCAGCGCATCCGACAAGATCAAAATGCCTGCGTTCAGCGTGGACGCTCTCCGTTTGATCGAGCTATCAGACCGTACTTCGGCCGTCATGAAGTCTTCAGCGGTTGACACGCTCATTCGCACTGACCCGGTTCTGGGCGTCTTCCGTACCTTTGGGGAGCTCAATGATCTATCAGTATCACTCTCGCTTTCTATCGTCCCGTACGAGGACATGCCAGATACTGTCGCTGATCATGCGAAACGGTATGGATCTCATCTCGTTCTCTTGCCGTGGCTGCCATCGTCCAACTTCGGAGATACAAATGAGGTCCCATCAAGTCCACACAGCATGAAAGTCGAACCGAATCCATTCGATGCGTTGTTCGGCGGCTCAAAAAGTAATGGCAAGTCCACAGCTGTGATCCACTCGCAGTTCGTGCGCAGAGTATTTGCAGAGAGCAAGACCGATGTTGCGCTGTTCATCGATCGGGCTGATGCTGGTACTGGGAGTGTGCGGCACATATTTTTCCCCTTTTTCGGCGGTCCGGACGATCGGCTTGCGCTCGAGTTCGTGGTGCAGCTTTGTGCTAATCCAAGAACTAGTGCGACGGTTGTGAGGATGTCAAAAAGTAGCGCTGAGAGTGCTGGAGTTCAAAGACCCTCGCTCGTGCATCTAGAAAAGAAAGCAAGTTTAGACCCAGACCACGGAATGCATGTTTCTTCAGTACGATATACTGCATTTCGGTCTCACCTATTTTCTGACACAAATTTTGTAGAACATCATTTTTCCAGACCCAGCTGCCGGACAGTCCAACACCGTAACGCGTTTCAAATCGGAGACAGCCGATAGCATCCTCTGGGCGCGATATGCCCAATCCCATCTTTCGTCTGACACACCGCCCTCGCTGTGTGCCGCCCTCTCCCGGATCAACTTCTCTGAGCATTCATCGCCGATACCACTACATTCTGCCATCCAGATGGCGTCTGCGCACACGCCTGTTTTGGTAGTTGTTGGGCGCTCACAGCGCCTTGCGGGTGAAGATCATACATTGGAGCTGCAGAAGATTTTGGAGGAGCGGGGTATCGTGGGGCAGGATGTTGTTAGGCAGACTATCGGCGATTCTGCGACTGCGTTTGTTGCCTCGGGGTGTGCGACTGCGGTCGTTGTGCTCCAGGCTGCGAATGTTAATGCTGACTGAAGTGCAGGGTGAACGTCTGACTGGTGGATTTGAGATATGGATTTAACCCGATCTTTATGTATGTATAAAACAGTGCTCCAGTATAGTATCGGCTACCAGTCACTGTATCAACATTTGTATAATGCAGTGATGGGCACCGTACATGTATGATATTGATGAATGGTCTCTCGGCCCTTTACCATCAGATGTTTGTTTCGTCACTTCACTCGCTCAGAGCGCTACACCTGTGTCAGACGGGCTCTTACTTGTAAGGTTACTCCAAATGATGTCATGAATGATTTTGACACGTTGACACAACTCCGCCAACGTAATAATCCGTGGTTACACTGACATCCCCGGAAATAGACAGATCCCATTTCCATTCGTTTCGTTCGCAACGGGCTCCGCGGAGTTCAAGTACACAGGCGTGTCGCGGGGATCATATGTACCCAGGATATCCCTGCCAGGGTGGACGTTTACGACAGGTGTGGTCTGCCGTTGTGTCTACCCTGTCGCTTGAGTGTGTACTTGATTTGCACTAAGGGCTGTTGCCCTCTGGGCCTCTTGGCATTTGACGAGCACGGAATCATCAAGCCTGCGTCTCACTGAGTGTATAATTGAGCAGATGTGCATGTGCATGTGCGGTGTCTGCTAGTCTATGGCCATCCGGAGCTTCAATATCAGTATACCTGATGTATCGTCAGGCACCAAGTATTCTGGTCAAAATGTGCCAAGCAATATTGTCTGATTTCATATGTTATGAGGTTAGTTTTGTATCCAAACGTTTCGAGGGCAGGATGCAGTAAATTCACTGAATCGGCTCCTCATGATGCAGGAAATCCCAGCGAGGATGTTAGTTATCCTTTGGCCTAGAATGGGCCCCAGACTGTTCCATTTCAGACATGTCCTTCTAATGTGCTCGTCTCAATGTACTGTGACACCAGGTCAGAGTCGAAAGCGAAAACGGCATGACCACTCATCACTAACACAAACAGCCTCGAAGGGTGCACGACGCACCAGTGCAGACAAGCTCAATTCCCTTTTTGAGCTATTTCGATTCGTTCGATTGGAAACTGCAGTCGATCAATGTGGTAGAAAATGAATCTATTGGAATCCGAACCATCTGAAGAGTCCAAGACGTCCAATGGAGAGGCAACTTGGGGATAGACGAGGATATGAGCTTAACCAAAAGGAGTATGAGCGTGCTATGTCTTGACATCAGCTCAATTCCACTATGTCTCATTCCTAAGCTACAATATATTTTTTGTCTCTATCCTACTTACTATAAAGCTACAAGTCCCACATGCATGCATCTCAGTCCTTTGTACAAGACTGAGGTGTGAGTAGCATTATTTTCTTCCCATCAAACATTATACTTATGATTCATAGTTGTTTGATTACTGGCCTGTTCTCCTACATCCATGATGATTGACCAATGCAACCTCATAATAAGTGGTTGAGTGCTCATATTCACAAAGCATCAGAACAAGACATTACTGGTGGCACTGGACCATGGGATCAGATGCATGCACCAATGTTTTTTGAGTATCTCTTTCAGATCTCACCACATCAATGCTGCAAGACCACTCACAGACTTTCCTTGAACAGTACTACAACTTTTTTTTAAATTTCCCAGTCTATCATTGGTTGTTCAATTGTACTTGTGTGTCTCTTATATTACATATACAGTCCAGACTCTCAGTACTAAGACTTTTTTGTATTTTTAAAAATTCCCACAGTCTAGTATTTGTATTTGTTTGTCCCTGGTATCATATATACAGTCAGCAAGCTGTGACTATGGCAATTCGCAACTTAAACTCATGTCTCTACCTTCCTATTTTGGAAATATAACAAACAAGGACAAACAATGACCATGCCTCAAGATGTAAGTTCAAAAATCAAGTTTCAATACAATATATTGATTCTGATATACAATGTTTGGTCTACAAAGAAACAAACAGTAAATTTAGACATGCCTCAAAATAAGCGCTCAAGCACTTATTTCTTACCCACCAAGACAAAGACCAAGGTGGTAAGTCTTGTCTAGACATGCCTCAAAATAAGCAATTGAGTGCTTATTTTTTACCCACCCAGACAAAGGACAATATGGTAAGTTTAGACATGCCTCAAAATAAGTGCTTGAGCACTTATTTCAATAGACTCAGAAGCAAGCAACCAATTCACTGACCAAGGCTTTGAATGTAAGCATAGCACTTTCTCATAGATCAGCATAGCAATGTCCAATCATCAGAGCACAACAGGTAGATCACACAGAAGATTATTGGTCTTGCCATGGATCCACAGCTTGGGGGAATTCATGTATTCAAAGATTGCACCACCAGTCCCCCTGAGCTTGTTGCTGGGGTCAAGAAATTCTGTTGTGTAAGTACAAGACATTAAATAAAATAAGCGCTCGAGCACTTATTTTTTTTCTACACCAGCTGCTGATGCTTGAATCTGAATGCCACATTGATCTACTTGATGATCCCACCTCAGATAGACCAACTCTTGGAAACAACTCACTTCAAGATCTTCAAAAAGATTATACTCTCAAATGGCCAGAGGTAGAGGATGATGAGGAACTCAAGAAAATCTTTGGCCCAGCATCAGGGGGGCATCTGGAGAAATTAAAGGAACTATCTATTTGAGTTAAAACATTATGGGGGTATAATGTTTTCCTTTGAGGAAAGTCTTAATATGGTTAGAGAGGGGAAGAGGAAATTATATAATTGGTTATAGAAGGAAAGAAGCATTTATAGGGTCATTTCAGAAATACATTTCAAACTTGTGAAAAAATATCTTTATACACTACATGGCTGTATATTATATAAAATATGTCACTTTTTTTATTATCTGATGAGTATCTCATTGGATGAAGGGTATTACTGTGATTATATTCCACTCACTCTTATAAAATTTGGTGGTCAGGAACATAAGTTATGTCCATTTTACTGTGTGGAAGGTCATACCACTAGATAACCACATTCAACAGGTATTTTGTCATCTACAGGGGGTTATATCACTTGCATATAGGTCTATAGGTATTATAATCAGGTAAATTGGGTATCTCCATCTGATGATGCCCACACTCAGACATTTGCACTAGGTGAGAGGAGGAGGGAGTAGATTATAGTAATGAAAAAAAATCCTGTGATCCTGAAACTTGGTTTATGATCTTCTCTGACCTTTTAAATGATGGGGACATGCTCAGCTGAGTCACTGGTGCATCCAGGATGATCTGGTTCCTAAAAGACAGTAGGCATCTAAAGAAAGAGAACTCATGTGAGTTCCCCAGTCAAGTATAAGAGACTATATTATGTACCTAAAGAAAGAGAACTTGTGTAAGTTCTAAAGCACATCAGTAAGGAATGTGTTAGGTATACTAATCTACAACTTACCCCTAGTTGAGTATAAGAGACTGGGGAAAAGGGAGAAATAAGTGTAGCAAATCTATGGTACATGGAATTACTATATATGGTAAGTCCACTGGCATAGTGAGTGAAGGTCTGAAACAAAAAAGAGAAAAAATTATACTACATTGACGGGTTGATTTCCAACACACCCCCTCAAACTAGCAATAGCTGCAGTTCTTCTATCATCTTCTGGAAGGCAAGAAATGAGAGTGGCATTGTGGGTCTGTCTGCAAGCATTTTGGCTGATGGGATGTGAGTCAGCTTGAGGGTAAAATAATGGTTCCTGGGGTATTGGTTCTGGTTCTGGTGTCAGGATGTTGCCACTGGTTGGGGCAGGATTTCTGTGTGTCACCCCCTTGAATCAGACAGTGGGATGAGTGGTAGTCATTAATTTCAGCACCCCCTTACTTGGGATAGGGGTAGGAGTGGGAGTAGGGTTGATGTCATATCTGGTTGAAGGTGGGACAGTGACACTGTTAATTTCATATAGGTTTTGTGTTAGTTGACCTTTCATAACAACTTCACTGTTGGGTTTCTTGATGGTGAGTTGCCCTCCCCTCTTGGTAATCTCCATTCCTCTGTGATTGGCTCATCCCTTGATGGAGGCGAATATTGTGACTGACCCATATCTGAGAACTTATAGCTCGGGGCTGTCTTTAACAATGCTGTAAATATGGTTCTGCATTGGGGTAAATGTTATGAAAGTGGAACACTCAGTGTATATTTGAGTCACTGAGCTGCCATCAAGGATCCAGCTAGAGTGAGGGTGAGAGGGGTGACTAGTCATATAGGAGGAATGTTCAGTGTCTGAATGGTGGTAGTCCAATTCAGAGTTGCTATACTTGGTGACAGCTCAATTGGCCTTCAACTTCCCCTTCTTCAACTTCTTATCCTTGTCACTGCTCTTGTCATCTTTCTTCAACTTCTTCTTCTTGTGTCATGGTCCCTGACCATATTTTGCACCCCCCTTTGAGTAGCAGTCTTGGGTCAAGTGGCCAGAGATATGGCAGTTGTTGCAGTAGGGTTGGCCTGGTATGGGCTTGTGACTGAGCTTCCCCTTGCTCTTATTCCCTTGTGAGGTGTTCATGAAGTAGCAGGGGATCGGGTTGCTTGGGCATGGTATATGAGGGATTCTGTCCATATTTATACAGGTGTTCCTTCATGTGGATAGGCAACAATGGATTTGGTAAAGATTCCATCTGATGAAGCATCTGACAGGCCAGGTCATTAGTATATTCTTGAATTCCATACCTCTGACATAGTGTTTTAAAGTCCAGTCCAGTCTGGTTTTTTTGGCCATTTTTGGCACAACCAGACCTGGACCAGACCTAATTTTAATTGTAGTTTCACAAGACTGGACTGAACTCTCAAAAACAGGTTGCCTTCAGTTGCCAGACCACACTACAGTAGGTTGCAACCGGTCTTTCAAAAACCAGTCCAGGACTGGTTGTAACTGGTCTAGACTTTGTCATAGAGGAACATGTTCTGCACATTGTTGTATTTTAATAATTTTGTAAGACACTACCAACTAATCAATACTTTGCATCTCCCCACTGCCTCAATCTTCTCTTCAACCTGACCATGAAGTCAACCTGTGTGCAACAACCCACAGAAAAGGTTGTTGCAATGACATCTGCCAAAGCCAAGCACTCATGGCCTCCAAAGATGAAGCAAGTGTCACCAAAAGGGAAGAATTGCAAATGGAAAGCTATATTGAGCAACAGCAAATCAGAAACCAGTGAGAGTGAGGCTGAACAAAAACATACTTTGAAAAAGAAACCTCCAGGTCCTGCAAAATATAAGTGTGCACATCAAAACACTATTGACGAGGTTGTCCATGAGAGCAAGGCCAGTGAAGAAGTAATAGAAATTGAGCCTCTTGTTGAGGATGCTGAAGACAAAGAGGTAATCATGACTTGTATCATTGACATCTGTGTATTGGATGTCAGCTCAACATCACCGGATAGCAGGACAGCGATGGCTTGCAGGAACAGCACCACGCTACTCTACCCAATGTGCTGAAAATGAACAAACAAAGTACAGCTGATTTACTCACTGCGTTCTTGGATCGTTGTACGGTGAAGTTTTGCCAGACTAATGGAAATGTAGAAACATTGAAGGGGCGCTGGTGCAATGCATGCAAGTCAGTATATCAGATCAAATACTAATATTGACAAGTACTTACATTGCACCTGTAGAGATGATACAGATTTTGTCACAAAGCATGGAAAATGCAAGGCATTCCATGTTGGAAGTAATTCTTCATGTCAGCAACACATCTGAAGCCATTATGAGGTATACAAGAGCAAATGCAAAGAACTGGGCCTGAAGGAAAATCACCATGCAATACCGCGTGATATAGTGAAGCTGCAAGCGAATAGGAAGAAACAAGGGAAAGATGTCCAACAAAATCTAGGCCAGATGTTGCAGAAGTTGCAAAACAAAGAGTATTCAAGGGAGGATGTGCTATGCACAGTTGCTGAATTTGTGGTCTGCAATGACCAGGTGAGTGATGATATTGATGATACATGAGATTGGGAAAATGCTGAAACAGCATTGTTGTGCAGAGCCTTGTAGTGGCTGACTGTCACAAATTCCCAATATGAACTATTTTTCGTTTCTCGGCTTTCCTCCGGCTACTTCTCATTCCTGAACCAGTCACGTGACTTCGCTTACTGTCACAGTTTCACCTCTTCACATATCACCCATTGTATCTCTGATTGGTTCCCCTACTCCACAGGCTAGAATGATCTCTCTTCCTATCACGTAATCTCTGTCTATGATCTCATCACTTATATATCACAATGTCATCCGCAGTTATCATACAACTCTTTTCTCATTGGCTGATTTGTTTCATACTCAGATATCTCAGATTCAATATTATGTATATAAGTAGGTTAGTTAGCATAAGTACTCCTTAGACTTAACCTCTTCATTCTCTACACTTGTAGTAGGCTTAGATGTTCACACTCAATCCTATCCTTGCTTTTATCATCAACTGTAACTGAGTCCTAGTGGTTATGTTCTTGCCTTTACCATTCGGTGAACGCTGGTCATAACACTGACAAACCCGCATTTAGAAATTGTTTGGTGGCAATGCGGCCAAATGCTATACTGGCGGACATACCTTCAACTCATGATGTGTTGGGTTACATCCACAACACATTCATTGAATTTATCGAGGGTCTCAAGGTCCGAATGCAGGTGAGTACTAGTACTGCTCCATATTCCTCTGAAATATCTCACAAAATGTTTACAGGCTACAACAACCGGCCTTATTTTAACAGACTTGTGGTCTGTTGATCAGACAAAGGTCGCATTTTTAGGCTTAACGGCTCACTGTATCGAGGCTAATGATGCCTCTGGTATATGGACACTTGTTTCACAAGTCATCACTTTCAGAGGTATATCTGGAGCGCACAGTGGGCATAATCTTGCACAGTATCTTTTTGGATTGTATGAGCATGCAGGAATTATCAAAGGGCAATCAAGCAAGGTATGTACTCTACCAACCAGGTCTCAATTTTTGTGTGCTGAGTTCTGCAATAGCTTTTCTGTATTACTGCTGACAATACTAGCAACAACAACACCACTTGTGACATCATTGAGACACTACTTCACCACCACCATATATACAACTTCAATGCCACTTGACATCATCTCCCCTGTCTTGCCCATGTGGTCAACCTCACCATCACTGATGTTATGTCAGTTATCACATGCATCACCAATGTTGAGACTACAACCGCAATATGGGAGTTTGACCCATTGCTCCCTAATAACCACGTTCTCGGAGACTTGCTTGATGTTGTAGCTGCGGTGTGTACACTTGCCATTAAGGTACATTTTCACTGCTGCCCACAAGTTCTATCATCTAATATATCTTACAGATTCAGTCCTCAAGTCAACGCATCAAATATTTTGAGACCTTGCAAGTCAAGTGTGGGATCCCGACACCACTCAAAATCCCTCTCCACAGTAATGTATGCTAGGGAACTGCTCATGGGATGCTTGGACGTGCCTATCGCCTATGACAGGCTATCAATCTCTTCATCTCCTCTGCTGACGAGCTTTTTTGGCCGATCACATCCATTCGATGCCATGGATGGGTCACAAAGCACATCCCATGGACTGTGTTTGCACTCAAGGCATTGGGCTTGGAGTGTGTGAACAATACACAAATCATAATCTTGGTAGGTCACAACTAGTCTCTCTTCGGCAATTTTGACCGACATTTTTAGGATGCTAATGATATTAAACAATACTTCTCCTCTGAACAACAACCAACACTATGGAATGCAATACCTGCTATGGAGGAGCCACAGACAGCTTGGGAATCAAAGAGTGAGAATTTATGGTTTGCATTGTACAAGGAGGCTATCCAGCAGGGTCTTGCAAAGATTGGAAAGTATTATAGCAAATTTGACGACAAACCTGTCTATATTCTTGCGCTTGGTATGTCTATCATATTGTATTGTATTTTTGACTAATTAAATGTGCAGTACTACACCCATACTACAAACTCGCATACATCACAATGGCATGGGGCAGTCCTGAAGAACAAGCCAAGGAATTGGCTGCTGGGAATCTGAATGCAAAAAATTGGTATGATGAAGCTCTCAAGATAGTTGAAAAGACTATAGTATTGGACCACACATAAAGCACTTGTAGACTCAGGACGTGCCACCACCAACACCATCGACTACAACTCAACAGTCTCGACTGTCAAAACCATGGTCCAAATACAATCACTATTGCTACATGTTAGTTCAGCAGGCAGTCTATGAGCACAACACTGGATGGGCAGCCAAGCTTCATTGTTACCTCAAGGATATACCAGAGGATGTTACAAAAGAGACAGACATTGTTCAGTGGTGGTCGGTGAGTCTATCTAATATGTTCCAACATATTTTTTATCTCATATCACACAGAAACATTCATCTATCTATCCTACCCTTGCGAGAATCACAATGGATGTTTGTGCAATACCAGCATCTTTAGTCCCATGTGAATGACTGTTTTCAGTGGGCATAGAGATTGCAACAGATCACCGCTCAAGACTTGGTGCAGACAAATTTGAGCAACTCCAGATCCTCAAGCATACATGGCGAGATTCCATTGTGGATAGGGCTGCTTCCAACTCTTTCACTATACAGGAAGTCTTGCTGGAGGAATTCAAAGAGCTTCTGTCCCTTGACAAGGATATGGTTGAGTGGGATCATATTGAGGACGAGATGGTCACTGCCTAGTTTGCTTTCCTTACATATCTCAGAATTAGAAGTTTGTTGTATCATTGTGCAACTGGTTTTTTATCAGTCTTGAATTTCTGGTCAATTTCAGGCAACCAAAACTGGAGTTTAGCAAAATGTAAGGCAACCACAACCTTGGTCTGGTTGCAACCATTAGCAGTCCGGTTCAGTTACCAGTTTTTTTTCGGTTTGGCAACCAGACTTTCAAACACTACTCATATTGTCTCACTCTCACCAGACTTTGATGCATTTTTATCAATGGCAAAATATTGATGGAAAGAGTAAATATCTGTCATATACCAGATTCAACCACTCCCAATACCATTCATAGATGTCCCTACTGCTGGTCCGACCCCCCTATTTCCACATCCACTCCAATCCCTCTCCAACAAATGCACAAAGTGCATCTCAGCAGGACTAGCCCTGCTACCTCCACCCAACTCTGCTCCACTCCTCCAACACTACCCCTATTTCCTCCAACACTATATCCCTACTATCCGACCCTATCTGGAGCTCCACTCCTCCACCATATTAGTCCGCCCAATCCTACTCCTACTCCCTCCACCATCTCCACTTTCCCAACCCACTTGGTTCCTTCAGTTTCTCTTGTGTCACTCCACCCGACTATTGGTCCGTCTGACCACCTTACCGGTCCACTCCTAGACTAGGAACCACTCAACTGGTCCTATCTCCTTTTTGGTATTATAGTTCCTCCTTTCGGATCACTGGTAATTCCTATACCCGAGTAATTATTGATCTGTCACGTACATACTGTTCTCCGAGCCTCTTTCTCGTATGTCTCAGTCATCTTTCTAGTAATTCTGTACACTCAGCACATAGCCTCCTGCTATGCTATGCTACTTACTTAGAGTATATAAGCATATGTACACCTGTCTGTAGATCTTTAGTCTGAATATTACCTTTCCTAAGCCTTGCTCTTCTGTTCTTGTTCTTGGGCAATACCCTAGACAACTTCTGTTTTGCTGGCCTAGGGGATTGACTCCCTAGGTCGGCCGCCTTTCCTGCTCATCCGACTTCCTGTGCCTCATCCACCTTTCCCACGCCTCGGACTTGAGCCCAGTACTCTTGTACCTCTGTCCTCTCCATTTCCACTCTGCTTCGGACTTCGTCTGAGCAATCCTGTCCGCTCTGCTTCTACTGTTAGCTCCGACTGCAGTAGTCCTCCAACTCTCTCCTATCAGGTGGACTAACCTTCACCCAATGTTCCTGCACCCGCCTGGTAGTCCATTGGCCCACCTTCAGAGCCTCTGCTCTGACGTCCTGTTGGAGCTCGTAGAACTTAAGTCAGACTACAATCTGAAATTAGGGGCATGTACTTGGGTAAGGGGCACAGCGCACAAGCTGAAGCCAAGCCCCTCAGACTCTGTCTTACCCCTGAGCATGGTCTTAACAATATCCAATGATAATCAACCAAATAGTCAATGATTTTCAGATTGGTGGAATATCGTCGGAATGAGCCCATATTCATCTGTTTTTGATGTTAAAATTTGAGATTCTCTAATTATCCACCTGTCAAAAATTTGTCCATATGTAGCCCAACATACAGCGCATGCTCCCTCATATGCCTTCTTGCACCCTCTGCAGCAATCAGAGACCTCTCTGGTGAACCTATACAGCTGTACCAACTCCAAGCAACCATCTGAGCCCTTTGAAGCTTTTGAAACACATCTTTTGGGTGCCATACATGAGTTCTTCAGCCCTTATGCCTCCTCGCAAGGCACAAACAGATTGGGGTGGACTGGGCCAGGACGCAAATTCCATAGGGACACAGGGAGCTGGGAGGAAGTTAGCACCCAAGTGGAAGCTTGATGATTGAGCGGGGGATGCACCAGTGGCCTCGAAATGTGGCAAGAAGATAGTAGTGCCAACACAGACCTCTGGAGGGTTCATTAATCCATTCACACTGACAATGACAGAGTCATCACAACTCATTAACCAGCAGACAGCACCAGTACCTCACCTTGTCCCTCCGGAGTCCATGCCGCCTCACCCACCACAGTCCTTTGATGCTATGCTGCCTCAGCACCAGCACTATGATGCATATACGCAGCCTGATTCACAAAATACACAGGAATCAGCAAGTCCTCTGTTACACGAAGGTGCCAACATACCAATAGACCCAGCAATTGTGGTACCAGAATACTCATCACCACAAGGCCATGACTTTGATGTCAAGAGGACTTGCATGCCACCTCCACCTATAGAATTGCTGCAGCACTGAGCACTAACCAGTGTTGCAGGGGGAAGTATGAACCCATTTGCCTTGACCCATCCGATCACTGCTGTTGTGCATCCCTTCACCTTATCCAGCCAGGAGATGTCTGTCATACCCCAAAAATGCTCGGAATCAGTTTTGCCAACCCTGATAGAATTTTCGCTCACACCATCGACTGCCCTCATGACTCCAAATAGCTTGCGTTCATCATCTGTAGCCCCACCCACATCAGCAGGCGATAAACAAATTGCAGCTACTCTCACCCAGACTGAACCAATTGCAGGTGCACAAGTTGCCATCCCAAAGTGGCTGATGGATACCATTACACAACTCGAGCACGAGCTCAAATCCCAGAAGCAGAAGCTAGAAGAAGCTGGGGACATCATTCATGAACAGGTGGAAGAGCTGGTTGAGCTTCCACACCAAGTTACAATACTGCACGATGCTCAGAATCAGCTTGAAGATGAAGTTAACAAATCACACACATTACACATCACTGGAGTCACTTTCTTCGAATGTCGATGTGGTTAAGAAAACACTTCAAAGCAGTACCAAGTCCTCGAAGTCTAAGGCAGCACAGGCCATTAGTGACAATTCAAAAGATAACATTTGGAATGTAAGTGACAAAAGGGACAAATTCATGCAATGTTCACTTATCTTGAAATAGTCTGGAGTCCACAAGTGCTTCTTGAAGGCAATTGGCATAACAAAACCATCTGCAATAAGGGAGTACCATCCACATGTAAATGGGTCGCAGATTGATGGTGACCAGGTTTGACCTGACTTCAGCAAAGATTGGAGTAACAATGCATCTTGGCACATCTATCTTGTCCAATATGTCAGGGTCAACATCCAATCATGTCATTCTATTGTCTTGGCTGATCTCATTAATTCAAAGACAGATGAAGATATTCTCAGATGCTTACATGAAAACTTCAAACATTATGCTGCAGACTATTGCAGTGCAAATAAGCTTGCACTGTCAACTGGAAGGGCAAAAGGAAAGACTGACCCAAGGGTGGCATGAAGGGAAGCACGAAAATGAGTGGTAAGACGATTTTCTGGAACATTCCACTTTCAGCTCAATTTCGGTCAAGAAACTTGACAAGCAAATCAGTATCCGGGACAAGTCGAATCTCAAGACTCCTGAATGGGACTTTGCCTTCACGTTGCCATACCAAAGCAGTGATGAGAGCATGCAGTCAGGAGATGATGATCGTGGGGGCATTGATCCGGATACAGAGGAAGAAAAAGATGTCCGAAAGAAGCCAGATACGAAGTCTAACTTGAAGGGTAAGTGGAAGGCACCATTGAAGGAAGCATGGGTGACGCACCGTGAAAAGTACTGAGCACTGCTAGTGAGTACTCTAGAGAATGACTCTGGGCCTCTCAGATATGGTTGAAACTCTGTCAGTTCAATCAAGCTGTTGATCACCTGAATATGGTGGCATTGGAGATGAAGAAATCCAGCCGTCATCACACTTGAGTCATTGGTGAACCACAGGACAGAGATTTACCTGATGTTAAGACAAGTCCAAGAATTCCTATTGAGCTGATTGATTGGGAGTGGCTGCGTGCACGTCCACAGGACCCCACAAGGTATAATGGAACCATCAATGACGGTATGTGGTACAGTGGTGTCAGCTACAGCGACAATTTGATTATTCTTTTTCTTTGAAGATCAAGTAATGGTCCCCGTACCTGAGCAAGATGCTAACCACTGGCATGCTGAAGCCAAAGACAACTTTGAAGCAGAGCTCGCTGATGATGAAGGAGAGCTAGGCTTTGATGAGGAGTGAGGAGCTAGGCTAATTGATGGGTTTCTTGTGCAACAAAATGAAATTCTGTATGAGTAGAACAAGCTGCATTAACAACTATCAATCGTCATCAATGTCAATCTCGATGTCAGCCTCTGGGTTGCTCTGTTTGAGACATTAATAAGTGTGCCATTGCAAACAAAAAACAGCAGTGCATGTACATGGTCATATGCAGAGTTGCCTCAATAGGCCAAATAATATTGGCAAAAAATCAGTTAAAGTCTCTGCATTGGTTTGATATATCTTCCTCCAGTCAATAGACCAGACTTGAGGATGATCACACAATTAATGTGCTTGACCATAGCTGGTGCAATATTAGTAGCAATTCATTGGACCAATCAATATTGATCTGCCAGACCAACCCACAAGGTAGGGATACGAAGCATTGATGAAGTTCATGAACATCCACATCTTGAATCTCCCAGTGCCCACCCCTTCAATATTCTAAGCCTGCTTGAATTGCACACCACCCATATCCATCATAGATGTCTTTCATGGGCTTAGATGGGTCAGGAAACAAATAAAACCCGCTGCCAGGAATTGGAGGGACTTGGCTTGGTTCATCCCCAGGACCATGCCAATGTTGGAGCTATTCCCACTTGCCCAGATGTAGAAGAAACCATTGTAATGCACACTCTGAAGGTACAAAGGGTACAATTGTTATCAGTGTACATTTGGTGGTGCCGTTGGACAGTTGTTTTTGCATATACAATGTCCCTTCACAGTTGTCGACAGTGCAATTGGGAGACTCAAGTTCAGAAAGTACAGAAGGATGATGGAGCTTCCAGCATACATCACATACAAAGAAATATATGATAAACTGGTCAGTAGACAGACCAAGGCACTTGAGGAGGGTAGGCAGGGTGCGAGCAAATTCATCCAGGCCTGGATATTCAATATCTGGGTTTGCTTGTTGAGCTGTGTGGAGGAGGTGTTCCTTGCCTTTGAGGTCATGGTACACAGCTGCGTGGGTAGCATCATAGAAGGCTGCTGAAATAAAGGCCTGAATATAAGCATTACGGACTGCAGGATGGTCATCCATGCAGGGCAGGGGTTTGTGTGAATGTCGGCAGCTTCACAAACATCGGAGAAATCAAAATGAGCACCTTGAGATATGAATAGGGCACCATCCTCTCACTCATCAAGATTGATATCTTCCCCCTCAGGGATGAGAGGTTCTTCATCACTTGAGGAGTCCTCGGAATCCTCCACATTGAGCCGCCCAAGATGTTCGAAGATTTCTTCATCAGAGTCTGTGCTGAATTCATCTAGTGGACCGAGGTCAGGTAGGTGTTCATCCCACCCATCAAAGATGTTGTCCAACTCAGGAAATGGTTGGGCAGGCATGTCCGTGTTTGCATTCTCAGGTTGTGGCTCTCCAGTTACATTGTCCACACCATCGTGATAGTTGTAGTCTATCCCACCCCCTAAACCATCCTGAGGTGGCTCATCTTCAGATGAGTCGCTATGCGCATCAGGTTGAAGACCTTCAACTTCTGGTTGATGTAGGTCCTCATGTGCTGCTTCTGCAGCACAAGATGCTTCAAGTTGCTGATCTGTGTAATGGGTGCTCAATGAGGCGAGCGGAGCGAGAACAATAAGAGGGTGAACAGACGGAGAGAGGCCAGATACTGGCGTTGATTTGACAAGGAAATAATACAAAGCCCCAAGCACATATAAGTATCTGCTATGGTGATAATGTAAGGTGAAACTGTGAGCAGTAAGAGTGTCAATGAGATAACAAATCCATAATCATCCGAATGAGCTGGTCCGTGCATGACGGAGTACATTGGCGCAATCATCAGCAAAACCCTAACCCTATGTGCAGTGTTGTGCAGCACTGCACAGCAATCACAGTGTCACAGCGAGGTCCCCCCATGTACAGCACTGCACAGTGTTGCACACTACACAATTTCTCAATAAAACATAATTGTTAGCATACCATCTTGTTATATATATGTTTGTGACTACATTACACTCATTTTTACATAGAATCAGTACCTGTGTGATGCTGCAGAGCCTTTACAAAAAACTCTGTGTGACCTGTGACACGCTGTGTGGCTGTGGCGCTGTAGCCAAATCAGGGTTTTGCTGATGATGTTCAGTAGAGTAGAATGACCATGATCTAAATAGAATGGCCATGAGCTATTTATAGTGACCATGACCGTGACAATCTGCATGTTGATGCTGCACAGCTGTCTGAATTTCTTGAAGCCTCTGTCCATCCACACTGGATCTGCACTGAAAACTCTCACAGGAGCACCAGGTGTATGATGCCCTGGGAATTTGAAGATTAGTATGCCAAGTGCTGTGCTGCAGGTGGTGTGGAGTGTTTAATGGTGACCATGACAGTACTGGTGTACATAGCATTGCATGCAGACTGTGTGCACATGGATTTCACTAAGTCTCAAACAAGTATTCAACATCGATTAATGGAAGATATTGTCATGAATGTTATCAACTGCATCTAAATTTCGATTATCGAACCATAAGTCACCCTATCCGATAAGATTAGATTAGATAGATCCCTGATAAGATAAGATGGATAACCGATTAACGATCACTATCTTTACATCATATCTATACTATATCAACGTCATCCATCTTATTCGTAACCCTAGACAACCGAACTCATCATACCCTAAGAAGTCCTACGATTAGGCAAACAGGTTACATCATAAGCATCTACATGCCTCTATGATCGAACCATAACCGAGAGTCCTTTACGAGCTATCTATCGAAGAGTCATATCCCTTCACATCGCACACCTTCACTTCTCATGACATGTTAAGAGTTACCTCTGTCATTCACCGAACTCCTTACATTAAAACCTGTTGCACAGTCACAGCTAGAACCCCGAACCCCTATCACAGAAGCATCGCTCATAGAGAAGCATGTTCATTACCGAAGACCCTGGAGAACCCTAGATCCGATCGTACCCGATACATCTCCAGATCCAGATCCTATCTAGATCCTTCGATCTAGATCATCAGATCCTATCTCTAATCGAGATCCTTAATTACCGCTCGAGACTTCTTGTCACAGAACTCTCTCACACCCTTCTTAATCTCCGTCTACCCTGAATAGAAGCAGTCCCTGAGAACCCTGCTTAATTACCGATACCCTTGGCCCTATGAACCCTTTACCCTTCTCTTCTTGTAGTTGATTGGTTGATAAGAAGCCCTATACCCTAGGTGCAATGTTATGACCGTATATAGTTATATCACATACCTTTCATACTCAGATAGCTCCGCCCCAATAGTAGTATATAGTCTAGGTAGTAGTCAGTAGTACTCCTTAGACTTAACCTCCTCGTTTCTACATCATTGTAGGGCCTAGATGTTCCCTCTCAATCCATCTCGCTTTATCCTCTTTGACTGAGTCCTGTGGTGTGATACCAACTCCAGACACCTACTAGTTAGGTTAAGGGACGTGGGTCATAACATTAGGTTAAGTCTTCTTACCACCCGACTTGATTGTGTTCGCCCTCTTGTACTCCAACCTTCGGGCGACTATTAGACGACGCTCCTATCATCATCCTTCGCACGATTCTATTTGTCCTTCGACACTCGTATACTCCATCCTCGCAAGAGACGACGATCCGACTCTCGAACGGCACTTGTGTCGATAACCTTCCTCCCAGAACATCGGCGGTTCTGCTGAGCTTAGTCTCGCGGATCACGTTTTAAAAACCATCTTTCCCAGACCGCAGCCCCGCACTTCTTTTGTGCACATTCCCTCCCCTAGTTAGTAGAAGTAGACCAGGCCCTGCCTTACTGCAGCCGCCAGTCTATAAGGAACAGTGACATTTAGGTCCTGTATCCGTCGCCTTGAGTGCTGGCCCAATACCTGCCTGCTCAACGCTATATCCTAGAACCCCTTCGTAGAATTAGAGAACGGCACTCGCGAGTGTAGTAACAGTATTGCGTTGGTTCTCACGCATATTGTTTACCGCATTCTAGTATAAATTACTATAGCCTTTTTTACTTAGAACCTAGTTGGCCAAGAAGCCGGCAACTACGTTACTATACGGGCTTAGGTCGCCTCTCTATCATCATACTCCCTTTTCGGTCATATCTTACGAGATCCCTGACAAATCAAAATATACTCTGTTGAATAGGATTCCGGAACGCAGCCGGCAACATGAGATATTCCGCCCCTACCGTTGATGACTATGAAGAGCTAGCTTCTCAAATCAGAGAAGGCTTTTGCTTTAATACGCATCACGCAAAGGGACCACAAATCACACACTGGATTGGTGTAGAATTTGAAGATGGAGAAATCTCCTATCAGAGCCTTTGCAAGAATTGCGCTAAGGCAAACAAAAAGACTGTAGACACGTTCCGAATTAGGTGTAGAGGCGCAATGGCTGAATTGCCATCCCTCGCTATCCGAACCGCATACGTTGACACACTCCCACCGTCACCTAGATCCACACCATCGTCATCGCCCACATCATCTTCTTCATCATCGCCGTTACTGTCATCGAGAGAAATGACAACCCAGTGGCCCAAGATTGCCAACGTACAAAATCCCGAGCCCAAGGTTGCTCCAAAACCCGTAGTAGTCGCGCAGTCCGTAGGACAGAAGATACGCGACGAGCCGAAAGGCAAAGGGAAAGAAACCCTTACAGAAAATATCAGGATGTCGTCAGGTTCCTCTAAACCTAAGGAGTCGACTGGTACTCAGAAGCCAGAGAAAGTAGCACCAATTGAAATCAAGAAAGAAACCTTCGCGGAAGAAATCTTGAGATTAAAAAGAGACTACGGAATCAAGGACAAGACCACTGAAGCGACTAAAGTAGAAGTCGTGGAAGTGGAAGTCGTTGAAGTAAAAGCAGTAGTCCCTGCTAAACAAAAGGACGAGAAATCGGAGACAACCGATGAAACAAACAAAGGACCAGTCGAGTCTGGTTTATCAAAATCACAAATCAAGAGACAGAAACAAAAAGAAGCTAGATTAGCGAGAGCTTCTTTAGTGAAAGTCTCTGAGCAGAAACCTACTGCCGAAACAAATAAGGAAAAGGAGCAGATCCTCCCTGCTTTAACAAATGAGAAGACGGAGCATGAAACCGTAGAGAAGGTTGCAAAACCTATCGAAGAGTCGTTGTCCGACCTCGATAAAATAATCGCAGAGAACATGCTAAAACGCGCTATGGAAACATTAGAAGCGCTGAGAGTTGCTGAACGCCGAAAGGCCGAGGAAGCAGCAGAGATACTCCGACAGATCAAGGAGGTCTCAGAGGTTGTTATGCCATCAACAATAGAAAAGGCAATGGATGTAGTCCGTAGGACAGAAGAAACATCCAAGGTTGAAACACCTATTGAAATAGAAAGTGCAGTCCGTAGGACAGAAGAGGCACTAGAGATACCGGTTGAAAGTCCGAGGACCCCAAATATTCTATACCGTTCCCCACGACGAAAGTCTGAGCCATATCCCGAAGGCGAAGACGAAGTCCCAGAGAGTTATAAAAGAACCGAAGATAGAGATCGTCGAGAAGACCAGGAATGGAATCACCTGGCAGTAATAATCCATCCCACAAAGAGCAAGAATGCTCGTGGCGCAATAGAGGAAGACTGCCGAGAATTCCTAGTCAACGATGTAGACCATTACATCCTATTCGACGACAAGGATGAATCATACTGCCTTAAGCAAAAAAGGAAGTTTGAGGTAGATTCATGGTTCACCACGGCTTATGGCCGCCTAATCACTCAAATGGACGAATGGAACGATGCCCCATGTACTTGGGATGAAATAGAGGTAGAGATGCCTCTCCAAAGAACCATCTATGAGAAGAAAGAGGAGCTAGCCGAAGTAAAGGCTGGTAAATCAAGGGAAGAACCAATGGAGGAGATAACGACCGCTGGTGTTGAAGAATATGTGATCAAAGTCACTTCTTCACCATGTCCGATCCCCAGAGTGTTCCTACCGAGACATAGGTCCTCTGAGAAAACTCAGAAGTCGTCAAACGAGGCGCAAAAACCGGTTAAGCCACCGGTAGAGAAAAAGGCAATCCCCATCCCTAGGGCTTTTAAGCCGAGAACAGAAAAAAAAGAGAAGACCCCAGTCACAGTCTTCAAATTCAAATCCAGAACCCTATGCAGAAACGGCCCGAAGTGCCGATATGGTTCTCGATGTGCATTTGCACACCCCGAAAGGAGTAGTCCCTCTTTTAAACCAAAAGACAAGATCGGTGTAAGCCCACCGAAACAAAAGGCAGTTCCGCCTGCAAAGATAGTAGAAAAGAACGTAGACCGTAGGTCAGAAGAAACGTTCTCTATCAAAGGGTTCTCAATCAAGGGAGCAGCAGAGCGAGAACGCAGAAGGAAAACTGCTAAAGAAACCAAAGTAAACTCAAAGAAAGAGATTGAGGAAATAACGCTAGAAGGTCTAGAAGCGTTATTGAAAAAGCTTATCGCAGAGAAGGCGAAGCAACCCTCAAAGGAATCTACGAGTAAGGGTAGTCCTCCCCCTAAACAAAGGAGTGAAACACCGAAACCGAGTATCGAGAGAAAGCTATATGCTATAGAATGTAAGACCCAAACGAAGGGCATTCAAACTACGCTTATCGAGAGAAAGGAAGACGGGAAAAGGCAGTCGATTGCCATGTTTACGAAACCGATGACCGATAACGAAGTCAACTACTCAGCAGAAGACAAGGATTTGCTCTCGATATATAGAGCCCTGCAGGAGTGGAAGCACATAGTTGAAAAGTCACCCCTACCAGTGGAAATCATTCTAGACTCACGAAACCTGGAAAAAATAGACAAATTGCACACATTGACTAGACATCAAGCTAGATGGTGTTTATTCCTAGCGCAATTTAATCTCATATGTCTATCCAGGAGGCTAGACCACAAAGGGGGGGTAAAATCCCATATCGTATCAGAAAACTCGAACAATTTCCTCATGAATCCCACTTTCTTCAAAGATCACGCAGCGAAACGAGGCCATACTCTAGTCCATAAGATAGAAAAGACGCTCTTGCTAGTTATCGCAGAGTGCAAGGACAAAGACGCCGAAGTAGCTAAAGTGATCAAAGAAAAGAAACTCGAGAATGTCTGACTAAGAAAGGGACTTGAAGAGTGGAATTCAGAAGAAAATCTCATCCTCCACAGAGGACTGGTATATGTACCAAAAAGAACGGATTTACGCCAGTCTATTGGATTTGTACAAAGGTTCCGCCCTTGGTCCCCTAAAGAGCTTGTTGGAAAAGGTATCGCAGAACTATTGGTGGCCAGGCATGGCGCATGAAATTAGCGCCTATGAAAAGAAAGACAAGGTTGACGAACCGCTTAGCGCTGTATTCGCACCTAAACCAAGTCTTCAGAAGCGGGTTAGATTCCAAGAACCAAAAGACACACCAAAGAAACTCTGGCAAGCCGCCGACGCCGCTCGCCATGACAACGTCTTTACTCCCCGAATAATCCCCAATGCCGCACCAATACCCTCCGCACCATCCGTTCCCAAGGTGATCTTAAGTAGAGAAAGAAAACCAGAACCGCAGTCACAATCCCCAAGTAGAACGTCCAAGGATCAGAAGCTATCGCCGAAAAAAGAGACATCATGGAATGAAAAGAGAACAGCGTTGAGAGAAGAAAAGTTATACGAAGGTTTCCTTAAATGGAAAAAAGAAATCTCACGCTCAATCTAGACAACCATATCGATTCGCGAGGACGCTCATCCTTAAAATGGGGGTAATGTCATGAATGTTATCAACTGCATCTAAATTTCGATTATCGAACCATAAGTCACCCTATCCGATAAGATTAGATTAGATAGATCCCTGATAAGATAAGATGGATAACCGATTAACGATCACTATCTTTACATCATATCTATACTATATCAACGTCATCCATCTTATTCGTAACCCTAGACAACCGAACTCATCATACCCTAAGAAGTCCTACGATTAGGCAAACAGGTTACATCATAAGCATCTACATGCCTCTATGATCGAACCATAACCGAGAGTCCTTTACGAGCTATCTATCGAAGAGTCATATCCCTTCACATCGCACACCTTCACTTCTCATGACATGTTAAGAGTTACCTCTGTCATTCACCGAACTCCTTACATTAAAACCTGTTGCACAGTCACAGCTAGAACCCCGAACCCCTATCACAGAAGCATCGCTCATAGAGAAGCATGTTCATTACCGAAGACCCTGGAGAACCCTAGATCCGATCGTACCCGATACATCTCCAGATCCAGATCCTATCTAGATCCTTCGATCTAGATCATCAGATCCTATCTCTAATCGAGATCCTTAATTACCGCTCGAGACTTCTTGTCACAGAACTCTCTCACACCCTTCTTAATCTCCGTCTACCCTGAATAGAAGCAGTCCCTGAGAACCCTGCTTAATTACCGATACCCTTGGCCCTATGAACCCTTTACCCTTCTCTTCTTGTAGTTGATTGGTTGATAAGAAGCCCTATACCCTAGGTGCAATGTTATGACCGTATATAGTTATATCACATACCTTTCATACTCAGATAGCTCCGCCCCAATAGTAGTATATAGTCTAGGTAGTAGTCAGTAGTACTCCTTAGACTTAACCTCCTCGTTTCTACATCATTGTAGGGCCTAGATGTTCCCTCTCAATCCATCTCGCTTTATCCTCTTTGACTGAGTCCTGTGGTGTGATACCAACTCCAGACACCTACTAGTTAGGTTAAGGGACGTGGGTCATAACAGATATACATGGACAGCTTTTCTCATTGAATTTTCATTGGATTTTCAAATTCTCACTCATTAGGGGAGCTCACAGTAGGTTGCTTCTGCTTCTGCTTCTGCATCCATAATAAATCGATATTTTCACATATACAGCAAAATAAATAAAAACTAAATTGAATATACCATTTCTGGCCATCGTGCTCAGAGTGCGCTAAGTCGCATTGTACTCTACTTTATACTCTCGCATGGGTAAATTGAAGAAGACACAGAATCTACCCAACATTCACTGGAACGAGAATGAGCACTCACATGTGTGGAAACTCATCACGGAAATCAGCACAAAGGCAAATTACAAGGTCTTGTTTGGTAAAAAAGATCAACATGAGGTGAGCACATCAGGAAAAACTATATCTCTATATAGAGGACCATCCTCTATATAGCCCCGATAGCACACCACAGCTCTATACAGTCTATGGCAAGCTATCACAGCACTATAGACCAGTATAGACATCATGAAAGTCTATATATTACCATAAAGTTTGGTAAGTGTATTTAGAAGTAAAACATTTCAACAACTATAGACCCCAGTAGACCGTGGGAACTTTTTTCGATGAAAACCAAAGTTGTAGTCCTTGTCTAGGGAAGTCTATCCATAGTCTTATGACTTCAATAGGTTAAGATCCTAGTGAGTTATAAGGAAAATACTCGAAATTGAAGGGTTCAAGAAAGCAACTTGACCATGGGAACTTTTTTCGATTAAATCAAAGTTGTAGTCCTTGTCAAGGGAAGTCTATCCATAGTCTAATGACTTCAATAGGTCAAGATCTTAGTGAGTTATAAGGAAAATACTTGGAATTGAAGGGTTCAAAAGTGTTAAGGTACACCTTATTTATGTAAGCAAAAATGCGAAAATTCACCTTATGTGTATTCAAAATCCTAATGCTAACAGTCAATTTCATTGTCTTTTTCTTACTGTCATAATCCTAGTCCTATTAACCAAAAACTCGAAAATTCACCAAGTCTTGTGTTGTGGCTTTGTTTGGCACTGCTTATGTAAGCAAAAATGCGGTCAACCAACAAGTCTTTTCCCATTCTTTCCTTCCCCCCCCACTGCCCCCTCATTAGATTATCTTCCATATTTTTCTTACAATTTTCGAGTTTTTGCCTCTCTTCTCTTCTTCTTGCTTCTCTATCCTTCTCTTGGTGTTGATGTTGTTGGTGCTGGTACTGGTGCTGGTGCTTTGAACTCTGGTAAGTCTCCCTCCATAATTTTCGCATTTTTGACTATTTGACTAATCTTTTTTCTAACCCTCTCCTTCTAGCTCTCTTCCCTCCTGCTCCTCCTCCCCCCAACTATTTTCGCATTTTTGACCATTTGGCAAGTCTTTTCTCTGACTCTCACTTCCTCCTGTCTGATCCTCTCCTTCTAGCTCCCTTCCCTCCTCTTCCCTCAAGAATTTTCGCAATTTTCACTATTTGGTAAGTCTTTCTTTTTTTTGTATTCATCTTTCCTCTCTGATTCTTCCTTCTAGTTCTCTTGCCTCTTCCTCCTGTAATTTTCGCATTTTTGCCTGTTTTGTAGTTATTAGTTTACATGTATTGTAGTAGTTGAAATATAATTTGGAATTTTCGCTTTTTTTTAATTTTGAGAACACTATCATGGCAACAAACAGCTATTAAGAGAAATTTTTGCTTTGTGTTTTGAGCTATAATAGCTACAATAGTTGTGGTATGTTCCACCCAGCTATAGCAACTTTAATAGAGCTATATAGCACTATACACTGGTGTAGTAAGCCTGCACAATTGGGCACTTGGCTATACGAGCTATAGGGCTATGGAGTCTGTATAGCAGTCTATAGCGCTATGGGTGGCTATATAGCCTTACCACATTTTCCTGATGCATGGATATCTGAGTCACTAGTACTGATTCACGGAGCCATCAGAACACATCTGGCGAGATGAAGGCCAGCGTTTATAAACAGATTGGTGCTATTGTCCTACCAGAGTGCTACAAGATTGATCCAACAGCAACCGGTGACCGTGTCAAGAGCAAACTTGAATCGTTGTGTTGCATACTGCTATTTTTACTTTGCTGATTTTCATATCCTTATTTTAGACTCACCAAAACCTACAAGAAACATGCTGCTACACTCTGAATGACAGGAGAAGGTCTCCGTCAAGAACAGGACCACAATGGTAATGATCCCAACAAATTTTGCAGGTTCTACATTGGTGCAGATGGCCCTGATACCAATAGCTCAGAGGAAGCTAAGAATTTATGGGGTTTGTTTCTTTGAACTACAAGTTCAATGCCACTCACATTGTTAATTTTTAGATCAAATCAAGAATGATTTTCCATTTTTTCCTGACCTCCATCATATTTTCGCTGCTCGTCCGAACATCACCCCAATTGCAATTACGACTGGAGTTGGTCCTCATGGCAAGAAGACCCTTCACATGCAGCCTCTGAGTGATGATGAAGATGACATCATTTTCACGGCTTTGCAAGTAAGCCAGATCCGGACTCTCCAAGATGCTCTGAACCTTGCTGGCACTACTCATCATAAAGTTTCCCCTTCCTTTGAGACTGCTGATGATAAAGAAAACACTCCTATGTTTTGCAACCCAGTTTCTTTACAGACACCCATTGGGAAGAAGCCTCCAAAGCCATCCTTGCTCTTGCTGTTGCAGGATAGCATTGCAAAGGCGAAGGGATGCATTCAGAAGCTCACACCGAAGTGTTCACTCAATGACATGCTCTTCGACATTCAGAAGTATGTGATTGTTTGCTCAATCTTGCATTATCTCATCGGTTTTAGGGCAAATCTTGATGCTGTCAATGCCCGTGCTTGTGACGAGATGAAGCTGAAGAAGAGGCAGTGTTTGTTGGAGGAGTTCAAAGCTGGGATCTGGGACGCTGTAAGGAGCGAATTCCACTATGACCTTAGCGCAATAACAGCTGATTTGAGTAGTGAGCCTATAGTGTTCAGTTCGACCCAGGGGAAGCAGAACAAAGCAAACCAAATTGCTGCCTCAGTATAAAATACGAGGGGCGTGACAACAAGTCAAAGAGCGGCCAATCCAATATATGCTCAGCATGAACAGTCAGCCGTGAAGCCAATCGACTATAATTTCTACTGACCACTATGCGGTTTGCAAGTGAGTGCGGCCAACCGAGATAGTTGATGAGGAACGGAAGTTTCAAGGAGAATGTGCGGACAGACACGGGAATAGGATCAGAAAGGAACAGAACACAAAAGACACGGCTTCTGAGTGAGAATTAACTGGATTTCAACAACAGGTGTGCACTCTTCAAGTACAAATCGGCTACTAGGTAAGTAATGGAGATAATCATTGCTTGAGATGTCCGGGCTACCTCGCGGTTTGTTAGAGATATGCGCGGGACATGCAGTCGATCATCCGTGATATGCATGTGGATATTTGGGAGTAAGTCGGTCCGAGCCATTTAAGGCGACGTAATAAGGGAGTTTGAGAGGTAAGAGTACTGTATTTGTCAAATAAACCAAGGAGAAGTATACTACGCACCAGTGAACAAGGATGGATGGATATGGGGTTCGTCTGAGTACCTGTGAGCTAGAAGGGTAAAACATGCGCGCGACCGACCAATGATGCACATTGATTTTTCGTCGGCCGATTCGCTTGCGCGAGCGGTGTCACGAATTCCAAATACAAATCATTTTTCGTTCCTCGGGTTTCCTCTGGCTATTTCTAGTAACCGACCCGGTCATGTGATTTCACTTCCTGTCACACCTTCACCTCTTCACATATCACCTGTTGCTTCTCCAATTGGCTCCCCTACTCCACGGGCTAGAACGATCTTGCTTCCAAAAGAAGAACTGGTCGGATCTTGGGTTTCTATTTAGTAACTGTCTTACTCATTCGCTTATATATCATGATGTCATGATCAGTCATCCGCAGTATTGTACGACTCTTTTCCTATTGGCTGATTTCTTTCATACTCAGATATCTCCTATTCAATGTTATGTATATAAGTAGGTTAATTAGTGTAAGTACTCCTTAGACTTAACCTCTTCATTCTCTACAGTTGTAGTAGACCTAGATGTTCATGCTCAATCAATCTTGTTCCCATCATCATCTGCGACCGAGTCCTAGTGGTTGTTGTCTGACTTTACCATTCGGTGAACTCAGGTCATAACAAGCGGCTTGAACGCGTATGAGTGGGAGTCTGATCAGCAAGGAGTCGGATAGAGTGCGGAGGGTTGGTTGTATATTGTGGTGGATTGGTAGAGCAAGGAAGTACCATGTCAGTGCCGATCGGTGTCCTACAACACGGCTGAGTATAGAAAACAACTGGATTGGATTGAGGATGATTCCAGCTCTTCTGAGCATCCTACCAAGCAGGCTCGTTACCAATCTCCTGACTGGGATTTATCTGCCTTTTCCACTGATGAGTTAGATGGTGGATCTTTCTGAAGATTCTTTTTCTTTTTCGTGCCACACTGCCCATCATAATTTTTCTGACCTGTCACTTGTTTATATGTTATTCGTTAAGTGCCACTCATTTTGTATGTTGTTCGCTAATCACATTATTATTTACATTTGCCTGAATGCAACTAGTTCTTCAACCAACTTTTTTCGCTTTGTTTCTCCATCAACATTGTCCTCCCCTGCTAGTGGCTTATCATGTGGGCCTTGATCCTCCACCTCTTGATGACAAGTGTGAAATGGAGCAAAGTATGCACCTCATTGATCACCTTCAACCTCAATCACAATGTTGTGCAATATAATACTAATTGCAATCCATTGGCATGCAGAAATATGCTGGTGCTTTGAGTTGATATGAACACAGAGCCCTCGGAGACACTGAAATCTCCCTTTGAGTGCACCCATGCAGTGTTCCAATCAGACACGTAAATTGGCAACCGTGCGATCAAAGGTGATGTTTTCAGGTAAGAGTGCCGCTGGTTTTTGTGGACAGGGATGGTGCATGAATTGACAGCATAAGCAGAATCAGCCCATGCAAATTCATCACCAGTGAAAAACCAATTAGGATGCTTTGTGTTATGACCAACGTCCAACAATAATGTTGAAGGTGAGTGCACAACCACTAGGACTCGGTCAGAGATGACAATGAGCAACAGGATAGATTTGAGCGTGAACGTCTAGGTCACTACAACAGTAGAAACGAAGAGGTTAAGTCTAAGGAACTCTTACGCTAACTACCCTACTTTTATACATAACATTGAGTAGGAGTCCGAAAGAAATCAGCCAATGAGAAAAAAGTCGTACGATACTGCGGATGAGTAAGTATGACTCATGATATATAAGCGACTGAGTAAGACGGTTACTAAATAGAAACCCAAGATCCGACTGGTTCTTCTTTGGGAAGCGAGATTGTTCTAGCCCGTGGAGTAGGGGAACCAATCGGAGAAACCATGGGTGATATGTGACAAGGTGAAGGTGTGACAGGGTGAGGAGTCACGTGACCGGTTTGGGTACTGGAAGTAACCGAAGGAAAACCGAGAAACGAAAAATGGTTCGTATTAGGAATTCATGACATTACCCCCTTTCTAGGATGAGCATCCTCGCAAATGTAAGACGGTCGTATGTTTTTCTGTCTCCATTCGAGGAAGTCAGGGGTCGTCAGAATTGAGGCGGAGATTCATGCCGATTTAACCGCATTTGGGTTTTCTGCATAAAAGTCGGCTACAATGAGTGGTGCATTCTTCACATCTTCTTCTGACTGCCATGTTGCTTCTGCTCCTGCATATCCTTTACATTTTACTAAATACTGCAACTTGCGCCTGTATAGGCGGCTTTGCAATATTTGCTCTGCTTCATATTCTGGGACTTGATCAACAATATCCAGTGGCGGACGCGTTAGAGGTGGGCGATCAACGAGTTGAGAGGTTTGATGTGGGGTGAGTAATGATACATGGAAAACTGGGTGGACGCGATATTTAACCGGGAGCTTCAACTTGTAGTTTAGCTCGCCAGTCTTCTCTTCGATTTTGAATGGTCCCAGACGGCGGTCGGACAATTTTTGGCTCGGACGGCGTTGTTTGATGTTTGTCGCGTCTAACCATACCTTGTTGCCTGGTTTGAATTCTGGTGCATTTTTTACTTTATGATCATAAAAGCGCTTCATTTGATCGTTTGCTATTTCCAGCATTGCTTTCGTCTCTTCTTGTGCCTCCTTCATCTCAGCTACTCTCTGGTCGGCATGGGGAATTGTATTGGAAGAATTTGGGGAAATCGTAAACTCGGGATTATATCCGTAGACACATTTGAATGGGGAATGACCAGTGACAGTTACTGAGTTGTTATGCGTGAATTCAGCAATTGGAAGCCAAGAAACCCAATCATTCTGACAGTAGGATGTGAAGAGTCAGAGGTACTGTTCGACTTCTTGATTGACTCGTTCCGTCTGTCCGTCAGTCTGTGGGTGATATGCTGTTGACATGGACCACTTGGTTCCTAGTTGTTTTGAGACTTCCTGCATGAACTTGGACACAAACTGTGTTCCCCTATCCGAGATCACCTTCTTCGGCGTCCCATGTAACTTCCATACGTGATTGAGAAATAAGTCTGCGACTCCCTTAGAATCAACATCCTTGGTGGTCGGAGCAAGATGCACTTGCTTCGTGAAACGATCAACGACTACCAAAATACTGTCCTTGCCCTGGGAGATGGGTAGATCGGTGATGAGGTCACAGCTAATGGTTTGCCATGGCCCCTCTGGAACCTCGTTCGGCTTCAAAGGTCCGTGGGGTTTTGATGGTAGCACCTTCGTTTGCTTGCATCGATCACACCCATCTACGTAGTCATTGACCCATTTCTGCATCTGGGGCCACCAATAGTTCCACGAGACAAGTTCAAGAGTCTTAGCACGTCCCATGTGTCCTGCTGCAGGCGAGTCGTGGAAGATCTCTAGCACTGAGCGACGAATTTCCTTATTATTGGGAACGTAGACCAACCCTCTGAACAGAATAAGTCCATCCTCCATATTCCACTCTTCCAATCCTCTTCTCAACTGTACGGGGGCCTTCTTCAGAGTTTCGATAGCATTTCGGACTTCTGGATCCAAATCAGTACAGTTTCTGATACGCTTCAACAGCGAATGCTCTCCTTCTATCAGAATCTGACCTCTTTTTGCGGCTTTGATATAAAAAAACTCGGGTTTCAAAAGCACGCGATCGGAATTGTCATTTTCTACCCCCCCTCTGTGGTCTGGCCTCCTGGACAGAGCGTCAGCAGTGTCATTAACCTTTCCCGGTTTGTGTTGCAGAGTGAAGTTGTACTCTGCAAGGAACAAGGACCATCTTGCCTGTCTACGAGTCAATTTCTGGCTCGTCATGAAGTATTCGAGGTTTTTATGGTCTGTCCAGATCTCTACCGGATGAGGTGCACCTTGCACATAATGCCTCCACTCTTCCAATGCACGGATAATAGCTAAAAGTTCTTTATCGTGAATGTCGTAATTACGCTCTGCGTCTTGCATTGATTTGCTAAAAAAAGGCCACTGGGTGCCATAGTCCGTCTTCTTCCAACTGAGAAAGTACACCACCAGTAGCATAGTCAGATGCGTCGCTCTCTATCTTTTGTTTTTTATTCGCATCTGGCATGACTAGCACTGGTGCGGAAGTGAAACTGTCCTTCAGTGTTTTGAAAGCCTTCTCTTGCTTGTCCATCCATTCCCATGGTACATCCTTTCTGATGAGTTCATTCATGGGTCTGGCAATGTTCGAGAAACCGAGAATGAATCGACGATAAAAGTTCGCAAATCCCATGAATCGCTGAATGTCTTTGACACAGGTGGGAGTAGGCCATTCCTGAACTCCCTTAACCTTGACCGGATCCATAGAGACATGTCCATCTTTGACGATCAAACCGAGAAACTCCACTTCCTTCTTCTCAAAAGAACACTTCTCCGGTTTAAGATAGAGATCATTGTCCTGCAACCTTTGTAATACCTTGCGCACCACCTTCCGATGTTTCTCTACATCACCGTTGGTGAAGACCAAGATGTCGTCAATGTAGACTACAACGACCTTGCCTTC